TCGACGAAGCTTGCCCAGAATTCATGCATAGACATGAAGCCCTGTCTGGTACGCTCAATATCTGTGCTCATCAGAGTGAGTACGGAAGAGTCACCGACTACCGAGAGCCTAGATCGTAGGGTCTGCTCATAGATGGCACTGGCCAGAGCTCCGCGAGCCATCCAAATTGTCCTTTCTCGTAGGTAATAGTAAATGGATGTTGAAACAGCAATGCCTCCATATACAAGAAACGTCGCCACTATCAAGCCATAACCATAGTTGACAGGCCTCTCAGATGCTGGTATCAGTAGATACGATAGCAATGAGTTGATGAGGAAAGGCTGGCAGAACCTGAAAGCCGACAGGGCGAGTCTCGGTGGTATCGGAAGTAAGAAAGACCCCAATAGAGATTTTGCAAGAGCTTTGGTAAGTCCGTGCTTCTGACCATGGGTTGAAGAGACTTTTATTGAAGTCTGAAGCTTTATTCGTAAAGCATCGCTAGCCATATGCCGATCAAGAGAGAATAAATCATCCAAATTCAGCACTTTCTTGCGACCAATTGCGAACAATTTCCAGAGCCAACTGAATGCTGTCAATCCAAAGAACCCGGCCGTTTCTTCTGGACTGTGCAAAGCAGTATCCCATTGAATCCATCTCGTTTTGGTTTGAGACTCGGCCAGGAATGCAACAGCTTTTACGCCAACGGCGGCTGTAAAGACGGCAGCAAACGAATTTTCGGCGCGCGTCACAGCTAAGAGCCAGAACGAGCGAGTTCGTACAATATCGAAGAGCAGTGAGAGCACCAAGTAGCTGCTCAGCAGCATCGACGGGCGTGGTGAACGAGCATGTTCAAGAAAAGACAGAGGTAGGGCTAACACGAGGGCAACTAACTCTAGTGTAGCGGATGAGATGAAGAGAGCAGCTTGTTCGCCGCGCCAGACGATACTGAGAACAAATGACGAGAAACGTAATGCGGTGCAAAGTGCAATGAATGCCTAGAATAAATTAGCCTCAGTATTCCGCCCTAGTTGCTTCTCTACCATCTGGAGCACATATACAAACGATTGTACCTACAGCTTTAGAAAATTGGAAAACTTGGCCCTTCACGATGACAGGCTCTTTGAATACCCAGAAGATGCGAGCAAGCGCGAGAATGGTGAAAATTGCGGCAGGAAGTATTGAAAAGAATATCGCCTCAAATCTCAGAGTGAAGTCAAACTCTCTATGGTTGCAGCCATGGACAGCAGGCCCGAATGTGGCATCGTTTGAACAACTGGAATAATCCATCCCCCTTCAAGGGTGTAAAAATGTCTTTTACCTGGGGATGCCAAAGAATCAAGATGTGCCGGAAGCCATCTCGACTTGGGATTAGAGAGAAAGAGTCTTATGAGATTAGCGAAAAGGATGCGGGTACAGTAACACGCATTGCGCGCCTAACACACGAATCTGCAACGAATCTGCAAACGCATCATAGATATCTCTCTTGATATGGTCTGGTTGATGGAATTAGCTGCAGGCTGGCAGTACCTAATAGACAAACATCATCGCACCGGTGAGGAGTCATATGCGGCCAAGCGGCAATAAAAATGCCTTTGCGGCCGTTTTCTCCGTCGTCGCTCCGTTCACTCTTTACTGGAATCGGGAATTAAGACCTTTGCTGTCAAGAAATGCTGCTGTTACGGCCCGCAACATGCGAGTTTACCTGACTAACTAGGGCGCTTTTGCAAGGGTGTGAACCAGGGGCAAGGTGCTTTTGTTCAATCGGCCAAATATTGTACGGGATAGCTGCAGCGAGTTAGAGCCTAGAGTAATGGCATCCTGCTAGATTCTGTTAGCGGCCAATTGCGGAGGGGGTCTTTTTCGCCGCTGATTGTACTTTATTAATCGTCTTACGGACTGCTCTATTTTAGAACTAAGCCGAGTCTGTATGGGAAGTCGTATGGGATATGTTTCCTTTACGTTGAGATAAACGGTGAATTCATAGCTAATGTTGCTGGCATGGCAATGGATACCCAAGGTTACCCAATAACTGTCTAAATGAAGATGGCCGGCGCTCGACTTACCCGGGCTATTTATTATCTTCAAAATGAGAGGATACCGCAGTCCAATCATTGTGTAAATTAAAACGGTAAACGCGGTGTTCCTTTAACTATATGTTTCCGTAGATGGCTTGCGGGCTAAGAGATGATATAACTAGAGAATGCGTATGCCCGTTTTAGAAAATAATTAAATATATTGGTAAGAACTTTAATTCAGATATGTATCAATGAGCGAAGTATTTCAGGCAATGAACAACTCAGACAAATCATTATTTGCAACTGTAAGTTGCTATCATACCCTTCTAAAAGGTGCTTGTCGTTATAGCATTGAGTTGCTCCTCTGAGTCAAATGTGGCTATAAATAACTTCGGAAAAAGTTGTCCAGCACCATTACACAGTACACCAACTGTAGCCTAATAAGGCAGCTAGTCCACATATCAAAGTACACAACTGCCAAATACCTTTAAAAGGGGCATCAGTAGCACCCAAAGCATCAATAGCATCTATAGCATCTATAGCATCTATAGCATTCATAGCATCTATAGCATTAGTGGTACCCGGGGCGTCAGTAGCATCAGCAGCAGTAGTAGCCCAGGTTATAACTAGAGTGGTAGATAACAGAATTAGGATGCTGGATCATTTGTGTTATATCAATCAAGCGGGCCTCATGATCAGAACTATCAGTATAGGTCAGACATGGAGATGGATTAGTCTACATGTAGTTGCATTACCTGTCAAGCGCTGCGCTCTTAATCTAATTGATCAGCGAGCGCTGTTCCCGCTTAAGTCTCGTGCAATGAGCGCTTGGGATAATGGGCTGACGTATTGGGGGCTGTATGAGCTTCATAAACAGCTATGCCAGGTTTAATCTTTACTGCTGAGATAATGTTGTAAAATATTATACCTCTTTTGCTTCAAGGAACTAGTATGGACTATCTAGCGATATTAGGCATTTAAATGTCGGCGCGGGACTTGCATCATTTGGAATACATCTCCTTTTGGGCGTCTTTGTACTATCATATCACAAGTAGACGCGACTTAATTCTATGTAAGCACCTTTATAGACGAAACAGTATCTTACTATGTGGGTTGCATACATCATTTCTTATTTATTATTGAGAACTTGTATGCTTCTTCAGACTTTCTTAATTTGCTTTGTGTGCGTTTGGGAGGCCACAGTCCCGCCCAGAAACCTGAGTCACAGTAGCATCCACGTGTCCCCATGCGACAGCATTACCATTCGTGAGGTCATTCAAGGCATGGAGGCCAATATTCAAGCCGCCATTATAGGCAGCATCTATCCCCAATACGTGTATGCTTCTGCCAGCAAACTCTAGCTTGTAGCAGGCGCCGCACGATGTGGAGTTCCAAGTAGTACCTTGAACGCCACCAATGTATGGGAATCGAGAAATTTGGCCCTGGGTTTCCCAGTGATACTTGGTTATGAGTCCGTTGAGGCCATCAGAGCAAGATACACCTCGTAGAGACTTTGAAGCATCATCATAGCCTGGATCGAAAGATACTGAATAAATTGTTAGTGTACATGTAGAACCCAAATTGGTCTTAGAGGGCAGTCCATACCGTAGGTGGCAGTGATGGCAGTGACAAGCGTAGCAGCGGTGAAAATGTTTGAGACCCGCATATCGAAGAATTCGTTATCACAAAAGATATAGATATAGTTATATATATATATTTATAGATAATTTGCAATTATACGTATGAGGAGCGTTGAAGCGGTGATGTTGAAGGCTGTTCAGATGTTCAGAGTTGGGAAGCATGCCACCATTTATAATGTTTTGTTATCGTACCATCATCTCATTTGAGGTTATTGTTGCTCCAGCTATGCACCATACCCAAAAATATCTGAGACAAGAATACTAATACGAACATGCGAAAAGCGTTAACGCAAAAGGGGATAGAGATAGCCTGCCTTCGTGGTTACCTATTACCGGCCACTAGTGTAAGTGTATTGATCTGTTGGAGCATTTCCGATCCGAATCTCCTTCCCATCGTTAGAAATCCCCGATTACACGTGGTGTTACCACTGCGGTGATTGCCTTGGAGGCTCCGGTCAGGGGGTCGTAGTAGCCGGGATTATAAACAAGACTCCCATCCTCATGTTACTAATAATGAGTTACGAAAAGAAGTACGTAAGTATGAATATTACGGAAAAGGGCAAATTGATACAAAGAACATATAGTTAACAGTGAGCTCCATAAAACTACAAAGACTATCTCTGTACTTACAAGTTTCGGAGTATAACAGTCATGACAGAGAAGCTTAACGGCTAGACGCGGCCAAGTAATTGAGAAAAGAAGATTTTCGTCGAGAAGCGGTGAGGTAAAGAGAGCGTTGTGAAACCGCCCTACATACCATCGTGGATTTATCCTCATTTGCATTTGTCCAAATAACTCTTTCAAACCGAGGCATCAGAGTCAGTGACATCATACCACAGGATCATGTGAGGCAAGGTGAGACACCAGCTAGTATTACTCTGTAAAATTAGGCCAAGGATCAAACAGATCTTGCTGGGAAGTCGCTGCAGTTATTCCTCGTATTCTCTTCTCAACTGAGACACACTGCTAGTACTACAGACGTATACTAGGTAGCTACCTACGTACCCAAGTACGATCAATTCGTCAATTGTCTCACGCGCCCAAAACTTATTGCAAGACCTCGCGGCTCATCCCAGTACAACCAATATATTTTGATCTTTACACATAAGCAATCATTGGAGTTTATAACTGAGCACTAGTGTTAAGATGGCCGGAAAGCTCAGACCTGTCGCTCAATAAAAGAGAAGTATTGCATATTGGCGCATCGTAAGTACGAATAGGGTAAGAAGATGGAAGTCTTGTAGTATTCTTGCAGTTCTTAATCCTAATTCGCGCATCCGTACTCCGAGACTCGAAATAGCCCTTACATGTGGCCATGCCGTGAGGGACTGAATCACTTGCCCTTCATAGAGACCGACTACATGTATTACTGGATCTGTACCGTTTGCTCTTGAGCGGCGCTTTCGAACCACTCCAAAAAGGAAACTTTTCTGGTCCCTTGCTTCTGTCTTAGACTGTTACCAAATAGTAGCCCAATCCTCTCCCAATTATCTTGGTTTTCCACCTTTTGCACCACAAGAAAAATCGCCCATTCTTTCCCCGTCCTTTTTAAATGCCCCGCCATCATCTTGATAACCCTCAAGTCTCCATTATCACAGATGTTGGTCTCAGTGTTTGGTGCATCTGGGCTGAAAGACCAGCCAGAGATTGATGATTCTCCTAGATCGTCGCCGATGGGTTTAAAACGAAGATTAAAGAGTTTCTCGGGAGAAGGATTGGGTTCGTCGTTAGTACAGACTCTGATAGTCGCACTCACAGACGGTCCCTCCAGCGTGACAAGACTCTTGCTAAGACGCCCGAGATAAAGGGGACCCTCAGATACACAATCTATATGTAGAACTTTGGAGAAGATGTTGACGGTATCGTCTGTCAAGGGTCGCTGGCACCAAGTGACATCGATTCCTCCAGTAACGGATGCCCACGACCACGATGGAAGGCTTCTCAGCTCTTTGGGTCGGCGACTAAACTCGTCCATAAACCAGCAGCTGTCGATAATGAAAGTAGCCTCCCATAACCCTGCAAGATACCTCGTGTTGAATAGTTCAGCAAACTGAGATACAATCCCAGCCATTGCTGGTAGCCGGTCGCTCAGGTAGGTAAACTCTAGTTCCATCATACTCATGATATTGTCGTGCCAAAGCTCCCGCTGCTTAGTTGCGCTTCCACTCTTGACATCATTGCGCATGATACTCCTGCTCGAGTTTGTACGGAAGAGATCCCAATGTGTGTTTTCATATCTTGACTCACACTGACAGAGGGTCTGAGATCGACAATCCCAGACAACTTCTTTGGCGCAGAAATGGACATAGCGACGGGACAGTATTTGCTCTTGGTATACCCAACCGCGAGTCATCAAAGGGAATTCTGGCGTGAGTAATGAATCTGGTTGCACTTCATATGGATGCGAGATTCCTGTTTCCGCGATCAGGTGATAACGTTGGCCATGATGTATGCCTTGAATTTCCAATGGCTCGTCATGTTCAGGTAGTTTTGGGAAGAATCCAATACTCCCATCTATCGAAGCTGTTGCCGCTAGGGTGATGTGGCAGTTGGCATAATAATCTGCCATCTTTGCTGCTTCGCTCTCCCAATCACTCGCAGAATCTTGGATGATGCATAGAGAATCAATCCAAATATATTCTATGCCAATCTCGCGACTGAACTTGATCGCATCTTGGAATGTGCGAGACAAGGAGTTCCATGGAATTTCATCTCTGAGTCTCTCGATATTGTCAGACACAGTCCGCAAGATTTGAGTCTTCCCCCAGCAGTGGCTAAGACACGCATAGCGACTCTCTGTGAGTGGTTCAGGTTCAACAAGACGAACTTTGGAAGCTCCTCTCACGTCCGATACAGCTTGAACAACTCTCTTTGGGAGTATCGACGCATGCGACACTCGGCAATCTTTGTGATCTCGCTCACAATCGTTTACCCAGCCCAAGATTTGCTTAGCGAGATGATCTCTATCCTTGGGGACACCTGACCACGGTTTAAAAAGCGGCCAAGGGCACGGCTCTCCTTATGCAGTTGTCAGCCTCTTTACTTAACCAATGCATTATTGTGTGAGGCGTTACCCGGTTTTGCGTAAATGTTCACCTTTCGAGATGTTGTGTGAGTCATATCTGCCACGCCTTCAGTAGGCCAGATGCCCAAAGATAGACTTTCACTCGACAACTTCTTGTCGGCCGCGAAACTCAGGGTATAGATAGCTGGATTCTCAGCAGCTTCTGGATGGCAGTGTTTGCATGCCTTCATAATGAGGCTACATGTTGAGCATTGCTTCGCAGATTGAACGAGTTCTTGTAGGCAGTGTGTGTAAAACCCCTCTGCGTCACATTTTTCACGGATGATGGTTTCGTTTAGATCGAAACATATTTTGCACGGTGTAGAGGATGGATCTCTCATGGTAAAGGTGAGTCAAAGTGGTTGAACTGATCTAACACAGAGATATGTGGTCATTCTAGCTTCAATTCAAACAGTGTTGTAATTTACCATAGATTTCGTACTGAGGGGCTTCTTCACATGTATGCCGATAAATGTTGAATATGCAGATCCTCCATAGCTTCAAATGCTCTAGGGTACATAGCCACAGGTACAATCCTGCACACACATCTTGAAACTGCTACTGTACCCGTGCCCACTAGGCCTACTAGCGGATTGCTGACGCCAAATTGTGGCGCAAACTTGAAGCACCCCTGACACGCTTAATAAGGCTGCCTAGACTGCAGCCTCCTTTTCATTGCTCAAATATCGAAGCTGAAAGAGGTGGGTAATTGAAGAAGACTTTGCACTGATAGCTTTACAACTGTTAAATCGCTTTTAACGGCTATTTGGAACCATCTAATTGTTCAAAAGAAACTCGAGTGCTGGATATGACCCACTCAACGCCTCTATCTTCCGAATCTCCAAGACAGCGGATGCAAAATACGGGAGGCCAAGGCAAGCGCCACTGCTGGGAATGCCGTCGACGGTGCTTGGTATGTGATTCCGGAGAGCCTGGATGCAAGCGATGCCATGTATCAGGCATACCATGTCCGGGATATGGCGACGTGAAGCCTACCAGACTGAAGTGGATCACGCCCGGCAAAGTCGTATCTCGGGATCAGAAACACAAGAAGACTTTACGACGAAGAAATCAAGACGACTATGAGGAAATAACGGCAGAAATGATAAGGGAATTAACGCCGGTGGGAAGATATGCGCGTATAACAATTTCACCTCTTGAGATGAACGACGAAATCCAGGTTATCGCACAAGCCCTCGAATACTGCAGGTTTTCAATTTCCATGGTGATATACGTGGGATAAACCAGCTAATATCTGGGTAGTCAATTCCTGCATCTACACGGACCTAGCGCCAATCCATGATTTTGGCCAGAATCCTTATCTTTACCGGATTTCGATAAAGCATCTCCAAGCTGCGCATCTTAGCCCGGATTATCTGAAATATGGCATGCTGTGCATGATTATGAGCCACCGAGTCAACCAAACAAGCAATGCCCTTCAGCTCAAACCACTAATGCAGAAGTTCTACTTCTATTGGGGCCTCGCTGTCCGATCTTTGAATGAGTACCTCAACATGGAAGACAAGCGGGCCGGTAATACAATTATCGCGGGAATTTTGACACTTTTACTTGCAGACGTTAGTCAAATCTACCCCAGGACACATCAGAGTTGTTCGCTGTGCTTACATGACCAATTCTCAAATAGCTCCACCAAGGAAGGTCGCTCGATTGGCGATGCCATTTACGCGCAATATACAAACTGATCACGTTACGTGGCGGATTCTACGTACTATATAAGTCAATAAGCATGAAACCGTTGATGCTGTGCTTTTGGTTGTATGATACTCTATTCGAACTACTATTTATTGTTATAGTGAACTGACTCGAGGTATTTAGTATTGCAGTAATTGGGGACACTACATGTCCGGCTTCAGATCTCTTTATGGAACACTTACATGTTGAGGCTCTGAGTTTCCTACTTGAAAAGTACAACATAATGGCATCTCAAATTCATCTATGCCCGATGCAGCTGTTTCCCGAAATCTTCAAGATCAATCATCTACGCATGCAAGGTGCAAGGCCGGACCTTTTTGACGCCAAAGCCCTCCAGGAGGTGGCTTATGAAGTCTTGGAGCGCATCGACTCCTTTTCACCCCAGAAGTTGGCTGAGTCTAAAGACTCATGCCACGAAGACTGGATATTAGTGGGCAGGGCATATCAGGCTGCTGTTGCGCTATACTGCATCTTATCGCTGCAGAGCTTGTCAATTCTTCCTCAGTCTTCAGCCTTGAGAACGCAATGTGCCGAGCATGGAAAAACTTTGCAAATCCTTCTAAAAGAGGCACTCGCCAGCAAAAGGCTCAAGAGGTTCATGGTTTGGCCGTTGGTTGTACTTGGAGTAGAAGCGGTTCGTGGCGGTGAGGCAATGCGCACCTTTGTTGCTAACCAATTGGCGGGACTCAGCCACGATGCTGGCACTTATGTTCCACTAACAGCGAAACGAGCTCTTGAAGAGTTTTGGAGTTCTGGAGAAACTCGCTGGGATGATTGTTTCGATAGGCCGTACATCTTCACGCTGCAGATTGCTGTGGATACAAGCCGCCTCATGCCGCTGTATAAGTGATCCTCCAGGCATCTATAAAAAGCAGCGCCAATCTATTAATAATAAGTCTATCAGAATATATCAGAGTTTCACTAGACTGCCTGCGATATGCCTAACATTTACTTGACTCTTGCCCCTTTGCCGTCTACTCTTATCGCCGTATTCAGCTGCACTTGAAACTCTCGCCGTCAACTTCAACACGCGGCCAGAGTGGGTCTGAAAAGTGCTGCCGGGACCTAAAAGTCTTGGCACTTTTTTTCTCCTAATCAGGCAAAGCGCTAGTTGTATCAGGAACAGTTGGCTGCTCTATAGCCTCTCTTTTCCAAGCTTTGGCAGGTTGATAAAAGCCCTGAAGTCGCCATGATTCCTTTGTTTTACTCATTACTTTCTTCAGCTTCTTTAGTCGTTATTTCCTAGCAGTTCTTCCTTTCTTATTCTTCCATTCTCTCCTTCTTGTCGCCTACGACGGGTATCACGCTATTTACACATAGAACCACCACTTCCATCTATCATAATATATACACGCCATTCGACTTTTGCATTATTCGACTTTAACACTCTTCGCCTTTTCTATCCCTTTCTTTTTCTTTCTCAGCAATGGCAAGCGGAGATCCGGGTAAGAAGACCACATTCTCAACTTCACCATACAAATGCTCAACTAAGCATTCATAGTTCTGTGGAGCCTATACGTCTACGCTCCCAATCACGGAGCTCCAATCTTCTTTGCCATCGCCTTTGCTATTTCTGCCGTCTTTCATATTTGGCAATGCTTGTAAGCATATATACCTCTGTGGCAAATAAGGACTGGGAAGACTTATGACTTTAGTCAATATAAGGCATTTAGATTGGTCGGATTACAGTCTGCATGCGCTGTAGTATTCGTGGCAGGCTTTGTGAGTCGAGAGTACTCGTCGTACCACTACATCTACGAAGAAGATTCAAATGATGTTCTCATCCCCTTTATCCTTGGTCAAGTCTTCATATATGCATGCCCGTAAGTTAACGAATCTATTCTAAGCATGGACAATATTGAATGGCTAATGGATGTCGAACTGCAGGCCCCTTCTCGAGCTTTCGAATTACCATGTCCTCGGCCGCGTGTTTTTTTACGTTCCTCACTGCGCTCCACTGCCTGCTTCCAGTGTTCTCCGTATATTTGGAGGCCTCATGGCTATCGTCGAAGCCTTGAATGGCGTGGGAGCTTCTTTATCTTTTAATCCATCGGCGTCGCCTGGTACACAAACGCTTGGAAGCCACTTGATATTGGCAGTCCTCATCATACAACTCATAGTTATCACCATCTTCATCGGCATGACGTCTACTTTCCACGTCAGATGTATCAAAGCTTCGGTACCATCCAAAAATGTCTACACTCTGCTAGCGACGCTATACATGAGTATGACGCTAATCTTCATAAGATGCATCTATCGCCTGGTAGAACACACTGGCGATACAAAGGTAGATATCACTGACCTCGAGGCCCTTAAACAACTGAATCCTCTTTTGCGATACGAAGTCTACTTCTACATCTTCGAGGCCACTCTTATGCTTCTCAACTCTATACTATGGAATGTATGGAACGCAGGTCGCTTGTTGCCGGCAAACCCGCATATCTATCTGGCACAAGATGGAATTGAGGCCATGGTCGAAGTGCCACCGGATACTCGGCCGTTTTGGCAGAAAGCTGTGCACAGGTTCACATTTGGGGTGTTATATGGCGCAAAGAGTCCTGTTGTGAGACTTGAAGAGCTGACCGAGTACTCGAGAGACAGCGGAAATGAGCAAGCTGGAGCGCATATGCTTAAGTGATTACCTTGGCGTGAATCATAGTCTTGCGACGCATGGATCACTGTCCAATAATAGCTGAGTCGAAAGGGATTGTATCTGAAAGAGCCTGTTCGCTTAGGTTATTTATTAAAATATATAGACTTTCCTTTGTTCGTCTAAGTGATTTTATCATAATATTTTCTTTAGCCTTCTATTTTTTGTGTCAAATATCCCAAGTTGCCTTGGACATCGATGACCTGACGTCTTTATTCTGCCTTGAGTATTGTCAAAAGGTGATAAACTCTTGGTCAAGATGTCATTAGTGTCATTGTATGCTTTTTTCACTTTCTTCATTGATGACGTCCGACGCTATCTTAAGTACCATGCCGAGTGAATGAGGAGCCGTTTCAACAAATCCATTCTTTTGGTACAATTTTCTTCCGGGCCCGTCTGCCATCAGTGTGATGTAAGGAGCTCCGTCTTTAGGAGCTTTCTCTGAGATTTCCCATAGCAGCCTTTTCAAGATCTGGTCCCCCAAGCCCTTTCGTTGGTGCTGTGGGTGGATTGCCATGTCCGCTATGTGGAAGTACCATCCACCATCACCAATGATGCGACCCATTCCGATGGCTGAGCCATCTTCTTCCGAAGTTATAAAGCAGCCATACCAGCTACCTTTGGAGACTTCGATAGCTTGTGAAGCAGTTTTTGGTGAAAGGCCGGCGACTAAACGAAGGTTGAGATAATCCGGTACGGATGGGTACCCGTCTTGGATAACATACCCGGACGGCAAGGCCGAGGCGACAGAGGAGTTCACTATCGACGGTGTCAACTTTATGCTTTGGAAGATGAATAGATGGTTGACAGACTCGAAAATTGCTATTCAAAAGTTGGCTTTACCAGTTTCTCGGTTCGAGATGGGGGAGGTTTATATGTGAAGAGGACCAAGTTTCACGGTGGAGGTATGTCTCATTTATAGCTTCCTTGGCAAAATGCGGGGCCATCGTGAAATCCGATATTTGCGACAAAACCGAGATGTGCGATCAAATCCGCGATAAATGGCAAACCTCAACACCTTACAAATCAGAGTTGTATATGACTTCGGAAATCGATTGATAGGGAGACAAAATGGATAAAACTCTGAGTGTCTGTTCGAGAATGAAGAGGCTCAGGATCTCTTATTCTGCACATCTTAATGCGCTCTCTTTACCGGACTAGTAAGATTCGTTCTCCAAGATGTCACAACTTCAGTTCAAAGATGGAGAAACTTCCACCAAAGATGTTGCAAAGTCCATCAATGCAAATGTAGCATTGAATAGCAACTCCGGGTCGCCAACAGATATTGAAAAGTCTGTCGGAAAGGGTACTCATGCTACAAAGCCGGACAAGCAACGCTTCCCAGAAACAAATCTCAGCGAAGGCATCGTTGGCTGGGAAGGGCAAGATGACCCCGAGAACCCTCAAAACTTTCCGTCAAGTCGTAAATGGGGGTTGTTGGCGTTGATGGCCGGCATCACTTTCGTCTCGCCGCTCGCGTCCAGCATGCTGTCGCCCGCTACCGAGTATGTCGGGGCCGATTTCGGGGTCACCAATGAAGCTATACTTTCCTTTACTGTGAGCATCTACTTGCTAGGCTATGCAGTAAGTACCATCACGTCACAATATTAGAAGAGAAAGAGATACACTAGTGTACTGACTCAACATGCAGTTTGGTCCCCTCTTACTTGCGCCTCTAAGTGAGATCTACGGTCGTCGAATTGTTCTCAGCAGTGCAAACTGGTTCTTCGTTGTATGGCAAATCGGTTGCGCCAAAGCCCCGAATATTGCAAGTCTGATTGTGTTCCGGCTTCTTTGTGGTGTGGGCGGCTCTGGGTGTTTGACTCTGGGAGCCGGCGTTATCGCCGACCTTTTTCCCATCGAGAGCCGTGGCTTAGCAACATCTCTCTGGAGCATGGGACCTTTGCTGGGCCCTGTAGTAGGACCGATATGCGGAGGTTTCATGAGCGAGACTGTGGGCTGGCGCTGGGTGTTTTGGGTTCTCTTGATCGTTGGAGGAATCACCTCTGCTGGCATTGAGATTCTCAACCGCGAGACCTACGCTCCGGTACTCATTCAATGGAAAACGAAGCGCCTCGCGAATGAGCTTGGCAGAGAAGATCTCCGCAGCGTTTATGCAAAGGTGGGAGCCGATACATCTCTCTTGACCAAGCTGAGAGCCGGCATGATACGGCCAATTCTCTTGTTCTGCAAGTCTCCCATCGTCTTTCTTCTCTCAACATATCTGGCATTAGAGTACGGGCTACTCTATCTTTTCTTCACTACAATTCCTTCCGTGTTCAAGGACAAATATGGCTTCTCGACTGGTTTATCAGGGTTGGCCTACTTGGGCATTGGCATCGGCTTCATGGCTGGACTAATACTGACTGCCCTCACCAACGATCGGATAATGGCAAAAATGGCACGGCGGAACGGCGGCAAATTCGAACCGGAGATGAGGCTGCCAATGATGATCTTTTACGCCGCCTTTTGTCCCATCAGCTTCTTCTGGTACGGTTGGACGACCGACAAAGGCGTTCATTGGATTGTACCCATGATCGGAATGGTACCGTTCGGCTTCGGGTTGATGGGCTTATATCTCCCCATTCAGACGTACATCATCGATTCATACCCGACTCATGCGGCATCAGGCAGCGCTGCACTTGTCGCTTCTCGATCGCTACTGGGCGCTCTGCTTCCACTTGCTGGTCCAAGGCTCTTTGCATCACTCGGTCTTGGGTGGGGAAATTCTTTGCTGGGCTTCATTTCAATAGCATTCATTCCCGTACCCATCATCTTTTCTAGATACGGAAAAACCATCCGTGAAAAGTATCCGGTACAGCTTTAAGTGGCTGTATTTGACGAACTGGTAGCTTGCATAACCATCCACCAAATCAGAGTTGCTCGTCAACCACCACAGTACCTCACACGCCCAACATCAAATCAGCAAATCTGCCTAAGGTCTGTTTTTTGATTCAGTATTCAGGTTTCAAATCGGATCCTTCTGTTTCTTTTATCATCATTTCTACTTTATATGCGTTATTACTGAATAATAGACTGGCAAAACATCCATTAATATCGCATTGCGATTATGTATCTACATTCTTCTCCGATATATCGTTTTTAGACGCCTTACGAGCTCTTTTCCCTTCATTAACGCATTATATTTCTGATAGACTCAATCGCATGTTCTGGTATCGAGAAGATGCATTTCATGATCCCAAAGAGTCTATAACTCAGTTTGTTAGTGGTTCATCGTGTATGATATAATGCGACTTTTTTAAAATTCAGCGTGTGGAGTATTGCTTACCCAGTCAAATAAATCTTCCATCGTATCAATGCTAAGCAGCTCATAGATGGCATTTTGTGAAGCAGTAAACTCTTCATCTTCCATATCATGTGTAGGACAAAGCTCTTGAGGCATTGTGTCTGAGATACAAAAGTCCATCTGCCGCGAAGCAATGGCTTCATCTGTACCTCGATTTCCTTTACAGATGCCTAGTCGACGCAACATCACGACCAGAATCTTGGTAGCTGTATCAAACTCCAAAGATATCCTTGGAGCGCTCTTCCAGCTCGCATGCAAATTTTTCAGTAGCTGGACTAGCCGGTCAGAGTCCACAGGAATCGCTGATCCCTCTGCTTCCCTCCGATACACCAGCTCTAGACATACAACCATTGCAGCCGTAAGCCCATCAGAAACACAACGAGAGGCCTGAAACCAGACTTTATGGCGGTTCGAAGTTTTACGCGAATATACCTGGAATATCTCGTTTTCTAGCTCCAGTATTCGTTCTGCTGCAGAAACGCACGTCTCTCGAAAAAATTGCGTTTGGAAGTCCGTTGATCTCTTCGTGAGGAATGGTCGATGTAGGACACAGCAAGTACGCTGATACGTCATCTCCAGATTAGATCTCCAAATGGCCATTTTCTCATCTGTGATCGACGACCCAGTTGCTGCAATGCGAAGAACCGTGGGGATACTATCTCTGATAGCATTTAATTGTCCGCATAGACTGGCCACTTTCTCAGGCTGGGATGCGAGATCAGGTGCCAAATCCGCAATATCGGCAGCCATGGATAATATCGCATTCATTTTTTCCATATATATGATTCTGTTGCAGGCCCTGGTAGCGATTCGGGCTGATGGCAGCTCTAGAGTGAAGGGGCCAAAGTCTTCATCCAGTAGATTTTGAGGACGTTTTGCATCCCCTAGTCCGCTGGGAACTACCCGGGGCAGCCCAGTCTCATACGCTACGACACAGTCTGTCACCAAAAGCGTGAGCCATGCTCTTCGACGCATTTCTGCCTCGAAAATGGTAATCTGGTTGTGGATTTGAGTGTCACGATGATAACCACTGACGATGGCCAGTCGTGATACAAGTCCTAGCAAAACAGAGACATCAGTTTTCAGATTATCGGTCCGCTCGTATTCCATTCCCAGATAAACAACAGCCGCCTCAACCTTGTATTTTCCAGGAATCGCCATATCAGATTTCGCCAAGAAAGCCGCGCTTTGAATACGATAAAACTCAAAATCACTGGGCAGACTCAAGCCTGCCACATTGGAGTCGGTGGTATGGTCCATCCATATGCTGCAGCATAGAATCCCATAGAGTAGCGACAACCAGGCTGGGGGGAAGCTTTCGGGATTTTCCCAGAATTCCAAATACTGTCAAAAGTTAGCAAGAGTGGTATTGTACGTAGCTGGGTTAATACCTCTTGTTTGAAAGTTGGAGCGTGTAAAGTAACTGTTGAAATTGCCCAAATTAGATAATCAAACTGACCGGTATAATTGGATGTAGTCTTACTCAGAAATGGTTCCATAGAATCCAGACAACGATACACAAGCGCATCAGCTGTTTCTCGCGGTGGTAACTTTCCGAGATGCTCCATGAATAACGTGTCTTTGAAAAAACCTGTGAGCAGCGCGGGGCCTTGACAACTTCTTTGTTGCTTATTTTCTATGCCGTCTTCAATGTTGATATTACATTTTTCAAGCTCCACAGTCTAAATGTAAGTTAGCAAACCCCAAGGCTGTAGAGAGAGCGTGAATGGAACTCCATTTACAAAAGACAACTAACAGCGTCATTCATGATGGCCAACCAATGGCTTTTATTCGTAAAGAGGGTGGCATTAGTTGTCGATGGCGATATATCACGTTGAGAAGCCGAATCGAGCAAAGGTTTCGAACCCACTCGACATGATATTGTATCGGAGCCACTGCGTTGTGTGGTAGGACAAGGCAGCTCAGAATCTCGGAGTTCGGTCCAAGATGCATTTTTCTTGGATATTTTATCTTCTAAATGCCGCAGTCTTCCATCAAATGAACGTAAACGGTCGTCAACCAGGAAGCGATCGTTAACTGTGGAACTGCCTGCAATATTCGCTGGAGCCGGCCTTTCACGGCCGTAGGTGCAAGATGCTTCCCGATGTCGCTTCACGCACGTTGCGCAGGGTTTTCTCCGGTCGCATTTCAACCTTGAATAGATTAATATCACGAGTTATATTCAAGTTCCTATATTAGAAATGGCTCTTTCATACTTGTCTTTTCTGCAGGTGTTGCAAGACAGCAGCACTCGTGGCTTTTGGTGTCTTCGTTTCCGAGGCTTTTGGGAATTTTGAGATAACTGAGGCTCCATTAGATGCAAGGTATAGAGCATTCGTGTAACACCCGGAAATACGCGTCTAAGGTTATTTTATTTTTCTTCTTTGCCAAGAGTCAGATTCACGCATCGTACTACTGGCAGTTGAAACATCCAAACCCACGACGCTTATTGGATTATCGGAAATCTCGGAGATCTCGGGTGCTATTTGTCATGGCGCGTCATTGGCCTAGGCAGAGTGAGAGAATAGACAGCCCGATTCTTGCTAATTCTTGTACGCGTACCAGTCACATTACATTAGGCACTGATCACCTCAGTTGAGCGTGGTATGACTATTGATAGAAAGTCCTGACGAGCCTTGTTTTAATTCTTTCATCGATATTCTGTAGAGACTGTTCAAGCGCCCGTACTAGCTAGGTACACATTTAGTTTTAGAATAGGCGACAAAAAAAACGCAAAATGAGCAAAGCATTAAGCTCAGCAGAATGAGATTGCGACCGACGTGCTCTTTTGGATTGTCGCGAAATTCAGCGTAACTTATCGCCGCAAAATGAACCATTGATGAAAAGGTCGTTACACAAAGAGCTAGACCGCTACAGTTTGAACATCCTCCGACCTTGCAGAAAGGATAGGCCAGGACCTGAGCAATGATAGTAATGTATACCGGGCTAAAAACGATGTTTAGTTTCAAAATCTCTTCGAGCTTAGAAGGTACAAGAGTAGGTACCGGATTTTGTCTTTGCCATATGCATAAAATGCATCTACAAACGCGGTTCTTGCTCGTGCAGCTGGAGTCGTTGGCTCATTGTGAGGAATGGTTGGGGGCGCATCGCAAGAGTGTTTATGTTTTGATATGGACTCGTCCACAGGCGGGCTGGCTTGTCGTAATTGTTTGGTCATCTGGATTTCTTGTTGATTTATTCTTATCGTAAACTGAATAGCAAGGTCCCTCGGGGATAGTAATATAACAGAAACCTAGATTTAACGACTGCTTGTTGAGGGTTGAGAATTCTGAGGCTGCCGTGAGCTATGACCTCGCTCAGGATCGGCCGCCTGCTTATAAGCACGCTATTGCACAAGCAAGGGCAAACAAAATGTGACCTAAACAGGCAATACCATTGCCTTAATAGCACTTGCTGGCAATGAACCGCAATTGTCAGAGGCAGCCAATGTGCACAGCCCCAAACATAGTCTACATACGTGACAAGTAGTTAGCCATCTAGAATTTTCTGCTTAAACTCTTAGTGTAGGAATGATGCTCATAAATAAGCATAATATTATCGCCGAGACTCTAATACCTGCCTTCTCTAAACAGAGATGTAGCGTTAAAGCTCTGTTCAGGCTGGTTCTAGATCGAGAAAGTGAAGTGACCACGCGGAGTGGATTACATTCATGCATTTAGTATTAAAACGACGCAATAATTTAATGAAGTACAGCAGCTGAGAACGAATTGTTGTTTCAATGTTGGGCTTCACTTTGAGAATGGCTAGATTATCAATGAAGCGCAAAGCTGACTTGATGTTTCTTCAGGCACTTGATCTTACATAGATTAAATAAGTACGCGACGCATCACCATGACAGGACAATATCTCAGGCATTTTGGCAAAAGCAAACTTGAGCTGTTTCTTTACAAAATGGCTTTTTTTACCATTTATTTCCTCTCTCCTTGAACCTCCTCTGAAGGCCACTCTCCGCCATCCATACACCACGGCATGTTCTTGAGTTGCCAAACAAAAAGAAGACAATTAAGCATCCTAGAACTTCTTGGCCCACTTCAAGTCTTTAAAGTCTGCAGGGCTGGCAACACGCACCCGCGAGCCGCGAATCTCAGGATTAGAAAGGATACCCTCATAGACAGAAGCAAACTCAGTGCTGCTTGAGACGCCATGCGCTGTAGCATCCTCATCGACCTCAACCCGGAACATCAAATACACCTCATTAACGCGCACATTTGTTTTCTCATTCTCGCGGGAGGCTGCTGTGGTCATGGAGAATAGAGGGCCTTGTGTCATAGCCGGCAGCCCAAAGATGGCGAGTTCGCCCTGCGCGCCCGTGCAGATAGTCCATGTGCTGTCTGAGTGGTTTTGCTCGTATAGATACTCGATTGTGTCTCGATAGGCAACTGTAGCATCAATCGCGTTAGAGATGAATGTTAAGTATGCTTATTACTGGTCCTACAAAAGTTGGCTTCGAAGCCCATGTTCATGTTCTTACGAAGCCTCTCAGTTGTGATATCTTTGAGAGCAACATTGGTGTATTCACCACCCACTGGATAGTAATTGTTAGCAAGACAGGAATTGAAATTTTCATCTTGAACGAATTAAACTAACCGCAAGTATATACGTGCTGGAAGGCTGGTAGCTTGCCAGCTTTAACCTGGTCAACTACACTCTTGACTCCTGTCTCAGATGTAACATCGGCTTCAACAACCGTAATGCCCTCAGATGTTCCCGCATGTTTGTAAAGCTTGTTAGCCGAAGCCTGGTTACGGACTATAGCCAGAACCTGGCGTCCAGAGTGTAGGGCACCCTTGACGGCGGACACGCCAATGTTGCCAGTGGCTCCAATTACAAGCACACGCTCGGTCATGATGAATGAGATTTGGGAATCAAATGTTGCGTTTTCGAGATTGAGAGACTGGTGGGTAATAGCGAGTGGTTACTGCGACTTTCCTCAATTAAATGCATGATCAACCCTCAGTAAATAAATCCTATCTATTCTCTCTTCCAGTTTCACAAGTTCTTTACTTGGCAATTACGGTAAACAACGAAGTCCGAGCAGAGGACGAATGGATGCAGTCGAGAAAGAGAAACACAATTCGGTATTTCGACAAGCCCGAGCGCCGCGCAGATTACAACATCGGGAGATCGCCTGCCGATAGAAGTGGATACCCCGAACAGTTTGAATCAGGCGACAATGGCCTGCCCTGATGCCTCTCATTGGGTGCGTCAGGATATTCTGTAACTGCATAGCCTGCGCACTCTTGGCAAGATTGTATTCCTGTTCGGTAGCCTCTTGACGAGTCATTCCGATATATGCGCCACAAACCTTACGCATAGTGCCATGACCTAACAACATGAAGGCGGCATGGTTCTTGATCCTTCGCCTCAATCAGGTTGTGTGTATTTATAATGTACTAGCCACTGTACTGCACAATTACTAATTCTATTAACAGAAACGGCATCAACTCACAGCTTGCAATGACAATCGAGGACTTAGAAAAAATTAAAGCATCGGCCGAGAGCGGGTTGAAGCTGCTAGCGGCGTGGAGAAGTTCAGCAATCCACACTCAATGAAGGGTAGAAAGCGGCAAAAAAAGGCAACCGACCACATGGTATTACTGCTACCTCCAACGTTAGTATTGCCCAGCGTCGTCTTTCTCTTAATGTTTAGATACACTTTTGCGTATCGGACTCGGGTGTCGGCAGCCAAAACCTCCGACAAGTGCTATCACAAGTGAAACGTCCTATTCGCCCTCGGCCAGCCTGGACTTAACAGCGGATATTAGCGCTATGTCCAAGCTTGGTAATAGCGGGTTGAGTATGAAAGAAGTAAACATATAGCACGTTAATTTGTATATAAATGAAAGTGAAGACTTCTTTATGTTTCACTGCATCCAAACATCTTCTCCAACTCAACCTGAACAACCCAAAAGAGGAAAGAAAAGCATATCCACAACCATGTCGAACCCCAGCGTAATCATCTTTGGCGCCACTGGCAGCATTGGCTCTATAGCTGCTCGAGTGGCCAATGAGCAAGGAGCCAAAGTCTTCCTCGCCTTGCGAGATGTTAACAAACCCATTCCCGGACTCAGCCCCGATGAAGAGCGAGAGCGTGGATTCGAACGACTACAAGCCGACCTCACGGACGCGGAGAGCATCAAGGCTGCCGTGGTCAAATCAGGCGCCAAACGCGCCTTTATCTACTTGATGTTTGGAGTGACAGATGGCATGCGCCCAGTCATCGAGGCACTGAAGTCTGCTGGCATCGAGTTCGTTGTCTTCCTCAGCAGCTCGAGCGTTACAGTCGAAAGCACCAACAAAGGAGACGACCTCACGACCGTGCCGCCGTCCGACTTCATCGCCTTCTCCCACGCTCAAGTAGAGATTAACCTCCAAAACACATTCGGCAAAGGCGGCTACGTGGCTGTGCGGCCTTCTTATTTCGCGACCAACACATTACAATGGCGCTCCATGGTCCGCACTGGCGAGGTGAAGCTGGTGGCACCAAACGTGTCTTTTGACTACATCGCGTCGTCCGACATCAGCCGCGTATGTGCGGGATTCCTCGTTCGTGGCCCAAAGTCTCCTGATGGCTCGCCCAGCCCGGCATTCGTAACGCTGTGTGGACCGCAACTGCTGTCTCAGAAAGACGCTCTGGCTGCCATAGGCAAAGCTCTCGGCAAGGAGCTCACACTCAAGGGCGTGGATCAAGAGGAAGAGGGCATCGAGGTGTTCAAGGCCAATGGGATCCCGGAGAATATTGCCAGAGACCTTGTGAGGAAGCTGATTTCTAGATCGAAAGGCAACGATCGTCTCTATGCGGACGACCTTTATGCGGAAGCAGTCGCTAATGTGGAAAAGTATGGCGGACAGCCTGCCACAGGCTTTGCTCAATGGGCAAGTGAGAATAAAGAGCAATTCCTGTAAGGATATGTGAAAGAACAATAATTTAAATAAAGCAACTATTAAGCTTATATATGGATAAATCTTGTCTTGGATTCCACTTCATCGCAAACAATTCTTGCCCGCTTGAAGTTTGTCGCAACTGGGCTCAAGCTCTCAGGAATGACTCGTTATATACGAATAAAATGTCTGTAATCGAAAGCGGCTCTACGCTGCCACGTCTGACGCAATGCTTATGAGACTTGCCACAATCCTAGCAATGGACCCTGGTGGTGTCCGTCGGAGATTTCAGCCCTATTTTCAGGTCCTCAGCCCCACGACGACAAAGCGAATCAGGTAGGCAAGGGATGCTGGATCTGGTCAGCCATCGCTGGACCCCACTTGAGAATAGTAATCATAAAGGCACAGCAAATGTTGACTGCCGCGTAAGTTTGGCGATATCCGCGACTACCGATCCCAGTGTATTGGATGATACGGAACTTTTCACTGTTTAATGCAAATGTTGCGATGGGAGTAGTACTTAAAGGAGACGTTTGAAGCTCTTATACAATAATCATATATCTCTAAACAACATCCTTCAGCGACAAAAAGCGATAAGGACGACCATATTACTCGTTCTTTTTATGAATTAGCGCAGAGTCTTATCACTCCAGACTCAAGAAAAGGTAGATGTGAGAATATCTGGCTCTTATCATATAGAAATCCGGAATTATCCTTCCCAGAGATCCTCTATCTCTTGGCAAAAGAAATTAAATGGTTATATTCTCCAAACCCAGGTATAGTACCTTGTCACCTCGGGGTAAGGCAGTGTCGCACGCTTCCGAGATCTATTGATACAATGCAGAACGGATATTTTTTCTATATCGCTTCTATTTATAGCAATATTTTCGGACATTTCGGACAGTCATTATCGTGAAGATAAAGCATGGAATAGGATTCATGCAGCCCTTCGGACGCTTCATATCAATATAGATAGAAAGAGTGTAGTTTATGTGTGACTTGAAGTACATTAGTACGTCCAGTACAAACGAGCCGCGGTACTCTGATTCGCTGTGCCAAGATTTTCGTGCAACAAGGCATTATCGTTGATCCTGCTCTAGTATGGTTCTGAGGGGGGCCAAGTGATCACGTTCTTCGGTCCTCTTATGAAACAATCCCAGCGATTAACTCTCCGTCTTGTTTATAACTCGGAGCTCCATGAATTTTGCGGAATCATGGAGGCGGTAAAGAAGTTACACTGAATTAATATAATGCTGATGGGGGCTAGAAGAGCAAGTTCTTCGGAGCAACTAACTAACCGACATAATAAAAGTAAAGATAGCGGCTATACAATATAGTAGCTGATGTTCTGCTATATAAACACCAATGCCGCTTTCTTTTCTTCCAAATATATGTACACAACGCCATAGCTCCAGACAATACTTTTACTTCATCGAGACCACCGCCATTATTATAGTCATTTCTCGAGGAAACAACACCAGCTATGTCAGATGTTACCCCTTCATCAGATTCAGCTTCAGCTCCCTCACTCATTCACTCGAGAGAGCTGAAGCTTGTCTTCTTCAGCAACGAGTTTCCCCACGACGACAGAAAGACGTTAATAAGGCGTCTCGTCGCCCACAGTAAAGGCAAGCAGTATCCTATTCTTGCGCGGTTCATCCATGAAGCCACATTGGCTCTTCGTGAAGAGGTTCGCCAGCTCCCTACACATTTTCGGGAGCTGATTCCTCATTTTGAGTGCATCTTTGACCTGGCCGACGAGGCAAAGCACATCAAGGGGCCATTCGGTTGCTCCATTGACGAGGTTCTGCTCTGCGCTGTGCAGTTGGCCACATTCATCGGCTACTACGAGGATGGAAAAGACAGTTATGACTTCCACAGCGTGGATGCCTGCCTGGCTGGACTGGGCGCCGGACTTTTGATGACGGCAGCAGTGTCTCTTGCCCCAACACTTGGCGATATACCTGTTGTTGGAGCCGAGGTGATTCGTGTAGCCTTCCGACTGGTTGTTCTTGTCGATCAAGTATCACAGAACTTACAGCCAAAGCCCGCTGAGGGTACCGGGGATAGCTGGGCCTATATAGTGCCGGGAGTTGGGGCTGAAGATGCTCATAAGGAGCTTGATGCCTTTCATGCAGTCGAGGTATGTTGTCAGCTTCCAGTTCCACTCTGTTTACTCCTCCGAGCAATCGCTAACATGAGATATCTAGCTTACCCCAGAGGCCAGCAAAATCTTCATCAGCGCCATAAGCCGTGCCTCTGTAATCGTCAGCGGCCCACCAGCACGGCTTAAGCACCTCTTTTCCGTGTCCAACTTCTTCCGAAGCCGCGACTGGTCGATGATGCAGGTATACGGCGGCCTGGGCCACGCACCTCACGTATTCAACTCTGTGCATACCGACCAGGTCGTGGACATTCCATCAATGAAGTTGCTGGATGCGCGCTACTCACCTGGCGTTCCCGTCTTTTCCATATCAACGGGCGAGCCGTTCTCAGTCAGCAGTGCCAGCGAGCTGTTCCGGAACATAATCGATGACCTTCTCGTAGGGCTCATCCAGTTCGACAAGGTTATCGAGGGTATCCTGCGAAAAGCAAAATACTTGGAAGCGATAGAATGCCAGATTCTCATTTTTCGTACATCATTCCCCGTGCGAGATCTGCTCAAGGCAATTCAGGAGCAAGAACAGCAAGGCTTGAGCATTCTACGAGCCTCGGTGCGGGACTTGATTCCGTGGGTGAGTGAGGCTGCAACACCACAAACGACTCGAGACACCTCGCAGTCCAATATTGCCATTGTGGGAATGGCATGCCGATTGCCCGCAGGGGCAACTGATACGGACAAGTTCTGGGATATCCTAGACGCTGGGCTGGATGTCCACCGTAAGATTCCGGCAGATCGCTTCAACGTCGATACGCATTACGATCCTACAGGGAAACGCATGAACACAAGCTTTACGCCGTACGGCTGCTTCATCGACGGTCCAGGCCTCTTCGATGCGCCCTTCTTCAACATGTCGCCCCGTGAAGCTCAACAGACCGATCCAATGCAGCGATTGGTCATTGCCACGGCCTATGAGGCTCTTGAGCGTGCCGGCTACGTCGCAAACCGTACCGAATCGTCAAAGCTGGAGCGTGTGGGCTCTTTCTATGGACAAGCTAGCGATGATTACCATGAGGTCAACTCAGGTCAGGAAATCGGCACCTACTTTGTAACAGGAGGATGTCGAGCCTTTGGGCCGGGACGAATCAACTACTTCTTCAAGTTTGCTGGCCCCAGCTACAGCGTCGATACTGCCTGTTCATCCGGTTTGGCGACTATTCACGTATGTCAAGTTGTTTCTTTTTCGCTCTCTAATGTAGACAGATGCTGATCTTCTCTCTTGGACTAGCTTGCGTGCAACTCTCTCTGGAACGGCGACACAGACATGGCAGTGGCCGGCGGTACAAACGTACTCACCAACTCAGACGGCTTTGCTGGACTGAGTAACGGCCACTTCTTATCCAAGACCCCCAACGCGTGCAAGACGTGGGACAGCGAGGCCGACGGATATTGCCGCGCGGATGGTGTAGTTTCATTGGTGCTGAAGAGACTCGAAGATGCCGAGGCCGACAACGACAACATCCTCGGTGTGATTCTCGCTGCAGGAACCAATCATTCGGCTGAGGCGGTCTCCATTACGCATCCCCATGCTGGCCATCAAGCTGATCTCACCCGAGCCTTACTGCGCAAAGCCGCCGTGGATCCGCTGGATATCAGCTACATTGAAATGCATGGTACTGGAACACAAGCTGGCGATGCGCAGGAGTTCCAGTCAGTCTGCAACGTCTTTGCACCCCTGACAACACGCCGTCGTTCGTCAAAGCAGCCACTCTATATCGGCGCCGTCAAGTCCAATATCGGGCATGGTGAGGCGGTGGCGGGCACAACAGCACTGCTCAAAGTGCTGTTGATGTTCCAAAAGGGGGCCATACCGAAGCACGTCGGCATAAAAGGCGTGATCAACCCAAGCTTCCCCAGCGATCAGGAGATGCAGCGCAGAAACCTTCATATTCCCTACGAAAAAGTGTCATGGCAGCGCAATACCGAGCGCAAGCGCGTTGTCGTCGTCAACAACTTCGGGGCATCTGGCGGCAACTCCAGCCTCATCATCGAGGAGCCACCGTTACGAGAGAGGGCAGGGAAGAATGATCCCCGTGCAGCCCACCTCATCGTGGTCTCAGCCAAGGGCAAAGTCTCGCTCAGGGCCAACCTGGAACGCCTGGTCGCTTACCTAGACGCGCATCCGGATGTTTCAATGGCTGATCTCGCTTATACTACAACAGCCCGGCGTCAGCATCACAACCACCGCGCAGCCATTTCTGTGCCCGTATCGTCGCCAGACGGCATGGTGTCTACCTTGAAAAAGCAACTTGTCGCGCACATTGAGTCAGCGGATACACACAAGCCTATTCCCCATACAGGTCCCCCGCGAGTGGTGTTTGCATTTACTGGTCAAGGGGCTTCCCACCGATCAATGGACCTTGGGCTGTTCCGTGAGTCTCCAGTCTTTCGCGAACAAATTCTCCATCTCGACTCGTTGGTCCAAGGCCAGGGCTTTCCATCGATCATCCCCGTCATCGACGGCAGTTATTCACAGGACCATGCGCATTCCCCAATCAGGACACATCTCGCCCTTGTCTGCATCGAAATTGCGCTCGCCAAGTATTGGAACTCGCTCGGGGTATATCCTAATGTAGTTGTCGGCCACAGCCTGGGCGAGTATGCTGCATTACATGTTGCTGGTGTTCTCTCAGCCGCGGATACCATCTTCCTGGTTGGCAGCCGCGCCATCTTCTTGGAGCAGAAGTGTACGAGCGGCAGCCATAAGATGTTGGCTGTGAAAGCACCTCTTGATACGATAAGCGAGATAGCTAAAGCCAAAGATCTGCCCTTTGAAGTCTCATGTATCAATGGACCAAGTGACACGGTCCTCAGCGGACCCAGGGCTGATATGGACGCCTTGGCGGCTGCTCTGCAGGAATCTGGCCCAGATGGTCCCGGACTCAAGTGCTCTCTTTTGGATATAGCCTTTGCTTTCCACTCCTCCCAGACAGACTCAATGTTGGATGAATATGAGGATTTGGCAAGCAAAGGCGTGATTTACCATGCACCCACCATTCCCATCATATCGCCGCTGCTGGGCCGCTGTATCTTTGACGAAAAGGTAATCAATGCGAATTATCTGCGACGTGCAGCTCGTGAGCCTGTCCATTTCGTCGCCGGCATCAAGGCTGCGCACCACGCTGGATTAATTGACGAGTCCATGGCGTGGGTTGAGATTGGCCCTCATCCCGTATGCCTCGGCCTGGCTCGCAGCATCTTGGCCGATTCATTCTCTCTGCCAGTGGCTGCACCGTCCATGCGACGGAGCGAAGACGACTGGAAGACACTGAGTCACTCGCTGGGCCTCCTGTATAGTGCTGGTGTGCCGCTGCGCTTTGATGAGTTCCATCGTCCATTCGAGCATTTGCTGCGCCTCTTGGATCTGCCAACGTATGCATGGAACGACAAGAATTACTGGCTCCAGTATAATGGCGATTGGGCTCTCTCCAAGGGCAATACTTTCTATGACGAAGAGAAGAAACAGCTGCTGCTACAAGAGCAGACGAGAACCACTCAGACGCTCCCACGCTCTAGCCTTAGAACGTCGCTAGTCCATGAAGTTGTAGAAGAGACGTTTGATGGCTCTGCCGGCCGCGTTGTTGTGCACTCTGATTTAGTGCAGCCTGATTTCCTGAAAGCTGCGCGTGGCCATCAGATGAACGGAGCAGGCGTAGTCACTTCGGTAAGTACACAATCATGAATGTCCTGTTATCGAAATGGGAGATGCTAACATTGCTGTTCCACAACTTGTAGTCTATCCACGCAGACATTGCCTTCACCCTTGGCAAATACCTCTATGAGAACCTGCGACCACAGGCAAAGGTGGGAGGTGCTGCCATCGACATGGAAGTGTACAATATGTCTGTACGCGAGGGCATAGTAGCGCAGAAGAATACAAATGTGCCGCAGATGATCCAGGTGTCCATCTCTACCTCCAACATTGACTCAGGGGTAGCCGGCCTCGAGTGGCATAACCTCGCATCTGATGCTTCCGCGCTCGCTGATGAAGAGCCCATAGTGACGGCCCAGATCCGCTACGGGTCTTCAGCCGACAATCTTGTCAGCTGGATGCCGATGACGCATCTGGTAAAAAGCCGCATCGACGCCCTTCAAGACCTCGCTGAGAAGGGCATAGCAAACCGGCTGTCTCACAGTATGGCATATCTCCTCTTCTCCAACAACCTGGTCCACTACGCAGACGAGTACCGGGGCATGCAGTCGGTGGTGATGCACGAACTCGAGGGCTTTGCCGAGGTGACGCTCACGTCCAAGTCCAGCGGCGTTTGGACTGTTCCGCCATTCTTCATCGACAGCGTTGCCCACTTGGCGGGTTTCGTAATGAACGTGTCCGACGCCATAGACACTCGCGCCAACTTTTGCGTCACCCCTGGCTGTGGCTCGTTGCGTATCGCTCGCCCACTCGTTGCCGGAGCCAAGTATCAATCCTATGTCATGATGATTCCGACTACTGAGGACCCAACCGTCTATCTGGGCGATGTTTACATCTTGCAGGAGGGCGAGATCATTGGCCTTGCTCGGGCCATCAAATTCCGACGCTATCCTCGAGTGCTTCTCAACCGATTCTTTTCGCCGCCTGACATTAAGAACGGCGGCAGTGTCACCACTAAAGCCCATAGTACAGTATCAAAGCCTGTCGTGTCTAAACCTGTCATATCGAAGCCGGCGGTGACGAAATATGACAAGTCAAAACCTGACGTCGCTGTTACCAAGGTTGTCGTGACAGAAGTCAAGTTGGACCACGAAAAGGAGCAGTCGCTAGACATACCAGTACAGACGCCAATAGTCGTTGCTCACGCCTCCGTCCCTATGCCAATCCCCATCTCTGCGGTGGCTCCAGTTATGGCGGCGCCACCCGCGGCGGACAGCACGGCCAGTAAAGCCATGGCGCTTCTAGCCGACGAATCGGGCCTTGATCCAGCTGATCTAACCGACGACGCCAACTTTATGCATCTAGGGGTTGACAGCCTGATGAGCCTCGTCATTGCTGAGAAGTTTCGGGAGGAGCTCGGCGTTGTGGTAAATGGCAGCTTATTCTTGGAGTACCAGACGGTAGGAGACTTGCGTGCGTGGTTGGTAGAGTACTACAGCTAAAGTAAAGAGTGTTTTGTAAGAGTGAGAAAGTGTTCTCTATTAGTTATACATGTAAATGCTGTTGTGCGTTTGTTTGCTTCTTTTGTCGCTTTGGCCTTGGGTGTTTACCATTGGTAGATATGTAGGGTGAGAAGTCCGAAGTAGTTGTGTAACAATAAAAGCGAGTGTAATTGTAAACCTTTATGTTTTCCGAAATTTGGACAGTGTTTATGGTTCTAGCCTTGCTCAGCTTTAGTAAGAGTGCAAATTGAAGTGTAGTTCAAGCTCGCGGGACAACTCTTGTCAGTTCTTTCTCACCATTTAGCGTACATATAGATCATAATCTCATTTCTACATGCAGCAGCAGGAGTAGCAGGATCAACAGTGACAATAGTCGCAGCAGGAGCAATACATTTGAAAGCTATATCTGAAGCGCTGAGTAACAAATGTGGGTGCTGGAAAGCTTTCTTCCGGTCTTAAAACTTCTAAATAAGAATTGAAAAAAAAAAAAAAAAAAAAGAAGAAATGGAAATCACGTAAAGATGATATAAATGAGAATGTTTTAGAAAAGAGAAAATAGGAGCAAGCTAGTTAAATAAGAAAAAGGCCGAATTAGATCTTTGGGCTTGTGCCCCCCATCGAATGTTCTTTTATATAATATCCCGCGCGCGCATCGTTCACTTCCTTTAAAATCTGGAAACACCTTTCTCGTCACGGAAATGCCTCCCATACCTATGCAATCATGCTCTGATGAAAGTTTAGAAGATTTCTGACGTTTAAGCGACCTCTGGTGCTTGTGATGGGCTGCGTCCCTTGGGCGCTTGCGTCTCATCTATCTCTGACGATGTAGAAGCGGTAACAGCCACATCCTCATTTGCACTCGGTTGCAAAGTTCTCCGTTCATCATTGCAAGTCTCGTGAGAATCGCCTGTGGCTGCCAAGCTGACTTGAGCCGAAACAGCCGCTGCACTCTTTAGATCTACATCGCCATCTTTGTTGCTGAATGATGTCGATGCTTTCTTGCTCTCGGAAAAGCTGTGACTCTCTGGGGATGGTTTGTTGCCTGGTTCGACCTGTGGCTCTGGAACAGTTTCGTCCTCTGAGAGAGCTTCATCTTCTGGAGCAGCTTCATCTTCCAGAATAGCTTTATCCACTGGAACAACTTTGTCTTCAGAAACAGTTTTGTCCTCGGAGTCAGATTTGTCCTCGGAGTCAGATTTGTCCTCAGAGACAGTTTCATCCTCTGGGAGAGCTTTATTCGCTGAGACAGCTGCGTCTTCTAGAACAGCTTCATCCTCTGGGATAGCCTCATCCCCTGGGTCGTAGAGTTCTACGACTTGAGCTGTCGGCGAGTCATCGCTCTTGCGGTCCGTCATCTTCTCCTCGTTAGTTGGTCCGGATTCCACAATTGACTCGTCTGTGCTAGCTTCGCTTGCTGGCTTCCCATCACAAATTTTCGTCTCTTTTGACTTCTGTTCTGCCTCAATTTTGCTTAATTCGGACAGAATCCACTCAACTCTGTGCTGGTGGTAGACCACTCTTGCCTTGGCCTCCTGATATTTCTGCTCACGAGCACGAGTCGCTCTAGAGAGGGCTGGATTTGGTAGCGAAATCTTTTCTTCTTGTTCTGCATGCTCCTGATTCACCCGTGTCTTGGACTGCTTCTGTCTTTTTGCTGTCTGTCCATGTGTCTCTTTCTGGTCGTCAGTCGCTGTCGCATCTCCCTCGATTCTATAGCCTCGCTTGTGCTGAGATGCAGTACTTGTAGCAGAAGGCGCCATCACTTCTGCCTTTGCAGGCTCCTCCCGCTCAGCTACAGGCTCGGGGCGCATCCTCTGGGTAGATTCAGTAACCAGGTGGAGTTGATGGCATTCGAACCCGAGATACTCGACAAACGTTGTCCACTGGTCTTGCTTTTTCAGGTCAAGATGCAGCTGAAAGGGTTGGGCGAATCCGTACTGTTCAAGAAGCTTCTTCAAGACGTGGTTATACTCAACAATGGCAGCTTTTGCTTCATCGTCAGTATCATATCGCTGTGGGTGTGATGGGCCATGTTCGCGCTCCCATAGGCCGCGTTGCACCTGTTCGTATCTAACCCCGTATATATACTTTTTAGCTCTACCCTGCATATGCGCGTGACGTCGTTTCTGTTCGAGATATTCAGAAAACTCAAGTATGCGTCCTCTGTGCCAGAGTTGCGCGGCGCCAAACTCTTGCCAGCGAAGCAACTGCCTATGGAATACTTCCCAGTCGGTAGGGTGCGTTGAATTTGGATACAGCCTCCACGGCCGTAGTAAGTCGTGATATTCGTCCACGTTTGCCGAGATTGACGGAAGAAGTCCAACGTCGAACAGTGGCCGGCCGCCCTCTTCGAGAAGAGCTTGATAGCATCTAGCTTGATACTCTTGCGGCCCAAATTCCGCTTCGCATTCCCCATCCTCAGATGATGCCGTAGGGCTCATGTGCCGTACCGGTGAGCCTCTCTCTGAAGGTACTTGGGCCAGTCGTGCGGCAAGGTCGTCAGGATCCACCGAATGCCTTATGGCCTTCCGCATGGCCGCTCTAAATGATTCATGTCAGGCTAAATCGTAATGAACTACCAGGTACCATTGTAGAAAACCAACTTACTGCAGCTTTTCGTCCAGGAGGTCCCTCTTTTCCTGAGACACATGTTCCCAGTCGGGGATGTTGTCAATGAGCAATGTTTCGTGTTTCTTGTCGTAATTCTCCTTGACAAATTCCTCGAGCTCCTCTGGAGCAACGCTGAGAGCTTCGTCGACTGGAAGCAGCCTCATAAATTTCAGGGACTCCATTTCTCACACGTAGAGAAGATGGCTCTCTTGCGGCGCTGCGTATGAAGTAAGGATGTTAACGAGGAAGATGGCTGGCGTTTTTATCTCGTTTTTCTGCCTCTCTACCTGTGCAAGGCCAGATTTGTTGAAGGTAGCGGGTACACCGTTACGAGTCAAACAAAGGACATGGAGATACAAACGCAAACGCTGCCACTCCTGCACGTGAGGAACAAAGCGTTGAGCGCAGGCCAGGTGTCACAGCCGAGTGCACGGTTTAGGGAGAAGTCATCCAGCACCCCGATTTCATTGTCCAACATACCAGCGGTAGAAGGCAGCCCGTCTACATGTTTGATGTACACAACTGCCAAATATGTTTAATAGTAGTATTAATATTATTAGCAGTAGTAATAGCAGTCGCCGCAGTCGCAGCAGTAGCCCACGCTCTAACTGGAATGCCGGATAACAGGATAGGGGGGTGCTGCATACCGTAACTTTCTAGCATTACATTTTGTACTACACAAGTCTTACTACACAAATCTAATCCTAATCCAAGCATGATAATATTTGTCAACCCTAAACAAAATTTCTCCGCCGCCGTCAAATTTACTAGCAAGGCTTGCCTCCTACACGCTTCTACACGATTCATTGATCTTCTCTTTCGCTCGTCTTGGGTCGCTTCTTGATCCTTTCCATAGGGTTTGGCGACGGCGGGCTCCTAAGATTTCACGTCAGCTTCGGTGTACATACATACCTGCTGAGGTACGCAGAGGCCTTCTTCTGTGAATGAGGTACGTGTACTTACATGGAAGTGCTTGGTCTCTTGAGGGAGGCCGATGCGTGAGATTCGTTGCTCATCAGAGTCTCTACCTGTTCTATTGTTATCTCAGCGTCGTCGTCATCGTCAAAGTTCGACCACTCCATGGTTGAAAGAAGTGAATCTTCCACAGACGCTGTATGTGGCGACACCGACGTGATCAATGCTTGCTCGACTCTTTCTTGGGACTCGGCGCGATGGATGGGGATAATTGTTGAAGCTGTCTCGGATTCCTCATCATAGCCTTCATCTAGAATCTTTCCGATGGTAGACTCATAGAAGAGGCTGTCGTCAGGATTGCGAAACTTGGGAAGAAACTGCCCGACATGAACCATTGTTGCTTTTGCCTGAGGAGGTGGTGCCTTGGCAGAGCCGGCATATCGTTCAGGATTGCTGATAATGTATCTGCTTAGTGACGAGTCTCTCATACCCAAGTCGCTGCTTGTCGTTCCGATCTGATTGTCGAGCCTGTGGCGGCTTCTTGGGATGATGGTATTCTCGACATCTTCGCATCCAGTCGAGCAACCGCCATCATTGACGCTACAGCTTCGTCCTCGGGTTCGAACACATAAGTCTACTGCTCGTTTATGGCAATCCGCAGCAGTCATTCTGTCGCCTGGCTCTAGACGAAGCATCGATTCCAGAATGAACGATAATATTTCATCATTCCCAACCCTACTCTTCATTTCCACCCTCTCATAGATGGTTTCGCACCAATCCACTCCCATGCTATATATCCCACCATCTTTAGGCAGCCCACACAAGAGCTCCGCGAGTACGACGCCCAGTGACCAGACATCAACAAGAGCCGTATAAGCCTCCCTTTGACTCTTCTGAATAGCCGTTCCCACATATATCTCAGGCGCTATGTAGCAGTATGTGCCGCACATGGTCATGAGGGTGCCTCCTTCGTGAGCGATACCGAAGTCTGCAAGCTTGATAAAAATATCGTTCGGGCGTCGATACGAAATGAGAATATTATTTGGCTTGATATCCCTGTGCACAATTTGCGGATCACTCGAGTGCAGGTAAGTCAGAGCATCCAATGCCTGTGTTAGAATCTGTCCGCATTCTACTCGGGAAAAGTGGTTGTTGGCTTTGATGTGGTCGCTAAGAGTGCCTTCAGACATATATTCAAGTCGCAGCCACGCGTTTGGTGGTGCACATACGCCGAGGAAAGATACAATGTGTTTCTGGTCAAGTGTTAGCAGTATCCCTAAAACAAAGACGCCTCTGTCTAGACTGACATGCTTGGATCGCTCCATGATAAAAGCCTCTCTTTCCCATGCATCCCTATCGAGTAACATCGATGCTTTCGGTTTCTTCAAAGCATATTGCAATCCAGTATCGACAACCCAAACACGGTAGACGGACGCGAACGATCCCTCGCCAATCTTCTTCTGAAGAGTCACGGCCTTGGTCGGTCTTTTTGCGCATGTGAACATGCCAGATGGAAGTGTGGTTCTGGCCTGGCTTGAGAGACCAACATGGCCAAGGCTGAGGATCTGTTGAACATCCACACATCCAGCACGGTATCGATCGACTTTGTCCCTGTAAAGCTTGGACTGAATATCGTGATGCGGTATGAAGAGCTGGAACTGCAGAAGGCTGTGCACTTTGACAATAATAGAACTAACTCCATCAAGAAAATCACTTCCGCCAACAATCCAGTTGAAGTTGGACCACGGGCCCCGTTCGGCCTTCCCGTATATGACCGTGGTGCCGCTCGTAGACCACAAGTCCCGAACGATCAGACGATAGCTGTCGTCAAATGTGAGGGCAAAGTGATAGAGTCCGACGCCTTGAAGGGGATCAAGCTGGAGCTCGGCATCCTCACCGTGTCCACACCTTAGCCCATGGCGAGTTTTGGGAATGTGACTGAATGTCACCTTGATACAAGCTTCATATTCGAAAGGATGCTGGGCCTCTTCATTCGCCGTTTTCTTGCCATTTCCCTCTTTCCGTGTCTTGGGATTTCCGCTATGCAGCGCATTCCGATCGTGAAGGTGAGAGCGTCTTGGAGGCGTATATCCTGGGTGCCCCTTGTTTAGCTCTATGGCCTCTTGCGCCAGTTGTTTCCCTATAGTTCCCACGGCCGGGTATATGTAGGCTATGATATCGCCGTCGTTATCGTCCATAGCAATGAGTAGCGGTTGATCTTTCAAGTGCGGTACGAGTATTCGGCAAAGAAGAGAGTAGAAGCGTTACTGGAAGACTGTTTCTGGGTTTGGAACTCGAACGACGACTGTGGTGTCTTCTAAGAGTAGGAAGGGTAAAGTGCGGGCTCCTGGAAGAGGCATTAATGAAATAAATGAATAGTAAATGTTGTTTGAGTCTGCATGTCGTACAAAATGCTGCTTCCAACGGGAGGACACGCAAACGAGCATGGAAAGCCCCATAGTGATGAGGTAGTGTGCGGATAGTGGTGAATCCGTGAGCCACAAGAATGATGAAGGATTCTTCAACAAAATATTCTCTTTGTTTGTAAGGCCACTACTGGCGGATTGGTAGGCTAGGGAAGTCATTTTCACGATGCTGCTGTTCTGAAAGGCATTGGAACAACATAACCGGCCCTGGTGACGGCTCCGCTATTGCCATAATTGCAGAGTGCTGTTTGTCTGAATGTGCCACGGACCAAGGACGAGCCGAGCGGCAAAACGGTTTGAGTCGAACATACAATCCATCGATTGAAACCAGCAGTCATATGAACATGCGTCTTTCAGCAAGGTTTGTCTATATCTGTGGTGTAGATAGAGCCAAACCAAAGCTATAATTTCTCGAGGTGGACCATGGCGCTTTCTAGCGCCTTTTTAGCGCTTTTTGTACCAATAAATGGACTATGATTCAAAGGGTTCAGTCTCTTCTATGACCCGAAACATATTTGTCCACAAACACTGGCAATTGCGCCAATAATGTAACCCTGAGCTCACAGTTCTTTGCGTTTGATGAATATCTAGCAATGAAACACCGCCAATCGTTTGACCTGGTGAAGGTGCCACGCAGTAAGTGAAGAAAAAAGCAGATAACAACCCACGAGATCATGATCCAGCACGTAACTTCTAACATAATAGACGCTTGTAGGCCTCCTAGCAGTTTCCCAGATGCGATGACTAGCAAAGGTTTGAGTGAATGGAGAGCAAAAAGCCCATTACCTTTCAGCTCCCAGCCTTCCACCACGACCACGGGACGGCCCATGTGCAAACAAAGGAACAAAAAGTGAATAGCGGCACCTTGTTCTTTTTCCGTTTGAGATAGGCTCAGTGCAATATCACAACTTCCGTAAGTGGGAGAAGGGAAAAGTTATTTAGCGTCCTGATTTCATCGTCCTGCACCCCAGCTGTAGCTCAACAATGTAGCCAGTCCACGTATTAAACATCATTGCAACTACCAAGTACACTGAAAAATAGCAGCATCGGTAGCATCGGTAGTATCAGTACCTGTAGCATCAGCAGTTTTTCCTATAACACTTCATTCTGTTTCTCAGTTTTGCGCTTCCGATCCTACTATGACCGTTGGCTTGCAATTTTGGCTATGCTGGCGAATCTGCTGTGGTTCATGCTGTGCAGTCTCATTCATGACAGCCGTTATTTGTTAAGCTGGCTCTAATTAATGTCCAAGATTTGTTCTTTGGTCCTCGTCTCCAGCCGCCTCAGCAACATATCTCTGCAGAGGGTGCATGATGCTTTACTCTCCAACCTTAATGACGACTTTCCCAAGCTGTTTACCCTGCCAGACAAATTCAATAGCCTCTTCTGCCTTTTCAAATTCCCATATTGAGTCGATAATATCCTCAAAAGTCATCTTCGCAGCTGAAATCGCCGCCATGAGATCTTCTTGGTCGTCTTTGGAGCCACAGTTGATTCCTCTAGTACACAGATTAGATCAATCCAGGATCCCAGTATGCTGGGAGACATTACAGACCTTATGTTTAGCCTGCGGTCAATGATGGTGGCAACAAACTCCTTCAAATGTTCAGGCTTCGGACCCCCAAGATAACCGACCTGACTGACAATGCCACCACGCCGAGTGCATAGCATGCTCTTGACGAGAGAAGAGCTGCCGCCATTCTCAACTACTAGATCGACGCCAATGCCGTTGGTGAGTTTTAAGACCTGCTCGTGCCACTCTGGGTTCGTCTTGTAGTTGATGGTCTCAATGTCAGGCTTTCCAAATTGCTCTTTTACCGTGTTGAGCTTCTCGTCACTTGAAGAGGTTAGGATGATTCTAAGGCCAGAGGCTCGGGCTAGCTTCAGAGCAAATGTCGCAACTCCACCAGTACCTGAGAAGCGATATTAGCCAACAGACAACATGAACTGCCGGGAGAATTACCCTGGATTAGGACGGTTTGGCCCATGGTAGCCCCCTTGAGTGCAGACCAAGCTGTTGTTCCCGCGCATGGAATGATGCTCGCCTGTACCCAGTCCAGATGCGCAGGAACCTTCGTGACTAGCTTTTCATCGAAAACAAGATGCGTCGCCAGCGTTCCATCTTCGTTTGCGGCGAGCCAAGATCGCCCGGTTGAGCGAGCACTGACGTACTCGGAATCAGTGATGGGGGCTACTCTATCTCCCACACACACGAGCGACACTCTGTCACCAACTGCGATAATCTCGCCAGCCGCATCATTGCCAGGAACGCCATTGGGAATGACTGGCCACGGGTTGCCGCCATTGGCGATGTTGGCGTCACGGTAGTTGAGAGAAACGGCGCGGACCTTGATCAGAACAGCGGTTGGGTGAAGAGGAAGCGGCAAGTCCTCCGTGACGAGCTTCACCTTGGCGCTGCCTGAGGTATAATCGTCCGTCCTGCGGAAGGCTTGGCGTGAGGTGACTGAAGCCATTGCGGTTTTGATGTTATAATGTGTATTTAAGGTTCTCTGCAGAGGGCGCCAATTGTGATGCTCAGCGTCTGAGGATTCAATTTCTGTTCACGTAGTTATATCTATGACAAGATTTAAAATGCAAGCGCGATGCCATGATTTCGACGACTTGACAAATACATTCTCATTCATCGACGCTCATTATTAATGATCGCTCCTTATGCCATACCGAGAACCCCACCTTGGATTCTAAATGCTCTTTAGCTCTGCCATGTGGATCGAGACCCGGTCTTTGGACCCGACCCGGTACGAAGTCTAAGTAGCTGTAGAACCAGCGGCGGATTTCATTTTCAGACTTGTTATACCTCGTCTTTGCTCAATCGGCGTTGGCGATCTTTTAGATTTGCTGCACTGCCGTCATTACACATCAAGGATTATGACGTACTGAAGATACTTGAGCTCCAGCTTCCCCACTTCTCCAGGTCAGCGATAATGGACTGCCTGATATGGAAGCTACTTCAGCTTACAATCTCTTTCTTTTGGAAGGCAAAATGCCAAAATAGAGCGGCCATGAGCACCACAATCTATACGATAGCGAGAGAAGTTCGAATCGTTTGGGGAACCCAGAACTGTAAATTGCATCTTTCTTTGTGCCTGCATCACCTCTCGAGTGATCTACATTTCGCCTCTTGCAAAGCGTAAGACCCGCAAAGCGATGAGAGAACGGCACTGCCCAAGTCATGAGATACCAACCCTGGATTACGAATTCAGTAAGAGTGTTCCACGGTAGTGTCAAAAACATAACTTGCTTGCTTGAGGAATTCACAGTCGCTGCCAAATGTCAACTTCTATACGACCTCGCCGAAGCTGAAGCTCTCCCTCAAACCGGTGCTTCGCATGCTGATGGAGGCCCTATCTCTTATTTACAGCACTAAGGGACAGCAGTAAAGGAATCAGTTCGACGGATTAGACAGGACAAGGAACATCCATCATTTTGGCGGTTTCGCTGCAGTGACTAGACAAGACTCCCCAAGATTGTCATATGCTCGTTGTGCTCTCCTGAGAGGGTGATACAGATCTAATGAGTCAAAGGCCGGAAGAGAATGGCGCCTGCGCTTTCCACGAGCGTATCTGCTGCCTGCATTGCCGTCTTGAATCGAGAAACAGCCAAAATTACGCACCAAAGCTTACAAGTTGAAGTTCTAAGTTAATGGGTACAAAGATACAACTGCGGCGCTGATTACATGCAATCTCAGCGTTGCAGTTGAGACTTTATGAACAATGTGATGCTCAATTACCGGTGCTGTGGCTGAGGAGGCGTGGTTATAAGAATAGTATTAGCCGGATGTTTGCTTCTTTGGGATTTCCTCATGCAAGCATCAAATATGTGGATCTTGGCCGAGCTCAATCTCAATTACATGTAGCGATGAACTGTGCTTCTTATACGTCGTTCCTCCTGAGTGTCCATATCTTGAAACTAGCCTAAGAGTTCAACAAAGATACTGCTAAAATTTATTCATCTTGATCTTTGCTGTTAACAAGCATGTTTTATAGCCATTTATCTACTGCGTAGGAGGCGACTGGTCGACAAAATCATCAGCCCCTACGGCGTATAAATTAAGCTTATAATAAGCCGGTATGTATTGGCTGATCTATGCCATGGGCATTACATAATAAGGCCTAGGAATGATCAGTCGTCCTGCAAATGTTATTGGGCCGCGTTGTAGGTACAGTTTTCATGCCTACGATAAAGTGGCGATGACAGTAGAACTAGTCGATGTCGTTTTTGTACGTTTGGCGCAGTATTCTATTGACTCACAGGGCAAAAGAGCACTGGATTAAAGTAGTAAAGAGCCGAGACTATAGCAGCTGATAATACCTATCCATCATCCTAATACCCGCCACTTTTACTAACGCGACATCTGCTACATCTTATCGTGTTATAACTGCTACTTTTAGATGTATATGAGAATTTTAGCCTCTCATATGTAAGTTTAAGTCATAGCTAGAGAGCTTTATAAATCCCCCATAAGTTTTAACTACTATGCAGTTACACTACTACAAGATGCGGCTTATCCTTGAGGGATGCGGCTAGACTTGCTAGCTGCATGTACCTGACGCTCATTGGTAAAGCCTTTCATGGCCATATGTAATAACACTTTGTGCATTGGTATGCAAACTAATGTATATTATTCTTAGTAAGTCACAATTTCCAGAAAGGAGTAGATGCGCGCTCACAACCATCCATGCATCTACTATTTGCTGCAGCTCTTTGCTCCTTGCATCGTTAGCGGACCTTAGACTCTGAGCTATGAGTAATATTGATGTACACATGTAAGAGTAAGAATAAAAGAAGCATTACATAGACTCAGACAACTAAGAAAAGAGCCTGGGTGTTGAGTGGAAGAGTAGTGTAAGGACGAAGAACACGATATAAAACCCCCTTCGTCTCCTAGCAAGAGCAGAACAAGACTTTGACTTTGATTCAACGTCAAAATAAACTGAACTTTAAATATTCCTAAGCTTAACCTAAGAAAAATTGCCTTCATCAACCACTTTACCAAACCACTTTACTAAACCATGTCTGACTTCACCCTTAGACGCCTAGCAGAATGGACGCCTCACAGACGCGTTATTCTAGCGTGGCCAGGCTTGGAAGGGATCCTCAAGGATTACCCAGACATTCTGGCAAAGGCAACGCAAGAGGTCTCAAATCTTGCGGCGGCCATTGCCCAATTCGAACCCGTCACTGTCGTCGTGGGCGCTGAGCGTATTGAAGAGGCCGAGGCATATTTCGCCGAGGTTGATGCCCCCTTTGACCTCAAAACGCAAAGAGTTGAGGGAGCAGAATTGGATGTCTGGACGAGGGACTTTGCACCTGTGTTTGCTATCAAAGAGAGCCCTGGAGGTGACCGCGGCCTCGTCGGCCTTGACTATAACTTCAATGGCTGGGGGGGCAAATACCCCACGCCCACGATTGTTGATTTCGCAAAGAAGTTTCTGAAAGAAGCAAAATATGAGCGGATTGAAACATCCATCGTGACCGAAGGCGGCGCACTGGAGGTGGACGGCGACGGAACTCTGCTGGTCACAGAGAGCTCTATTGTTAATGACAACAGAAACCCTGGCAAGAGCCGCCAGGAAATCGAAGATGAACTTATTCGCACTCTTGGAGTTGAGAAGGTCATCTGGATTCCCGGCAGGCCAGGTCTTGACTCAACTGATTGCCACATCGACGCCCTGGCCCGCTTCGCCCGTCCAGGCGTTATCGTCTTGAGCAAGGCCAACGAGGTGAAGCCGACCGACTGGACGGTAGTCTATGAGGAGACTCTCGAGATCTTGAGCTCTGCGACTGACGCAAAAGGCCGTCCATTTGAGATTATCGAGATAGAGGAGCCTGATGAGGATCTCTTCGATCCTCCTCCCAAAGACGTCCAGGGCGTCAAGGGCATCGAAGAAGACCGTGCCGTGCGCAGTTATGTCAACTACTTTTTGCCCGCGGGTGGTGTCATTCTGCCTCAGTTTGGCGATCCGGCGCATGATGCCGCCGCCATTCGGACTGCGCAACGAGTCTTTGGTGACGAGAGGAGGATCTTGCCCGTTCTCATTGAGCAGCTGCCCATCTTGGGAGGCGGGATTCACTGCGCCACTCAGGAAATTCCATTGTCTCCCTAGAATGGAAGTATCATTCTTTGATGGATCATGATCAGCGTCCTAAAATGTTTCTTGCTCGGACTCCCATTGCGAGATAGTTAGCTGTAGTGTTCACAAATGAAATCTCAAGTCAAGCTCCTAGCAAAGAAGAATACGGGAAATACATGATCTGTAGGATTATCACACTCCATGGTAAATTTCTCTTCCCGTAAATGCTACACTAGTTCAATGCTCTGCCGGTCTGACTCCTTAAAATGCCTCTCCAAGTGGCCCGTCGGGCCCGGTCTATCCACACTGTCGTCTATTGAGAAGCAGTCCAGTTCGCCATACCCGAGTCGCTCGTAGCGCGGAGGATTGTTTGCCGCTAATCTCAGGACAAGAAAGCCATCACGGTATTGATATGCTTTCCCGTCCTTGTGCCGATATATGATCTGTTCGATATGAGCTAGTTTAACGGCATATTCTGATCTCTGGGGTAGTTCATATTCGATTGTTGGGTATTGTTGCCAAACACAGCTTCCATTCACTTCAATCGTTGCATCCCCCTTCTTGGTAAAAGAAAGCACGCCGTCCTGCGCCATTGTTGAAATCACTAGCTTTGCATACTCAAGCTTCGATGTAAATGCCGGGCCGCTCCACTTCTCTTCATATTCTTCAATGCGAAGAGACGGGATTATCTTGTCATGAAATATAACATTTTGAAACCCCGTCCCAGATTGACCACGGGGAAGCATGCATAACCAAGACCAAGACGGAAAGTTGCTTGCTGGGCGTGAATGCGATGGCTCAGTGCCCTTGAACGGACGACCCCGAATGGCCCACTTCAAATCGGCGTACAGCGTTTCTTTCCATAGTCCAAGCATGGGTGTATGACCGGTAGCGGACTTATAGTAATTAATTAAACCTGCTGCTGCCGCTGCCGCATCGGAAGAATATGTGAGTTCTCGTGTCGCATAGGACTTCAGCCACATCTGCCATAGGTTATAAGCCCGGACTTTGCTTGTAAAGTCGAAGCAGTTCTCAACAGAAAAACTGTAATCTAGCGCGGGAATCACATTCTCGGCAGACCATGTTCCATCCTCTGACTCAAAAAGTTCTCGACACTGCCACATGATTTGATTAGTTGTGAAATATATTGTTCGCGGCGCCAGTGCAACTTCTTGAAGAACCCAGCCCCTTGCAAAGTATGGAGACGTTTTATAGGACAGAAGATCGCGGTACTCTTGTTTCAGCGATGAAGGCCTGATCATGAGTTCGTCGTCTGGTACGTCTGCTGTATGTCGTACAGTTGCGTCGGTTGAGCGATAACGAATTACGGCGGTAGGTATAGCCTTGGAGATATACATGGAAGATAAATCGACCATGCCTCCATGAGCATCATGTGCAGCAGAGGCAGCCAGATTGATATAACTTTGGCGGTATATGTCTGCCATCTTTTCTGCCTCAATTTCCCAGTCGCTAGAGTTATCTTGGATGATGCAGAGAGAGTCTATCCATATGTACTGGACACCAAGCTTGATGGAGATCAAGACAGCATCCTTGAAGTTCAGGTTCAAATCATCCAATGGTATACCTTTCTCATAGTCAATTGATAGTACCAGTATTGTTTTGGCAAAGATGATATACCTTTAAAGTGGTAATTTATATTGTCGGAAGTGGTCTTTAGTGGCGGCTTGGAGGTTTTGGGTCCCCAGCAGTGACTAAGAGTAGCATAACGAATATCTACGCCAACGGTAGTAGAAGTCTCAATCAACCTGACCACTTTTGATCGTTCGGCATCTTTCAAGTCCAGAAGCCTTCGTGGCATAACAGATGGCCTTTCCACACACCGCATATGGTGACAGTCGCAGTAGGATAGCCATATCGAAATGGCCTTGAGGCGAGACTCAAACGAAGGCACACTTTCTTGCCACATAACTCTAGTTTTTACACCTAATTCCCCTTTTAGCATCGGCGATATGGAGTGGTGACAATGTAGTTGAACTCACTCTCAGGATGTGCAAGATAATACACCGGGTCTCTAGGGCCTGCGCTCGGAAATGGAAGGTCTTCCACCCAGGTGACATTGATCAAACGTCTTCCCGAACTAATTTTGACCTCTGCAAATATTCTGTATGACACTTCAGTTGGTTCATAGCCGTTATAACGCGGTTTCCCGTTCAAAACATCTCGGCAAACGTATTGACAAAGGGGGCATTGAGCCGCTGAAGCTTCGAGAGCTTCAAAGCTCGCCTTGTATGGTACCACAAAGTAGGCATCTGATGGCAAGTTTGGAGTTTTTGTCCAGCTAATGAAGCTCTGGCAAGGCGAGCAGAGAAAATGCGATTGCGTATCCCCAGCCATCTCGAGGCGTTCTTGGTCACTGAAAGGTGAGCTCTAAAAAGACAGCTATGGTATCGCGTCCCGAGACAAGTTGTGTGTGAGCCAAAAGGTTGGTAGAAAGGCCAAAAAAATTAACTAGCAAAAGATAACCGCCGTGATATCCCAGCCAGATGCTTGTATAGGAAAAGCCCAATGCGGGGGTCGAACCCGCAACCTTGAGATATCGCATCGCCAAGTCAGAACGTGTGATTTAAGAGTCTCACGCTCTACCGATTGAGCTAACCGGGCGCTTACGTAAGCAAGCTTGCTAAGCTCTAAGCGGCTGCTGCTCGTTGGAATTTCGGCGATGCTATGTGAATTATGAAGCGTTGTGATTCACAGCCCGCCAAGGCCTGCCAAGAAGAAGAGAGAATTCTCAAACAATCAGCACACAATTCTCAATTTCACAGACTACAGTAACGCTAGTGTCCAGCACTTTAGCTATAACATGCACGCCCGTAAGTACTACTCTGTGCATACCTAGGTAGGTAGTAAACACTGACCAGCCTTTAGGAGCTCGCGCACATGCATATATTATCCCTTGCCTCGATGCGCAGCGAGCATCAGCGATGTCATGGCGCCTCTATTTCCTTCAGTATAAAAATCCGCGCCACCTTCCATGAGTATGCGTATGGTCCGATTGTCAGCTTTGTTATTGGACAGAGCGTGATACAACGCTGAATGTCCCATATTATCCTTGAGGTTTATATCGTTAGGGCTGCTGGTGCTGTGTAACATTTCCTCCAGTGCGTCGTTAAACCCCAGGGATGCTGCGTATTGGATCGCTGTCATTCCGTTGGGATCCCGGGTGATACACGAAGCTTTATTCTTGAGCAATATGCGCACTATGGATATTGAGGGATACAATACCGCAAGCATGAGGGCTGTGTGTCCATCAGAGTCTGTGATCTCGAGGTGTTCTGTCTGCGATGCTAAATGAACAACTACCTTGTCCAGACCTTTCTGTACAGCGATGTGTAGCGGAGTCCTATACCATGGTTTATCTTGGCGGCTGGCGTCTGCCCCAGATTGCAAGAGAAAGCGGACGTCTTTCACGCTGTTGGCGTCATCATTGCTAGAAGCTCGATGTAGGTGCGTCATGCCTTTATCGTCGACGGCATTGGGGTCGGCACCATGTTCTAAGAGTAGCCAGGCAAGAGAATGATCGTGGTGTTCCATCGCTAAAGCGAAAGCTTTATTGTTCTGAACACAAACATTCGCCTTGTTGGAAACCAGTAGCCATATAATGTTCTTGTTGCAGCCGTTAATAGTGTTGTGAATAGCATGGAGAAGCGCTGTCCAGTTATGGTGATCTGGAATGTCTGGCTCGGCACCCCCTTTCAGAAGTAGGCAAACTTTATCTTCGTTATTGCTTTTTACCGCTGAGATCAATAGTGTCCTTCCGTCAGATCTCTTTTCGTTTACATTTGCTCCATGTTTGATAAGTAGGCGCGCCACGTCGACTTCATTATTGTAATCAATGGCCCATTGAAGCGGCGATTGTTGAAGGTTTGGATCCTTTTGATTGACATTGGCCGGGTGTGGGACTCTCTCTAGCAGGAGTCTCACTGCTGAGGGCTGCTCCGTCTGGACTGCGTGGATCAGGGGGAGCCAGCCGCTAGTTGTAGGGCGGTTGAGATCAATGCCTAGTTCAAGTACGACATTGATGAGGTATTTAACATGTTCGCTGGCGGTATGATCCAGCTGCTCCAGACTATTGTCTGAGCTACCCAACATTGCCTTTTTAGAACCGTAAAGGAAGATTTCTCCCAAAGAGTTGTAGCCTGGGCTGATTGCAGCGTTCACATCTTCCAGGCTTTTCAACAGCATCTCGGCGATGACTGTTGGCCCATATTTGATTGTAGACGACAGCGCTGTCAGTCCTTTTGCACCAGGAATGTCAGGCCTTGCACCACCATTGAGTAACCTTTTTACGATCCGGATGCAGTCTCTTTCTGGTAGCATGAGAGCTCTGTGAAGCGCCGTGTTTTTCTCTTTGTCCTGTATATTGGGATCTGCTGAGTTGTCTAGTAACTCTTTGAGTAGATGCACCCGACGCAGCCTGACGGCCCAATGCAGAGCTGTCTGGCCATCAACACATTGTGCATTGATATTAACACCTGATTCAACAAGGCTTTTGACATAGGAGCGGAGGTCAAATTGAACAACAGCATGTATCCCGGTCATGCCGCCCAGTCCAGAGTTCGAGATGCTATGCATTGCTTTAAATGCTCGTAAAAGCTTAGTGTCACCAGTAAGAAGTTTTTTGATGAGTTCCTTAGCTTCTTTATCAGCATTTTGATATTTTGTGCCAAGATGTGAGCTCCAGTAATTCGCGGCGTACGATAGTAAAGACTGTTGCTCATCAATACCAGAGTCGTTAGTTGCACACAGTAAGCAGACCAAGCACGTTTTGGCGATTGCTAAGTCTGCGTGTTTGGGTAGAATGTTTTTCTTCTGAAGCTGGTTTTTTGCCGACTCGTGAACCAAGCGTACAGCCTTTTCGTCTTGGTCGACAATTATTAGGCCAGCCCCTGCGGTTATTAAGCTCTTCGTTGTAGGTCGAGTCTCCCGATAGTGTTTCCCATTGCTGTATTGTATAACAAAGCTTTCTAAGACCTGGTTCACACTGAGGCTCACCTTTGCGTGAACGATCCAGTTCAGGACATGTTTAGCCAAATCTATATCAAATTGCTCGTTCATGGCGATCTGTTTGAACAAATCTTCGAGCGCTGTTTCTATATCAATTGGTAGGTGCATCAGAACGTCTTTGATTGAATCCAATGAGCGGCATTTGCTGAGTTTTTCCATGTGTAGCCTAGCGAGAAGAAATCTGAGAGAAGTTAATATCGCTTATACTTCAAACGAGTATTTGCAAATAGTTGAGACTAACATGCCACTTTCAAGTGCTTGGCTGGTAACTTTACGTATTACAAGATTCCTATCTTCTGATTCCTTCAGCAATTGACTCACATTTGCATCTTGTCGTAGCCAGCCGTTTAAGTATTTGATAAGGTCTGTTTCTTGTGGCGTAATACGCAAATAATGGCTGATCCGAAGACGGGTACCAAGCAAACGTTCCCTGGACGTGAGAAGTAGCTTCACGTTATCTGGCAGCTTCTCCAGGGTCTGCCAGAATTCCTTTATGGTATTTTTGTTTTGGCCGAAGTAGTTATTTGGGTCATCAAATATTAAATAGACAGTCTTGAATGTCTCTGCCTGAGAGCTGAATAAGTCCCAGTATTCATTCGCATGCAGGGTCGAAGATCCTTGGAGCGACGCGCTGAATCTGGATAGTATTTTTTTCGAGATTACCCGGGGGCTTTGTTGCAAGAGCTGCGATAGTAGAGTAACCCAGATTCGTGTGGGCGACTGAGCATCTTCTTCTCTCTGGGGATAGCAGTAGACGCACGCCATATCGCTCCCTATCTTGGCTTCATTCTTGATCGTTTCAATAATGAGGGAGCTAAGATAGAATATTAGTATTATGATGCATAATAGTAGGCCCTCTGTTCTTATGAAATACATAAAACGTACGTAAGCATCGATTTTCCGGATCCCACTGTGACCAGAATGTTACTATCAGCAAGGCAAAGAGACCCAAGTATGTATATTTTACAACTTACAATATCCATGCATAAGCAGAATACTAGATTCAGTCTTCGGATCTCTCCAAGTTTGGAACTGACTGGTGTCTAAGACCCAGTTCCCTGTTTCTGGTGTCATTTGGCTGAGTTGCTGGATATGTTGGTAGTTACTATTGACGGGAGACCAGTCTGGCTGAAGCTCGAGCCAGTTGATTGTAGCATACCCTTGAATGTGAGTTACCAGGTTAGAGATGGATCGATTCACAATAAGGACTATGGTTTCATACGCTCTGGTCCATTCAAGTCGCTTTGCCTTCCGTTGATTGCCTCAGCCAGACGAAACATCGACGACATGCCCGGGAGATTCACTCAATGCCCGCTGTTAGCATAGTGCAAAAATCTAAGGTACTCAATACATATAGGTAATGACAGAAGGTCTCACATGTGATGTCGCGTCGATCCCTATATAGGATGGCATAGCCAAAGCACACATTCTGGTCCCCTTGGCCATCGGCGACAAACATTTTGTCAGTGTGTAGATTCGGCCCGGGAGTGTTTGAATAAGGAAGGTATGATGCTGCATTGAATTTTGAAGACGTCTCTTTCGAATTCTCTCCTATCACAGTTTGCTTGCTTGCCAATAACAAACGGCTCTCGGCATATCCGTTCTCCTCGACAGCTGAAGCCCCTTGTCTCTGTTCAAGTGTCCCATTCTTGGCTGAAACGTTCTCTCCCTCTCTCTTGACATTTGGTAGACTACTGTTGTGGAGATTAATGTCATCTTTCGTCTCCTTGTCTTCTCTTATGGATATCTCACTTCCGTCTAACAGCTGTGAATATTCTTGTTGTAAAGTGGTCTCCTCTAAATCCATCGTTGCGTCAACAGTAGCAAATGTCTCATCAAGTATTTTCTTCGGCCGTATGACAAAGAACGGCTGTTTATTCGGTCGTTCTAATGCGATGCGCAGAGAGATAAACTCATTCTTAGCTCGTACTTTTCCATTCAGCTTTTCCATCATGCGGGGAAGGATTTTGAACAACTTTTCCAACGAAGTGTTTCTGCTAGTCACAAAAACTAAACACTCGGCTAAAGCGTTTAGTCTTTGGTCTTCATATCTTAGAAGTAAAATAAAGTCTTTGGACTCTTGTTTGTTATGGCGTAGCCGAAGTAATATTTGATTTGAAACTGGGTCGTTGGCGGTTGTGGACATAATTAAAGCTCGTTCTTTTTCCCAGCATGGTTGGGGCGCCACTTCAATTATTTTTAGATCAATTTTGCTGAAAGCTACTTCGTCGTAGTGAAAGTAAATCCCACTTGAGTCAACAGATGCGCTGTCTTGACTGTCTTGACTGCCAAGCCTGATTTGAATCTGCTTGGGAAAATTATCTGGCTGTGCTATCAAGTATAAAGAAGAGTTGTATCCTTCAGGCCGAACGAATTCATCTGCTGACCCGGCGGGAAGTTTTACGAGAGGTATTCCAACTACTTGTTCCGCGTTATTTTCAGGCCCGCAGCAAAGTAATCCAACATTTGTATGGTAAGACGTAACCAGTGGCAGATAAACTCGAACGCTGCCGCCAGATATCTCAACTGGCCTCGTATACTGCGAAGGCTGCTCACGGCGGATGATGTGCCCCGAGTTTGCAAAATCCAAGGGAGACCTGGCCATAGCTCCTCCACTTATGGCTGTGCAAGCCTTGTGGGCAGACGGTTCGTTGGTAAGGCTCCATGCTAGGATTGAATCATCCCTTGTTATCTTCATGATATGCTCTTGTAGCCGGAAGAACGCTTGATCACAGCCTTCTCCGTAAATCATTGGCATTGTTATATTAAAGAGTCCCAATAGACAGTATGCCCAGTCCTCTTTCCGTTTTGTCTCCCTGTGTGCCGCCCACGACATACGCTGCGCAACGCTTGCTCCATGAAGTCGAGCAACACCCAACAGGTATTCAAGTGGTATACCTGTAATTGAAGAGATGGTGGCACCCATATCGCATTTTGTTCCTAAGAAGCGCCAGTCGAGAACTTCATTGCCATTAAAAGCAACTTGTCCATGGGATGTATCGGATAAGGCAATGATACCATAGAACCGTAGATATGTGGGTGCAAGCATTTCTTGCAGAGTCCATCCCCTCCGAAACCATCGGCTTTTCCGAAACTTAGACCCTTCTTCATGAGGATATTCATCACCCGGAACATCAGATAGAAAAGCATAGCATATCGCAGCAGACTGATACCATCGGAACATGGAGTTTATCGCCTCGCCAAGTTCGACTGAATTAGTCTTGTCAATGCAGCAGGTATCAATCCAAGCGTAGCCGAGACCATCCTTGGCAGCCAGTTGGCTACATCCGCGAAATTTAAGAGATCCGATGCCGGGCTTATTGATATTTCCATCTTCAATGTCGCGAAAATTGAGTTCTTCGGAATCAGAGCCCCAAGTATGTGAAAGTATAGCATAGGGAGGCACGCTGGATCCCGGAAATTCCTCCAGGCGGGACGTTTTGACATTGATGAGACGCATTGCGAGATATGAAGAGAAGTTGATCATGAGATTGCCACCCCACAGCCCGATGTTGCATGGCCAAGGCATAAATAGCCCTGCTTGTGCCCAAAAGAAGGGCTGCTCCCATTCGCTCAATTTCTTACACGAATGGTAAGACAAACCCCCGCTAATATTACATGTACCCGACGCAGCATTTTTTTCGCCTGATGGACCTGATTTGGTATATATGCCTGAACACTAACAATAAATGGACATAGGCATCTACCGTTACCTAAACAATAAATCCACTTCCGAACACAAGCACTCTGGAATGATCAATTTCTACATCTTTGGTCTCGCGTAGATAACATTAATCCAGACAAAAAAAAAAGCGAGGCAAAAAAAAAAAACAAGGAGGATTATGTCCTACATAAGGCTTTGAGGTTTCTAGCGGCCTGTTTCTGCTAAGCGCATTTGCTACGCATGCTGCTGCTGTTAGAGTTGCCGAGGGAATGCAGTAAGTTGTTGCGCGGAAGCACTACCATTAACCGTTATACATGTACGTGGTGCACAAACAGGCCCCCAACTCGTAATGACCCCAAATTTGGCACATGGAGAACGCAGCTCACATACGGCCAATGGCATCCATCTTCGACAGCGGAGCTGTGATTGAGGCTTGTCAGCATAATAGCAGTCATACGTGATCACCAACTAGATCCCAGGGCGGAATTTCCATCTCGATCCATTGCTGGCGCTGCTAAGGAAGATATCTATCGGAAGTTTGCCAAGCTTGAGTTTCTCTAATTCACTGGATTTCTCACTTGGGGGTGGGTATGACAAACGGCCATGGTACTACCAAGCGGTGACGCAGACGAAGAAAATTATCTTAGCTAGAGGGCTGTGCATTTCTAATTTTCAAATCCAGAGACAGATCTAAAAGCAACCAAATTTTGGCCACAGGAACCTTCCTGCGCGATTATCGCAGCGGCACTAGCGAATATGCTTAGAGTTCTTCATTGACTTACTTTGTGGAGTGCTTTTTGGGTTGCCACGCTGCATATTTCCTTGAATCGGTACCTAGATTAATCTGCATTGCTTTGCCAAAGGTTCTGGCTTCTGAACATTTTATATACTTCTGGGACGATCGGTATGCTGTGACAGGACTTTAAATATCGCCGCTCACCATTGAGCGGCAGCTTTCTCCTTATTTTTCCCTCCTCTTTTTGAAATGCAGTGACTAAATAAGACCACAAATCTGTTAATCTAAAGAGCGTTTCTGATACTATCGCAACCAGATAACCGATAAACAGGAGGAAATGGAGGAAAAGTCCCGAGCTGACAGACAGGGCCTCACAAGAAGTCCCTGTCGATGATGATAACGAATCAGATAACGTAGATTTCTGTGACAAGGAGCTGGAAGGAGAATTCGGCTCAACCCAAATCATCGGCATTGAATGCAAATTCGACCAGGTATCCCCCACGAGATCTGTTATATGCAACAAGAGGATACACGGAAAAATCAGGAAATTTGGGGGGTAATCTACTTATGTCCTTGGCTATAGGTACATATAGTGGCTTACTTGTGGAGTGCTGGCAGCGCCACTTAATTACATCGTGGGCGGTTAAAGGCGGCAGCTAAATCTTAAAAGTAGCAGGCCATTTAGTGCTTTTTAACCTCCATCGCGAGATCATGATTTCATCCTTCAGATTGCAAAATAGAAGGAAGACGGTAGGCGAAGCGTTACGCGCGGAGAGCAGATCACATTGCAATGTCAAACAATGTCAAATAAAATGCCCAAGAAAAGGAACACGTAAGAGCTCCTTCACCGCTAGAGCGAATGCAAAGACAAAAACAGCGTGGATAAAGATTGAAGCAGTATAGATTATGATCGCCCAAAAGCCAGATGACCATGTGTTTTTGATCCTTCAAGTCAATTGCTTTTGATTAATCCTACTCCCATATTTGCTCTTCTCCTCTGATAGCGCCCATATGGTACAGTATACCGAGGCAATCGAGACTCTCTTGCTGCTGGTGAACACAACGTATCGGACAAAGGATCAGAGCGAATGAGGTCCGCGGATTCATGTCTAGATAGCCGTGGGGTAGTTACATGTAGTTAGCTGCAGTGACAATAATATTAAAGAGGGGGATAACGTAGGTACGGGTTGGAAAGCCACGAAGTTCCATTGCCAGGCATCTCTTTCAGAAAAGAAGACAAGAAACAGCAGGCACTACACCTCAATAATTGCAACACCAGGATGGAGGATCTCTGTAGGAATCGAACCCACACCCCGAAGGGCTGCCAAAGCGACCTTAGGGCCGAAGCCCAAGGTTTTTCACCCTTTATGAATGCCGGTTTTCACCGCTTACGGAATGAAAGAAATTGGGCTTTCGCCCGCTTTCGAGGGGGGTTGATTTTGGCTTTCGCCATTCATGAAGGGGAGAATGTGGGCTTTCGCCCATCATCCGGTTGAAGACTGTCCTGCTCTCGTCCGTATGACCATTTGTATCTACCACCACCATTCAAAGTCCCGTGATGGCACGAGTGTCTCTTCGACAGAATCGGAAGCATTGCGGGCCGTGGTGTCTTCAGTCGGAGCGGGCTGGATGGAGGAATCGGCGGTAGAAGCAGCGGAAGCAGTAGTAATAGTAGTAGTAGCAGCAGCAGTAGTGGTGGTGATAGCAGCGTTGGTAGCAGAGGCAGAATTGCGCGCTGCTCTCATTCTAAACGAGGGATTGGGGAGACGCTACAGTATTCATTAGCAGTGAAACACAGAGAATGAGTGAAAGATGTAAATACTTACTGCGTCTTTGTGCGCTCGCTCGACATGGATTGGACGGCCGCGGATCTCGAAGTTCTGGAGCTCTTCCAGGGCCATTTGGGTATCAGGTCGCCTGCTGAAAGCAAGCATTACCCAACTGATGTGACGATCTGGGCGGGTCGCACCCGGGGGCCACAAAAAGGTGGCAGAGTCGGGCTTGGTGAGTCTGGCCCGGATGGCAGACTCGACTTGGGTCGTCGTGGCGCTGAATGGAAGGCTTCTGACGACGATCAGGACGCGGTTTTTTCGGTACGTCTTGATCTGGTTTTCCCACTGAGGATTGTATCGTGGCATTCTGTTTGTTTTTACGAGTGAGCGTTGTCGACTCTTACCAAAGATGAGAGACTACTTACTTTGCTGCTCAGAATAATAAAGTACGAAGACCTGAAATTATTTGATGATGGAGCTTTGGTGCACTTGTTTGCTTGTTTGATGGCAGAGTGTTGAGTTGACTGAAGTTGTGAGAAGAGAAAGGCAGTGCTCGAGGGGGGCTGGGACGACCAACCTGATAGTACCTTGTTAACTCACGCGGAGTCCCCACGCCAAGGTGAGCAGCATCTGATTCGTGGCAGCCATCCCCATCAGCTGTTTCGGGAATCGAATTGCGGCTCAGCCCAGTCCCAGTGTTAAGTCTCTACCTGGCAACCCGCGGTTGTTTTTGGTGACGGCCACCAGCTGGCAAACAGTCACATCAGCAATTACCAATGGCAGAAGCCCTTACCAGCTGTTGACACTTTCGACTCACTTGCACTTGAACGCCATACATTTCTTTGCCACGTTTCGCTGGCAAAGCTCTTTCCGTTAAAAATACAATCCTCATTCTTTCAGACTTCACCATCAACATCAGGGCTACAACAGAGCTTGCCAGCCGCGTTGCCGATGAGATGGGAGTCGCTCTTGGTGAGGAAGTCGGCCATAAGATACGCAACGACCAGAGGTGTAGCATATGACGAGTGTTCGGAAAACACTGGCAATCGCCTTTTGCACTCACACCGCCATCCATCATTCAGAAGACACGTACCGAACGGTTCATGAAAACACTCCCCGCACTCCTGGCACCACTGAGCTTTTTGGTAGATGCCAATCACGAGTGGGTCATGTATACCGATTTTGTGACGACGGGAGGAAAGCAGTACTTGCAGACAGTTTCGGCAATCAATGCAGGTGACTGACGGTAAGCACTTGTAATGATTCATTGTTCTACTTGTTTGAACAGATTGCTAATACTATTCGTCTGAGGAGCTATCCTTCTTCCAAGCAGATAGACTTGCCAAGAAATGGGACGGATCCTTGAGACAACCAAACGTCGAGCGCTCCCTCAAAGATGCAAAGGCCAGAATCGAAGCAGCCAAGAACCAGTAGCTCAATTGACTTCTTTTTTTTTTCCTTTTCATTCTTCTTTCAATGTATGTAATATTTCCTATGTAGGCAATATGTATCGTCGGTAATTTTTTTTTTAAATGTCCCTTGTTCTCGTCTGTTCCTGATTGTAGTAGCTCCAGCTGTTAGACCTGAAAGCATCCCGATTCCACGTGGTAGCAAAGAGATGCCAGCCTCTACAAGTTTCACATCATCGATATCCCAAGGCACAGCATCCGTCACAAAAAAAGTAGCATCATCAGCTCTGCCTGTTCGTAAGCGTCATTAGGCCCATGGTATAGGTCTCGTAGTATGCTCAACAGTGCTTGATTCTAAACGCTGTCGGATGTGGATCATGGAGCATGTTGGTTGTTGCATAGATGGAGGATTGCCCCTGGCAGTTCGCCCGAGTTCCACACTTGACGTGCCAATATTGGCTTCACTTGTTGGCTTTTTTTCCTTCAGTCTCCGCCAAGCCAGCGCTTTCGCATATACCCGCCCCGAGCTACCAAGAACTATTGCCGGGACATCAAACATGGCAAGATCAAACAAAGTGTCCGACAACACGGGCACGAAGCTACATACGGCAACGTTGGCAGTCGTGGATGCCCGCGGAAAGCTCCTTGATCCGAACAAATGCTTCAATTTCGAGATCAAAGGCATCAAACTCCATGGCAAGAAGGCCAACGCCGTGGACCTCTCGCAAGGCCCGGATCTCGAAGACGCCGAAGCCTGCATCGTCGCATATCAGAAACAGGTCACAGCTCTCACAAGAGACAACCGAGATCTCATGCAGAGGTAGACTTCTTCTGTTCTACGTCAATTGTATTTATTTCAGACGGAATCCACTCTACTCTACATTGGTGATAGGTCACCCTTAGCAGCAGTAGCAGCAGTAGCAGCAGTAGCCCACGAAATAGCTGGAATGCTGGATAACTTATCTCTTAAAACGTCATAGAGAAAATTATAAAAAAAAAAAAATTGAAGAGCCTCTTGGAGGCCTGGCGGATCTCTCCCGCCGGGAATTGAACCCGGGTCTCAAGCGTGACAAGCTTGCATACTGACCACTATACTACGGAAGATGTAACAGTCTTTAGTAGACTGATGTAGGTGGATCTGTGGATGCATGGTGGATACGATATTCTGTTTAAGTTTGAGTTCTTGTGAAATAATGCAGGTATGGGAGGATTGCATTTATAGAAAAGGGCGTTTAGCCCCCTATATGGTCGAGTCTCGTGAGCCGCTGGCAGGCCTCAATCGGAATCATAAAGATCGTACTAGTAGTCGTCATCGTCGATGCAGTCCCGAGCGGTGATTGGGTCGTCTTCAAGTCGGCCCCAGTATCCTCCCCAGAATCCTGATGCCGAAGTGAACTTTTCTCTTCCGAAATTGTAGTCGGCTATAGGTAGTTGCTGAAAGTGACAGTGCCCCGGCATTGCCTCTTTTATTACTTAAGCCGTCTTTTCTTCATCATTTACGTCCACCACGATTTTGGCTTCTCTATCAAGAGCCCGACATAGGTACTCAAAAATTGGTGTTATCCAGGCAATCCATTTCGCAAACCCTTCTTCTGGTGTTGCTTTCTCAAACACTTCTTGGAAGGCTGGCTCTGGCTGCTCTACAACAACCGCTATTATCTGAAGGTTACCCAGGATGCTATCCCAGATATCAGGGTCCATGCTGAACCTGGGTCGGTAAGAGGCTCCCCCAGGTCGTAGGATGAGCACCATTTTGCGTATCTTCTGCCTTGGCTTGGAGCTGAGCAAGTCTGCGAGAGTGAGCTCATCACCATCTTGGATGTTGACTCGAAACGTGTTCTCTGCGTATAACATGTCCGTCACCTCCTCAATAATCTGATGGCAGCAGAGAAGTAATGCAGGCAATGCATTCCGATGGTCATTAACAAATGCCAAGGGACTCTTTTTCGCTTCACTTTAGTGTCTGTTGAAAGCTGACGTCGCCTTCCGTCGTCACCATCGCTGTCGATCAAATAGCGTTACCTCTCTCCAAGCCCTGAGAGGATGATCGGGTATCTCATTGAACAAGTCCGGATAATTTCTGTAGCACAGGGTACTGGAAACATCGTATCGAATCCTTTGTGGGATACAGAGTCCGTAAATCTGCCGGCGACTTTCCAATGGCAGAGCTAGAAAGGCACTCGAAATGGGAGACAAAGGAGAAGCCATCTTGACTTCAAGGAAGATGGTCCCAAAAGATATCGACAATTTGAGGAGACAGCTTTGCCGTTATTGTCACGCCAATGTCAAGAAGAGGGATGTAAATTGTGCGAGGAATTGGTGACGATTGATATCGTCATTCATACGCCCAGTGTATTTTCTGTCCGTGGCTTGGAGGCTAATTAACCGCCTAGCACTGCTCGATAGTGTTTATACTGTGAAGTCGCTATTAGGTTCGATATGAATGTATTTTATTGAGGCTAGTAGTTGGTGATAGCGTTTGTTCCTGGTGGCGCTCTATGAATCCGTCAATACAATCACACCGCTCCATCGTGTTACGCAACAGCTAGGCCATTCTGAGCTTCATACGGCTATGAGACGTCACGCGGGAGTCGAACCCGCTCCCTGACGCCACTGTCTCGCGTTCATGAGACGAGTAGATGCTCGGGGGGATCAGATACTAGGAATCGAGGACATGATCTTTCGACATTGAGGAGATAGACTTTCATCCACCAAGGAACGAGAAAATTCCGGCTTTCACCAGGGTTTCATCTATTAAGAAAGGGAGGAATAGACTTTCGCAAAGGTCTCACCTACTACGGAGGAAAAAGGGAATGGGCATTTGCCCATTGAGTAAATCGCCGAATGAGCCAAATCAATTGCCATAAAAGATATTAGCCCAGGTCGAGGTGCTTGGTTGATCTTCCTTTGCGGCTTTTCGCTCTCGATTGCGCTCCAGAATGAGTCGTTCGATAAGCGAGACAGGATCCTGAGGCTGGGTTGGAAGATTGTCTTCTTTCACCCTCTGGGTAATAGTCTCCACAGCCTCGCCAGCCTCATTGACAACTGTCAACGACAACGACGATCTGCAGTCTTGGAGGTTTCTCGGATACCAGTGCGTTGGTCCTGCAAACTGAAATATCGGCATCGCAGCAACCTATTAGACCCATCTGGAGCAGCTTGGTAGCAAGTGAGTCCCAGTAAGCCTCTTCACTGCGTACGTGGGCAAAGAAATTTTCCACATTGTTCGGAGCGTCATCTCTCACTCGTCGGGCCAGACTAAGGCATCAAATGCGCTGTCTTGGTTTGCGGGCGCCGGATCTGCCACGGCGTTGGCTGGCGCGAGAGATGCTGGCGCGAGAGATGCCGGCGCGGGAGCGGCGCCACTAGCGATGGCCTCGGTCGAATCCGTTATGGCTGCAGCTTGGGCTTCGTCGTTGAGCATGTTGACTTTGAGAAAATAGTCATCCATAGTGGAAACGGTACGCTAAGCTCCAGCTCAGCCAATTTGGTTGTGCGAAAGATCAAATACTGGGAAGAACGTTCAAAGTGGTAGTTTAGCAATTGCGGTCAAATCTTTGATGTCGTTGAGGGTGACTGATGATTTATTTGGAAAAAGAAATTATGAGATCTCAAGAAGCTGGGCTAAAACAACATGCCCTGTGCTTGTCGCATGCTGCAAGAGCACAAAGAGGTAGGTCCAAAGAGGGAGTGAGTGTGAATGAAAAGAGACAATGAATGCGCTTCTGGGCTGTTTGTGTTCGAAATTTGGATCTACACATTGTTGATATCAGCCCTGAACCTTGTTTGTGTTTGTTTCTATTTTTGGATGAGCTAAAGACAGGGATCAAGGCAAGCCTTTTCTCCGTGCCGCTTTTTAAGATTTCGCTACCCGCATCTCCACGTCTTTAGCGTCTTCCCGAGAGCAGGCAACTGGGTACCTTAGCTACTGCCATACATGTATACAGGCAAGGGGTCTTTTGCACATGCATCTCTGCCATCATTGGCCGAAAGAGAGACTCCAAATGGAGAAGTGAGGCAATACAAGCATCATTGTAAACCGGTCTGATCACTGACCTTGTATGTGCACTCTTATAGTTGATGACTCAATACAACGCATCGATTTGAAGACATGTAACGTAGGAGAAGGTGTAGCAGGTGTAGCAGGTGTAGTAGGTGTAGTAGGTGTAGTAGGTACAGTATATAGTAGGCATAGTAGGTAGGTAGGTAGGTATAATAAGTGTAGTAGATGTAGTAGATGTAGTAGATGTAGTAGATGTAGTAGATGTAGTAGATGTAGTAGATGTAGTAGATGTACTAGATGTACTAGATGTACTAGATGTACTAGATGTACTAGATGTACTAGATGTACTAGATGTACTAGATGTACTAGATGTACTAGATGTACTAGATGTAGTAGTGGAGATTTTCTCAGTATAGTTCAGCTGGAAACGGCCAAAAGACAATATTTCAGCCAGCAATGGAATAAAAAGACCAGATCCACGCACACAGAATATAAAAAGAGGACAATGTACCCTCAGGATTGCTTCTTATAACAGAACCTTCTCATCTAGAAGCAAATTGACCAAACGCTCACTCAATTCGCACAGGCTGCATCCGCTTACATCATGGCCGCCACCGACCAAGACACAGCAACAAACAGCTCAAGTTCATCCGAGAGCATCCTGGACACGACGACAACCGAGCCTGACACCACTCGACGTATCTTGGCGGAGCTTCAGAGCGCATTCGATGCTTTAAAGCGGGTTGTAGAACCAGAGGTAGCGCCAGACCAAGAGCAGCCGGAACCAGATCCTCAGGGGAGCATCATGCTCGCATCCCTTGGAATTGAGATCGCTTACAGGAAGAAAGAGGCGATTCAACTCGAGCGAGATACGGTGGCCAAGCAGCGGAAAGCTGGTGCAAAAGATAGGGACGCTGATGAAATAGTCCAAAGTCAGAACCAGCGTTACTTTTCTGCGGGAAGCGACCTGTGGAGGCATCAAACGAGCAAGATGCGATTTGGAGGCCCTTCACAAGTATGATTGATAGACCCATCTGGCGGTGACCTCTCTCAAAGCCTCATGGCTCTCTACAAGCTTGACGAGCTTGACAAATGGAAAAGCCAGTTTCCGAGAAAAGCCAAATCAAGATGGCGTCCATGGAAAGGTCGCGATTCGAGATGGCGTCGAGACGCTTTGGCCTACTACAAAGGCAACTATGGCGACCACCACGACGAGAGCCACGAAGACGCCCCTCATAATGCAACTTGGTGCCATATAACCGGCAGTTGGCATTCATCAGATTTTCATAGAGCCGCACACATCGTACCCCCTTTTCTCGACGACCACGGCTTTGGTAAATTGCTATTTGGCGACCGAAGCCAATCACTTCTAGGAGCTGGGAAATGCACTTCTTTTGTCGGATTGGGTTAAGGGGTGGTTCGACAGCTATGACATCGTAGTTGTCCCCGTCGATGCTAAGGAAACTCCCATTACACAATGGCGCGCAGAGATCGTTTCGCCTTATTTACAGAAGGATAAATTAGTCCCAGGCTTATATGGCAAGGACATACATGGGAAGGAGCTAGTGTTTCTCAACGAGAACCGCCCAGTCCCACGCTTTCTCTATTTCCATTTCATTATGGCGCTCATTCGCATCAAAGATATTCAACGTCTTGGATGGGAGGCTGTCTGGGCCCGGTATCACGAGCAACGCCCTTTCCCAACACCAAGCAAGTACATGCGAGAGAGCATGTTGCTTTCCCTGGCTACTCATTTCGGAACCACCCACATGCATGTTGTGGAGACTTGGATCGTGGATTACGGTTTTGAGTCACCTTTGAAACTGACCGAGGACGAATCTGTAGAAGCAGCCCGCCGGGTGCATATGGCGGTAGTAGAAAGAGCTGAACGTGCAAACAGGCTGGGGATGTACGAGGATAGCGACGATAGCGACGATGAGAGTGATTTGGACAGTGAGGAGGAATAAAGGGGAAAGCTACTCGTGATGTCAACTTGACGACAGCAACTCGGCAAAATAGTAGTTTTGGACAAGTGCGAGCTCACTATAGAGGAGTTTACACATTGAAAATATACAATAAAGCCTGATTTATACTGAGAATGGAAGAAAGAATCAACCGCTGCCATTGAGTCATGTCAATGGACTGTAAAAGCCAAGAAGAAGCTACCTGGAACATGAACTGGCCACCAACCCAATTGACCAAGAAGATAGATATTAATACAAAGAAGCAGACGGCGGCTATTATCTCCGAACTACGAAAGGAAATGCGTTTAGTGAAACAGGACTTGGAGTATGTATGGCGTAAGCTGCCAGAGTCTTGTGACCTGATGACCGCAGACGTGGATTATCGTCTGCGAGATAGTCTGGTCGGTTTCTCTGCTGACGCAGGATATCCCTTTAGCCCGTAATAGGACTTGCCTCCGGTATTCGACTTTATGGAAGAGATGGGACGAGCCGAGAACAGGCGAGCCAGCGACAACGAACAGCTGAGAGCTGCAGAAAGTTAAGATGGTAAAGAAAATTGAGCGGATTTAGAGCAGCTACGTGAGACTGGAGTACATTTAGTCTAGTCAGGCGTAGTAGATCCAGCAGGTTTATAATTCTATTCGGTGTATTGAGGTTTCTTAATCTAATAAAAATAGTAGAAATAGTCAAAGTAGCAATGATGGTGGAATTAGTAAAGACTGTAGAAGCAATTCCCGCAAGCTGAGGTAGGATACACACAGATATTTCATAATCCAACATACCAATTTACGCCTTGTAGCACATCTTGGCCTATTTTCAACCGAAACTGAGTGGTCAAAATCTGTGTCTGACCATATCAGCTACCTGACTTTGAATCCCAGAATTTAACTGAATATAAATCACTAATAATATCTGTATAGAAAAAATCTCGTCACGGCGCTCGTTACTCTCGTAGAGATGCCCATTACTCTCGTCATCCCCGGCCTCCATCGACAACTCGCATGAGTAGAAGTGAAGAGGCCTTACGACATGTGAGCGCTGGCTCACATCAGCTTTTTGACAATTATGTAGCAAGTGTGCTCAAGCTTTTCGCAGCACTGGGTTCCAAGGATTAGCAGTGTGTCCATCGTCCAAGGATATACCTTGACTGAGCATTCATAATACGGCGCAGTTCAGAGAGTCTTTCCGGTGAACGGCCATAAAGCTGCGCTAGATCGTCACGATCACTCTGGGGAGTGTCGTTTGCTGTATCCACCAGCGCGCCATCTTCTCCCTTTCGAAGTTCATAAAACATATATGGCGTCTTGGCATCAGCCCATTCCCAAGCTTGGACGCTGGGACGATAACGTGGTAAGCAATGCGGCAGGAACAGAAAATAGAGGTAAACGAAAAGACAAGTTGACATGTACTCACCTGAATACGTTACATGATAACAGCAACTTCCGTACATCAACACGGTCCACCCACGGTTGGTCCGCACCCCAGAGATAGACGACGAAAAGCCAATCTCCGTAAAGAAATTTGTGTTTCTGGCGTGAAAACACAAATCGCTTTCCACAGGTTATATTAGGCGGAGCATCGTCAAGTTGTGTACGATGATGAGACTCTGTCCTTTTTGTCACAGGATAATCTTTCCATGACCTTATAGACGTTATCTGACCCGGATCGCTTAACTGGGAGGGAGCATCGACTAAAAAGCACCGCACAAGCATGCGCCAGGGCGGCAGTGGGCCTTTCTGACCGTGCTCGCTGCTGTATCCCTTGGGAAGCGCATGATAGGAGATGAGCCATCTAAATGGTCGCACTTCGGGTGGTGTCTCAGGACTGATGATGATACGCTGCATAGTTGTGTATTGCCGACGGCGTCTTTCCATTTCAACGGCGATAGCCTTATTATCGTCTTCATCGTCAACAGATTTCACCAGCCATTTTGGGGAAATTGTATTGTTTGGTAGGAAAGGCTCCGCATCCTCGGTATAGACGGGACATGGATCGCTGTCGTTGCGAGCGTCCTGAGACGACACATTCACCGTTGTATGCTTTATAGGGGACATGATACAAACATTCGAAGCCGATTATCCTGCCAGAGGTCTCTTCAACAGGATGGAAACAGGATTTATCATGCGATGGTGTCCTCAGCGTAATATATATACAGGTACTTGAAGTGGTCGGTCCGACGCAAAAGCATAATTACATGTAAAACAGCCACTTATACGAGGCAGAAGCGAGATAAATATGCGTACCCCGCCACCAAACCTATTTCGCCTTATATACCGCCTCACATACATCTAAAATTTAGTGCCGACTTCTTCCCCACATCAAGCTCAGCCAGATTTGCGAATTTACGTGCCTAATCGAGCATCGCCCATGAAGTCACGATAATGCATAACGATAGGTTCTAGTGCCATACTCCTCTGTGGATCACGGTTCGATTTAAAGGCTTGCGCAAATTATTGTATTATCATTTTTATCTGGAAGTTATTTGGCTTGGGTAGAGAGATTGGGTAGATAACCTGATGGCTGTTGGGGTGGCAGAGCTATTAATGTATATCAGGCTGCATGTCGATCCTGCGAGGCATTCGCGCCAATAAGATCCTTGCTTACCAGCACAATGCAGATAACCAATTGGCTACGTTTATTATGGTGTGGCAATTGTGGCAGTCAAGTCCGCGTCGCGTCCGAGACTGGGCAGTTCAAAATGCCTATTCCAATATCTTCACATACATTCAGTTGCAGTTTGGTAGAACCTTCACTGAAAATAGGCGACTTCGATCAATGGCATCCCTTTCAAATTTAACAACTGCATTCATGAAAGCATCTCACGAGACAACTTTGACGCTTGCCAACCTCAACTTCAACTTTGCGCTGATTAAATACGACGCACCAGAAGAGTATCACGCGCTTGGAGAGTCTCTCTCCTCTCATCGAAGAAAGGCCGCCGAAGATGGAGCAATACATGTTGCAGCGCGAAAACTTACAGCTTTGTTTCAAAGCGTGATTCCTCCCGTGCCCAAGCTCATCCATGCATATGGACTTCGAGTCAGCGAGATCGCCAAGCTACCGACCGTCAACCCCAAAGGAACACCAAAACAGGGACTATTTGCAGACCACGTTGGGGCGGACGGGACCAGTATTTGGGCCTCTGCTACTTCGGGAAGCGAGGCCGTAACGATGCATTTACTCGCCTGCATGCTGGCGAGGATATGGAAGAGAGAAGAAGCTATAGCTATATGGACGGAATTCGTTCAGCAGAGGAAATTACACCTCCAAAGCGGCATTACAGAATGCGACGGGCCCCTCAAAATCTCAGACTTGGCTGCCTCTCATATCGAGCTGACTCGAACTGAGCTGGACGAATGGGACGCAAGTGCGAGGTATGTGACTGCGTGTAATCTAATGTCGCTGTGGCCTCGTTTCTTTCTAATTGTACGGCATCGTTTAGATCATGGCTTCAGACCGCCGATGAAGGCCAAAAGCTCCGACAGACCCAATTACGTCTAATCATCGACAATATCTCCTTGCCTGTTTGGTCGGGCGGTAACATTTATTCTGCCATCTTGGAAGCCTGGATAAATGCCCTGGAAACCATGGAGAGTCTTATCAAAGGCGCTCCACATCACATCAGCAACGGTGCTATCCTCTTGGCGCTATCCGCATGGCACCTGTATCCTGACATGTTCTTTGCTGGTACTAACCAACATATCAGCCAATCCGACCCTTTGGTTAGCCAAGGCGGTCTCATATCTATCGGCCTAACAAACAAGACTGAAGATGGAAAGGGTGTCTTCTGGTCTTTGCCATTGACCCAAGCAAGGTATTATGGAGAGCCAATCACGGCAATGCGACATGCGGGTGTAGGCGAATCGCAAGTTCAGTTTGATGATTTCACACTTGTTGCTATTGGCAGTGCTTTGGGTTCGTGGCAACAGCCAGTGCTCGATGTCGACGATGCATTAGAGTTGATAAAATGTATCAGCAACGCAGCAGTGGCAGCGCATAAGAAGGCTGCGGCCTTTCGAAACTGGAGTGGCCACGACTGGGCTGAGTGGTTATCTCTGTTTACAGCAGCTATTGATCGATACACCCAATCGACCGGCGTTGAAAAGCAAAATCTAACTAGACTCATTAGATTTGGTCAGCGAAATTGCGCAGCCTGTTTGGCCTCGCCGCAGAATTACCCTGCGCCAGCATTTGGGCTGGCAAATTTCTCTCTTCTGATGAAATTTTTCGATAGTGATACCGAGGCCGCAATTTCTTTCCTTCGGAGCTGGGGTGCAAGAGAACTCGAGCCTCGAATTGCGGCTGCTGCAGTCATTAGATACCGGGTCAGCCAGGGTGCCATATATCATTATACCTACATCGATGTTGATCCCGACTCGGAACCTCCATCGAAGAAGCAAAAGTTTGAGAATGGCCCGAGCATATTTGTGAATGACCATAGCATAAAGTCCACTAGCAGTCGCGGCATTAGATGGTCAGAAGATGACGACGAGCAATTCTCGACGCCCGATTTCATTCACGGATGGCTGAAAGATGAAGAATTCTCGAGAGCTGCATTCTTTACGGTTGGGGAAGAACGAATTCAGGAATGTGCCTCTATCCCCCCAAGCTTTGGGGCTCAACCGGAACCATATTATTTCGTCTGTGGCGATGCCAAAACGGCAATTTACCTTCCTTGGAGCCACAAACTACGAAAGCCGATGCAAAATAACTGCATGGATGTCATGCAGCTGTAAGATGCATCAAAGAAGGAAATATCAGCTCGGCCCACATCGTGGAAACACTTGAAGAGGTCAGTAAGTCCACCTCTTTGGAGAAATCTGGCGACTACTTCGAATCGCTCTGCGCAATTGAGACGGCGAGCAAAATCTACTCAAGATTGCCTGGAGCGCGAGTAGACCTCCAAGTTATTCGCATGCAAATAAGCAAGTCAAAATGGTGGCAAAGTCTGAAAAGCCTGGTGTCTCTTCAATCCATGAAGCTAAGGACCACCATGTGCTGCATTGCCTTTTTCGAGACGGGGACAATCGATTTGGATCCCGAAGAATTGGGGGATCACAGTTTCGCAGTCTGTCACGCAAACTCCATATTCGTCGGCAGTCGTCTCCTCAGCGACCCCATAAACGAAATCCCTCATCACTTCATCGAGAGAATCATTGGCAATGTTGGCAAACCGGGTCTCACTTTCTTAGTTACACCACCCGATCCGATGGTCCAGGATTTTGATCCTTCACTGTGGCATCTGATTGCACACGAGAAGTTTGACGGCCTGGCGCAGGACAGCTTCCAAGGAACGTCCTTCCACCTCTCTTTCACCGGATATGAACATTCCCTGCACGTGGGCCAAAGGAGTGTTCGCGATGTTCCTGCCCGATTGCTCGAAACCGCCGTCTCAGTGTATGACAGGGGCAAATGGATTGCCGATTTGGACATCTTAGAAGCATCAATGCGCTGGATGAGAGCACCAAAGTTATCCTGTCCTCATCTGAATGGCGCCGAAAGAGGCGTTCCTGACCTCGACCTTGTATCTGTTGATACCTGGCTGGAACTTCTGGACCCCCCGCAAGAAGGTCAAGATTCGGTGATACGTGCGCATGAGAATCCCATTGCGAGGATCGCAGCGGCAGCATTGGCCGTGCGAAAGCGTCGCAGTGTGGTCATCCTACCGAACAAGGTGTGCTGGCAGTGCCAAAGCCTAAAAGCCATTGGAGATCAGCTTTGTTGGGTATCTGGCAGTGACGTCCGGAAACTTCGAAATGAGTTCAAGGGCTCAAACTCGGTCGGTTCAGCGGATATGTCGTCCAATAGCTCCGAGAAAGATGGCGAAAAGGAGGATATAGTAACAGGCGCATTTCTTATTTATTAGGGATAAATGTACGTTTTTGTCACGAAATCAGCCAAGTCGAGCGCATGAAACAGACATCGGCAACAAGGAATAAAACGAAGGAGAGATGGCAGAAGTTAGGGAGTCGCACGCAGGAGGATCGGTCCAGTTGACCAAAAACGTATAAGAAAGCTTAGTGTCGATGTGTTTCAACGAGCCGCATCGAGCTCAGTTGGCGATTACGATTGGTTTCCAGTCACATGATCGGCCCGGCTAGCTCAATCGGTAGAGCGTGAGACTCTTATGAAGTACACGTTCTGTATTGCAATCTCAAGGTTGCGGGTTCGACCCCCGCGTTGGGCTTTTCCTATATATCCTGCCAACTGAGATGGTGCGGTTATTTTTTGGTTCTATGAAAAATCATTGACCCTTTGAATCTTTTTTTTCTCCCAGTGTAACTCTGGTAGTAACGTAATGTGATCAATATCTCTCCCTTGCGTCTTATAAGGTCGAGATGGCTTGTGGACTCGGCAGCTAACACGAAGCTTAGTCATGTCCGATTCGAGCTTGCCTAGACTACTCTCAACCCCTCTATCAAGGTCATTGCGCCTTGGCGTCTGCCTGAGTTGATCGAGAGATTCCGGTGAGTATCTCGTCAGCTTGTCTTACTGCCTTGCTAGTATTGACCATCTTCCAGAGGACGTAGCGATTTGTTAAAGTATGCCGCAGAGAACGGAATCCCCGTTTCATCAACCCCTTCTAAGCCATGGAGCATGGACGAGGTTAGTATACCATGGTCCTTGGTCGCTTTCTCAGGTTACCAACATAGTTTCACAGAACCTTGTTCACGTAAGTAAACGTTTTAGCGAGATATGGACAGTGTTCTTTACAGAATATGCTAATTTTCTTGAAAATGGAGTGCTCGTACGAGGCGGGCATCTTGATAGGTATAGTTCTTGATGAACTGTGATTTTTGGTAAATACATTTACTAACATTTATCAGGAGGACCCAAGCCTTCCCCCTCCTGACAACGTGTGAGTCATGACCAAGTACGCTTCCTCTCAGGCCAAGCCATTTTCTGATACCTAATAGAGTGCACAGGTCTCCCAAAGAAGCCCCTGAAGTCCCCCAGGAATTCTCAATTCATTTCGACAAGGGGTATGTTCTCTCCATCACCTAAAATGATCGCGTAGACTAATTCTTGGTACCAGTATTATCTCCTAGGTCGTTATTGGTGACGAAGTAGTTACCGATTCTGTGGCCTCCTTCAAGCGATGGAACCGTTCGTCTCACCCTAGAAACACTGACTCTAGAATGACTTACCTAACCCGTGAAACAGAGATTGGCTACGAGCATGGTATTGGCCGTGTCTATGTGAGTTTTTATCATTTTTTTTATTTCTGGATGTTGGCTAACTGTGATGCAGATTGTCGAGAACCGTACGTATCATACAACTCTTCCTTGGTGCTTGTGAGGGCATGGCTTTGATGGATGGATCAGAACACTACCCCTTGATCATTAATATAATGATATGCTAACAAAACTGTGTAGGTTTCATTAGCCTGAAGAGCCGAGGTACGTCAACCCAAGACAACTGCTAGCATAACAATCATTTACTAACTCATTTTTATATAGGCCGCTACGAGTAAGCATATTCCCGAAAGAATGCATCTGGTTCTATTTTGGACGTTCTTACTGACAATTTCTTCTTCTATTGTAGTACCCCCGGATTGACCAGTAAGTTTCTCGCCTTGACTGCGTCTTTCATGAGATATGAAGACATGCTGACTGCCATTAGTTGCCCGCTTGGCCCACATCGATCTCGAAGGTCTCGTCATGGACTCCCGTGTCCGTGAGCTCCGCGACCAGTTCACAAGCTTGGCGTATGCCAAGATCCTCTACAACGGCTTCTACTTCAGCCCCGAGCGAGAGTTTGTAAGTCATCAACGAAAACTCCTGGAAAATGAACAAAGCTGAACGTCTCCCAGGTCGAGAACTCCATCGTCTTCTCTCAGCGCAACGTTACCGGAGAGGTCAAGCTGGCTGCTTAAAAGGGCAACGCCTATGTCCTTGGCCGCTCCAGCAACGCCTCCAACCTCTACTCTAAGCAGGACGCTTCCATAGACTCCCTTGAGGGCTTCTCTCCCATGGACACCACTGGCTTCATTGCCATCCAGGCCATCCGCCTCAAGAAATTTGGCCAGCAAAAGATTATCGACGGAGAGCCTCTCTACAAGGCTCAAATATGATGTAAACAAAATGGCTATTTTGAGTTAGGGTACTGCGGGCACACCAAAAAGGGATTAATGAAAAGGCAATACGAAGCGAATAATTCAACAGGGTGATCCTAGTGACACAAGGACCACACCTCAGAACTAACAGGGAACATGCCTCCCACCTATGAATGTTGTAAACTGTGATTAATATTCCACCAATGATGTAGGACTACAGCGTATTCAGCCTCATCTACATCCATCCTACACACATATACTTACCTAGGTACATGTACCTGGTAGACCTCATCAAGTACAGGTATGTCACAACAGCCCGCAATGAAGAAGAAAGAGACGATAGGCTAACCAGAAACTTGTTATAGACATTAGGGATATAAAAACGATATGATTTCCTAGAGCTAATATGCAGCACAGCCATGTAAGACACTGCCGTTTCCGGCTACCTTTGTCCACCAAAGTGCTTGTGATGTAGGCAACCATCACGAAAGTACAATATGTCAATCAGGCTGTAATGGCACCCTCCTCCTGAAGGATTCTGATTTCTGATCCTATTAATAGGTGCCACGCATCCATACCGTTGTCGTTGAATGAGGAGCTGAACGTGGGGCTGAGCCAATAGAGAGAGAGAGTATCAGCCGCAAATCAAGGGTCTAAGAGGCAATAAGACGAGGCTGTGAAACAACCGATAGAGTCTGCCTGGCTTATTTCTCGTCTCCTCGCTCTCTTCTCCTCTTTGTCTCTCTTTTCCACTTGCGATTCTCTTCTTCCCCTGCAGGGATCTTACGAGTTCATGTCATCGAGCCAGATTGAAATCTACGCAAAAGAGCCATCTCTTCTGCCATGACCACTCTTTATCAACGCATTGCCCCAAATGAACGGTCCGAGCCTACAGGTATTATGATTGAGAGCCGCGGAAGCCTCGAGCCTGAAGAAGCAGCGGGTAATGAAAGCTCCGCACATGACTCGCCTGCTGCCTCTAAGACCATCACCTCTACTACTACAGAAGTTACCAACAATCAAGGCAAGGTTGTCCTGAGTCGATCTCTTTCCACGGGTCATCTCTTGGAATGGCTCATTCACTTTGTCGCCATCGGCATAAGCATCAGCATCTGCCTACTTCATTTCAAACAAGTGTACTGGACAGACGAGTCGATATTATCTAAAAGATGGCGCTGGGTATATCTTGTGTCTCTTGACCTAAACGACATCATCAAAGCTCTCCAGTTCGCTTCCAAAGCCCATGAAATTCTCATGGTAGCTTCCATCGGCGCAATCGTGCTGTATTTCGCACGGCGCCGCCTGGTTAGACAAGAGGGCATCACGCTAGGCCTGCTGATGAGCAGTTACAGGATCGACACGCCCGCCAATATCCTGTCGTCCAAATTCTGGTCAGCTCTCGGCTTCGACGCAAGTTGGAAGACAGTTGTTCTCAGCCTACTGCTGCTCGTCTCAGCCATTCTTTGCCAGCTCGTGGGCCCAGCCTCGGCCGGCGTGATGCAGCCCAGCCTTGACTGGTGGAACGTATCAGACCCGTACAAGGGCCAGATACTGCCCCTTTACCTGTCCGTCAGGAGCGGCGAGACATATCCCCTGGCGTTGAACGAGAGCAATTGGCCCCTGGAGACCTACGATCCCAATAGCAACAACTTTATACCAGAAAACGCGACTGCCTGCTTGGATGACGCTTCTTCGAACTTCTGGTGCCCTGCGTATGGCTTCGACGTCGTGGAAACTTGGGTAGTATCGAATTATCAGGACCATGCAACGCCCAATATCACAGTAACAGGGACCAGCGGCACGCAGAGGACGCTTACGGCAGACTTGATCGCGGATGGAACTGCCATCGCGGCGACGCACTCGAACTGGGTCATCCGTATGTTCGGCCTCTTTTCCCTGTATGTGAAGCATCATTCCAACCTCACCGCCAGCTCCATCACGTTGCCGATGTACACTTCCACCGACCCAATATACGCCCCCGTTGTTCAAGTGCAGTGCCACGCTGTTGTTGCCACTGAGACAGGTACGGTCAGCTTCCTCACAGATCAGCTCACCAATTACACCGACTCTGGAGCCGATCGATACAATCCTCAAATGTCCTGGCCAGTGCCCCATGAAGCCTTTGTCCTCCACAATAAATCGGATGCCGTCCATTTCACATGGGTTGATCTTTCAAAGACCCAAGACGGACGGCAGCAGACGACGAACATGTGGCGTCCATCATTGGGTGCCGTGGCCAAGATACCTGGCTGGGTGGACGGACGGGAGAGTTTCTACGCCATCCCTTGCATCATTGACGCTCGATGGGCGGCGTCCTCGGCGACTTACCAGCCCACAATTAGCGATATAGTCCTCAGCAATCTATCCAGCCCGGCGGCTCTCGCAAACAGCACAGATTCCACCTCCGCCACACCAAAACGAAAACCAAAGCCAAAGGCAATCTCAGGCCAGCAGCTGGGCATCGGAGATGCTATCCAGATAGGCCTCAACTGGGCAGACGCTCTGAATCCCCTTGGGTATATGTTTGGCCACACGCAAAACCTCACGAGTATCGAGGCGATGCTGGACACCTACGTCAGAGAAATTGAAAACAACGGCACTGGTTACGGCGCCTTCACGGTGGGAGTAAACAACAACACCTACTTAAACGACACTACACAGCTCATGCAGGCGGCAGCAAACACAACGGCCACCATTCTGAGCCTCGCAATTGCCGATGGGCTATCACGTCTCGGTGACGGAACCTGGAACATGGTTGTTCTAAACACCCCTGGGAACGGCAACGTCACCTGGACAGCTATAGACTTTGACTTCTATCCTACCAACTCCTCAGAGGCAAGTTTCATGAAGCAATTCACGTCCATCAGGATCCAAGTCAGTCGCTATGGCTGGGCATACGGCTGGTCCGCCGTCATCATACTCGACGTCATCGTTCTGCTTATGCACGTTTCCATGGTTGTCCTTTACGCTGGCTTTCACCTCCTCTATGTTTTTTGTTTCTGGGATGACTGGTGGCTTACAAACACGTGGAATAACGCTGCGGAGCTCATCATACTGGCCTGGGACTCGTCGCCGACTGAGGTGTTTCGCAACGCAGAAAAGACCAAGTCGTCGCTTTGGGCCCAGAATATCAAGGTTAGGGAGACCCCTGGCGGAGATGCAATGGAGCTGGTGGCTGGAGGACCAAACACGACTTTCGATGTGGGCTTGCTAAGGCCTAGGGGAAAAAACATGCAGCATATTTGATATTGGGAGATATTGCCCAGCATTCCATCCTTTTCGATATTTGGCACCTTGAGTGTGGCTGTTGACATGAGTTTATTGCACTGCTATCTGTTGCTTCTATTATTATCTACTGTTTCTACCGTCATCTACTGTTTCTACCGTCATCTACTGTTTCTACCGTCATCTACTGTTTCTACCGTCATCTACTGTTTCTACCGTCATCTACTGTTTCTACTGTCATCTACCAGTAATCAAACGTTTCTATATTCAGATTGACTGTCTTATTGACCTACAGCGGAGGGTAAAAAATGAACCCGGGGAGCGATTAAACCCGGGGAGCGAATACTCTTTGTCTACCTAATTCAGACATACTTCCCTAGGTAGGATATGACATACCTATTAAAAGGTAGATGATGCAGTTTGGATACAAAACGTACTCTATACTAGAACGGTCTTTTCTGTACGACTCTTAAGTCAAAGGAAAAATTGAGTACTGCATCGGTAAATTCCCATTTGATGAGTGTTATACAATGGCTGCAAGCAATAAAGTGGAAATTATCACAACTTTTGAAGACTTCATAGCGCCACGGCTCGTAAACCTTTTGACAGGCATTAAGCGTCCCAAACTTCAGTGAGCGTTTTCGACCGACCCGTGCTATTACCGTAAGGAACAGTATGGTCATCATGTATCTCTACCAAAAGTACTATTAGTAGCAATTGATATCGAATCGCAAGCTATCTGTACCGCAAAAGAAGTGAAACTAGCGTCAACCAGCGTTCCGAAGTCAAAGGCCGCAAAGTAAGCACGAAATAGAATCACCGCTCTGTTACCATTATGTCTTTCTACTTCAGACAGCATAATCCAGAGCTGTCCTCGGACACAAATATTTACCCACAATTAGCTGTATTATATTTCAGAAAACAATTTGTCAGCCCTTGTATATAATTACCTAAAAAGTCAATAGGTAAATTTCCCTATTCTCTGCTTTATGTAACAGTTGGGAGCGCTAATGGCAAAATAGGCATTTGTTATGAATTCATGTTTATTAATCACTTCAGACAATTATCCAAGCGTCTCCGAGCTCATGTATCATGTATATTTAAGACTGCTAAGTCGACTGTTGGAGTATACCAATGCGTTCAGCCTCTCTATCTCAGTCCTATCTGTTAAATTACTCTTACTAGACTATTCTCAGAGCACTAATTCATCTCAATATCATGGCGTCGCATCCCCCAGGCAGCTGCTGCACGACTGGAACTCTTCACATGTACGTACCATGACGTGCCGGTATTTTCGGAACGTGCCGGAGTATGTAGAAGATATTAATACCGTCTTTACTTCAGAGGTGATCCAAAGGGCAAGTTTCTCAAGATAGACGGTGGAATCGATGCCTATCTCGCTACACCATCGGAAGACAATGCTCACAGCGGTGTCGGCATTCTTTTTGTTCCAGAAGTCATGGGCATCTACGCCAACAGTCAACTATTGGCAGATAGCTTCGCCGCCAAAGGATACACCACACTAGTCCCAGACGTATTCAACGGCGATGCAATTCCACTCAACAAATTCCCCAATGTTGATCTCTTGAACTGGGTTGCAAAGGGTTTTGATGGTAAAAGCCCACACACTACTGAATACGTCGACCCTATTGTTATTGCAGCGATTAAAGCACTAAGAGAGCTCGGAGTATCTAAAATTGGGGGTGTTGGATATTGCTTCGGTGCCAAGGTAAGTTCAGCTCATATCAATTCATCCAATTTTTATGTTGACGTTAGTAGTATGTGATACGACACTTCAAGAGTGGTATTGAAGCGGCATTTGTCGCACACCCCAGTTTTGTTGAAGAGGACGAGTTGGCTGCCTTGACTGGTCCTTTATCCATTGCTGCAGCTCAAACGGACTCGATCTTCCCAGCCTCTAAAAGGCACAAATCGGAAGAAATACTGATCAAAACCGGCCAGCCTTTTCAAATCAACTTGTTTTCAGGAGTCGAGCATGGCTTCGGTATTCGAGGCGATCCAGATGTGAAGATAGAGAAATTTGCAAAAGAACAAGCGTTTGATCAAGCAGTCACTTGGTTTAATGAACATTTGCTAATTTAGACTATTTTTGTAGAATGTTTTCTTGTAAAACAGATAATTAATAAGTGTATAAGTTTATTAGTACAACTAGCAATCTATACCAGAAAGGCCCAATAACTTCTACTTTCCTAGCTGATCCAAAGCCCGGGCAAGTTTCATGTCCTTCGTTACCTCGCTCAATGATATCTTCTGCCCCGGTAGTGTCTGTCACCCCTGTAACTGCCATACGGCCCTCCTCGCCTATGGTCCCCCCGGTCCCGAGAGCCGTGATGGCCGTGTCCACCACGATAACCTCCGCGACCACCCCCTTCGGCGTGCTCATATCTCGGCGGCGGTATCGGCTCTTCCACCTCAACCTCGTACTCTTCATACTCCTCGTTGTGAAACTGCGCCACTGTGTCTTGCTCCTCTCGAGCTGCCTCAGGGTCAAAAACGAACCGCATGGTACCATCCTGCCCACGAGCTGTTCGCCTCATTGACGCATCGCCAGGCCACGATGACGCTGTTGCGGTGGGTGAAGTCGCAGAGCCAGGGGTGACGAGAGGGGCATCCTCGTTCTCGCAGCGACTGCAGTAATACATGTGTCGAGAGATGAATTCCTTTTCGAGCTCCGTGTTAAGGGCGATCTTGATGTCCATGAATCGGTTTAGGTCAAATTGCGCGCCGACCTTGGTCGACTTGTGGTATTGTACGTATAAATCCAGAATGTCCAGCATCGTCTCGAGCACAGCCGGTCGAGAATACTGCCGCCGCTGAGCAACAAAGGCCTCGACTTTGTCCAAATGCTCGCCAGTCATGCGGGCTGTGAGCTCCACCAGGGCCATGACCATGGAGAAGGTAGTTCGCTTGATGGGGACGAACGTTTTGTACATGTCGATGCTCATGGCATAGGCAATGTTGAAGAAGGATTTCCCCTCTTCAGGGCCGAGAATACTGCGAATAACCTTTACCAGCAGCTTCTGGGGATAGCGTGTGCGAAAGTCAAAGCCAATCGTTTCGAGGATCAGTCGCTCTAGGCCAATAATGATTTTGCCAGGAGATTCGAAGATCTATGTATATGCTTGTTAGTCTAGGTCAAGTAGACATATATAATGCTGTATAGATCTAGGGTCGAGGGGCAAAGCTCACGCACCTTGTCGTCCGACGCCACGGGCTTCTCAGGGTTCTTAACGTTGTAGGCCGCCGCGAGGATATCCTTGGACTTCTTAATCGTATCTTCAACCTTGCACGCGACAAACAGCGAGGCCAGGGCCGCGTCCTGGTAGTTGTACTCGGCATCGCGGAAGTTGAGGCGAAACTTGTGGAAATACGTGCACGCCGTGTCAAAGGTCCGCACCGGCCTGTGGTTTCATCACCCTGGTTAGCTTTTGCAGAAACAAAGTAGAGAAGTAGAGAAGGTCATCTTACGCACAGATTCAGGTGCTGCCTCACAGTGTCTATGAGCTGAACGCCCTGCAGGCGGTAATTATCCTCTCGCGCGGGATCGCAGCCATTGTCCTTGAGCATGCGTCGAATCTTGAGCTCGGAAGAGTATTGGTTCGAGCTGGAGATGTAGCCGGGGTGAGGCCCAATTCGCGAGGCTGGGTCGCCATTTGAAGCCGCTGGAGGCACTTCAGCGTCTGTTGAGGACATTATTGATGATAATATAGTGGTAGAACGAGGTAAAATCTGAGTATGGTCGTTTTAAGCCGCGAATCGGGTCGAATTGAGTCGAAGGCGGCAGCAGCCAAGCTATGATGTCCTGTTCTTGATTCTCTGCTGCTCCTTTCCAGCCAAGGGCACAATCAACACTGCTCTCAATGCTTTTTAGTAGTCGTATGGGACATTATTGACGCCTTTTCATCGTGATATCGAATCTGAATCGCTAAGTCGAGGAGGGAGCATACGTAGAGTGGCTGATGTCCGAAAGTATCAAGATGCAATCAAGTCCACTAAACTTTCCACAGCGCGCAAACATGCCGCACACGCGGATTAGCTCCGCTAATGACGCAGTTTAGCGATTGTGAATGGCACAGCGACTTACCCTACATTAAATGGAGCAATCGGGAAAATACATTCAAGTCACTGGAAGAAAGCATATCTATTTAGAAAAATCAAGAAAAAATATATATTCCACTTATATCTAATATTCTATTGGACCATCTCTGACCGCTGTCGAATTCAACAAGTCTCAAAATTCTTGGACGTGTAGCTAGCAATATGCTCAACGCCTCTCAGCATAATGCACAAAGGTATATTCATCATGCGTAATATTGTTTCGTTTTATTTTGTAAAAAGGCTGCATCTTTACCCTGCCATGAGAAGCGTGACTTCAAAAAATGTCTCATCATCAAGTATTTGAAAACCGAGTGCAATAGTGTATTCAGCCAAAGCCCGCTGCTCTAGTTGGGCTTGCTGAGCTCAGGCACGGCCGGAGCATTGCTCACAGGAGTAGAGCCGCCAGAAAAGTTTGGTCGGTAGAGGTTGAAGGGAAGGCCCATGGCCACAGAGGCAGAGCCCAGGACAGCGAGGAAGAGAGTAGAAGGCTGCATGGTTGCGAATGTATGCTGAGAATAGAGACGAAGATGTGTGATGAGGGTATCGGTGCGGCTGGCGCAAATGTGGTGTGAAGATTCAATAAATAGCAAAAGAATGAAGAACTTGTATGAAATACTACGAGAGCTAGCTCAGTAGATTGACGGCAGCGTGAAAGAAATGGATACTGAACAAAACGAAACGATCTCTTCACAGACCTAAAAGGCGGATGCAGCGCACTTATATGGTGTTCACGACGCAGCAGCCATCAGGGGCTGACGCGCAGCCATTCACTCGTCATCTGAAACACGCCTCCGCGATTATTCCCAGCGGACAATAGGCGCTGAACAAAAACGAGCGCCTTTAGGCCAGCGCATGAGACAGACAGCGGCCTGTTTCGTTACAAGTTTCAGCTATACGTAAGGGGCTAAGTCTGGATGGGAGGGCGAGGCAGTCGTTTACTGGCTCTGCGCTGTGAGCTGCCCAAGACGGCGCATTCATGGATGTTTATTTAAAGCAGAAACGGGCCTAAACAGGTGGTGCGATGCTTATTTAGGAGTTGATAGCCTGGTGCCTGGTTCATGATGTGCAAGGAAGAGTGTCTCATGCTCAACTAACAAAGCCCGGCCAATAGTCTTTTTCCAAGCTAATAGCTCTTTTCCCGCCATATTCGTGAATTTACGTAGAACATTTATCAAGTCAGCGCGTGAGTGAATATGTTTAATTTGAGAACATTAGTTTCTTTCTCTGAGTTGACATAGCCAATCTGCTCATTCACAAGCCTTACTACTTCCACTGCCAGTGCCTCATGTTTCCAACTTGGTAAAACTGACGCCGCTGATTGGCGCCTACGAGCGCAAATCTTTAGTGGACCGCCAGCGCTATTCCAGCCACCGCCCGCCCCCGGATTATGTTTCTGCCCGCGATAAGGATAAGCATCCCGTACGTCGCATGCGCAAGCATCATCGTCAGCTTCTTCCAGCCACTCATCTTGTATTCTCATCACTCCTTCAATATTTTCTCATCCAATCTCTTTAAACGCTTACAATATTTGTGCCTCCATCAACGCTCTTTAGGCATCTTCGCAAAAATGCGCGCCACAGGCTCTCTTCCCAGTCTCCTGACGACAGCCCTCCTGGCTAGCCGCGCCGTTGGCTGGCGCATTCCCAGTCTCCAACATGCCGCAGACGACGAAGATGACGATACGCCTCTCCCCGTCGTCATCTGGCACGGCCTCGGCGACGCCTTCAATGCCGATGGAATCAAAGGAGTAGGCGAGCTCGCAGACAAGATTCACCCCGGCACTTTCGCCTACGCCATCGCCCTCGGCACAGATGCCAACTCGGATCGCTCAGCGACCTTCTTCGGCAACGTCACCGAACAAATTGAAGCCGTGTGCGCCGCCCTCGCCGAGCATCCAATTCTCTCCACGGCCCCTGCCATCGACGCCATCGGCTTCTCCCAAGGTGGCCAGTTCCTACGCGGCTACGTCGAGCGCTGCAACAATCCCCCCATCCGCAGCCTCGTCACTTTCGGCAGCCAGCACAACGGCATCAATGAGTTCAAAACATGCGGCAACACCGACCTGCTCTGCAAGGGTGCCATGGCCCTGCTGAGATTCAACACTTGGAGCAACTTTGTCCAGAGCCGCCTGGTGCCCGCGCAGTACTACCGCGACCTCACAGACTACGACTCGTATCTCCAAGGCTCAAACTTCTTGGCCGACATCAACAACGAGCGCGAGCTCAAGAACGAGCAGTACAAGAAGAACATTGCCAGCCTGACAAACTTTGTCATGTACATGTTTGAGGACGACACCACCGCCATTCCTAAGCAGTCTTCCTGGTTCGCCGAAGTCAACGGCACCGAGGTTACGCCCCTGCGAGAGCAGACGCAGTACAAGGAGGACTGGATTGGCCTGCGCCAGCTGGACGAGAAGGGCGGGCTGCGATTCCGATCCATCACAGGCGAGCACATGCAGATTTCTGAGGAGGTCTTGAAGGAGGTTATGACTGAATTCTTTGGCCCCATGAACAAGACGTTTCCCCCGGAGAAGGATGCCGACTTGAGCCAGGGGGAGCTGTGATTTGACTTTATCTGACTGCGCGCGTATCCTTTTTGTTCCGTGACTTGTTTCTCCTTATTACTAAGTTGTCAGCCTTTTGATTGATATCGTCTTGTCTCTCCTGACCATTGTGTGCTACTACACGTTTCTCTTTACTGTGTAATAACTTGGGCGTTTAAATTTCCGACATGGCCCCTATAGAAACAAATGCACACGAATATAATATCTTCTTTTAGTACAATACGAATATATTTCATTTCTTCTATTCATATGTTTTTGACTGTCCATCTAATACGCCGCAACGCCAGTGCCAGATATCTAATCATCCTTATTATGCGCATACACACAGATAATTATGTCAACTTAAAATCATTTTTTCCCTGTTCCCTTTTTACTCCGCCGCCTTCGCCGCCTTGGCCTTTGCGCTTCTCAGTCTCGTCTTACGATCCGAAATCTGCTGGTCCAACTTATCGTCGTTGCCCTCAGGCTTGGGCTTCTCCTCCTTGGCCGCCTTCTTGGCCTTCTTAGCCACAGGTGCAGCTTCAGCCTGCTCCTCAGCATTCTTGCGCTTCTTGCCAATGTTGGCCTTCTCAGCCTTGCCCTCCGAGTCGGCAATGACGTCCTTCTCGTCCAGCCACAGCTCGTCCGTCATCCAGATGGGCAGGGCAGCCGTCTCGGCGCCCTTGATGTAGATGCTCTTGACGTTGCGCCACTGCTGGGGAACCCACTTCTCGACCATGGCAGTCGCCACGGCCTCGACGTTGGCGGCAATCTGCTCGGCCGTCCAGTCGGAGAAGCCCACGCGCACGGCGGTGTTTGTGCTGGGCGACAGGCTGACGAGCGCAGAGCCGAGGGCCTTTTCAATCTCCTTTGCAATCTCTGCGGGCGTGGCGGCGTTAACCTCGCCCTCCTTCTTCTGGGGCTTGGTGCGCTTTCCATCGACCTTGCGAGCCTTTGGCTTAAGCACGACGGGCACAGGGCGCTTGAGAGTCGTCTTGTAAAAAGTCTTGCCGAGGATCTTGGGCAGGCGGTTAATAATACGGTCGTCGCCGAGAAAGACGTCGTGCTCGGCAAACAGCTTGCGCTGGGCCTCGTACTGGCCATACTTGGCCTTTAGCTTGGTAACATCAATGACGCGCGTAATCTTCTTGCGCAGGTCGGCGGGGAACTCGTCCGCGGCGACAATGTTCTTGTAGGCGCGCTGCGGGTCGGCCGTGATGAGGCAGACGGTGGTCTCGGCGGCGGCGTTGAGGCTGTGCGGGAGGAGAATCTTTCCGGGCTGCAGGCGGGCCTTTTCGGACATGTGGCGCTTGGTGGTGAGGGTGAGCCAGACGATCTGGTCGGTTTCGCCGTCGTTGGCTTCTTGGAGGAGGTTGCGCTTGGAGGAGGACTCGGATTGTTCCTTTGCGGCGGACTTGATGTGTGAGAGGAGGGCTTTGGAGGCCTTGAGGGTCTGTTGGTGGATTTCGGTTAGATTCTGCCAACAGATTGCTTCTTTTGTTGAGAGAAGAGAAATTGGTAAACTCACCTGGGCAGCATCAATTGCAGCCACGGCGTTGGAGCCGACAACTGCAACCTCTTTTTTCGCAACTTCCTTTTTTGAAGGAGCCATTTTGAATATCTGTTGTCCAGAAATAAAGATAGAACAACAAAAAGAAGACAATTGAGGTTTTTGCAGCTGCTCTGTGCTTGCAAAGTGAAAGATTGGCTGCAATTCACAAAAAAACTACAACTGTTCGACTATCGCCAACTTTTTTTTCGATATCTAAGAAAAAATTATTACAAAATCTAATCAAGCGAGGTTTCTCCGAGGCGCTAGTGCAGCAACTTTTCGGAATATGCAAGTCCCGGTTGCCGGTCAAAAAAAACGGAACACGGAACGGCGGCCGGAGACGGAAGATTCGAAAAGGTATCCACTTTGGAGATATGGAAGCATTGAAGATGCCTACCCCGTAGCAGAATTGAATGCAGAATTTTGGGATTGATGGCTGTAGAACTGGAAATTGTGTTGACTTGAATGATTTAATCAGTTGATTAGAGGTTCCGTATGACTATTTGATATAGACATGAGTCTATGCGTGCTGCAGTTGATATTTCCAATCCACTCCGTATGCTTGTTTGCCATCTTTCGTATAAAAAGCCTAAAAGTTATACCACAGCATCATGTAAGTCACGTTGGCTGTACTAGCAAACACCTGGCAGCGCGTCTGCAGTCCTGCATATCCCCTCACGACTACTGCAAGTACAATTTTTGTTTAATAGCGCTGCTAAGATTTTCTAACATTTGTCAAGACTATAGTCTCCATTCTACGATTCTGTGGCATATAGACCATTTGCGATGGCGATGCACTTCTGCCTAAGATTTCCAAACCCGACGGCAAGGAGCACGCAATGTCACGGCAACTGCAGCTCGGCAGCACGAGTGAGACTGCGTCGCGATATAAAATGACATGGTTTGTACCGCACAGTGGCGGGGCATGCGAGCGAGAAGCGCGATGCTGGGCCACGGAGTTGAGCCAGCCCAGCCACTCAGCTCGCATTACGTACAATCTGCAGGGAACTCTAGGAGTAACGTCGGAGCAATCATGTAGGAATATGCCAGGCAGCTTGACGTGGACGACTCCAAGCAGTGCAGTGCAGCGCAGCCAGTCAAGAATCGTATAGGACAGCCATTGACGTTGGGAGCGTATTCGATCGAAAGTAGAATGCTGTGATGCAAAGTACATTCATGAATGGAAGAGGCTGGCAAACAGACAGGCATCACCAATGGAGACTTGCAGTGCCGCAGCAACGCCTAATTACCTTATCACAAGCAATTGAACTCTTACTCGTAGCACTGGGTAACTGGGGCATATTACTCGGCCTGCAGATGGCGAGGACCAGACTTTGCCTGCAAAGGGAATGAAGCCGACAGGGATCTCATCCACGGCGCCCTTGACCTGCATGCTCTCTCTCTCTCCTGGCCTCTTTTCCGGCGGCTAAAGTAAAAAAAGAGAGAAACGGCGAGAAGACTAATTAAGCGAACGCCGAAGAGAAGAACCGATCTCGATGAGAAAATATCCAATGGCTCGCATGCGTCGAAACGCGGTCCTGGAGCCAAAAAGGCGTCTGGTGGTGGAGACGTGACGAACTTGTATCAATCAAGGCTAGGAAAAAGGCGCGGCAGTTTTGCAATAGCACGGGCTTGAATGGTGCTACAGATCCAAAGCTGATGGGTGGTGCAGAATGAGGAAATTAACCATGGCACGGCGCAGGATTACTAGTGAGAAGTGGTTAGAGACCCCCATTGCCGGGAATTCCATTGGAGAGAAACAGGGCGCTTTATGGATGCAATTTTATGTGAGAGGCTGATGCGAGGTTTCGGGTCTAGATTGTGTGAGGACGTGTAACATCGTTTGTGCTGGATGGTATGTACCGTGGGAAAAGCAGAATGATTTTGCGATGCGTACGAGAGAGAGAGAGCACATGCAAGTGAGAATTGACATTTGATAGCCGTCTCTTATCACGGCAAATGCGTGCAAGTATGGTTCGAGGTGCGTATTCCATGTATATAATCGGAGCGATATCCACACGTGCATATTGCTGCATACGTACTTGCATGTACTGCATACCACAGCACGAGCGCCAATTTGCTCCCATATTGATTCCTACGTGTACCACTGATAGAGTGCCCTTTTTTCGAGCAAAATCAAATCAATCGATGCCACGCCCAGCATAAAACATACAGGCAACAAGTAATACATGCATCCGAAGAGTCAAGTCGGACATGCACCCAAGCGAGAGACTTGCATATGATAGCCCCAGCCAGCTCCAACTAAAGCCACTGATCGATAGCTCCGGCCAGCTCCAGCCTCCAACATCAGCAACACAAACTCCAGCCCATGGCCCCATGCCATGCCTAGTCCCCATCCATTGATTATAATGCCTGTATGCAGCACAGCACAGACACACAAAACTGGGTTCACACAATCAATTGATTCTCTTGCTCTCCCCAGGCAGCTGAGAAACGTCGCCATAGCAGCAGCAGCATTCAGCCTGTTCCCAGCACAGATTCCTCCCCCTAAAACTGCCCCCAGCTTTCCCGCCTCCACCCGCCCTTGGTTGCCATAGCGTCCGGCGCGCCCATGAAATTAGCGCTCGATCCGCTGTAACTCTGCCACGCCTTAGCGCCCTCCCTCGCTGAAAGGACGCTGTAGCAATTTACGCTTCAGCGGTCGCAGGCGCTATAACCACAAGCTCCAGGTAACTGAATTTCCTTGCTGCACAACGCCAACGCCAACGCGATGCGTCCCTTGTCGCGCGCGTTCGTGTCTTGGGTCTCTCTCTTTTTTTTCCTGCTCGTCTCCGCTCGTTTAAATACCGCCTGCGCCAGGCCCAGCCCTGGTCTCTTCTCACCCCTTCCCCCAAAACCCACGTCTCTGGCCGTGCATTTGTGTGGGCAGAACGGAAAAAAATATAGCGGTGGTTACCTGTCACTCTTTTCTTCCTTTCTGTTCTCTTCTCCTCTTTCTTTTCCCTCTTACTTAATCCTCTTTCTTTCTTGCTCCCCCCAATTCCTTTGTCCATTCATCGACATCCGGCCCTTTTGATCCTTGCTCCCTTCTGTTCGGTCTGTCGTCGGCCGATAGGATCAGGGAATTAAAAGGGCAAGAAGAGGGAGCAAAGAAAGGGAAAAGACGAAAAGGACAGAGAAGAGAGCTGCAGTGCATTGAATTGCTTGATAGCTGATCGTGTAGAGTTCAGTTCAGTCCAGTTCAGTCCAGTTCCCATACACTACGGGCACGCATCCACACCTACCTATACCGTGTTAGGCCCAACTGGCTGGGCCTTTGTAAGTGGGGAGCGAAAAGCTCGTAATAACAAACAACATCAACCGACTCTCCGACGCGACTTGAACGAATTGGCGAGAGAAGAGGCCTGGGAGGAATTGCGGTTGGAGCTGCCGGGAGGAACACCAAGAGCCGCAGTGACTCAAGGGCATGATCGCGTCTTGACGCCCTCAGGCCACATTCACTGCCGCAGCAGCCATGGACTCGCCTACGCGAAAGCCGGCAGCCGCCGAGGTGCTCCCCGCTCCATTATCAACAACAACATCATCGACATCGTCAACTTCGTCCACCTCAGCCTCGTCGACGTCGCTCTCGCCGCTGAAGCGTCCGGCGCCCTCACTGCTGCCGCCCTTTGAGCCCTCGTCCTCGCCCGGCCTGCCGCGCCCTGCAAAACGCCAGAATGTCGGCTCGGCGCCCCATCTGCGGTATCCCACGCCAAACATCCCAACGTCCAGCACCGGCATCTTGTCCAGCTCGCCGGTGCGGGAAAAGGCGAGCCGGGGCATCTCCGAGCGGACGCCTCTTTCCGCCGTGCCGTCCATTGAGCTCAACGAGAATGGCGAGATGCTGCTGATGGGCCGGTCGTCCAACTCGTCTCACTTTCAGCTTTCTGCCAACCGCCTCATCTCACGCGTGCATGTCAAGGCCCGGTACCTGCAGGGGGCCACTCCGCTCGAGGCTAACAAAATCGAGATTACCTGCAATGGCTGGAACGGCCTGACGCTGCACTGCCAGGGCCGGACGTGGGAGCTGCTCAAAGGTGACAGCTTCAGCAGCGAGACGGAGGGCACTGAAATCATGGTTGACGTGCACGATGCCCGCGTCCTGATCCAGTGGCCCAAGCGCAGCTCCTCGGCTGTGGACGCGAATGGCCTGCTGTCGGATGCCAGCTGGGAAGACTCGCCGCCTCGCTCGCAGACGAGGGCCTCGGCCATGCTGCAGGCATCCCCTCTGCGGCGAGCTGCTGCGCGTATCCAGTCCCCTGACAGCCCTACTCCGGCTCCTCGGCGACGGTCTGTGGTAGCAGCAGACGAAGAGTCCGGCATCCAGATCTACGAGGACGACGAGGAAAACCTGCCGGACTCTGATGGCCACGAGGACCCTGATGTTGGCGTCAGCATGCGGACCGAGGTTACGGCTAGCTTCTCCAGCGATTTTGAGCCCGACGAGGACGACGACGAGAGTGATCCGGACGAGGAAAACGATCCCATCATCCATTCCTTTGGGCCCTATGGCGCCAACATCTCGTCGCGCATGGAGTCCATTTCGACGAAATCACCTCGCGTGACTTCTCTCAAGCGGGCCTTGAAGAAGGGCTCGACCGAGACTCTGGTGCCTAGGAAATCGACCCGGGATTTGGACAGTACCGAGGCCAGCCCGCGCAAAAGGGCGAAGAAGGAGGATTCTCGCGAGCAAACCCCGACCCCGCATGGTCGACCAGTGAAGAAAGAGGAGAGTGAAGAGGAAGAAGTAAAGAAAGAAGAAGAGGAAGAGGAAGAAGACGAGGAGGAAGAGGAAGAGAAGCCCCCCAAGATTCTTTCAGAAGCCGATGCCGCCATCTCCAACCATGTCGTCAACCAGCTTGCCTACTCGCGCCTGTCTTCCACGCCGCTGTCCACCATCATGCACAACCTGCCCGCCGAGCAAACCAGGGACCTTACTCGTGATGCTCTGAGGGTGCTCATCGAGACCACTGCTTGCATTGGCATCATCGAGCGCCAGGGCAAGGACGCAGCCGGCAAGGCGCTGGAGAGCGAGTATTACTACGTCCCCGAGGCCGATACCGATGCTCAACGTCGCGCTGCAGTTGTGGATGGACTGCGAAAGCCCAGCCTGCGGGCGTGCCGAAAGCAGCACAAGGTTAGTGTTTTTTCTAGCTTACGTAGTTGGATTCTAGTCTTTTAGACTGCCATTATTAACGCGTCCCCATCTAGCAATACTACTGGAAGCGCCCTAAGACGCCTTGAGCCGGACTTGTTATCGAAAAGACCAACACGGATGTAGAAAGGAAGCGACATTGACATTGAGTATCATATAAAAAAAAAGAAACAAAAACATAAACACGAAATTACACGGAGGAACGATTGATTGAATTTGTTATGGACTCGCATATAAAAAAGATCAATACCCGCCTTTTCTTTTTGTTCGAGGTAACCTCCCAAGGTGGATGACCTTAAGTGGAGGCCCTCTTGTTTATTGCCGTGGACGAGAACTTGTAAGATTTGTTATCATTGGGTCTTTATTTTCCTCGTCCATTTGACGATAATAGTCACGATGGGGATGAATGGGGAAGTGAAGCTTGTGCGTGCGCGTGTTTTTTGCCCCGTTTCTTCCTGGGTTCTCTCCTGTGAATAGAGCCGCTCCTCGGCCTTGAAAGGAGTCAATTCGGTGGGGAAAAAAAAAGATTCAGCTACGTGGGACGGGTATGGCGGACAAAACTGGAAGGGATATGGAGAACTGGACTGGGGACTTGTAAGGAGTTTTTTCGTCTGATTTTGCTCATGATCATCGCGGCCATCCACGTCCGAAGGAGTTATTTGGGACGCGCTCTTGATATTGTGTTTTTATTGTCAATGTTGAGTTTGCAGAGAATGAACAGAAGCATGAAGACAGACAGACAGAAGCATGAAGAAGAAGAAAGATGAACAAAATTCTGCGGAGGCGAACACCATCCATTGACATCCCCTGCATTTGTTGAATTATTACACCTGCTATTACACACCTACCCATCTGTACATGTATGAATACCTAGTATAGCCCCCTTCTAAGCCGATCACATCACATCATCACATTACACTACAGACTGAGGGCACTTATTAGAAGCGAATAAAAATATACAAGTCACTCTTATCTTTGAAAATAACTTATCATGACGCACCTGATCGACCCGAGTTGCATTCGCCCCATCCAGTAAAACATCAATGCACGGGGGATTGTGTGACGCAGCTGATAACTGTACAAGCGAAAATCTCTGTTACGTGATGCCTATCGTGATTGTCTGATTCAATTAATTTATTAATTTCCCTAGGTAAGCTTGTTTTTTTTTAATCAAGTAAATCTCAGATCTCGATAAATCTTGGCTTAACGGAACTTGGCTACCAGGGGGTGCGAAGAAAAAGAGGGAATTCCACAACAATGGGCATACATTTCTCGACTTTACACACCATAACACTAGGTTATCTAGCACTTGGTACTGCTACTGCTACTGCTGCTACTGCTACTGCTACTAATGCTACTACTACTGCCGCTATTATTACTACTAAGCTATATTTGAAGTCTAGTGTTAAATAACAGAATTAGAGTGCTCAATTATTTTCTTTAATAGATAGTGTCTATGTTCTAACTTTGTGTATGCGTTTTCGTTTCACGGTCCCTGTCTCTCTTCGCACCCCTTGGCTACCCATCTCCCCATCTAAAGTTAATGTGGTGTGTGTGATTTCCAGGATTCCAATGTAACACCACCTGCATCACCGCAGCGTCGTATGATGCTGATTGACGCGGGATTGGCGGCCGGCCTAATGAAAAAAAGCCAAGGTTGTGTGTGATATGCTCTGATCCGATCCGATTCGGAACCCCCGCATTTTGGGTGGCGAGAGCAAGATATAGCTTGGAGCTTGGAGCTTTGGGCAGGAATATTGGATAGCTTTGGAGAAAAGGGAAAAAAGTATAAATAAAGCTGCGGGTGCGTTTTTATTTGTTTACTCTTTTATTCTTGATTTATCAAACTTACGTACCTTGGAACTGAAACACCTTGGACATCAAATCTTGTCTTGGTATGTGTGATGTCTGCCCCTCTTGTCTTTGATGTAATTGAATGACGCTTGATGATGTATGTGATGTTAACTTGTTTATTGACTTGCAGATAGATTTACTTATATATCAGTCAACCAGTCAACTACTCAATCAACACATCTCAACACTCCTACAATCACCTACAATGCAAACAACATCCACAATGGACTCTTCACCACCACAAACCCCAACCAAAAGTCAGTCTCTCCCTCTCCCTCCTCCTCCTCCTCCTCATCATCAACAATACTAACATCAACAATCTTCACAGCCCAACAACCTCAGTCCTTCCACCCACAAGACTCCTCCCCCGCCTGCCAATCCGCCATCCGCCACTCCTCCACCTGGAAGCCCAGCTCGCTCGACCGCCGCCTCAGCTGGAGCAACCAGGACCAGAAGCACGAGCTGCAGATGAGCGGCATTGATGGCGTGCGGTCGGGCGATCAGGGCTTTACGGAGAGGGGCTGAAATCAAATACATCACAAGATGAAAAAAAAAAAGAACAAAAAAAGATGGCCTTGCGAAAAGGAAACAGAGCGCTGCTTGCTTGTATGGGAACCTAGGAAAATGGCATTAAAAAGGATTGTATGGCATGAGCATTTAAAAAAGAAAGGAAAAAAAAAAGGAAATGAAAATTAGCATGCAAAGGGAACTGGGAGTTTTGAACTAAATACATGACCTAAAAAGAATGAATTATCGAACATCATGAGCCAGCTTCTTGTCCTTAGTTATTACTAGGAATATGTAGTAACCAGTCAATCCCATTAGCATTACTCTTACGCAATAAGATTCACGTTTATTGTCCTCCAGTACTACGCATGCACACATCTTTTGACGATACTTCTTGTGACACCAACTGGGAGATTCCAATTCAAGCCGGCCTAAGCCAGAAAACTGCTAGCTAATGTACAGACGGTTCAATGACGAGAAATAAAAAAGGCATCGTGATCGCGACATGTCGCTCCCAGCCCGCATTCGCGATCGAGGGGGGTATTTCAAACTTGATCCCGTAGTTGAAAAAAGAAGAGAAGAAATAAAAGAAGCGAAAAGAAAAGCGGAAAGAGAAGAAGCGGAGTAAAAGGACAAGACTAAGAGGAGAAATGATAAATGCAAACAAACTCCTACTCCCGAGCCTATGCATGTCGTCGTGGGAGTGGCCCTTATGCAGCCAATCTTGGAAATGAAAAGGGAAAAAAAAAGACTAGCAATCAAGTAACAAATATAGCCTGAGCCATTCTGCTTATTTGGCCGAAAGGTGCTCTGCGACAGCCCCAACAGCATACGCTGCTCCTCCTACCCACACAGTGCCCATCACAAGCTTCTTGCCAAAGCTCCTCTTCTTCTTCTCGGGAGCTACTGGCCGCTCGGGAGCGCTCTTTTGTGTATTAGTGCTGCTATAAGGTGGAGCTCGCTTCTTGTGGTAATCCTCAAGACTGTCGTCGTAGTTAACGAATCCAGTAGGGCTGGCAAACTTGCCCGTCACCGACTGCCCCATCATATCAACGGGATTGATGCGCGTGGGGTTTGTGTTGCTGGGCACCGGGTCGGAAGGAAGATCGCTGGCGTTGGGGGAAGCAGGCCGGTTCTTGCGGAAAATAAGCACGTCGCCGCCGCCTGATTGGATATCGTAGCCGCGCTCCTGTAGTGGTTTAAAGTAAGGGAGAAATTTGGACGGGTGCGACAGTTGCAGCAACACGTCCGTCAGTTTTGCGGGAGTAGAAACGTCATGATCGTCGGATGTGGTCTCGGCAACGCTAACAGATTCGGTTGACTTGTCGAAGGCGAGGATCTTGTACATGGTTGGCTCATCTGTTACCGCTGCGGCAGAGGCTGGCGAGGACTCGTAGTGCTTGACTACGGCCGCCGCCGCCGCCTCACTGCCACACTCCTCCGAATAGCTAGTTTCTAGTCCCTTTGGATCGTTAGAGTAGGGGTCCTTCTCGGCGCGTAACTGGGCCAGTCTACCGGTGATGCGTTCGATCGGTTCGGCTTCGGATTTTGACAACTCACTGGGAAAACTCTCATCCATAGAACTCAGTTCCATCTCTGCCTCATCTTTTTCTACTGCCACCTCTTTAGCACCCACGTTGGCCCTGCTCAACACCTGGCTTCGAATCTCATCCGCCGTCAACGTCTCCAGCTCGCTCTCCACATCTGGAGGGGCTGCCTTGTAACCATGGAGATCCTTGTACGCCTTGGACGCTTCCTCAGGGTGCATAGGGTAAGGCGTATCAGGAGAGTCAAAGGCCTGAGGCTCATATGCGTTCAAATCAGTGTAATTCTTTGTCAACTCCTCGGGGTGGATGTGGCGAATCTTGTCTGGTTCTTCGTATCCGTCAATGGCATAGCCAGGAAGGTCCTTGTAGACCTTGGAGGCTTCTTCCGGATGGATTCTCTCTACTGCCGGCCCTGCATTGGGGAATGCAGAGTATTGGGGCAAGTCTCGGTACGCCTTGGATGCCTCTTCTGGGTGAATTCGCGGAACCGCAGGGCCAGCATTGGGATATTGCGCGTACCGGTTGAGGTCCTCGTAGTTTTTAGAAAGCTCCTCAGGAGTCAATGGGCGGAGGCCATCGGGCTCATTCCAACGAACAGGTCCGTACTTGTCCAGGTCATCATATTGCTCTGGCTTACAATCACGCACCTCAACCTTGGCAGCAATTGGCTCTGCCTTTGGCGTGGGGTCGTTCTCAATGGCCTCGTAGTCCTTGAGCACAGATTCCCGGCAGGTAAAGGGGTTGCCGTACGCATGCAGATCTGTGTAGTTTTTCGACTTTTCCTCTGGAGTCAAGCGACGAAGGCCATTTGGCTCGTCCCAGGTGACGGGGCCATATTTGTGCAGGTCTTTGTAATCCTTGGACTTTTCTTCCTGGCTTCTCTCTTGCAGTCCGTCAGGCTCATGCCACCTAACGGGGCCATACTTGTCAAGATCTTCGTAAAGCTTGGACTGTTCTTCGGGTGTAAGCTGTGGGAGGCCATCTGGCTCGTTCCACGTCACGGGCTTGTACTGGTCCAAATCGTCGTAGTTCTTTGACTCTTCTTCAGGGGTCAGCTTTCGTGGTGCGTTTGGATCGTCAATCTTCATCTTGGAGTACTCAGGCAAGTCCTCGTATAGCTTGGATCGCTCCTCGGGGGTCAATTGGGGTAGACCATCGGGCTCGTTCCATTTAGCGGGCTTGTAGTCGCCGAGATCTGTGTACTGCTTCGACTCCTCTTCAGGAGTCAATTTTCGAGGTGCATTCGGGTCATCGAAGCCTGTGGCCGAGTACTTGCCATGCTCGCCGCGAGTCACCTTGCGGTTGGTAATGGGGTCGATGAAGCTGAGGCTGTCGCCTGTAGTGGCTTTCAAAACGTTCTCGGCTGTGACTTTGCCGGAACTGCGGTGTGGATGCATTTGCTGTCGGAGATTCTGCAGCAATGTCCATACGCTATCCTCCTTGTTGAACAGATGGTTGATGGCCTCCCGCTCGACATCCTCGATGTTGCGACCGGGACGGGCCCCAGACAAGTCATCCGACCACGACTTGATGTCCTTTACTCTGGTGTACTTTCCAGAAGGAGAGGCGGCTGATTTGGTGCTCCCTGCCTTGGGGTTCTCCGGGGACAGGTGTCGGTTAACCATATATTTCAAGGCGTAGACGCGCTGGCGCTGGCGTCCAAGATCGAAGCCGCAGAATTGTCGGCACTGCTGGCTGGTACTTGATTGCGCAGAAGCCAGAGCACCGCGGGCGAGGAGAAGCCTGGCGCGAGGCGAGGCGATTTGCGAAGCTGGCAGCATTGTGGAGGATATCGAGCCAATCGCGGAGCGAAGAATGCACTACCGGGTCTGGCGACAAATCAGCATTAGCACACCACTTTGATCTGCCGCAAAAGCAGGGCATTGACAGCGTCACGATGAAGCGAAATCACGTACCGAATAGAAAGTGTCAAACTGAATCACCCCAGCAGCAATTGCATGTGACATGGAACTCGGGCAGAGCCGGGTGTGCGGGGAACGGCCAGAGCAGAGAGATGGTAGAGAGGGAGGTTACTTCGACCACCAGGGCTGGAATGGTATAAAGAGAGGCAACGGAGTATTATAAAGGAGAGGTGGAAGGGCGAGTGATGTTTGGTGGTTATGTAGAGAGAAGATTACGAGGAGGAGGAGGAAGAAGAGAAGAGTGAGGGAGAAAGGAGGAGAGCAACGATGTGCGAGGGCAGCTACTAAGTACAGGTAACAAGCACGAATCGTGGGATGCACATCAGCGGCTTATCTGGACTGAAGGTGAGCCAACTCTGGTCACCGCGCTGGGGTCAGCGAGGCCTGCGGGGTAAATCCGCTAAACAGCGCTGGACGGTGGGTTCAGCTCAGTGGCTCGTAGCCGCTCCACCCCAGGCGGAACTGCCCCGTTTGGAGCAAGACTTGGAACTCTTCAGCGCCTACAGCAGTGCAGAGGTACTGTAGGTTTGCCATGGATCGGATGCTGCATGCTGGATGTACCTATCAAGGCTCGCCACATGCCTCATGCTGTCTAGCAGTGAGATTGCAGCACTGCAGTAAGCATCGTGACCGCCACTGTGTCAGTATAATACGGCAAGGGATATACAGCAAACACTACTTACTACTGGCAGGCAGCAATCAATCAATGGCATCTCTGCTTCTGATACTCCGTCCTCACTAGCATCGACTCCAAGATGCACGTCCACTTCTTATGCAGGGGCCCCAGATTCCCCACCAGCGATATCAAGCGACGTTCCCAAAGCAAAGCTGGTGCCCTTTTCAGCGCGCTCTAGAGGCCGGGGTAGCGCTGGGGCGACGTCACAGTGGGGTTGGCGGCCGAATTGACCGAGCCAAGCCGCCTCAGCAGAGGCCAATCAGTGCCATTTGCGGCGGGCTGGGGGCGAAACAAGATGCCAGCGACGAGACGGGCATCACGTGAAAACGGGCTGAGGGAGAGGAACATGGAGAAGTGGCTCGACGAAGCCAGGAATCCGTGGAGAGACGCAAAATCGCCGGTGATGCTCGGGCAAATGCGCTAATGCAGCGCGGGTGTGGCCGGCAAAAGGGCATCTGATGCAACGCTCGAAGAAGACACATGGCACTTGGGACGACGATCGGCCTGTTTTGCGTTCTTTTGTTGGTGTGGCAGCGCAGCAGGCAAACGCGGCTTGGGCGGGCCAGTGGCAACTTGGCGGGATGCACGGACTCGAGGCACTTTGAGTGCCTATCAGGAGCCTCGAGGCTAAATTGCCGCACTGCTTGCGATATTAGCATGCTCGTACGATGGTGCTATACCTGGTACATTGATTTGATACATCGCACCAGTGTTGCCATGCGGCTTTATTGTCTGGAGTTACAGTAAAGCAATTGAAGAGACTGCACATGTAAACACCCCATCTGGTACCGAAGTGTAGAAGCAGAGAGTGTCGGATGTCGAGTGGCGTTTTCGGCAAGCCTTATGCAGGGGCTGTATTTTTTTAAAAAACCAATTATTGAATTTATTAAAAAATAGTAGAGATAAATATTGTTTCAAATTGAGAAAAGTAGTATAAAGCTTATTACTCATTATTTTAATAGTTTTTTTACTTAATAACTGTTTTATACCAGTACCAAATCCCTACTCTTGAGGCTTCTATCAAAAACCTCGCCATTCATAAATCCATCGACATAACACTCGCCAATAAATTTGTAGTTGTCCCCACGGGATCGAAGCAAAACAGGTACACGGCATCCATACAAGACACACACAACATCACCCCTTTTCGCCTGCGACGGCGCCATACCCACGAACCCTTGCTCCGTCACCATCAGCCTCTTCCTCATTTCCCGTGGACCGGTCGTGTCGTTTAGTCTAGACGGGAGGCCATCTTCTCTCTGTTCCGAAAGGTCAAAGTCTGGTGGGACTGTGGCCATTGAAGCAGACTGAAAAAGCTCCTTTAGCTTGAATCCCCATATTTCAAGCCCTTCATTGTCATTGACCCAGGCATAGAACCGCTTATAAGCAGATGTGTTCCTGTTACTCTCCCTGGAAGCCATGAGGTGCGCAAACTCTACTCTGAATCGGTCCAAGGGAGTGCGAATGCTGAGATAGCGGTCTTGTCGATCGAGAACCATGCTGCGAATGAGTTTGTCCAATAATCTACTGGCTTGTTCTCTACGCTGCGCAAAGTCATAGTTTGAAGTTGATCGATCAGTGTCTCGATTTCTATCTGACGGCGACGGAACGAGCTTCGAATCATGCTGGTCCGGATCCCCGCCTTTTGGCGTAACACGTGTGGTTCCAAGACCGTCAACACAGTCCAAGATGATGCCCTTGCAGGTCATCTTAGAGTCGTCCGAGATTGAACATTCAGGCAAAGTATTTCCGGCCGCAGTATAGAGGGCTGGATGTTCCGTGTCCGACCTGTCAACAATAGGACGAAAGTTGCCAATGTAAGAGATACCGCTTTGGCTGACCAAGAGAGGGGTCACGAAAACCTGAACACGGATATTCCAATTGGGAACCCAAGATGGTGCGGTAACTACTACTTTGTTCTGTTCTGGGAGCTGGTTTGAGCTGTTGAAAAGGGTTGCGAAGCAAATAATGTCTAAGCTGTTGTAGGTCTTAATAAAGGATCTGACGACATTTGTATATATAGTCTCAGCCGAAACATCGCTGCGATAGTTTGGCTGGCCAACAACACTTCTGTCCTCCTTGTTTGCCAATCCCAGCAAAGCATAAATTCGATCCTTGGGATTGGTGACAAAGCAGTCACTCGTGTAAGCAACCAAAGCGATGAGGCTCATCTCAATGGGACTTTGCTGTCCGCTCCTCCGTTGGCGTTCACTCCACTGACGAAGTCTGCGTCTGTTCCAGGCTGCATTCCGGGTATTGCTCCCAATAAGGGACTCATCTGGATTGCAACAAGAGATAGCGTACATTGCTTTCGGAAACTGCGAGTGCAACATATGCTTGTTTCCGCAGAAGAAGACTAGACGACGTGGCAGAATGAACTCCTGTATCGTCCATACTCTTCTCCACCACGGCCTTTGCAAAAGTTCTCTCAGTACCCTCCACTTCTCGGGGATGTTCAGATCTGAAGGCATTTCCCTGGACTGTCTTTCTTTCCAAGTTTCAACCAGTTCGTCTCTTCTTTGGCTAAGGGTGAGGAAAAAATCCATTCCCTGGTCGGATTCAATATCTCCTGCTCCTAGCCAGACAATGGTAATGTACGAGCTCTCATATAACTGGCCCATTAACTGGACTTGAGACGCACGTTCCTCATCATCATCGCTATTGATGCATATAGAATCAATCCAGAACCATGTATACGGTTTGAGATTTGCGTTGTCACAGATAGCTTCAAGAAGAGGATAGGTGCTGTCTAACACGGCAAATGGTTCGCCATCCAAGTCAATCGACTTATTCCTCGTTACTTTACCCCATGCATACGAAACAGTAGCAAAGCTGGGATAGTCTTGAGAACTTAGTGAAAATGTTTCGAGGTGCCCCGCAATATCACCGTTTCCTGTACGCCATACTTCCAGAAGGCGAAAAGACGAAGCTCCAAGAAGTTTATAAGGGTTCCTTCCTGTGGCTGCGCCCATGGTAACTTGAACCTGTGGCGTAAAGTGCAAATTTGCGTGCTGTTCTCAGATTATACCTGCATATACTTGTAGTAAGCTGAAGTGGTTCAATTGCGGAGTAACATGTGTTTCTGCCTTTATCATGTGATTTGCGCAAAGCGCTGAAAGGACTAAAGAGGCAATATACCAAGTAATACACCCACGGCATTCCATTTTTGAGTCGAGAAGACGGAAATTAGCACACATATCCTAGACTCAAAATGGCTATTCCTTATGTATTCTCGTTGGAGTTGTTGGTCAGATGCTGCAGTCTGCACGTTGCGTCGCCATCTCATTGGCCTCAAACAGTCTCATCAAAGCATCTGCAAGTCATTTTGTCATACCAATTAGCGGCCTATGCGATGCTTAGTGCCAGTTGACTTACACCGCATCAGACCGCCTCGACGCATTGAAAAGAATTCAAGATTGTCGGATCTCGAGCTTCTTTCGGCAGAGATGCATTTTGCGGCCGTTACCTAATGTGCTGAGTTAATCGACCCATTCCGCAACCTTATTCACTGCTCTTGCCTGAATCGGCAGAGGCTTATCGAGCTATGCACTGAGTAGAGATACAGAGAGAGAAATAAACATGAATTTCGCTCTCAAAGCAAACGCAGACAAGCTTTGGGCGATAAGCCATCTTTTAAACCTACGTCTTCCATCATCTCCCCAATCCATTAGCTAGACTCTATTTGTCCCCGACCTCTATTCAAAGCTTCTAAACATTATTCCTTTTTCGACAGTAGCATTAGCTTCCGCGCCGCTTGATTTCAAATACACAAGCCTAACAGCGCGAATATTCCCCAGTGGCGCTTACCTAATGCTCGTTAACCTTGGTATCGATAACACTCGCCCAGCAGCAACCCCGCTGTAACCGGCGTGACTCGTCACTAAACGCGGCGAGCTGCAAGCGCTCTGGCAGGCGATGCTGACATCACAGGCGGCTTTTACAGCGGCAAGCCCACGCATCCAGCTATTAGTAATTTTCGGTCCCTCTTCCACAATTTCGAACCTTCAAGTCCTCATCACCATCTGGCGAAGCGCTTCTCAACTCCTTCCGCCTCGCGCAACGCCCTCCTTTTCTCGCGCCTCCTCCTTCTCCGACCCCTCTGCAGCTTCAGCCTCTCTCAAACCGACCAACCATGAAGCGCACCGCCGCTGCCAGCCGTGCTTCGGGAGCCAAGTTCGGCGGCTTCGGTGCCCCGGGCGGGACTGGCACCCTGTCGTACCTCACCGAACCCCCGTCATTTAGCGCCGTGTCGGATCCGAATGTCGTCGTGTCTCTCAAGAACCTGCTGAAGAAGGACAGCACCACAAAGACCAAGGCTCTGGAGGATTTGCTGGTCTATGTGCAGGCACAGCCTTTTGAGAAGAACGGCGGCGTCGAGGATGCCATTCTGGACGTCTGGACCGACATCTACCCACGAACAGCCATCGACAACGCTCGCCGAGTGCGCGAGTTGGCTCACAACCTGCAGTTTGAGCTCATCAAGTCTGCGAGGAGGCGTGCAGAACGACATATCCCGAAGATTGTGGGCGCGTGGCTGGCCGGCCTCTATGACCGGGATCGAGGAGTTGCGCGCGCCGCCAGCGATGGCCTCTCTTCCTTCATCAACACTCCAGAAAAGGTCGCGGCCTTTTGGAGGAAATGCCAGACGCAGATCCTCGACTACGCCCTTGTTGCGATCCGGGAAACACAAGATACCCTGAGCGATGAGCGATCGACGACCAAAGATGACGCAGAAGCCAAATATCTCAGAGTCGTTGGCACCGGCTTGTCGCTGGTCCTCAGCCTCCTCCAACGACTAAACGATGAAGAAATCAGCAAGCAGAGCCACAAACTCGACGAGTTCTTTGACGAGGAGACTGTGTGGCGCGCGATTACCTTCAGCGACTCCTCTGTGCGCAGGTCCGTATGCCACCTTGTCATTACGTGCCTCAGTCGCAAACTTCCCTATGCCGAGTCTACCCAGGCGAAACAGGCCATAGTTACAGGCGGCCTCAAGACGAGCCAGACTGGTTCCGCGCTCGACTATGTCCGGGCGCTGACGAGGCTATCACAAGTTGCGCCCGATATCTGGACGCCTTCCCCCAAAGAAAAGAAGCCTGCGCTCTTGCGGCTACGGCAGTTTATCGAAAAGGGCTCACAGGGCTGCCCTGCCAAGTTCTGGGAACACCTCGACGAGCTCATTTCTGTCCTTCCAGAAGACCAGATTACCAAGCTGGAGACGGCTTCTGAATTTCTGGAGGCTGTAAAAGCCGGTGTGACGAATCGTGAGGAGCCCCGGACGAATACTTCCATGGCCTGGAAGTGCTTCATCGATACCCTCAAACGCCTAAATAAAAATCTTCCCGAAGAGGAGAAACTCGACTTTGCCCGCCGGCAGATTTGCCCCATTTTCGAAGACTTTCTCCTGACCATATCCGACAAGCCTGTGGCTGTTCCGCTTGGGCCAAACGCCATGACTATTCTAGTCGAAGCTCATCTTACTGTCCTACGCAGCTCTCCAAATGTCGTTTCCGTATCGGCAGAGGAGTGGGAACGTTTGGCTGATATACTATGCAGCAGGATCTCTAATTCTCTCCCGGAGGTGTCCCGAGAGTATCAGTCGTCTCAGGAGAAGATCTTTGAAGAGGGTCGACGATGGTTCAGCCTCGTCGGAGAAATCCACAGAAAGCTGGTTAATCTTGGCGAATCTCTGCCGGAGCAGACAGCCGCTCCCTCCAAGAAAGTCATCAGCCATTGTATAGACATTTTGCGAAATCGAAATATGAAACCATTTGGCGCTGCAGGAGTCCTAGAATATGCGCTCAGCACCTCTCAACATCTTTTCGATGGCGAGACAGGAGACAAAACTGCTGAATTCTTGTCGGCAGCTGCGGGAGACTCCATCGAAAAGGTTATTCAATCTGCTTCAAGCAGGCCCCTTCTTTCCTGCCTCAACCTCCTGGGGGCCATTCCATCAAGAGAACCAACCTACCGCAAGATTTGGGGCGCTTGGGTCGAGGCAGTCTCGGAAGTCTCTGACCGTGTTGTCCGCAACTCAGCTCTTACATCCCTTATTTCTGAAGAAAAGGCTTCTGAGCCTACCCAAGCCGACGCTAAGCTCCAGACTTATATCGTCACGGAAGCGATCGAGGCTATAAAGGGCGAAGCATCTGGATGGGGTCTGCTAGAAGCTGGTATGACTGGTCAAGGTCTTTCTGACGAGAACTGCAAGCAACTCTCTGAGAAGGTACTGGAAATCCTCGATAAAGAGCCTGAATTTGTGGAGCCAGCGCTGAGAGCATTGGAAATTCTTGCCAAGGGAAAGCCAAAGCTCTTCACCGAGGATAGCTCTCTCCATGCTGCTTTGGTTGCGCAGTTGTTGAGTCTGACTGAACTTGGCAACACCGTTGTTTCATCAAAGGCCATTGCAATTCGAGCACTGCTTCAAGGAGGTGGATCGGGCAATCAGCCGGTAATTCAAATCATTCACGACAACCTCGAGCGAGCAGGCCCCCAGTCGTTGGATATTGAAACTCTCTCCAAGCAGGCTCAGCAAGCACACACGGCTGGCATCGCCGTTGAAGACATCTTCCCAAGCACAAACATTTGGATGCAGAAGCTAGCACCATTTTTGGATCAGCCTATCAACCCCTCATTGTCCATCACAAACAGTCTGGGTGGCGCCGTTACTTTGACAAAATCCGCAGATCGTCCGACCGAGGTTCGCGTGCACAGAGACAAGAAAGGCCGCTCTATACCTTTGAGAATGTCTCTTTATTCTGCGATCCTTTTGAAAGAAGGTATTGATATCGCTACCCTTCCACGCGAGTTTCAGATCGAGTTGCTCTTTATCCAGTGCCTCACCATACAACTCGTTACTGACCAGATCGACTCCATGGACGAAAACTCACTGTGGCTTGGCTTGGAGTCTGACGAGTCCGTGTCAGAGGCAGAATCTCTGGTGACTACGCTGAAGAACTTCATTAACAAGAAGTCGCTGGTGTCAAAGTGGTGGGATAATTCTGTGGACAATGAACAGGCTCACATTTTCCGTGGACTGGTGGATCTTCTCAAGGAGGAATCGAAGGAGCTGACACCCAGAGGCGTGTACAGTGCTCGTGCTATGAGTGAGATTGTACAGGTCTTTTCTGAGGCTCATAGCCTGTCGTCAGAGCTGGAAGAGGCTCTACTCAAGCCAGTGCTGACAAAGGCGGCTCCTGAAACGGCTCTTCTCGCCGCTGCTATGCTCTCGGGCCTCGGAGAGACCTTGGAGACTTCCAAGCTTGCGAGCACTTTCCTTAATCGCCTTGTTAGTGACATCGCAGGCGCTTCTGCAAGTGGCGACAAGACCATGATAACGCTCGTCTTGCTCAATCTATCTGCGCAAGTATACGAGAGTGGGCAGCTGCCTGTAGCCAGCAACCGTATCGTTTTTGCAGTCAAGCAGATTACCTCTTGGCTCGAGAATGAAGAATCTTTGAGCGCTCCGCTTTCTCCTGAGATTTGTCGCGTGCTGAACCAGTTGCTTCCTTGCATGAGCGATGTGTTTGGCTCATACTGGGAAAAGGCCATTGATTTCAGTTTGGATCTGTGGGACAGGGCGGTTGAGTATCCTCTTCCTGATGCTCTGCCCTTCATCCACTCTTCTCTTAAGCTTATCAAGACGCTGAAGAGCATGGAAGATCCAAACGATGACCTGCAAGATGCTCTCAGAGAATCAGCAAGCAAGCGATCCAAGTCGTTGATTGGATTGCTCAAGCTGCCTCGCGGTGCCAGCAGCCAACCTCTGGAGATTGTAGATGCCATGCTGTGTCGCGAGGTAGAGAAGGTGTCCATCAAAAGTATCAAAGACGTCTCGGACATTTATGAACTGGTTGCTTCGGAGTCACAGGACATCCAGACGGCTGCCTTTGATATCCTGCACAGGGCGATTCCAGCCATCCAAGAGCAGCGATCTATTGACACTGTTTTAGACAAGACAGGTAAGATATTTGTGTCCTCATATCATTGGTGATATCTGACTAACTCATGCACAGAGGCTCGCCTGCCGGATGAATTGCTATCGTTGCTTCTCGACGCACCAACTCTGGATCGATACCCCGACGAAGCGCTGGCACTGTTCCCATCCCCGATTCGAAGCTACCTGCTATCGTGGAAGCTTGTTTTTGACGCCTACTCTGCATCTTCTTATAAATTGAGAAACGACTTTACCGAGAATCTCAAGACAGACAACTGCATTGTCCCCTTTTTGGACTTTATGTTTGATGTGCTTGGTCACTCTGCCGCACGACCACTGAATCTCGAGAGAGAGCAGCTTACCACAGAGCATATCCAAGACTACGACGTCAAGGTCGCCAGATCAGAGCCCGAAGAAAGAAGCATGCACTGGCTGCTCGTGCACCTGTACTTTCTCACGCTGAAATACATTCCTGGCCTCTTTAAAGCCTGGTATCTAGACTGCCGCTCTAAGCAAACGCGCATTGCGGTGGAGGCATGGACGACAAAGTACTTTTCACCTCTGATCATCTCGGAGGCCCTTGACGATGTGCAGACGTGGGCGGATGAGCAGGAGCCTCCTGGAGACGAAGAGCAGGAAGTCCTTGTCAAGATCTCCAAAAACGCGCGAGAAGTCATTGTCGGCTACGAGATTGACGAGCTTACAGCCTCCATCGTCATCAAAGTCTCGCCCAATTACCCCATCGAATCCGTCACAGTCACGGGCCAGGAAGCCGTGGCCGTCAAGGACCGCACATGGAACAGCTGGATCATGACGACCCAGGGCGTGATTACGTTTTCCGGCGGCAGCGTCGTGGACGGTGTGCAGATTCTCAAGCGAAACATTGTGGGCGCGCTCAAGGGCCAGACCGAGTGTGCCATCTGCTACAGCGTCATTGCGGCGGACAAGCGCATGGCAGACAAGCGGTGCCAGACGTGCAAGAACTTATTCCACCGGTCGTGCCTGTATAAGTGGTTCCAAACGAGCAGCCAGAATACGTGCCCGCTGTGTAGAAATCCGATTGATTACCTGGGGGCTGATTCACAGAAGAGAAGACGTGGTTAGAAGGAAAAATTATTTTTTTGGATGTCTTTCGTTTGAATAGCCATATTATTATCTTACGATGGTGTTGTTTAATGTATATGATGAATTATGCAAGATGTATATGAGAAGGGCCCGCTAGATGCGTATAGAGCGTATAGAGGGTTGTTGGTATATTTTCCAATGATTTTTGGCAGACTTTACTCGTCACTTGTGAAGCACTTGAATGCTAAAGCCTGCAAGAAAGAAAAAAGGACATGTTAGTAATTTTGTCCGTAATGTTAAAAATTCTGACCCAAGCAGAGACATACCTCGTCGGCCGAAGCCCTGCTCCCATCGTACCGAACTAATCTCGCTACGGCGTCTCTAAACCCTGCATCGACATGCGGTAAAATCACCTCCCATCCCCTCTGTGGAAACACGGTCCAGAGCTCAAAGGGCGTGACGCGAAACTCGTTTGCCTCGGGCCACGTCTCGGGCGTCGGCGTGCCCAGCGTCTTGAAGATGCTCAGAATCAGGCCCAGCTGGTTGCCGTCCTCGTGGACGGCGCGCGACTCGAACAGCGGCGCTGGCGGCGAGCGGATGGCCTCTGCGAGCATGGCGCCCAGAGCCCACATGTCGACGGCGGCGGAGTAGGCCTTGTTGCCGAAGAGTACCTCGGGGGCGCGGTAGGGGCCGGTGCCGATGTCGAGGATCTTGGCGGCTGGTGGTTCTGATGAAGAAGAGAAGGTCGGGTGCCAGGCGGTGCCGAAGTCGGAGAGGTGGGCTGGGCCGGAGGGAGAGGAGAGGAGGATGGCAGAAGGCTTGATGTCGCGGTGGATGATGCCGTGAGAGTGGATGGATGCGAGGGCGTGGAGGGCGTCGGTGAAGATGGAGCGGATGTGAGATGGTTCCAGGCCGGAGGGGCTTTTATCGAGTATGTCGGCGAGGGTGAGCGGCATGTAGGGAAAGGCGAGGACGAGGCGCTGCTCTTGGTCGCGGAAGGTTTCGAGGAGGGGGATGCATGGTGGCTTGAGGGTTTGGAGGATCTTGATTTCGCGGAGGGGGTTGTGCGGTTCGAGGTTTTGGTGGGCGACGATGACTTTGAGGGCGAGGGTTTGGTTGCCGGATTGAGTGCGGAAGACTTCGGAGGTGATGCCGTCTGAGATGGGGGTGCAGTTGAGATATGGGCCGATGCGGATGCCCGTGCTTGGCTCTGTGGGAGTTGATGAGAATGGAGGAGAAGAGATGGCTGCGCTAGGTTGACAAGCAGAGTTGTATTCTTCCTGTTATTTTTGTTAGTAATTGATTGATTGAATTGAATTGAGTTGAAAGAGTAGTGCTATGGGTGATATACTCGTGAGGTTGAGTTGTCGTATGCGGCTTGTTCAATGGTGATGGCCTCACTCATGTCATGCGAGGGGAGAGACTCTGAGCTGTGAGACGAATTGAGTGTCAGCAACCATTGCTTTATGAAAAGAGAAAGAAAATGAAGGAGATACTTCACATACATTTTAGATATAATCTCATATCGATCAACGGATGAAAGATCCGATTTCCATGCCGAGGAGGCCATGGCTGTTGATTGACTATTGGTCGAGAAACAACGGCAATAGCATCAGTTCCGGTGGATATTCCAACGCCCGACTGTTAAATTTAGCAGTTCTCTGCGCATTAAAACTTATGCACGCTATTCTCTCAAGCAAGCAGCAATTAATGCTTCTCCCCCTCTCGATCATGCCAGCAGGCCGGGGCGACACGTCATTAGCCGATTGGGCTCCATTTCGTTGAAACCGAGCCGGGATCCATGGCCGTCATGGCCCAAAGCTGACGATGCAGTCGAGGTTTTGGCTTGGAGGGAAACAAACTCATTAAACATTGGCCCGAGGCTTCTCCGAAAAACAGACTTCCACCGTTTTGCAGCCTCCAGCGCCACCAAAATGTGCCAGAAAGCGCCCCATTGGCCCAGGCAGCTGCTTTTGGTGCTGACAAGGCTGGCCATGGCGGCATCGGCCCCCCATAATTGGGCGCCATGCTTGGGTTTCCAGGGCCTGGCGTGGCCCTTCTCCTCAATTAACGCCCACAGCGAGGCTGCCACCTGCTACCCACCGCTGGAGAAAAGGGCCCCAGCCACTAAGGCCGATGGCCCAAATTACAGCGGGCTGCAGCGCTGCGCTGGTTGGCTCGAGCTCCCCCGTGCAGACAGCGACTGCACTACCATCGCCGTCTCGCCAGTTCTTCCGTCACCAATTCTCCACCATCCTTCTTTTTCCTCTCCACCAAAACATTCGAGCGGCGTCACTCCTCAGCAAGCCGGGCACATCGCCATGCGCGCATTCGATTAGGAACGTGGCACCGTGTTCCAGCTTTCTTTTTGTACAATTTACCTTGAATACTTGAATATCCCCCTGTGTCGATCGCAGCGTCAACGGCGTCGAAGCTATCCCTACCTTTACCTTTAATTTATTGATTACTTAGTCAGAGCGACTGTCGCCAGACCACCATGGACGAGACGGCGAGGACAGAGTACCCGGCCATGCTGGTAAGAGAACAGCTTCCATTCTACTCTCCGGAATATCTTCAATCCTGCTCGTTCGAGCTGCTGGACAAAGCGCAATGGACTAACACGCTGCCCTTTTCGGGCGCCCTTCGCACAGGCTGTTCTGCAGCCCGGCCAGGCCGTGCAGACGCTCAACGACCGGATGAAGCGCATCAACAAGATCAACCTCGAGATCGCCGACTGGCTCCAGGTACGCAACAGCACCGGCGGAACATCCGGTGATGGGAAAAAGAGAGATGAGGAAGCTGATGTTGACCAATTGTCGCCTGTAGGAGCGCCGTCGCGTCGAAGAGCAATATGTGCTGGCCATGCGCAAGCTGGCCCAGTTCCGAGTCCCCAATGCGCAGTCCGAGCTGGGGTGAGTCGCCGAATCCTCGTCAATGCCTCTGTGCTCGAGGCCGGTTGTCGAATGCCATCGCTAACAAACATGTTTGTGCAGTGTTTTCCAGGTTCCGTGGTCCCGAATCATCGAGTCCGTCGAACGCAACGCACAGTCCCACCAGCTGTTCGCCGATCGCCTCGGCAATGATGTCGAGCAGCCGCTGAGGGCCTTCCCGCAGCGCCAGGACACCCAGAACATGACCAACATCGCAAACAACTTGGCCACCATGGCCCGGGAGCTCGACGACGCGCGAAGCCAGTCCGACAAGCTCACCAAGAAGGGCGGCAAGGCCAGCACTCAAAAGGTCGACCTCGCGTCGTCCAAGCTTGAGTCGGCCACGCAGCAGTGGGAATCGCAGTCGCCCTTCATCTTTGAGACGCTCCAGGTGCTCGATGAGTCGCGCGTCAACTTGCTGCGTGACCTGTTGACTCAACTTGAAACCCACGAGTCTGATCGGGCACAGCGAAGCACCGACATCGCCGTCGAGACACTGGCACAGATGTTGGAGATTAGCACGGAGAGGGAAGTGCAGAGCTTTGTGCAAAAGGTGACTGCTGGCAAAGGCTCACTGCCACCATCGAGGACGGTGACGAGACGCTCGACGACGCACATGTCGCAGAATTCCGCCAGCGGGACTAGTGCTCCATCGACGCCGAATCCCTCGCAGCCGCCGCCAGAAGACGATGTTAGCGAGCACAATTCGCTACCCAACAATGAAGCTAAGCCGGGTATGTAACGAGCATGTCCAGCAACGCGCCTGTGCTAACGAATTGTCAATGGTAGAATCCAAACTACGCAGATTAGGTACCATGTTTGGTGGTCGACGACGACAGAGCGTCCACGCAGGCTTCGGTTCTCTCTCACCTCAGAAATCATCAACTGGCGCAACCTTTGGGCGACTTGGCAGCAGCCATGGCCGGGCCGTCTCCCCGATGACTTCCTCCAGCAACCTCCAGGAATCCAACCGATTGTCCATCTTGCCTGAGATGCCAGATGCAGCCCGCAGGCCGCAATCATCGTCCGACGCCATGCACGGGGAGCCGTCGTTGAATGGAAATGGTAACACAAATGGCCTTGGACCTGGCGAATCTCTTTTGGATTCTCCCGCTCCAGAGATGCCGTCAAGTGTAGTTAATGGCAACCATAATGTGGAGCAACAGCAATCCGAGGCTACCGCCTCATCCGAACCGTCATCAGCCCAGCCAAGCCAACAGGAGGCCACTTCTCCGATTGTTTCCAAAGATGAGGAGGGCTTCACAATACGGGCACCAATGAACGACCCCATCTCGGAGGCCCAGAGAGAAGCCGCTGCCGACGAAGCCGATCAAGGTTTCAAGCTTAATATTCAGAATTCACCAATCGAAGAAGAGGACCCTGAGGCGGCACAGGCCGCCCTGTCGAATGTGGCCAATACACTTCGAGTGGGCTCCGCCAACATAAACCGACGCTCCATGACGGTGAGGGGCCGCCGTGACGTGCGCAACACCATCTATGCGCCTGTGTTGCCTCACTTTGGTGATGGCCAGTCAGATAACGCCATCCCTGCCATGCCCGCCGTTCCGGGATCTCCTCCTCGTCCTCCGTCGTCTCGGCCCGCCGCCGTGGCTGCACTTGCTTCCGAGGCTAGCGCCGCCTCCGATACCCAGTCTGTGCGGTCCGGAAACTCGCTCGGCAGCCATCATACGAAGCACCCGGAGCTGACGGGGCCCGGACTGAATGCCTCCATTATCGAGACTGTTTCAGCTCACTTTGAGGGCGGCGAGCTGAAGAGCACGTCAGTTACGGGAGAGGTTGCTTTTGCCAATAATCCTACAGGCGATGTTGACACTGCCAAGAGTAAGTTGACTATTTCCTCTTCTTGCATGATGCAGAAATGCTAATACTTGTACAGCACATGAAACCATTCGTATCAACAACTTTGCCAACTTGGAACGCATCGGCCCCAACCGAATCTTTGTTCACAACGCTTCTCCTGACCAGCCCGACCAGTACGCCCTGGACGTTTCTCACCTTTCTGCTTCCAAGACCGCGACTGCTTTCTCTTACCGCGTTTTCTCTGACGGATCAGAGGCCCATTCTCTCAACCAACATGTTCCTCTCCTTGTCAACCCCGTTTGGAAATCTCAGGGCGACAAGCTCGGCCTTCTCCTGCAGTATCATCTCAATCCCGAATGCAAGTGGACAGCTCCCGTCACTCTCCACAACGTTGTCTTTGTGGTCTCATATGACGGCAAAGCCACCGGAGCCCAGACGAAACCCAGCGGCACCCATTTGAAGGACAAGCATATTGTTTACTGGAGACTGGGAGACGTAACTCTCACAGATGTCGCACAGAAGATCGTCTGCCGCATCGTTGGCGCCGACGGCGTGGAGCCGCAGCCCGGCAACGTTGAAGCTAGGTGGGAATACGCTGTCTCGGGTGAAGATGTCGTCGGCAGCGGCATCTCCATCTCCAGACTGGAGACTGTGAACAAGGACGCCGTGGAGAGCGATCCATTTGCGGATGAAGAGAACCCTGCTAGCTCAAACCCGTCGCTCGCAGAGCAGACGTGGGTAGATGTGCCGATTACGAGGAAGCTTGTGAGCGGCAAGTACGAGGGGAAATAATAGTCTTGACTTATTAGAAAGCGCTTACATGTCAGCGTCTTGAGTGGGAAATGGGGGAATGAATATCGTTGGTAATATTGAATATGCTGACTGAAACGTGGGTGCTGGTAATTCAAGCGTTGAGAGCGAAGGGGGCAAATAATTTTATGCGACTTTCTTTTTTCTTTCCTTTATTTCAGAAGAGAAGTAAAATCGCGCGGCCGTACGCCGATTTCTTTTTTCAAAAGTCTAACTGCTTTATTCGCTCGTGATATCAAGAGATCTTTCCTTTTTCATTTTTAATGTATGTTGTTGGAGGGAAGCCTTTGTTGCGCTGATGTGTATACACGCTCATTTGTGTTTCTTAACTAATATTTGTTTGTCCTTTTGTTTGATGCATTACCCTCGCTTTTTATCCTTTTGTCTTTTTTATTTGTGTTCTTGATATACTGCGCGTATATTTTGAGATGAGGGGAGAGGAAGAGGAAGAGGAAGAGGAGGATCACACAGTGTCTGAGTTTCGGAGTTGTAGGAATAGGTAGCATGAAGAAAGAAGAAGATAAGATATGAAACATTCGTAATGGTACATTTTTTTTTTCTTTTTTTCTCTTGGACGTTTCTCGATTTTCCGTTTCTAACTGATTTGATGATCAAACAAGTGAAGTCTATACGAAGTATTGTCAGTTGCTGCGTTTAGCAAGCCAGGTGGGTGATGTAGCGTTATCTGTAAATGGAAATCTACTTATTATACCACGTAGAGATATTTCTTCCCACGGATTAATGGTTGCTTGTTGGTATTCGCTTGAATTGCTAAACGAGAAGATTCAGTGATCCCAAACATCCATCCATGCAGCTGCGGCACGTCAACTCGTCGACTTCAACCTGATTGGCTGGATTCGAACTTTTGTTCCTATCATGCTTTGCAGCAGCCAATAAGAGGCGGAAAGAGGTGCTATATCGCAGCCTGATTCCTTTTGCAACAGCCTGTTGCCGAACCCCGCACGCTTTCGTGTACTCAACCTTGCGGATTTCTCCAACTTATTTGTTTTATCACTCAGATAGCTCACCGTCGCCTCTTGATGTCGCTATACCTGATGCCTTTGTATAATGGGCATATCTTGTCCGGCAATCAGGCAGCATGGCCAGTCCCAATTCGCCTCCGCCAAACAGTCGCGACGACTTCGAAATCGCAATCATTTGTGCTTTAGCCGTTGAATACGATGCCGTCGCCCTTTTGATTGACAAATTCTGGGATGAAGACGGTGATCAGTATGGTAGAGCTATTGGCGATCAAAACACATATACCACTGGGCGAATGGGCAGCTTCAGCATCGTGCTGGTGCTTCTTCCTGATGCAGGTAAAGTCAGCGCAGCAAGCGCAGCATCCAGCTTTCGATCGAGCTTTCCAAGAATTACCCTCGCTTTGTTGGTGGGAATTTGTGGAGGGGTGCCTTACACGAAGGACAATGAAGAGATTCTTCTGGGAGATGTTGTAATCAGCAAGACTGTCATCCAATATGACCTTGGAAGACAACATCATGAAAGATTTCTCACCAAGGAAACACTCGAAGACAAATTAGGGAGACCGTGCGCAAATATTCGCAGCATCCTTGCCGTTATGGAAACAAACCAGGGGCGAGAACGCCTGGAGAATCGCGCTGCTGTACTATTAGAACAGCTGCAACGTCATGCCAGCCAAAAGAAAACGCGAAGGCCGGTGAAGTACGAGTATCCTGGCATACTCAAAGATCGACTCTTTGAATCGAGCTATGTCCACAAGCACCAAGTCTTGCTGCCATATCGTTGCTGCGAGGAAGTACCATGTGATCACTCTCACGCGCTCTCTTGCGATGATCTTGGCTGTGAAAATGAACATCTCGTTCAACGTCAGCGGCTCAACGATCAGACTCACAATCTTTCCATTTTCATCGGTCGCTTTGGCTCAGGTGATACCACGCTGAAATCTGGAATATATCGTGACCAAGTCGCTCACCGCCATGGACTCCTGGCATTCGAAATGGAGGGCGCAGGCATCTGGGACGAGCTTCCATGTATCATCGTCAAAGGCATATCCAACTATGCCGATGGTCACTGGAATGCAGACTCAGGTTGGCAGTGTTTTGCCGCCGCCACGGCCGCTGCAACAGCAAGGGCATTGATTGAGCGGTATCCCAAGACAGATAGGTCTCATCCTCCATTGGCCATCGAAGAACGCAGACGAAGAACTGAAAAACGCAGAGAAAGAACTGAAGAGGAGGACAAGTGTCTGAGGGACATGCATGTAACTGATCCTACTCTTGACAAGAAAAGAATTGAAGACACCAACGGAGGTCTCTTGAAAGATTCGTATGTTTGGATTCTCTCAAATGCCGAGTTTACCCAATGGCGCAATAATCCTGATGGTGGACTCTTGTGGATCAAAGGGGACCCTGGCAAAGGCAAGACGATGCTCATGTGCGGTCTCATCGATGAACTAAAGGCGGACGGCGTAACGCGGCCGAGCTACTTCTTTTGCCAGGCAACCAATGCCCAGCTAAACAGCGCCACCAAAGTCCTATGTAGCCTGGCCTACTCTATTGCCTGCGAAGACGAACTGGCTCTCGCGTATGTTATGGAGAAGTATGAACACGCAGGCAAAGAATTGTTCAATAACACCAATTCCTGGACAGCTATGTCACATATTTTGGCACACATTCTACAAAACTCAAGTTTAAAAGACAAGGTCTTCGTTGTTGATGGTCTTGATGAGTGTGTGGTTGATCGTTCGAATCTTCTTGATTTCATTGCCCAAGCGCCAGGAATATCAGATGCAAAATGGATTGTCTCAAGTCGAAACTGGCCTGATATTGAGGAGAAGCTAAACACAGGCTCCAAAAAATTGCTGTTGTCTCTCGAGCTAAACGAACAGTCAATTTCCGATGCCGTTCGCGTTTACATTGAACATAAAGTCCATCAACTGGCCATACTCAAAAAGCTAGATCAGAAATCTCGCAACCTTGTTCAAAGTCATTTGCTGGCTAATGCTAATGGCACCTTTTTATGGGTTGCCTTGATTTATAAAGAGCTTTTTAAAGGGGGTGTGAAGAAACGGCATTTGCAAGATCTGATGGCTGCTTTCCCCCCTGAGCTTAGACCGCTATACGCGCGTATGATGGAGCAAGTGTGTGAGTCGCGCGATAGACAAATATGTCTAGAATTGTTAGGGCTGATGTCGCTTACTTATCGACCAATTTCATTGTTGGAGTTGACTTCGTTCGTTCAAATGCCCGCAAATGACGATGGCATTGAAGAACTGAGAGACATCGTTGCTACGTGCGGGTCCTTTCTTGTTTTGAAGGATGACGTGGTTTACTTCGTACACCAATCGGCCAAAGAGTTTCTGCTCGATAACGCATCTGACGAGATCTTCGACTCCGGAAAAGCTCGAAAACACCACGACATCTTTTCAAAATCAATACGGATCCTTTCACAAACTCTTCGACGAGACATATATGGGCTCCGCCATCCCGGGGCTCAACCTTCTGTATCCAGTGTACCCAATCCGGATCCGCTAGGACCTCTAAAATATGCTTGTTTATTTTGGGTTGATCACCTTCGAGATTCTATAGTCGACTCTTCTGGCAAGACTATCTCGCAAGCCAGCCTAGAAGATGATGGGATGGTTCATTTCTTTCTCAAAACCTTTTTATTTTATTGGCTAGAAGCACTTTGTCTAATGGGCAAGCTGACGGAGGGTATTATCGCTATAAAAATGCTGGAAGCATTGGTACGTCAGCCAATCTTCGTATGAATTGTCATTTATAATGGGATGGTTAACTCTTTGTGTGTGTCTAGACAGCACAAGACCTTGGTCTGCTACACACGTTTATGAGAGATGCTCGTCAGCTTGTGTTGTCCTTCAGGCCAGCAATTGAATTTACTCCTCTGCAATTATACTTTTCGGTTCTTCTTTTTGCTCCTACATCTAGCATAGTACGACAAGCTTTCGAACCAAACCAGGCGAAATGGATCTCACACAAGCCTAGCGTGCGATTTGGATGGGATGCACGTTTGCAAATATTAGAAGGCCATCAAAGCGACATTACTTCACTGGCGTATTCGCCAGATAATCTGAGACTAGCGTCCTATGATATCAGCAATAATCTTAGGGTGTGGGATCGGGCCACAGGGGCTTGCTTGCAGTCACTTGAGTTCGAAGGTACCTGGGGTTGTACGAGCATGGTGTTTTCGCCTGACAGCAGTCAATTGGCATTATCTTTCGACTTGTGCATCAGAATCTTGGATCCAACAAGTGGCACCTGTATAAAGACGCTCAATAATGGTCGGTATTATGGGTCAATGACATATTCGCCCAATGGCATGCAGTTAATTTTGTCAAATCAACTTTGGGAGGAGGACGACTTTCGAATATGGGATCTTACGACAGAGATGCAGCTTCAAACGGAAGATTACTACCAAGACGTCCGAGAACCAGCTGTCTTCCACCACGATGCACAAAACGTAGATGAGGACGAGGACGAGACATCAGACGAAGACGAGATATCAGACGAGGACGAGACATCAGACGAAGACGAGGCATCAGACGAGGACGCAATTACAGTAGTTCGAAGTCCAATAACGGGTTCCCGCGTCCAGATAGTTAGCGAACATCGCCTTGTGGATGTAGAGTTTACATTAGATGGCATGCTATTCGCGCTCAGAATGAAGGCTCGAAAAAGGCGAATCAGAAAATCTGGGCCAATCTACATCGTGGAAGCCGCAACTGGTAGATGTCTGCAGAAACTCACGGACTGCAGTTGGCTTAGTGAACAGTGTGCTTTTTCACTGGATGGTTCACACCTGGCGGCGGTTTATGCGTCGCAAAATCTTGGCATTTGGGACGTAAAAACAGGCGCTTGTCTCATGGACTTTCCGAACGCGATAAGTGTTGAAGCTTGCGTAGCCTTTTCTCCTGACGGCACGGACGTGGCCTTTGTTGCAGATTCCTCTACTATCATGATCTGGGATCTTACTCTGGCCTCTTCCGTGGACCCTGTAAAACAAGAAGAGGTCCATTCAGTCATATTTTCACCGGATAGCACACGCCTTGCACTCATAACAAATTATTTTGTGATAACATATCCTTTTACTATTGAAATTTGGGATCCTGTAGCAGGAACATGTCAGCAGCAGCTCCATGTCGGTAGTTCAACTCGGGACAAAGTTTATTACGCCCCGCCGCAGTTGGCATTTTCTCCGGACAGCACGCAATTAGCATATTCGAGATGGAATGAAATTACAATTCGGGACTTGGCCGCAAATCCACATCATAACAGGTGTGAATTCGAAGTTTCCAGCGACGCAAAGTCAATTATATTTTCTCCCAACGGCAGTCGACTGGCGGTGGCGGAGGATAAGCCTCACTCGCAAAGGATTAGATCCGAAATTCCCAGCATCGCAACTCCGAAAATTGAAATCAGGGACGCGATTAACGGCGCAATTGTTTACACATTCTATTTTGCAACGGCGATAAAGAATATCCAATTCTCGTCGGACGGCAAGCGTTTGGGGTCATTGTCAGAAAAGGGCATCGCAGCGATATGGGATCTGAATACGGGCGCATGCCTACAGACTTTCGATTCCAATTTGGTATGGACATTAAGCGTGGGCAATGACGCCTGGCATATATACAGATATGCACCTCACGTCCAAGTTCAATGTTTTCTCACCAACATGTTGCAGAATCCAGATTCAATACCTGGTATTACTGAAGAGTTTGGTAATAGTCCAAACATGCAGTGGCTTGTGCGACGAGGAGAGCCTTTTCTCTGGCTCCCTATGGAATATCGATCCGTGGATGTTACTTTTGCGGGAGGAAACATTGCTATTGTTCTTTCTAATAAAACACTTGCTTTAATTTCTCTTAGCCTTGCTGAATTGGACGCCGAGATGGCATCTAACAGGTCATCAATAGTCAAAGACTAGATTTATATGAATAACAGGATAAAAAGAATGGTACACATTAATATATTAGCTACCCTATCCTGCATGCCAGTTCAATTATCTAAGATTCCAGCTATAGCATGGGCTACTGCTGCTACTGCTGCTACTTTTAGGCAGATATAGCAATTAAATAGTGAATTTTATCTATAGTCTAATAGCTTTATTGAGCTATAACCGGAGTGCTGTAATACAGCTAGAGTGTTGGATAATAGAATTGGGATGCTGGATAACTTTCCCTTATGATCACAAACGAGAAAGTCTGTTCAACTTTTTGAGAAAGATACAAGCCATCATACCTATATACTTCCAAAGACTTGCATGAAAATCCCATTCTTGACAAAAGATAAACACCGGCATATCACAAGAGGTGATCTTGCAAACATCATACGAGTGTTTCAATATAAAGTCTAATTACATCCTTCATAACGGTCAAAAGGTAGAAAGCCACCCAAAACAAAGTTGCGATATCGGTGCAGCGCTTGCATAAATCGATATCGTACTATTACATCTACCTTTGTCAATTGATTGTTTCCTTTTTCCTTTCCGTTTATTTTATCTCTTCTCCCTTCTGTCTTTCCTTCACTCCCCCGAAGCCGCCCTCGCATGCTCTTCATAAAACTCCAATGTCAGCGCCGCCAAAAAGCCCGGTATGCACCCCTTCTCCCTGACCCAAAAGCCAATGTGGTCACCAATCTTTTGCGCAAACGCGCTCTTGGGCCCGCCACCCACCTTCATCGTGCCCCTCTCGCCGTCAAATACAATCGAGTTCTCATGCTCGTCCGTCTGCGAGGGATAAAAGGTGCTCTCGACTCGCATCTTGCCGTTGGGGATGAAGGTGACGGTCCAGCCCAGTGTCGAGAAGATGGCTTCTTTGAACTCTTGCGATTTGGAGCCCCAGACTTCCTTGAGGCGGCGCGCGGATTTCTGGGCGCTGGCGGTTTCGGCTTTTGCTGCTGCGATTTCGCGCTCCATGGCGCCCAGTACTGATGTCGGGATCAGGGGTATTGAAGGGCTTGTCTCTTTTGACCGCAATGTCGCTAACAACTCCTTGTTCTCCTTCTGCAGGGCCTCAAGAGTGGCCCGCTTGATCGCCTCATAATCCGACGTGGGATTAGATCTTAGCGATAACACTCGCGTTTTGGCCTGCTCTTTGGCGGCAGAAAGCTGCTCGCGCGTTGTAGAGAGATCCTTTTCGAGCATAGCGACCTGCGTCTGCACGCTCGCCAACTCTTCTTGAAGCTTGCGATTCTTACGCGTAAGCTGGCCCATCTGCTCCTGGGCGACATCGTCCTCGGCCCGACTTCGCTTGCTTCCAGCGAGCAGCAACGGCGATGATGGCTGCTGTGATAACGGATCCATTGATGAGAGCTCGTCGTGTAACCGCTGAACCTCCATCTTGTAATTGTCCACCATGTCCTCCAGCTCCTGGATACGTGCCACGCGGGTTCCATCAAATTGTTCAGGTTGTAGGGCTTGCTCTTCCGTGTCAAACGCTTTGAGCTGTGCGCGCAAGTATTCAACTTCCTTCAGAGCCAAGGCACGCTGCCGGTCGAGACGCATGCGGACCTGGTCGACATTAGCAGCCTGGGCAGACGTTGTGGCATTCTCGAATTCGCTCCTCAATTGCGCTCTCTCTTCTTCCAAGGCCTGGGTATGGCTTTGCTGAGCCGCAATCTCGGCACGAACAGCGCCAAGCTGCTCGACATAGGAGGCACTGGTCAGTCGCTCCTGTACAAGCGCCCTCGCAATCTGCTCTGGTGAATCGAACTCGGCCTGACCAGTTTCGGAGACTCTCTCGAGATAAGCTGACCATGAAAGACGCTCATCCTCCAGCCTCTGACGTTGTATCCTGGCCTCTGCCAGTTCCGCCTCTAGTCTCTCAGCGGCCTCCACCTTTCTCACTAGTGACCTCTTTTCCTCCTCGACAATCTCAACAGCTTTATTGACAGCTCGAAGCCGCTTTAGCTCCGTAAGTTGTTCGCGGTTGGAAGCCTCTAGAGCTCGAATGTGCGAAACCTGCTCTGATAGCTCCCTCTTAATGATATCCATCGTCTCCGCATCACCACTTTGGGCCTTGAGCCGTAGTACGTCCGCCTCCAGGTTGCCAATCAATGTGTCTTTTTCCAAAATCTGTTCCTGGTATTGTCGCATTGATGTCTCATGTGCTTCCGCCTCCTGCTGCATGTCCTGTAACGAGCTGTTTGCTGCAGAAATTTGCATTTGAAGATCGTTGGCTCTTTTGTCGGCCCTTCTCGCCGCCTCATCTTTTGCGCTGGTCAGATCTTCTAGTTGTTCTTGCAAAAGGCGAGTTTCGTCCTCAGCAGCCCGAAGTTTGGACTCGAGTGACCGTTTGTCATTTTCCACAGCTTCTTTCAGCTCTTCCATTTCGGATCGGATTGACTCCATCTTACTGTCTGTCTTTGCCTTTTCCGATTCAGCTGATTGACGCTGCTGTGCTTCTTCTTGTTCGCGCCGACGGGCTTGCTCTATCTTATTGTTTTGCTGAGATAGAGCGATCTCCTTCTCTTGTTCAGCGGTCTGCAGGCGGTATTGCAAGGTCCCAATTTCGGCCTTGAGGGCCTCAATTTCTTTCCGATACTTCTCGGAAGCATCTGGCTCTGGCTGCACGGCATTCTCTTTCAAATTCTCGACTGATCCTCGGAGCGATGGGGTTGCATTGCTTTGTCTAGATGACGGTCTACTTGTGTTGTGTTCTCCGGTGAGGTTATGGGCGGATGTTGAAGCACGAAACGATCCTATCTGCAACGCATAAGTGAGTTAGAAAGTATATACAAAGCCTAACACCGAGGCATGCTCAGCCAATTGGCTGCTTGACTTACTCTGGAATCACGAATTGACAGATTTGGTCGGGGCAGGCCTGAGGTGCTTCCAGCGCGCAACCTGCTGGCCGGCCGAGAGCCTGGACGGCCAGTAGGAGTGCCGGCATCCTGCATTGCGCGGCCGCGCATCTCAAAGGTTGGCTTTGGCCTTGAAAGAAGGAAATACTGACGATGGGTGCTGAGCTTCTGTTTTCTTTGTCTGCCAAACGCGCTGCTTCGCGTCGGAAATGGGTAGCTTGGCTGCGAATAACGTAGTCACGTGATGATATCAGATAAGCTGCAAAGCAGGTAAATGAACATATATCGATTTGCAGGTGAGGAATTGCAGTAATGGCCAAAGTTGAACCTTTGATAGTAATCCTTTTTTATAGTTCACACAATTGGTTATACGAGTTAGGTGTGCAGGCTCTGAGCATGGAATTGAGCATTGCGTTCCTGAGACTCAGTTCCGCATCAACAGGCCAACAGATAAGATCTGCGCGAGCCAATCGGCAATCCACCATGTACCGGCTTGGCTCGGGGTTTGCGGTACAGGTACGTGAACTTACATGAATCAGCAATTTCCTCTGGCTCTACACGCTTCGCAAAGCACAACTGTGATGCATTTCATATGAGAATATATATCCAAATGAAACTTTGCTACTTGTATTAAACTAAACTTGCAAGTACACAAATCAACATTCAATGTCCCATCAATTGACAATCTCTTGGAAGTACACTCAACTTAAACCCATGACGCAGCTCCCGTGACCCACTCGGACAAGACCCAAGAAAGTGGGAAGCTCAGCTTAGCTCCGTCCATCCTTCATCCATTCATCCCGCCAATATCCACAACCGAAATCCAGCAAACAAGCCTTTTGACATGCCACTTCCGACGAGCAGCCGCAGTGATCTCGCTGGGCTCGCCAATTAACCAGAGGTCGTCTGATACCAATCATCTTCCAATCGTTATTACACAGGCTCAGCCACTACAGCAACCACACGGAATCCCGGCTCTGCTAAACCCGAATCCTACCTGGATCTACCCAGTTCGCCCTAAGAGAGCGTTGAATTGAGCTCCCATTTCATCCACCATGGCCGCCCATGCGCGGAGCCTCGAGGCAAGTAAAATGACTTGGGTGTCTCAAACAACTACCGCGCAACATGTATTAACATGAAGCTTTTAACAGGCCGCAAGGATCTCTCTACCATCGACGTTTGCGCTTCGTAGACCTCGGCTATCGCCCTTGTTCCTCTCCAGTCTTGAGGTTCGCTCAAAGTACGAACGATTGCCTTCCATCTCATCATCATCCTCTTCAACATCGTTCTCTTCGTTTTCCGCATACCAGAAACGATGGTCTTCCGATTCGACGACTTCCCAGCAGAACCGACCGGCAGGTGCCCAAAGCCCTGATCAACCAGCTTCAACGCCATCGACTCCAAAATCTACAGCGGCGACGTCTTCATCATCGTCATCGACATCTACTTCCACATCGTCAACATCAAGCAGTCGTAAAAAAGAGTCTGCTGGAGGCAAATTCAACTTATACGGCGACGAGTGGGAGGACACTGTTGACTTTGCCATTCAAGGATTCGATGAGCTTCCGCATCGCCTGTTTGGCGTCAACCAGCATATGATTATCAACTATGAGCTCAAAGAGGCCCTGCGTATGATGTTGCGCCAGTTCAATGCGCCCATTGTCTACTGCTTCGCCTACGGCTCGGGCGTTTTCCCCCAGGAAAAGCCCGGCCGCAGCATCAGCGAGGCTGACTTTCGAGCTGTCCATCCTAGGCCACCCGAAGCTTTAGTCAAGGCCCAAGGAGGCTCACCCAAGATGATTGATTTCATCTTCGGAGTCACGCACACAGAACACTGGCACTCTATCAACATGAAGCAGCACCGGGACCATTACTCTGGCGTCGCATCGCTGGGCTCGGGCTTTGTCTCGCGAGTCCAGAACTGGGGTGCTGGCGTGTACTTTAACCCCTACGTTGAAGTTAGCGGCATGTTGGTCAAATACGGCGTCACAAGCATCGACAACTTGGTTAGGGACTTGTCCACTTGGGATAACCTCTATTTGGCAGGGCGCCTGCAGAAGCCTGTCAAGATTCTCCGTGACCATCCCCAGGTCCGACTGGCGAATCAGATAAACCTCATCGCTGCTGTCCGAACCGCACTCCTTCTGCTGCCTTCCGATTTTACCGAGGCCGACCTATATAGCACCATTGCTGGCCTCAGCTACCTCGGCGACCCACGAATGGCTCTCCCTACCGAGAACAAGAGCAAGGTAGCCAATATTGTCTCCAACAACATGGTGCATTTCCGTCGGCTCTATGCTCCATTAGTTAGGACACTTCCCAACGTAGCATTCGTGGATCCCGTTCGACTTGATGACGAAAGCTGGATTCTGAATCCCGAAGCCAATGCCAGAATGCAGCAGGATATGGACTTGGTGAAACGAGGTAACATGGTCAGGCGTTTACCGGGAAGTTTCAGGTCTCGTCTCTATTTTCAATACCGCAAGAAGTTTGGCGTTCCCCGAGACGAATTCGATGCTATGATGGAGGCAGCTTCTGACTCGGACGGAGCGGTAAAGCGCCGTCAAGCGGGAGAGTTTGAGAAGCGGATTGCCGCGGATGACCCCGAACAGTTGAAGAAGATAACTCGCCAGGTCATCAAGCAGACAGTCAACTGGCCTAGCACAGCTCAAAGCATCAAGGGCTTGATCATGGGTGGCTTTAGCAGATCATGGCGATACTTGGGCGAAAAGGTGTCCAAGTGGAAGAAGGGCAGGTCCGAGAAGAAGTCTGAAAGCAAAGAGGCTAAAAAGTCGCAGAAAAAGGAAGAGTAAAGTACAGCTTGTACTCAGGGCAGCCCACGCCCTGTCTCTCTTCCAGTCGCCCTAACGACGACGCATTTTTTTTTCTAGCTTTGGCATTCTGACGTTTATTTTCTTGCTACATATTGTATCACGTATGCATCTACACAATGAACATAGAGCTTAGATTTGGGAGCGATTGCAGCAAGAGCCGAGCGACGCGCAACACTTTGCATCGGCTGGTTATGAGCCACGGAAATTGGAGACACAGGACATATTTTGCAAAAGAAAGAGGGGCAAAAAGATGAATTGGAAAAAAAAAAGAGTCGCAAAAAGCTGGATAGGCGGAGCGAGATGGCGCTGATGGAAATATGAAATCAATGGATAGGATAGATGGATGACTTGGGTTGGCTGGTACGATAGGCGTTGACGATGGAATGGAGCGAATGCTGCTGAGAAAGACGAGCGGCTTTGCACCTTGTATTGCAGTGTATCAAAATAACTATAGTAGTAGAAAACACGATTGGAGACGTTTACTTTCATCTGGGCATATAATTGTTATATAAGACGATTTTGTGAGGTCTTTTAGAACGAGTGATTGGAACATGGCTGCTTCATTTCATAGCGCCAGGATTAGTCATCAGCATGACTTGGCTGCATCTCTTGTATTTCTATTCTATTTTGTTTCCGCTTTATTTACTCCTGCAACTTGGCAAATCCAAACGACTCCCAGTCCTTCAGCACCTGGTCCTGCACGCTCTGCGGGTAGGCGTTCTTGAAGTTGCACGTCTCCCAGTTCTGGCCCGTTGTGAATTCCACCGGCAGCAGCGCATCACTCACAACCTTGCCGCCCTTGACGGGGTCACCGTTTCCATAGCCCATGAAGGGAATGAGTCTGAAGCCGAGAACCTCCTCGAAGAAAACCTCGTCCAGGTTGGGCCGGCATCGAGTGGTGAAGGCCCACAGCACGTCCTTGTCGTTGTAAATGTCAATGTCCTCGCCCACCAGGATCAGGCGGTGCATGGCGAAGCCGGCCTTGACGTTGAAGACGAGGTCGCCGACCTTCTTTGCGAATTCCTTGCCGGTCGTCTTGAGGGCGCGCAGCTTGGTGGTGTCGACCTTGAGGACGGTCCAGGTGGCGTGGGCGAACCAGGGGCACGAGGTCTGGATGATGGGGAGGCCGGCGTCCTGGCAGACTTGGCGGATTCGGGCGGCAGCGAGGAGTCCGAGCATGGTGTGCTGTTGAAAGATGTGTTAGCTGACTGAGGTGATGTAGGCACATGGAGAAGAAACCACAGAGGACACTTACAGTCTCGTCAGTCGCGCGGCCACATGACGAGATGGGCAGGATGGCGTTGTTGCGGTAGGTGATCTTGGTGATCTTGTGTACGTTGCCGATGATGCTCTTTCCGGGGAACGTGTAGCCGTGCATCTCGCCAAAGGGACCCTCCTTGGCCGTCTCCTCAATCGACAGCGTGCCCTCAAAGACAATCTCCGAGTTGGCCGGCACCAGGATGTCGTTGGTATCGCACTTGACCATCTTCATGGCCTCGCCGCACATGGCGCCGACGTATCCAGGATCGCTGACGCCCTCGGGCAGAGGCATCGAGGCAGCCATGGCCGCAGTGGGAGGAACACCAAAGGCCAGCGCCCAGGGAATTTCCTTCTTGCCCTCCTTGGCCCACTGGTCGTGGATGAGCCTGATGTGCTGCGGGTTGGCGGCCAGACTGACGAGCTTGTTCTTGTCGTGCACCATGGCTCGCGAGATGGACCAGTTGGTCCAGCTGCCGTCGAGGTTCTGCAGGATGTGTACGCCAAAGGTCTGGACATACTTGCCGCCGTCGGACTGGTGGATCTGCGGCAGGGGCAGCGACCACAGGTCAATGTCGTCGCCCTCGATGGAGTTCTCCTTGCACGGGCCCGTGGCGACGATCTCGGGCTCAATGGGCGGGAGGTGCGTCGCGGACAGCATCTTGTCCTGGATCTCGTGCAGGCTGGCCGTGGGGGGCAGGGCTACGTGCCGTGCCAGACGGCTGTACTGGTGGCCGGGCGTCTTGCGGACGCCGCCGGGGGCGCCGAGGATGCGCCAGAGGCCATCTTTGGCGCCGATGATGTTGTGGAAGAAGGGCGCCTTGTCGTCGGTCTCGTAGACGAGGCGGGTGATGGCGGCGGCCTGCAGGTTGGGGTCGATGGGGGCTTCGATGTCTGCGAGATCGCCGTCTTCGCGGAGGGCGTTGATGAAGGAGCGGAAGCTCAGGTGAGCGGGCTCGGGGTCATTGGCGTCATATTTAGAAGACATGATGAATTGGACTTAGAGGGTATCTATGCTCTTTGACTCGAGATATAAGTCAATTGAAGCGCTTACAGCTCTCTACATATACTCTCTGGCAGCTCAGCCGCGGGAATACTATATATACTCTACTGCCCCCTCTGGGATTTCTGGTGGAGTTACGCGCAAATTGATGCTACCTGCTCTCACTCCGTGACTACCAGGAATCATCTTGGCTTACTTGATTTCAATCTTGTCTCTTGATTTATTACCGACTCTGTGAAACGGTCCCCGTTGTCCCATGCAGTGAGCCTCGACGCTGCAGTCATGCCCGATGCGACCCCGGCCACTGCGCCGAGAAGGGCCAAGCCGCCGCGGCGGATCATCAAGCGCCGAGCATCCGAGCCATCCGGGCACGTCACCACCACCGCGCTCCTCCAAATCCTTCGCCCGAACCTCGACCTGGCTTTCTCGGACGCTCGGAACATACGCAGCAGCCCCTCCTCGGATCCTGCTGCCAGCTTCACGCTCGCCTCAGTCACAAAGAAGATGGAGATCCAACAGCAGAGCGGCAGCACGCCCGCACATGTGCCGACGCCAGAGCAGAGGGAAATCGACAGAGTGCTGTACCTGCGGCGCATTTCGCAGGCCCGGTCGTGCTATCCATGTCGCCAGCGCAAGGTCAAGTGCGATCATGGCCAGCCGTGCCGGACGTGTCAGAAGCGAGGCCATCCTGAGATATGCTCGTACAATGTAGGCACGCCGGAGAAGAGGCGCGGGAGGCGTGCGAAGAAGGCCATCGCTGATGGGACGACGGCGACGACAGCATCTCAAGGTGTTTCTGCTTCTGTTTCTGCAAACAGGATAAGTTCTGAGCAGCATGGAAAAGAGCTGCCATCGCGGGAAGACAGTCTCGAGTCCGAGACGTCATCAAACCGGACGTCGCCGGCTGCGACTGTCAAAGCAACCGAAGTGGCTTCCACAGTAGCAGCGGCGGCTTGTTCTCGTGCGCCGCAGGCCAACTGCTACCGGACTATAAGAAAGGAGCATTATCAAGGGGACAGCTCAGTTCTTGCAATGTTACATGGCTCTGCGGATTCGCCCGCTGTGGAGATGAGGAGGAAGGCTGGGCCGGTGCTTGGCTTGCACAATACACTTGAGTTTTATCCGTTTATGAAGCTCAAGACGATACAGGAGCGGTGGGCGGAGTTGTTGAAGCTGATTCCGCAAAAGCAGGAGGTTTTGAGGTGTGTTGTCTTTTCAGTTTCATTTTAATCACTCATGTTCCAAGTTTACTAACCTGGTGCGTAGATATTTCCCGTCGCATGGCGCTACAATCTATCCTCTCAATCCTGTTTTGATAGATCCTGATGACTTGGAGTCTGCCTATTGCGATTACTTGTCGGCTCTCGAGGCCGGTGAGCTCAAAGATCCCAATGTCTTTTCTCCGAAATGGGTGTGCAAAGCGTACATTTCGCGGATTGCCCTGCTACTGGCAGCACTTGCTACCAGTGCTCACTACTCGGTGATGCAGTCTCCGAGGAGGCGTTCTGAGCATTGTCGTGATTACAGTAAGTAATCGTTGATGATAAGCGCTGTTTACATGACTGACCCAGCTTCACAATTTAGTTCAACGCGCATTTGATTGTCTACGTCTTGCCAATTACGTTCTACATCCATCACTAGATGTGGTCCAGACTCTGCTCATCATTGGGACCGTTCTTCAAGATGTTGGACAGTCAGACGGCGCATGGGTCATGTTGGGCACCACAGTTCGAGTAGCGCAGGCTCTGGGTCTGCACACTCTGACGGAAGCTCAGCTCCAAGAGGATAAAGGGAAGAAGAAGCAGGCTCTTTGGGATATGATATGCAAGCAGGATTGCTTGCTCAGTCTGTGCCATGGCCGGCCACATATTGCGACCAACCAATCCTTGGCAACAAACAACCTTCTGTATCGTTCCGACGAAGCATTAGGCTTCTCGGATATGATGTGTGGCATTGTTTCTGTGTGCATAAGTCTCCTAAACTTGGAGCAGCCAAGCTGCGAAGCGTCGTTGAAACTGCTAGACGAGCTAGACGGATACCAATCCCGAGCCTTGCCGTATCTCGAAGACCGAAACAGTTGCAAAAATATTCAGCAGCGGTATGAAAACCTCACTATTCAAATACAGCTATCCTTTGCGGCATCGGTCATCTCTCGGCCAGCGTTGACCAGGACTGTGGCGACGACCAACGAAGAGATCAACAACCTGCAAATTCTCAAGCGCCGAGCCAAGGAGAGTTTGATGAGCACGGCCAAGTCTTTCATCGAGTTTCAGTCACTAAGTATCATACCCATCCGCACATGGTCGCTGATCCATGCGGTGCTGAGTGCCACGATTATGCTTTGTCTTTGGGAGGAGACGCGAAATGATGCGGAGAGCCGAGATGTGCTGCAGCGCGTGATGGAAATCTTTTCGCGAGCAGCGCAGGCGGACGATGAGACTGGCATGATGTCAGACAACAACCCTTGGCTGTCAATGAGCCATACCCGAGCACTGGTGGCTCTTCAAAGCGCCCTCCAAAAGGCCCCTGCGCTGACCAGTCCTGCGGCGACAACATCAACGCCGGCATCGCTGCCCGAGCAACCACTGGCAGAGAACATGCCGCAGCAGAATTACGCTTTACCGAGGATGCAAGATACGGGAGGCCCTCCGTTGGATCCGACGGTGGATGGCCCGATGAGCTACAACTTTACCTCGATGCTAATTGACGGGTTTGTTCACTTTTGACATGGGCTTTCGATGAATGCGGACTGATTCTTACCAGGTTCTCCATGGACGCATACTCGTACCCCTGGGACACGTCGGGGGTGTCGCCGTTGATGTATCTCGATCAAATTATGAAAGGTGAGGAGGATGTGACGTTTCCCCACCACGACCCCAGCTTTGTGGTGAATTGATCTGACGATGTTGCAGGGTCTTATGAGGCTGTAGATGAATTTTGAACAAAGGATGGGTGGGCCGGCGTCGCAGCGTTACTGTTGCGAGGTGGAAAATAAATTTGCAGCGAAATTACCGGAAGAGATGTTTGGTTATCAGCTTTGGATACGGATCACGGCGCTGTTTACGATACCTTCGAGATGAAGATGTATTATTTACGACCTGTTGGGGCTCATCATATTGGGCGGCGGTTACTTACACTCGCTCTGGGTAGAATCTCTGTGCGTCCATGTTAGCCTTGGACCTTGCCTTTATCAGCAGGAAGGTAAGGTCCAAGTTTGATTTGTACGCACAGTGATTCTATCCAGAGGGAGTTTAAGTAACCGCGCCTCGCTCTGCGATGAGCTTCATATCAAAATAGTTGACTTACTGAAGCGTCAGATGTAGCAAATTCCGTCTATAAGACGAGGCCAAAACAACTAAACAACGTTTGAAGGCTATCCTGTTGTGATGCTTACCAAAAAGATGATCACAGTTAATGCTCATTCAGTGACTGGCCTACTGTGCATCAGGTATCTTTGACTTGCCAATACATGTATCATGTTTTGGTAGTAACGTGTATATAGAGTCGATAGGACATTATCAGGCCCTGTATCTGTACAATTCCGATGGCTCGGAATAAAGAATTGGAGTATATCTCATGCGGATGCCACACTTTAATCCAAGGTGGAGTGCTGCCCCCTTGGCTGATGTTGTTGAGCATAATTGAGAGTAATTGAGAGTGTAATAGGTACAAGGAGCTGATTAATGTCGACAGGTCATCAAGTTTCCATGTTATTTTCAAGTGGTATAGTCTTACTAAGTACCTAATTGAAGCATAGGGATACTGGCCAGGGGTCCAGATTAGTGACTGTGAATCATGCTCCCGCCTCCACCATCTAATGCTAGATGCTGCAGTACGACTTTTGCCTATAGGCAAGGCATAAGCACAGCCAATCAGCACTCAAGGGCAGCGAATCCTTCTTACAACTAACCCACCACTCCATTATTCAACTTTTTGGCCATTGTTTGTCTCTCGCTGAGCAGGTTTATTATGATAGCAGAGATGCACACCTGCAGAATAAGCTGAAATAATATTTTAGCGCTTATCGTAGCGATGCGATCCTCTTTGGATACGCCATTTGAGCGGAAGATTAGGATCGGACGGGAGCGTGCCGCAGTGGCGCTGATTTTCTTTGATGGGCGGTCGCGTAGCCTTATATGAATTGGTAAGATGGGATGGGATTTTCCTTTAGGCTGTTGGGTAGAGGCGAAAATGATGAAGAAGAGTAAGCACTTTAAACTGGGATCGATTTCGTTACGATTTAGTTGAGGGTTGGGACTAGACTAATAGGTACTTGAGTGAGGGACGTTGGGATGAAGTAGTAGCAGCGAGTAGAGTGCCAAATAGTACAACAACAAATGCATTGATAAAATATATTATCTGTTGAATAAACAAGCCTATGATAAGATTGATTGATTTATGTATACTTCTCTAACGTCATACGAGATTAATGATCCCTACATAAACTGCTCAACTGAATTCCGAGATGGTGTCTTTTGCGCGAGTGTCCGCAGCCCGACTTCGGCAGCTCGGCCACCTCGGCGCACGGCCTCTGTAGAAAAGGTACACCAGCCATTTTCATCTTCTCTTCCCTCGGCTCGGTCGTTTGGAAGATGCAAGTCTCGGACTGAGCTGAGTTGGACGGGAGAAGAATGAGGTCACGCTTCGACTATTTTTCTTGTGTATGTGTGTGTATCTATTAAATTCACTATTTTGTTTGCCGTGCAATGTTGGCGATGGTGCCGAGATGTTTGTAATTGTGGATTAGTCGAGAGGCAGTTGTGGTGCTGGGTGCTGGATGCTGGATTTCGTACATATAGCTGGAGGATGCCGCATATCTTGCTGAGTGGCCATTCTATCCCCAAGTTGAACCCTGCTTACACACTTTTACTCTTGCATTTCTTCTACTTTCTTCTGCTATTCTCTGTCACGTCTTTAATCTCCAACTTCATCCATCCAAACTTGTTCTCGACGATACGACACTTGACTACACGACTTATACCGACTACAACAACATGTCTCCCTCCCTCACAGACGAAGAAAGCCTCGCCATCTCCCACGCCAATGGCTCCAATGGCTCCAACGGCACGGCTCCCCCATATCAACCCACCCAGCCTCGCCGCAAACGCATCATCGTCGCCATGACGGGCGCCACGGGCACCATCCTGGGCATCACGCTGCTCATCGCGCTGCGCCGCCTCAACGTCGAGACGCACCTGGTCATCTCCAAATGGGCCGAGCAGACGCTCAAGTACGAGACCGACTACCACCCGTCCAACGTGCGCGCGCTGGCCGACCACGTCTACAACATCAACGACATGGCCGCGGCCATCTCCAGCGGCTCGTTCCGCGTCGACGGCATGATCGTCGTGCCCTGCAGCATGAAGACGCTGGCCAGCATCAGCACTGGGCTGTGCGACGACCTGATCTCGCGCGCCGCCGACGTGATGCTCAAGGAGCGCCGCAAGCTGGTGCTGGTCGCGCGCGAGACGCCGCTGAGCGAGATTCACCTGCGCAACATGCTGGACGTGACGAGGGCGGGCGCCATCATCTTCCCGCCGGTGCCTGCGTATTATATCCGGCCGGCGTCGGTGGACGATTTGGTGAACCAGAGCGTGGGGCGGATGCTGGATTTGTTTGATTTGGATACGGAGGAGTTTGAGCGGTGGAACGGCTGGAAGAAGGACAATTAAAGAAGAATGGGGCTTTTACCTCTTTGTTTCTTGCGTATATGATGAATGATGGGAATAATGGCATGTAACTATAGACGGGATGGATGGGTTATGGGTTGCGAAGCATTTGGGCGTTGTGATTTACAGGGACATCTGAGACAGTTTGAATCAAAAGTAATCGATCAATTGCAATTGGCTTCAATAAACACACAAAAAGAGGTATACTGCCTGACTAGGCATTACACGACTTATATCACAATTGTGAATAGAAATTCAAGACAAAAAAATTATGCGACAAGAACAGGATTCGAACCTGTGCGGCCGAAGCCATATGATTTCGAGTCATACCCATTAACCACTCTGGCACCTTGCCTTTTGCATATTAGATACATGACAAACTGCAGCTATATTAGTAAAGCTTTAGCGTCCTACAGCTAAGACTCCGGCTCGGCGTATCCCTACCCTGCATTCAACAGAATAATTGCTGATGCAGTCTTTCAATTCTCGGATCGCTGTAGATTCTGATTGGATTATTTTAATCATGATGAAATTATTGTTTTGATGTTTAGTGCTCTGTAGCACCAATCTGAAGCCTTGCACTCTCCATGATGGCTATTTAAGTCACATGCAAAGCAAGCTTTAGGTGCATGTTGCTTAGAGGACTCAATGCTGTTCAGGCGGAAAGCACCTAAAGCCTCATGTTGTCACGCAATCCAACTGCTACAGGCGCTGACGACAAAATCATCCACTGTTGAGCTGATGAATCATTGGCGTCAAATGCAGAGCTCTTGTGGGCACCGTTTATCCAGAGAACAGCGTCTCGGGCTACGCAATCAAATCACTCAATTATAGGCCATGCGCGTGCTTCAGCCAGCAACCATCGACTCCAGCGGGGCTCTTGGCACGGCGTTGAGCAACATGCGCAAACTAGCTGAGCAGCTTGTATGCTCCTCTGAAGACATCAATGGTATATGCGCCTTATAGGCGGGATTTGAAGAGGCTACCAGTTGCGAAACTACCCGAACTGCTGCTGCTACTCAGTCCCTCACTGCAGGCCCTCTTGGCTAACCTCTCTCTGGAGAGTCTCGTGCCTCATATCCATGAAGAAATGGTATGTATATAAAATGTAATCAGTGACAGTGATAATCTCTTGCTTACACTTGAAAGAGAGTGATATTACATGCTTTGGCCGATGAAGAAGGATTTACTATAAGTGAAAGAGTTCTTTGGGGGCCGCCAATAATATGGCTTCAAAACGGCGGGTTCAGGACAAGAAGAAATCAAATTTGTTTTTGTATCATTATACCCCGGCCAAAGAGCAGAGTTATTAATCTTGAAGAAGGACAACAAGGTGAAGAAGAAGAAGCATATGAGTGTGTTTTCGAATGCACGATAAGACGGCCAATTGCTGAAGGACAATTTGTTAGTTTCAGTTTTTCAGTGTCGCGTTGGCGATATCATTAGTTATGAAGACGGCGAGGAGATTTGCAATGACAATAGTGCAGAGCCTCTTGGTATTTGCTTTCTTGCATCTTTGTACGAGATGAATTGGAAGCACTGATCGCTCACTTCAGGTGTCCAAGGCAAGGTCACGAATAGGCCGACACCAATAGTATTACCGTATATCATCGATAGTAGACATAAAGACGCTGGACTTCACAATACTACTACCGACTAAGAGCATGCAATGATATGACTAACAGCAACCAGGCACATGATTGTTGATGTCTGCTATAAGCCCCCTTGCATCGAGGCTGATACTAGTCAATGCGCCATGAGACGGGCTATCAAATAATCCCGAGCACCTATGTAAGGAGTGGAAAGTGCTAATTACTACTACTACTACTACTATCTATACAAGTACATTCTACAGGAGGCAGATATGGTGCAAAAAACGAGTATACAGATGTTTGTAGCAGCAAAATGCCATTACCTGATAACTCACATAATCTGCCCCTGCGTCTCGCTGTACGACAGCATCATGCAGCTCGGTAATTGCAAAGCCCTACCGCGGCTACAGAACACGAACAAAAATCAAGTTTCTGGGCCGGTTTACCGGGTCATTTCCTTTTTCCCGGAAGCCGCTGCTCCGACATTAACAGCCGACAGCTACTCAATCGCGGATCCTCAATGCATCGCACAAGAACAAGGTCCAATTAGACACAGCACCACAAAACAAGGCGAGGGAGAGACTTGACAGCCCTGGACCTGCGTTGTGCTAAATCAGATTTCATCGGAATGTGTCACGCTCTGGTGCCTGATTGGGCGACGTCGTTGTATTTTTGGGCGGCAGAGACAGGGGCTGCATGTAAGACAGGTGCGGCTGAAAGGTGCAATCTCGATGTTGAGACTTTGGTAGAGGGGAGGAAGTCAATGAGTGGTGATGGAAGAAGACACACTTTGAAAGAGAGGTTCAAAATCTAGACTTGGACGAAGAAAGATGCAAAAATTAAGAGTGAGTGCGCAGACGGAGTCGTCATCCGAGATCCAGGAGCCTGGGTTGGTTGCAAGAGACAACTGATAGAAGACCGGCATTAAGAGTCAATTTGATCCTAGTATTGAGATCGGATCTACGTCTTAGTCCTAATCCTGGTTATGTTTTTTGTTTATTTATGCATACAGCCTTGCAACAATATAGTCCTCTACGTCAATGGTAGCCCGCGACTGCCGATCACTGCAAGTCAAATTGTGTTTGCTATTGCAATCTATCTACACACAGGGAATAACATTCATTGTCGCAAAATATCTGCCTCTATAATCATTGTAAATCCTACTGTAACCAAGGGTCGCCAGGCAGCACCTTTCATCCTGCCTCAGCCCCCATCCTACAATATCCACCAGCTTTCATAAATTAAATAGAGCCAAGACATTAATAAATAATTACGCTGCATACTTCCACCCCGGCAGTCATCTGACAAACTCTATATTCATGACTATCGCAGCCCTGCAGCCTAAAGACCCTCTTTTGGACTCCCTCGCATGCATCTGGCCCCGTAAAAAGCGCTACATCTTGTCCATTGCCTGCATACACGTGAATACGACCTTTTTCGCCTCCCCCTGATTGATATCGTTGTACCCTGCTCTTCTCAAGAAGTAAGGGGAGAAATAAAGCAATTTATGTGTTGGGTTGTAGTAGCGACTATCGGTAGTTGTTAGTAGTGTCGAATTGCATCTTGATTCACCCCATTCACGATCCCTACAATAGTCGAATCACCAAGATCTAACACTAACATATCACAAAGGCGGGAGAAGAGGAGACGGCGAGAATCATGGATGAGCCCACGACTCTCACTCTCACCGCAAATGCCAAGATTAATATCCTACATGGTCCGGAGTACAGCGTACAGCCCCCACGACACGAGGTAAAAACAAGTAAAAAAGTCACGAGATAAATCAAAGACAGTACCATCATTCATTTCATCCAATTTCTTTTATGCAACACAAAGCGCAAGGGGCTCAAAAACATCCAATAGCTCACTCACCGGTCGGCTGCAGGGAGGCGGGTAGACCAGAGCTGCCAATTGGCAGTATGGCCTTCATGGCGTTGGTGCTACCCTTTTCATGCAGGGAGAGAAATGAGTTGGAACAGCGCTGCGCCCCGGACTACCATCACCAACGACGCGGAGAGCTCAACGCGCGGATTTCAGCACACGCGGATGAGAGAACCTGATTCCTAGGATGCCATCGAGGAAGATAAATAGGGATGCAATCCTCTCCCCAGTTTCTCTCTTCTCTCTTCATCCGCTTCCATCCTTACCAAGCCAGCCCTCTCACTCACTCATTCACTCGCTTAACAACCAGTCACTCTCTTCACACCAAACAACGCCAAAATGAAGTTCTTCGCCGTCACTCTCTTCCTCGCCACCGCCCTCGCCGCTCCCTCCGTGGACAGCAACGGCAACGGCGTCGCCCGTCGCCAGGCCGCTCCCGCCTTCTGCCCCCCCGGCCTGCTCTACTCCGTCCCGCAGTGCTGCGAGGTCAATGTCCTTGGCGTTGCGGACCTTGATTGCGTCGCTCGTAAGTGAAATCATGCATGAGTCGGATCAAAAACAAGCATTTTCTCTAACGGCATAAAAAAACAGCTCCTTCCGCACCCAGCAACTGCAAGACTTTTGGCGGTATCTGCTCCAAAATCGGTAAGCAGCCTAAGTGCTGTGTTCTACCAATTGTAGGTTGCATCAATACCGTTCAAATCAATCCCTCACTAACTGTATCTTGTCCAGGCCGGCCAAGCTCTTCTCTGCGTTGACCCCGTCGGCGCTCGCAACTAAACATCTCCTCACAAGACCCGATAAGGGTCGAATCAACCTCTTCTCGTATAGTACCGTGAACAGGCCTTGTACATTAAGCTCTCGTACTGTACTGTCAATAAACTATGAGCCGGCTTTTGGATCACGACGGACGAGGGTAGCGGTGGGGAAGGAAACGCTGTTGAGGGATTAGAATGGCTTCACTTCGATATGCACTTTGTTGATACACGTTAACTTAGACATTATAATCTATTTTGCCTGGCATACTCCAGGGCTGGAAATCATACCTACCTCGTTCTTCTGTTGTGAAATGTTGATCACGCTCACCTGTTCATATCCTCAAAGTATATCTGAATCCGCCTGCTTCTCTACCATCCTTCGCATAACCCCAGCCCTCTCTTCGCGGTGTGTTAAACGACCCCCTTTTCCCAGATTTTGCTTTTGCGGATTCGAAATCCTGTTGGTTCGCATCACCAATCGAAACGTCCCCGTTAGAACAGACTATTGCGTACCCGCAACAAGTTGGTCGAGGCTTTCAGTCTGTGCTTTCAGTCTTGTTCCGTTTCTTTTCTTTTTGTCATTTGCTTTGTCTGTAATACTCTGTTGCCGTGCACAAGTATTCAAGATGGTATTATTGGTGTGATAATTTAGTAGCAGTAACTGACGGCAAGTACCAGAGATGAACCTGATCAAAGCATCTACAACTCATCCGAAAATTCATCTTCTGCATCGTATTCGTCCACGATCCAATCCCTGATCTTGGCTGTCCCATCAATCACCTTCTTCCATATCTTGGGCAAGCAGCTCTGAGGAGCCAAGATGTAGCACCTTGGCGTCGGCAATTCCGGCGGCTCGTTCACAACGTGCCAAGTGTCGCTCGGCCCATCAGTTGACAAGTCATCCTTCACTGGCTGCAGCCCCGTTGGGATATCCCGATTAAAGGTAGCGCGCATGAAGATCTCGTATGCAGCCTCCGGCTGGTACGCCGGGACCATGTGACCCGCCTGGAAAACTCTGGAGAAGCTATAGTTACCATACTGGCGGGTCAAGCCAGCTACGCCCTTTTCCGTCAGAAAGGGTGCATAGCCGGCGCGTGCAAAGTCCTCGCTGTGTGAATAAGGAACTGCCAAGGAAGCTTTCTCGCCACCGATCCAGTTACACGCGTAGTCCCGATCGCCATACATCATGTGGACCTTGATGCCATGGTCGAGGAGATAGCCCACCGCTTCGAGGAATCCACCGTGGAACTCGTCGTAAGACTTGGCAAAACTACTGCTCACAGCAGTAGAGATGACACTGAAGTTCACTGGAGATCCAATGGCACCAAGAACACTTTCCTCTGTCAGAAACCCAAACATATGGTTCGGCGGATAGGGATCATTGAGAGTATGGCCAATGTCAAGCCAGCTGCGGTCAAGCTCAAAGTACACCTTTGCAGCTGGCATATAGCACCAATCCTTCACATCGTCACAGATATTGGCCGGGTTGGCTCTCTGAGCGTTGACGGTGGATACGTCAAGGAAAGTGAAGCTCTGCTGGCATCTCTCTATCTGCTCCTTGCAGCCGTTGGGCTTGGTGAAGTTGTGCTTCAACTCCTTGTAGATGGACTGGTTGAAGACTTGGATTCCATAAGTCTAAGTGGAGTGGACAACGTGGTTAGTGATGTGCTTCAGGCTGGTAAATTACTGTATACTAACATTCTTGTACGGAAAGTCAATATATGACTCCTCCTGAATAACAGAGTCCAGCCAGCCATTGACAATGCCAAGGGTGTCCAAGTGAATGAATTGAGCGTGTTCATCGGCAATCGAACCATTGGCAATCCTCTCGTTCTGCTGTTGGAAAAATCGCATAAAGCCTGGGCCATAGTGGCCGCCGTAGCTTTCTGCCCAGATACTGATGCGATCGTCGCTGGGCTTGTAGTGAGGGAACTCGGAAAACCAGGTTTGCGCAAAGTGCCACAAAGCGTGGGCGGCTTGAGCGGTGCTGTTGGTTGTGTGGGACTGCTTCTGGCTGCTAAACGTGCCAATCATGGAAGTCAAGTTCAGATTTGGTATACCTTGCGAGAAGTCTGCGGGTTTGATGTCAAGCCCATCGCTTGAGAGGTTGGCTGTGCAGTTGGTTGGGATGTCGTAGGAGAAGCCAACCTGGGTGGGCTCGTCGATGTACAGCATGTTGACCTCATTGTTCCAGCTCCAGGGATTGAGCATAGTGGATTTGGAGTCGTCATTCACAAAACAAGGCCCATTTTCCATGAAGATGCCGTACATGGATGAAGAGCCGGGTCCTCCATTGAGCCAGATAGCTAGTGGAGCTGTAGAAGGGTTCTTGCGGGCCTCGAAGAACCAGAAGAATCTGGTGATTGATGTCAGATAACATGATAAATGAATTACTCCTCCAGATCGGGCGTGGCTTACGTGTTGACGGGATAGTGTTGAGGCTCGCCGTCTGCATCTTCAAGCAGCCCTGGAGGCAGGTGGACATGGCCCGCATACGATTTGACGCCGGGAGTTGTCTCGCAAATTCCGGGCTATTTTATCACTACTGTTAGCATAGGAATGATTCAATGTAAGAAACAGTGAGACTGAGCGACAGACCTCCTTGAAGGAGATGGTGACATTCTCGTGGAACTTGGATCTAAGCACAGTGACGCCCTCTGGCTTTGGAGGGAACTGCGCGACCGCCACGCCAGCGAGAGCGCTTAAGAGCACGGCAGCCGATAACATGATGTCGACTGGTCAATAAGCCAATCCGTTCAAGAATTCAAAACAACTATACAAAATGAACCAAATGAACCAAAACTGACTCCAGCGTCCCAATGTGACGCGCAGAGGGGCTGGACGCGAGATCGCCCAGAAGCGGTTGATTGCGTGCGCTGCGTCTAAGCCGCAAAAATAAAGACCCGTTTAGCCGCTGCCAAGTCTCGTCGCAATAGACATCGGCAGCCGCAAACACGGACACCTCTTCACTTTACGTTTCCAGTCGCTGATATTGAATTACCGCACGTGAAGAGAAATGAAATAAACGGAATTAGATGTCTGTGATGTTTGGAAACATTAGCCCCAGTGCAGCTTTGTCTTGTACCAGTGAAAAGCGACTTGTCCCTGGAACACCACGGCGTTTCTCTGTATCATGCTTGATGCTAAATCACGGGCGCCAAATTGCAACATGGCTTCAGTGTCGAACTTGCGCCATCTGAATGCGATGCCAAATAGCAATTCTTCGCAGATACGCGAATGACAGGAATTAGTGCCAAATGGCGCTTCCCCGTTCCCCAGAGAGTGGATATGGCAATCACAATCTTGCCGCTTCGCAAGGAAAATAATGGCGACGCAAGACCCGATCACATGGGCTATGAAACATACGACAAGTTTCCGGGGCCAGCACATGGCTCAGCCCTCAGGAACCGGTAGTTGAGAGCCTCACCGTCAAGCTGATATCGAGAAGCTGGGGCATCGTCAAATCACAGCCATTGGTGCGAGACATTGTCTTGCTTGGGATCAGCGATTGCAGCTTAGTGGCTACCCACCTTTCCGGTATGTGACACTTGAAGTAAATGGGTAATTTTTACTGGCCGATCACAGTCTTATCCTCTCAAATTGTAATAACTGATCATAGCAGTGATGGCGATGTGATGGCGTTAATTTTGGTGTGACAATCGTATTCATGCTCAATTCCAAGAACTAGTGTCGTACATTAGCTTCCGAATGACAAATGTTGCTCTAGAGAGGGATTCCCTGGATTCTAGAAGAAATTTGAGGCTGCTCCCTTGCATTCTGAATTTAGCCAAGCTTCAGCTCGGGCATTGTTCATTTTTGAAAAATTTGAAGACAGTCGCGAAATGCTTGTCCAGTGTATGACATAATATCGACTTAATGTGCCCAGCAACGGGGCAAATATCTCATTTCATGAATGTTCAATACCACCCCTGATTGATAGCTGTTGACTTGGTGAAGAATACTGTATAAGCACCTTCTGCCTTCTTCGTTGCAGCGATCTTCATAGTATCGTGTGAGCCTAGAAGCAACAAACGTCTAGGAGCGCGGGCTAGGATAATGTTCCCAGTGTAAAGGAGCAAGTGATAACCCAAGACGCTTCTGCACGCTGCCGCCTGCTAATTGCGCAGTGGGAAAACTACCCCTGGTAAGGCTGTTGTCCTTCCTATGCTACAATTTTAGGCAAATGATGCGTATAAACTCCGTAGGACGAGTAGCCAGGAAAAAGAAAAGCCAAAATATAAGTCTGCTTGCCAGACCGACCCACTGTTGGCTTCAGGTCCCGATCTTGACGCTTACTCGGATGTAATGGCGATCGTGACGTGGATCTTGGTGATGGACCGTCCAATAAAACACTGGCATCAACAGACAAAAGTTGGTGCGATTTTAGCGAAATGTGACAGCTCCGTCCACAGGGATTGTGGAATTAGGCTCATCTGCCAGCTATTATTACTCGCACTTCCGCTGTCTGTGCGGAGAGACCCTATGCAGGTACAGAATAGCCGCAAGATGCCAGGCAAACATGCTTGAAGCCACCCGTACTTCTATTCGTGATTCTTGCTGCTATTTGTGAATTTTGTACCGCATGAGATGAGGCGGGATGGCGAGTCATGTCGCCTGGCCGTACAAGCACAGCTCAAACTTCGCGCATATGACGAAACGAGCGTCGATGCCAAGGAAGCCTCATGTTTGGGGGCGAGATGCCACGCCTTGGCCAGGGGTATAACGACGGACATCAGCAGTTGTGCTCAGTACATGCTTTGCAATAGTAGAGCAGTGCTAGTACAAAAGAATGGCCGTACACACGACCGCCCAGCTTCATGGGTATAACAACCGCTAGATAATCCTTGTGGGGAATTGGTATAGTCCAGATCGGCAATTGCTTCATGGCTGTAGTCCCTGTGCTTTTTCTTTGTTGGCTCGCCGTAAACTTTAATGACGGCCGGGAGCGCTCCAGAATATCTGTCCAGTCTGTGCGTAATTGGATGCACAGCATTGATAGTTTCCCAAGCACGGCCACTTACTGCTGGTCGCTCTAGCCAGTCTTCGACGCTGGCTGTACACGAGAACCGCTGCATAAAGTGAAGATCTGACCAATCTAGCGAGTAACGTCTCTCAAACTCCCGAAAGAATGCAGTAGCCCATGGCAGTAGCCCATGGCCCGTGGGCCTGTACCTCCTCTCTCCTCTCACGAGTCACCGTGGCCGATTGAACGTATGTCGAAGCTTGTTCTGCCGTTTCCTTGCATATTGTTTAGCAGAGGAGACAAATATGTCGTATCATTGGCTTTTGTACATGGTGAATCGTACCTAGCTTATCGAGTCGTACCGCTTCTGTTCGCCGTCTATGGTCACGGCTAGCAAACAGACGCAGCATTACTCGCAGAATCTAAGTCAATCTCTCATTTGCAAGGGTTGCTTGTCACGTCTGACGGGTAGATGTGCGGAGCCGATTTCCTGGTGATTACTCGCATTGTAATTGGATAGACGAATGCTGCTGTTTGTCGGATTTATGCCGTCACGGATCGGCCGATGAGCAAACGAGGACATTGGAGTCGCTTGGTCGCTGTTCTTGGACTTTATCGCCAAATTAGAGACCCACGATTCTTTGTAGGAGCATTGGCTATGCCGACTTCCCGCAAGCAAGCTTTGACTTCAATCCCGTGCTTTGTGCCTGTGACGCCCGCCGAGCAGTGTGTGAATAGAGACAGGACAAACCTCTGTGCGCCGCGGGTCGGGAGAGATGCCGTCTGTCTAAACTTTGACAGCTGATTTAGCAGACGCCACAGAAAGGGGCTCTAGAGATCCAGCCATGATGATGTCCCAGCTGATCAATTGATGTTTCCTTTTGCGGGAGATGGGATTGGAGCTACCGAAAGTTTCCAGAGTTAGCTCAGGTGCAGTTGAGATCGACGCGCCCCGCCCAATGACTTTCAGCGCCGTCGAATGCTAAAATGCCCCGGATTCTGGTGCTTCGTAGGCGGCGTTTTTAGGGCATTGGCAGATCCAGCAAGTTGACAGCTCAAGGCGCTCAGCAGTAAACATGGATGGAACCAAGATATTGGGAGAATCTACGGTGTGTCAGGCTAATCAAAGTTTCTACCTTGCAGGCGATCTTTTGGGAGTAGACCTGTCTCAGTTATGAGTGATGGGGCTGCAGCTGAAGGCGATTATTGCATAAATGGGATGGTCAAAAGCCACGCTATACGAAATGAATGAATCATTAGCTACATGTTCCTTTTTCATGATGGAAAACAGAGATACTCCATGCTTACCCGTATCGAGATTGATATCGCCTCGTCTGACAGACACTGGCTGCATCAAAGAGCTTGCGGGCCGGCTGGATCTCAATCTCAGTCTCAATCTCGTACCCAAGATTACGGGACAAGGGGGTGTGGTCCTTTGACAGGGGACGATGTTGTCCAGATCACTCGCTCCCAGGTGCAAGGTTCACTAGCAGCTGAAGCTATGGGGTTGCAGGCCACTAGCACCGCTAAAGCCAGGCCCTAGAAGGCACCCACAGCGCCTCGCAGCGCTCTCGTGCTGCCATTGTGTCATTGCCATCTCTGGAACTGGGCAGACCCTTGTCTGGGCGACATTTTCTCTCTTCTTCTTCTCTTCTTCACCTAACCTGGCTCCATCCCACCAAACGCCACATACTGTCCTGGACTACCCCTGTCTCCATCATCAATCACTTTTCTTGCGATCCCTCAGCTGCTCGCTCACGTCCTTGTCGGCCCGGATTTGCTGGCCACATCCTTGCCGATCTCGGCTAAGCTCTTGCGCTCTTAGCATCGTGATGATGCCACCACCATCACCACCACCGTTCCGACCATTACGACTAGCATCTCCTAGCCTGAGCGCTCACGGTTCAGTTTCTCTGCGGCTTACTAGCCGGCTGCCGGCTTATCGTGGAGCATGTGCAATCCCCTGGTGGATCATGGTTGTGCCTGTTACTCAATGGCTTTTCTTCATGGCGACGGCGATGGTGTGGCATCTCTCGGAGCCAAATCTCGATAGCATATACACAGGTACAGCCTTTGCGTTTCACTGCGTCCCATAGCTGCAATTCCTAATTGTACTCATGTAAAAGCAGTGTCTACTTAGTTTCCATCTCCAGCATCCGGCTTTCAACTACGGCGTCCGACTATTGGCCAATCCACCGAGCTCTACAGCTTTTTTCTGGCACAGAGCACAAGCATCCGCGAATTTCACCGGAGCCAAGATCAATTGGGCTTCTTCATGGATGACCGGCCATACGTAAGGCGGATATTCAAGCGGGTCAGAGCACCCATTCCATACCCGTGTGGCTTTTTCCTAAACCACCAGCTGCTGGGACTATGATTCTGTACGACTCTGCTCCAACCTGGCTGCACCCCCTACCATACACACCCGTGGGGTGCGTGCGAGAGCCTAGGCAAAGCTTTTATACCAGGCCACGGGCTTACTTGTTAGTCTCTTCCCCCAGATATCTAGACCGGCCTCGCTCTTTTCTCTTTCTTCTTCGTATTCCGTCTTTTCTTTCCCGTTCTCTATTATCCTCGCTGCAATCTTCTGTCTCTCTTTTTTTAATATGTACTAATAATACTTGCATTGTGATTTTAGCGCTCAAGATTTGTTTATCTGCCACAGCGGGGCATCACTCTGTTTAAGTCGATCCAGCCATTCGAGAGAGCAGTCGCATTGGCCTGTCCCGTCAACTACTTGAAGCTGCTGCTACAACAGATAGAAAGAGAATTCTCTGAGCCGAATAGCTGGTGCCCATTTCTTTAGCGTATGGATTAGCTGGGCAAGATCAGAGTGTCGCCGCCATGGGTCTACTCAATTTCTTGAACAAACGACCCCAGGTTGATACGTCGCCTGAGCTGAGGAGCCAGACTGCTTCTACGGAAGCCCGAGGTTCGTCTCTCATATACTTACTTTGCTTTTCCACCTTCCTGTTGAAAAGATCACAAGCCGTTAGACAGTCATCTAACAGCTATGATAGGGATCATTGCTAGTCGTGAAAGCGGAACGAGAACGCCGGACCCATCGCAACGAGTGCTGAAGCCGAGACTTGTGGGCATTAGCGAAGCACGTCCCGGTACAAACCCAAAAGATTCCAAGAGCACAAAAATCCAGCCTCAACTCAAATCTACCGGACGCAATCCGAAAGATTCTATAACATATCTAAAGCTAGACCCTATTCCGAAATTTAGCGACCGCGACCGGCCCAAGAGCCGCCACGATGTCGAACAAGTCACCCCCATGTCATTGAACTTTCCTCTTCCTCGCAGAAGCTCATCAGCTTTTGTTGATATCCTTGATGCTCAAGGGGAGATAAAGCCTTCTAATTTCAAGTCAAGAATCCAGGCGTCCGGCACTCGTGATTATGGCGAAGATGTCGCTGACAGGAATATGGCCGAGACTTTAACAAGCCCAAGATCTTGTGCCCTTTATTCCTCTCTTTCTGGCTCGACGCTCCCATATCGTCCACATGGTAGTATATCCACTGCCAGTTCTTCCAAGCGCGTCTTCAAGGGGCAAGCAGAGCTTGAGCATCCCAGACTCAACTCTGTTTCTGCGGCCGGATTCAACGGCCGTCCATCCTCCCGGCAAACGTCTATCAGGAGCCGCCCTGCTTCTAGGGGAAGAGTTAGTCCTGCAGCGGAAAGCTTTTTTGAAGCCAACGAGATTCTTGATTATCGCCCCTCATCAAAGATGTCCTATGGCCAAATATCTGTAACTGGCAGCCGAGCACCTACGCCACAGCAGGCTCCAAGGACAGCGGATGGTAGTTATATGCGGGACGAGTGCAACATGCTGTATGATGGGACTCGTTCCGCTTCGCCACCTGGCGTTCCTCGCTACAAGCCTAGGCAGTATAGTTTGCCCAGCGGTAAATTACTTTCTAGTGCTTTGCCTGGATCAGTTCGCTCGGCGCGAGAAAATCTTAACAGCTCTCTTTTGCCTCCTCATCCTCATTTCGATCGATCTAGACAAATGTACCAGCAGCGTTGCAAAACGCCCACCTCTCCAAACCAACTGCACAGTTTCCGCCATAGAATGGACAATGACTGGAGCCGTTTTAACAGATACGCAGGGGACTATCTACATCCGACCAAATCAAATTGGGAGAATGCAAGCTCATCGGCCTCAGAATATGCGCCCTCATTTTCTTTTGGCAGCACTGGCAATCTTCAAATAGACGATACTGAAAGGCAGCCCTCTATTCGGACATTCGGAAGACGAGGATCCATTTCGTCGTACGCCCCATCTGACTATTCCGGTCAGCAGCTGACTGGCGGCCGCAGCGTCCGCACGGCGGATACCTCCATTGACATACCTCATAATTCTCTATTTCATGAGATGAAGTTTATGGGCGGCTCTTCGCGCGACCTTCGATCCCGAGGTGGTGACAGCTCCATTGCTCCCGATCGAACTGGTGCAGAAGAGGATTCCGGCGGCGAATCTATTTTCATCTCCCCTGCTACGCCATCAGAAGAGCAGCCTCCTTTCAGCCCACTATCACCAGGCCATCGATATGGAGGCCTCAGCGTAAGTAGCTACGACGCCACCAGTATATCCGACTCAGATGCCGACTCGTTTTACAACGAGCAACGGCAAACTCGTCGGGATGGCGAAGCACTCTTGTTCGGAGCCCAGGGTTTCGGCGATGACGGCAGGAGTCTACCAGGGCTATTCAACGGTCCGGAGAGCCTTGCCGTACCCAAATGGCCAGAAATGCCTGCCGCTTCAACAGATGTATCTGAAATGGGCGATGATGAATCATCTGTCATTGGACTGGCTGTAACTTCTCCCGAGCCGCGCCAAACCTCTCCAAGGCCGTTTACTCAACGCGAACGACTACTGGCCCTCGGTTACGATTACGACTCTGACTCAGATGTGGAAACCTCTTTGGACTCCGATGAGATTCCTGAAGATCGAACACTACAGCTACTCTCTGCTCTAGTAAGGGGTAGAACATCTGCTGCTCCTGGCTCTCTGAAGATGAATGGCCTACCAGCAGACATGAAGGCAATTGCAAAACTCCGCAAGGACATCAAGAGGAGACAGCGGCTTGATGCTTCACCTGCGAGGCGGAGAAGCAAGTCTTCCAGTGGGGAAAGCGGCGAAGTCAACACTACTGCCACGACGAGTTGATGAGAACCGGAAGAAGAAGAGCCTTGAAAAAGCTGGATATGATTTTCTTTTGTGACTGCAACTATTATTACAATCTTATGGAGGACCACCATTTACATGGAGACTTTTCTTTTGTTTTAGCAAGGCGTTGATTCGACGTGGGTGGATTTTGGAAAACATTTACGCTGCAAGCAGCAGCGGAGTTGCATATAATGAGAGCACGGGTTTTTAGGTAGCCTTCTTTTTTTTTTTAATTCTTTCTTTTCACTCTACTACAATTTACGAGCACACAATGGGATTGTTGGATATAATATCGACCAGGATCAAAGCCATATACTGTAATTAGATTCTTCATCAAACTAAAACACGAACGCGCGCTCTCGTGGCGTCAACTCTTGCCACTATAATTAGCTGTAAGACAACAAACTGCAACCATTAAAAGGAATTCTTCTTAGCCATTCTATTTAGTTACTTCATCTAATCTGTGATGAGTTAAGGCACCGGGTACTGCGTTATCTACAAGACCCGCTGCAATTCTTCATTGCAAGGAACGCCCCTGAAGATAACTATGGTAGCTTCGATCGAGCGGCGAAAGAAGAAACACAGACAGTACAATTTATGACAAACTAGAAAACATGTTTCAGCCCTGAGGAGCTGAATAGAAAACCCTCCTCCCACCCCTAGATTTTCTCCTGCAACTAACGATCACCACCGGGCATTAGTTCGTAAACTAGCCCATCGACCCGTTTTCAATAGATCTCGTCAGCTGGTCCCAGAAAACCGCACACCCTCCGCGTTCGCAATCTCCTCCGAGTCAATGGGGCTGTCAAAAACCCTCGCCTTGTTCTTTCGTAGCACTGCGGCTGGAGGGAGATATGCAAGAAAGTGGAGAGGAGATCGAGACTGGATTCTTGTAAACCATCGACGCGAAAAGAGAGAAAAAAGTTTCCAAGGCACGCTCTTTGAGAGAAATTACTGCAACGAAACAAAGACTGAGTACGAGTCCAAAAAAAAAAAAAAAAAAAAAAAAAAATACAACGATACAAGGTGTGCTTATTCGTCTCACCGACGGTATTGAATCGCTCCCTTCTTCCCCTGAACAATAATGCAATAGCCTAGTTCATAGCGGCCGCAGAACCACCACCGCCACAATCACACCCCATCTCCGTCCTAAAATGGTTCGCGTCCTGGATAGATTCCAGCTTCTTCAGCGCTAATTTTGCAACCGTCAACTTGGCAGTCACGCCGCTCTTTGTCGACGTGGCATGGGCAATCACGTTGCCATGGATCATTAGCGCGCAGAGAAGCTCGCTCTCGGCCAAGATTGCGACCCCCGCGTCGTCTGTGGAGGGCGGTACGCTGGCCATGTGAAGCTTCCACTGAGTACAGCGGTAGTCTTCCTGCAAGGTGTGTATTAGGACGGTGACTGGGTGATTGGAAGCGAATGACGAGAGTAGCGCCATGTCTTCGAAGTAGGGCTGTATGAACTTGGCAAAGAAGTCTTGCACCACGGAGAAGGAGTACCCCGAGTCGACAAACATGGCACCCACAAGAGACTCAACAACGTCGGCCAGAGCTTTCGGCGGCTGCTGAATCTCAGCCCAGAAATCTTGCGTCACACTCGGGGCATCGGCTGCAGCTTCACTGTCTTGTGGCTCGCAAGCCTTGGCCTTTTCCTCAGCTTCCTTGGCCTCGGCTGTATACTCCCTGATATTGCTGTGGAGTTGGGATGTAGCAAGCATTAGATGCTTGCTAAGGCCAAGCTTAACGTTGAGGAAGCCCAGAAACTGATTCGACACCATGGCCATCTTGTGTTCTGTCAGCCACTTTGGATCCGCTTCGGGGAATCGGCTATATAAAAAGTCGACCACGACCATGTCTATCAAAGCATCTCCCAGAAACTCAAGTTGTTGGTAGTCGCGCCTGATCTTTTCTTCGTATACGTACGATGAGTGCTTAAAGGCACTGCGTAGAAGAGGCGCGCACTGGAAGCGGTAGCCCGTGATCTCAGCAATGCGTTCCACCATGTTGCGCTGCGCCGCATTTGGCTCATAGCTGTGCCATTCCGGGGCCGTATATCTTGCACGGTAGTCGCTAAAGTTGACCATGGTGTGGTTTTCCGAGTCGACCATGGCTGTGACTGCCTTTACCGCCATATCCATGCTATTGTTGCTCTTGCCTGTCAAGTACGCTGCTCCAATGAGCGCTTCACAAACGTCTGCAATCGATTTGTGTGATAAGCAATGCCTAGCCTTTGCTTTGGTTGGTTTGCCCTTCTTCAGCTTGAGATCGCTCGGATACCATGTTCGACGGTCAAATGCTCTGGTACGGATATAGCCCGGCAACTTCTTCTCTATGGCATGAGTAAACAAGTTTTTGTTGTTCAGCATTAACATCCGCTTCACATGGTACTCGAATTCGTTCTCGTTGGGGTAGAGTGTGTACACAGAGATAGTGGTAGCCATCTTTAAGAAGGTGTCGCCAAGAAATTCTAGGCGCTCGTAATTCTTACCCATGCCGGGTTGAAAATCGACCTGGTTTTCACCGTGCTCTTCGGTATTGAAACTGTCCTTGGTGACTGCTTCCAGAGCAAGTTCAGGGCGAACGGCCAGATCAACTAATGAGCATATTTCCGAGGCGATCAACACAGAGTCGATCCTGTACATGACCACAGGCAAAAGTAAGGCCATGATGGCAATGTCAACCGGCAGCTGCAAATAATTAGAATTGGGAGAAATTGTGACATTATGAAGGAATACTCACAGGAGATACCCTGAGGGGCTCAAGAATAACGTAACAAGTGCTGTCCGCCTTGTCATCGATAAAGAACTCGTCCAAAAAGTTTCGTCTTATCGAAAGAAGTTCAGCGTTGACGACTGGCTGATCATCACTCCAATTTCTTCGCTTTCTCGACTGCAAGGAAAGACTGTTGCTGTACTCTTTGATGGTTTGCTCAACCTTTTTATACGCCAAGCTCTTTGGCTGGGGAACACCAGCCGGAGTCGGATCAGATGGCTTCAGCTGTTCGTTGATCCCACGCAAGATGTATTTGCGTGATCCGTCCCATGGATCCGCGGCAAACTTGTCTTTGAAGAACTCTTTTGGAGCGTTTAACCACTCAAGACAGTCAGTTGCTGCAACATAATTCACAGCCTCCCAGTCGATATTTGATTCGTATTCTTTATTTTGGTTCTTGGAAACGCTACACGGAGCAATAAAATATGGAAGCTCGTGTGGTTCGGCCTCATATTCCTTACTAAAAACATGTGCAAAGATCCTCAGTGTGAAGCCGGATAGCGCCCTTATCTCCTTTGCCGTTACTTCAAGGGAAGGCTCTGAATGTGAAAGTCGGACAGCGGACGTTTGACCACCGCTAAAAAATAGGGGAGCGCTTGGTATATCAGGCAGCGGATTTCTCGTTAGAAGAATTAGAGGCCGGGATGGATACCCAAGAGCTGCTGGCTGGCTGAGAGATATGGTCGTCTGATACAGGGCGGTAGGAAGCTCAGGGCCGAGACAAAGTGACCAAAACCTGGGCTTGACCAGCATTTCATACTCTGACTTCTTGTCTGCTGAAAGCGCCAATCTCGCATTTCGCATCGCAGGCAATTTCTTGGCAAAAGCCGGCTGGAGGTGCTTATCGATGTATCCTTTTTCAATCAAGATCCTGCAGGCTTCAAAGGCGGCCGAACATCTTGCTAGCTGTTTGGTTCGTTGTGTTACTCCTTGGATAGTCTTGATCGGTGATCCATCTGGCAAGACAACGCTCGCAATGAATTGTTTCTTGTCGGGCTGGACAACGTATTCCACTTTTTGCAGTCCATCTCGGGATAAAGATGATGTATACTTGGCTAAACATGCCAAGCTGTCGACAAGCTTCAGGCCACCACCCGCCTCGGTGGCAATAACAGACTCACAGCTTCTCAATACTTCAGGCCTGACATCAAAGTCTTCCACTTTGCGATCGTCGGGTAGAGCACGACAAAACCGTTGTAACTCGAATGCAGCTGATTTCGCTTGCTGGAATTTTTGATGATGGAGGATGTTCTTGCTTTCTACCATGGTAACATAGAGGAAGGAGCTTTGTCGAGCTCTGCCTTTTGACTGAATATATTGAATGGCTGATACGCAGAGGTCAAAGCGAACGATAACGTCGCATTCTGGTACGTCAATTCCCTCCTCCGCTACGGAAGTGGCAAAAAGACAGTTGAATTCGCCGCGTTTGAATTTTTGAAGAGACACGACCTGGTCCTTGAGGGACATACATGCCGCGCCCGAGGTCACGTTGGAACCAATCTAGGCAAGCAGGATTGTCAATACAAAAAGAGCAAAAGAGTCAGAAAAACTTACCATGTAGGCTGTTCTCATTCCTGGGATACTTATTCCTGGTTGGCTGAACAAATCTGCCAGCAGGAATGCAGTCGTTCTTTGTTCCACAAACACAATGCACCTTTTCGAGAGCCGCTGACTGAAGGCATTGTCAAGGATTCCATGGAGTGTTTTGACCTTTGACGAAAGATCTGACCAGTTATTGGTTATTGGTCCGAACTGGTGATCTTGAATAATGTCTCTCGTTCTACTAACAGCCGCTATGGCCTCATCGCTGTCGAAAACGTCAAGGTCCAGAGTGTCACGCCCAGTCTTTGCCTCAATTTTAGCCATCTCGTCGTTTGTGATTAGGAGCTGCCAGTATCGGTCTGCGCACCACGTACCCAAGACTGAGGATGCGTCCCTTGTAAAGCTAAGATGCGCTTTGAATTGCGAATTGTGACCAATACAGCGAGAGATGGCCTCCCACAGATTTGTCTTTGAGTGTTCGGGATCCTCCAGTTTCTCATAGCATTCGGTACGCTCTGTTTCATCTCGATTATCCCGAAACCCCCCTATGGACTCGTCCGAGATTGTGGCGATTTTACCACAGAGCGTTTCTTCCAAGTCCATAGCAGCTATGCGAACATCTGCTTTTGATGTGTCCACTGGGGATGCCGTCATCCCGAGTATACGAGGACGCTCATTCTCCCAACGAGGGTAATACTCCATGATTCGGGCGTACGCGTGGTTCTTTTTTGTATGATGCGCCTCGTCGAAGACAAGCAAGTTAACTCGGTCCATGGAGATGAAACCAGCGCCGAACATGCTGAGCAATGTCTGCGCAGTACATACAAATGCCATGTTTTCTGAAAACTGTTGACGCCAAAACTCTGGACATCCAATATCACCGTTCATGTCGCCGAAGATTTTGCCGATTGGAAACTCGAGATTGCTGGTCAGAACAGCGTGCTGCTGAAAACACAACGCCACCTTCTCCACGATGAAGAAGGCAGTCTTGGGCGTGTAGCCCTTTGCGCGGTTCTCTACTTCGACTTCAAGGACTCTCCGTAGAAGAAGTGCAGCGATTAGTGTTTTGCCAGTGCCTATAAGTCGTCAATCGTGAGTGCTGCGGTCATCAGGAGATCGAGAGTCGCGTCGCCATACCTGTGTCAAGGACCACAATCGTATTCTCGTTCTTTGCTCGCTCGTACAAGTCAATCTGGTATTCGCGGGGGCTCGCAATAATTCTCTCAGAACTGCCTCTGAGTAGCTTTTCGATTGATATCTTGTCCAGCCGCTCTAACCGGCTGTCCATATCCGCCTTCGAGGCCTTGAGGACTTCTTTCTGGTTCTTCTCAAGCCACTCTTGGAATTTCATATCCTGTTTTCTGTTCTTTGCCACCGGTGCTTCTTGCGCTTGGTCGTCATCTTTCTTCTGCTCATCATCTTCGACGATATCTTCGAGTTCGGGTTGATCATCAGGTTCTCGTACAACATCTTCCAGCGGTGGGTTTGGTATAGCTGACATTCTATTTATGGCGGAGAGGTCGAATGAGACTGTTAATAGAGTAGAAATTATGCCACCGCAGTTTGGCAGGCTCTTTCGCGATAAGGAGTGTGAAATCTAGCCCGAAGTCCCTCGAGGAGATGAAGCCGATATCGCAGTGCAGATGCAAGAAATCGGGAAGAAAAAAATATGAAGGCAAGTAAGAGATGTCACAAGGAAGAATAAAATCGAGCTTGAAAAGCGGTGAGGGCACTTTTTCATTGACTGAGGCTGAGAGTACAAAGAAAAAAGAGAAAACAAAGAGCAGGAGAGCAAGGGGGGAGAGATGGACAAGGCAGGGCACGTGCAGTTGTCATGTAGCACGGCAACTGCCACAGACCGCGGACAAGGCGTCAGTGAAAGATACATAAAGAAAGGTAGGTTAGGTAGGTAATAAGAGCATCTTTTGTTTGACAGGCCATTGATACGTGGACGGCTATCATCATTTGCACGTTGGTACTGCATTTTAATTTCCGGTTGTGTAATGTGACGTGTTTCCTCGCTTTATTTCCTTCATCACACTGAGGTGAAATCGCGTTACACTCCAATAGACACAGAGTATTACAGTCACTTATCATCTGTTCGGCAAGTCATCTGTTTAATAGTAATTTAACCATACACGTCTATAATATTTCTACAAACAACTCCAACATGAAAGCCGTACTGTATTCGCGCGCTCGCCTTCTTCCGCCACCGCAGCCTGGAAGCAAACATGTGGCTCCTGACAGAGACATCAAAAGCAAATACCAACGCCGAATCCTCTTTCCTGGCGTACCTAAAACAAAACACAACAAGACAAAGCAAACCAGGTAGTACCAAAACGAACTGAACAACAACTACTTCGCGCCTTTCTCGTCATCGGGCAACACTGCCTCCGAATACCTATACAGCTCTCTACGCGCATGCCCCGACGTACCTCCCTATCCAGAGGGCCATAACCATGATTGCTATCAATTATCAAGACAGAATAGAAAAAAAATGCGGGGTGGAAGATGGAAAGAAAAAGAGAAGAAAATCTCGCTGCACGAACTGCCGTCATCCTAAAACGTGAGATGAGATCAAACAAGCAAGGTCAATCATCTCAAGCAGTTGGCTACTGCGGCTGCATTGGTAGATTAGTGCCAGTCTCTTGGACATGACAAGACGCAGGAATGCCCTCAGGCCCTGTGAGAGTGAAAGAAGCCTTTGTAGCAGAGATTGCAAACGTCGCCGAGTCAGCCACACCAGCAAGCTCAGCTCTCCTGGCAGTTGGTCCATTTACTCCTTGAAGCATGGCCTCAGCTCGTCTATACTCAGCCTCTTTGGACATGAGAGTCGCTTGAATCTCGCCTAGACTCATCTGAAGATGCTCTGGAACTTGCGCGGCGGGGTTGATGTGATCGGCTCTCAGAGCATAGTACGCCTGTTCGGCCACGACAGCAAATTCAGCAACCTCTGCCGACCAAGCACAGTGAATTGCAGAAACTGGCGGCGGGCACGAGTTGAGTTCCTGGGTTTTGAGCAGTCCAAATATCTTATCCGATCTCCCCTTTTGTCGTTTTCTAGGTCGTCCCTGTTGCGCACCGACGGTGGTCGAAGTCTCCGATCCAGAGTGACCCGGCTCTTCCAGTTGACGTTTGGAACTTATTTCTGGAGTAGGGGCTTGGTGCACGAGACCTGGCCATGACGGCTGCTACAATGTCAATAACCTTGAATATACCAGTGACTCGAAACAGACGTGAATTACTTACCAACTTGGGGTTGTTCAGGTGAACCAGGTCGTTTCCCTGCCGGATGCAGAATCCAATTAATTCTGCTGCTGCCGCCGGGGCTTCGATCCTGGTATCTTGCGCTGGCCACGACAGGTAAGAACTTTTACCGTCGTTTTCGCCTCCCCTTTCTCTTTCATCTTCGACTTGATCTGCTTGATTCCTGCTGGGTCTCGAAAACTGAACCTTTTTTCCTCTAGGCTTCTCAGGAGTTATTTCAGTACTTTGTGCCATTTCCATAGCAAGTTGCAAAGATTCACGAGCACGGGCACTAGGTCGTCGTGCTCGCTGGTTTCTTTCCAACGCAGAGGTATTGTTTTGGGCCTCAAAGTCCTCTGCGAATCTCAGATCTGGAATATCCGCTGGCTCTCCGTCCATTGCTTGCATGGACATCTCAAATTGGGTGCGGAATACTCCTTCAGCAGGCAGTCCAGTAGGCCTAGGGTTCTGAAAGGTCTGTCCAGCCGCCGAAGAAGTTTCTGCCGCCATGCCAACCATGAGCTGTCCCTTGTCATTGCTTGTCATAAAGCGCGATTGAGCAGCTCCGACCCGAGGCTTCGATGCATTGCGTTTGCCTGCGAGAGCGGCGGCAAATGCCGCGGGACTGACGTATTTCGACTTGTCGAAGCGGAGGGAAGGATGGTTTTCATACCTTGCAGTCTGCTGTTGCACCGGTTGACCCTTGGAGAGATCAAACTTGTGACCAGCGAAATGGCCAGAAGCCTGAGAACTCGACTTTCCAGCAATGCTTCGCAGCGAAGCAGGGCCGCGAGACGATTTCTTGTGCACCTGTTCAGGGATGTACTGCATCTCTGCCGTATAACCAGTAAGATCGTAATTGGCCACCTGCAAAAGCGTCGACATTAGCTCTCTCAACTTTACACCTCGCAAAGACCAAAGCACTCAAGCGGTTCATAAGGACTAACATGCTCCATAGGATATCCATTATCATATTCCCATCGAGTCTTGGTCAATACTCCAGATACATACTGGGGCTTCAGCTCAGGAATCAAGTTCTTCAATGACTTGAGAGTCTCGCCCATGACATGCTCTGTTTCGTACTGCGAGGCTGGAGTCGGGATTGGCGTGTCAGTCCGTATGTTTGCTGAGATGGTGTTCAGAACGGTCTGGGCTTGGCTTGAAATCTCCACAGGCTTGCAGCAACAAACATCTTTGAAGGGAATGGCGTTTTTAAACGTTCCAAGGAAGGCATCGTTGCTCATAGCGCCCTAGGTGTGAGCATTGTGTTCATTGTTACGCATATTGATTGCTTGGTTCTTGATCGTCTGCTCTAAATGGTATGGAGACAGCAGATTGGTTGCTGCAGCTCTTCGCACGATGAGGAGATCTGTGGCGTTTTCTAGAAAGGTTTTTTCGATTTGGATATGGGCGAAGCATTTGTGGTCTTTGTTGTCGACCCATTCGTCCAAATCGATGTTGTGGTTCACAACTCCACGTGCACTCAGAAATTGAAGGCCCCTTTTCGCATCTTTATCGGTGATGTCGTCGATGGGCTGTTTTGGGCGGTTCTCATGTAGCCACTCGACAAGCGATGAGCCTTCTCTGTCAACTTTATCTGTGTGAAGTTTTGATTGTTGGACAGCAGCTCGTTCCCATCCGTGCCATTCATCGCAGAGATCAATGTAGGTGGTAACGAAGTTGTGAATCTGTGTCTTGTGAAGCTTGAGCTGATTAAATACAGCTACACTAAACGACTGCTCTTCACAGAGGCGCAGAATAATGATCCATTGAACACCTAGGCTCAGATCTTCCCATTCAGGGTACGGTCCTATGGCTGCAGCGGAGGTGTTGAACGTCAAGCCTTGATTGCCGTTACGATTTTCCTGAGGAATGCGAGAAAGAGGCTCTTTGGATGCTACGAGATTGTTTGCCTTCCAATAACTAAATGTCTCGGGGGTAAGAAGTTCTTGGGCGACGTCTTGCTCGGTGGAATCGGGAAATGGAGGCGAAGAATCATCTTCGGCTTCTGCGCCTGGAGGTCGTGGTAAATGGGCAACGCGAGCTCGACGAGCCGTTCCTTGAGTCGAGTGAGTCTTTTTTTGTAGCATTGAGAGAGTGGCTTCGTATGAAACTTACTGTCGCCTTCCAAGTCCCCTTCCTGCTGAGTTGATGCTCCCTCATAGTGTCCATCAGACTTGCCGAACGGAGCTCCAAAGCTTGGCTCCAGTTTTGGCTTCTTAAATAGACCGGATGCTAAAGGCAAAGGATCCTCCGCAGGGTTGAAAACGGCGTCGGCACCGCTATCGTATGACATGGTAGCAACTTTCTTGGAGGCAAGAAGAGCAGACGAGGGAATATTGAAGATTCTGACTTTGTTGGAGAGCTAAATGTTTGAAGGTGAGGCAAAGGTTGACTGAAGTGATTGATTAGAATATGTATGCTCCATTCGGAGAGAATCTCGCGGATTGCTCGTACCATTTATGCGCGATAATGTCAAGACACGAGAGAAGACAACGGGTGAATACAAGGGGCTGGGTCTAATTACAACTCTTTGTAGCAGCGTTCAACCCTCAAGAAGATGTCATAAAAAGTGAATAAGAAAAAGAGAGACAAAGGGATGTTTGTGTACAACAACTAAGAAAAGATCATGGAAAGGCTGCAAAGCGAGAGTGAGTGTTTGAGGTTGCGACGCTGAACAAAAGCGCGAAGTGAAAGCGAGAAAGCGAGAAAGCGTGTGGTCTTGGCCTGAACCGTGGCAACAAGACGCGCTTGAAATGAACAACATAAACGCGCCAAATTTCGGTAAAAGAAAAGAAAATGATTGAATAGATTTATGAAAGAAAATGCCGACCAGCTGGCAGACATGTCTATGGGTATTTGGGTTGGCAGTGCCGGCAGCTGGCCATATAAAAGTCGTGAGGTTGTTTGGCAGAGAAGATATAGTAGTAGCCAGCTTATCGCAGCTGGAATGCACAGGCACGATTCAATGAGTGAATTAAGCAATGATGTGATTCAAAGAAATTAATTAGACTTTGCTGTTCGGAGCTTATTGGAAAATATTGAGGCAGGTTCCATCGCGAAATTCTATCACCATGTGATACGCGGTCAATCTTCTACCAGAACTATCAAACTCTTGATGCATGAAGAGTACAGTCTCTGCCTTTAAATTGTGATTGAGTGCACATTTACATTTGAACTGCTACTCGTCAAAGAAGATGATTTTTCAAGTGGAGATTGGACCGCCCGAGATACATTGTATTTTCTGTTTTGCCCTTTCGTTCAATCTTCCCTTTAACAACAAAGCAACGGTGTCTTTTTACCATTTCATGAATGTGTTTCCTTGTTTATAACTCTTCCTTTGTGATGCTGCGTATGCCAAATTCAGCAGCTGGGTCGAATAATGATGTGTTCCCAGCCAGTAACAGAAGCGACATGGTACGTCCGTCGCCGGCTCAAGATTCCGATACACTGTATGATTAAGACCTTGCGCTTGAAGAATTGCTCAAGCAAGTCCGAGTAGCTGGACTTGGCCAGTAGGACTTTCAAATGAGTGTGACATGAAGTTGTTCAAGACGACGCTGGCAGGGCACTTCCGTTCACAGCATTTTTAACCCTCCCCCAGGCTTCGTATGGGTCTAAAAGCCTACCACATTGGAGCCGTGCTTGGCCACAATTATTTCACAGCAGTTTTAACCCCCCTCAAGCCCCGTACTAATCTAAAAGCCGACCACGTTGGAGCGGGATGTTTTGGCCACCATCTTTTTCACAGCGTTTTTAACCCTCCCCAAGGTTTCATAACTACGCCAGGCCGCGTCAGTATCTGCGCACCACCTTTCTCACAGCGTTTTTAGCCCCCTCGAAATTCATACATTATAAAGCGTATGCTGCATAGAACTACAATTTTTCTGCTCGGCAGCCCGATCAGATAACTTTGATGACATTATCATCGTATAGCTGATGGCTGTGTTAACTTAAATGCAATTCAAAAATTTCTTCGCAGGTTATTTGTCGGTATTGACGATTTTACTTCAAGCTCATTGGAGAAACCGTCTCTGGCCTCGCAGCCATCTTGTCCACTATCTAGTTTCTATTCAGCCTGCTACCGTCCCAGTCCAGGCCATTTTAATAAAGTAATTTGTTGGATATTGGAAAATAATGATTTCTCTTACCTTGTAGTTACAAATTGCTCTCCAATAACCATTACCCTAAAATCCATCTAGTTTGACTAAACTATTTCGCTATCTGGTTTACTTTTGAGGTATTGACAACATCTCTTGTCGCTTGACATACATGTAGTCTCTTACTCTTTTCTAGACTCGCAAGGGCAAAGAAGAGGAGGTCACACAGTTTGATAACCTCACAAAGCAGGCATTATCCAATATCCTAGTTCCATGGACTGTTTGCTTCTTTGTGGCGGTGACAAGGCTGATACGGAATGCTTTGAGCCCAGTTTCTGTTAGACATGCCGCTGCGGATGTTGCCGATATACTTGAAGGAGAACTACCAATTGCAGACAACCATGGGGGATATAGAAAGCTGCTTCTAGGTGCTCCAGTGAATCCTCGGCAAAGCCTGATGTGGAAGCTTAGCTGGATATTGATTGCGTTATCTTGCGTGGCCTCCCTAGCTGCCAACTGGCTAGTTTTACACATACAAAACGACAAGTTGATAACGCATTAGATGTCATGCCAGCTACTTTGGACGTTGGCCCGGTCCAACATCTTCCACTTTGCAGAGGAAATGAAGCCGGTTCCTGCGTTTCGACCAAGAAGAGACTCTCTCAATGATCTTGGGCGGACCGACAAAGAGCATATTCAGCGATTAGTACTCGGCCTAGCAAAATACGAGACGCATTTTCATCCTCGAGGCGACTACTCCTATGGGCAAGATCTGTTATCGTTTGAGTCGATGGAACTCTTCCTCGCTGTTCCAACCACAGACAAATTCCCCGTCGAGAGCCTTCGTGGCAGCAACACAAAAGCAACACTCGATATCAAGGCTGTTCTCGGCGATGTCTTGCTGGTGAGTGCATCTTGGCTACTGGGCTCAAGTGAGACGAGGTTCGACCTCTACGACTGCTGTATCGTTGCGGTCCAAGTCAATAGCCAGCCCTTTGTCATCCCCGCCGCCCGAACACTTACAAGTACGATTGGTGCCAGTGCAGCTCAAGACATGGAGATGGGAGAGGATGGCATGATATTTGAGAAGGGGTCAGGAAATGAAGGACCGGATACTACCAAATGGGTCTATTGGATACCGTGTTCGGACGGAACCTGGTTGGAAGCTCAGTCTGAAAACTCGGAGGTTATTGGATTGAGACATGTTGAATTCTTTACGGATGACGGACTAACAGACCATCTACAGTTGAAGCAGAAGGATTGGAGGATCAGTCGTCGCAGAGCAGAGGAGGTGGGAGAGGTGGTCAAAAAGTCGTATGATTACAGCCGTTGGTTAGATCAAATCTGGAGTAGGCCAGCATAGAGGGCCGTTCAATGGCTTTTCAGTTGCTGTATTGTATTTTGTGCATGTAAATACAAAGAGGTTTGAAAGCCGAGAATGACAAGAGAGTATATGGCATTAATTGCTTGATACAGGCGTTGTTCGATTGTTTCAGAAATTTGACTTTATCTTCAATCTTACACTCTAGCTATAACGTAGGCTTCTGATGCTACTGATGCTAACCTCTGACACTGCTTTGAACGTATTTGGAATTTGTGTATTGACACCTACGTGGACTGGCTGCCTTCCATGTTGCGCTGTAGCTGTGGTGCTGAATACATGTGCAGTTCCCTAAATCAAGTCAAGATGGGAACAAAGACTTCAACCTTTTGTCTAAACACATTGCATCTCAGCCGCCAACTGCCAACCTTCAACTAAATGCCAAGGGAATTGAATAGATAAGTCCCCACTATGTCATTCAAACGTGTCGCAATAGTGTTCATGGCGATTAAATAAGAGGAACATATCGCTGCCTTGCGGAGATGGTGGAGATGTGGATAGCATCGGGAGGAGCCGAAGCCACTAAGACTCACTAAAATCCAGCGGCGTAACCCCAAGTTATAGGCTCGGCCAGAGCTGTACCGAGCTTGAACCGCTCGCATCGCATCGCATCGCATCTCAGCTTCAATGTCCACCAGCCGAGCAGCAGCCCTGGAACAATCATTCACTGACCATCATGTAACAGACGTTGCATAAAGGCTGTCTGTCGCCTACAGTCTAGAACCCAAAGCCCTGTATCTGTACAGGCATTGTGGCACACGCTCTCGCCATGTCTCCAGTTCGCATCGCATCCGTCTCTTTTGAACACCACCCCTCTGGCTTTGGTGTTGGTCATGCCAGGCCTCGCATTTCCTGGCGCTTCTCCTCTAGCGACGCCGATTCAAAATGCTGGGAGCAAGAATCGTATGAGATCCAGATCGGTCGCCAAGGCCACGACAAGGCAGAGGCGATCAGCAACTACCACGTGCAAGGCTCCGACTCTGTTCTGGTGCCTTGGCCGAGTCATGCACTCCAATCGCGCGAATCTGCCTGGATAAAGGTCAAGGTTCATGGGAAGAAGCTCGATGCATATGGAAAGGAAGCAGCAGAAAGCACAGAGTGGTCTGATGCCGCCATCGTCGAGACTGCGCTGCTGGACAAACAAGACTGGGTGGCAAAGCTGACGGCTTCAACGCTCTTGTCCAACAACAATGAGCCGATACGGCCAGTGCTGTTTCGAAAGCCATTCTCTCTGCCTGCGAATTCGGCAAAGATCTCGAAAGCTCGTCTGTACATCACAGCCCATGGTGTGTACACAGCGTACATCAATGGCCACCGCATCGGCACCGAGGAAATGGCGCCTGGGTGGACAAGCTACGGCCACAGGCATGCCTATCAGATATTCGACGTTGCAGCGGTCCTGGCGCCAGAGAGTTCCAACGTGCTCGGCGTCGAAGTAGCCGAGGGCTGGTTCGCTGGTCGGCTGGGAATGGACAACAAGCGCTGCTTCTATGGGAGCAGGCTGGCATTCATCGCGCAGCTCGAAGTCGTCTACCAGACCGGCGAGACCCATACGCTGGCATCGGATAATACCTGGAAATCCCACTACAGTGCAGTCACTCGCAGCGAGGTCTACGATGGAGAAGATTACGATTCCCGTGAAGAGCAAAGAGGTTGGACTTTGGACCCAGCCTTTGGCGATGGTTCGTGGAGGTCGACCGAAGAACTAGCATTCCCGTCTGCAAGTCTTGTGGCTTCTGACTCGCCTCCTGTACGCATTATGGAAGAAATAGTTGCTGTCGACGTCTTCAAATCAAAATCTGGCCAGACCCTCGTCGACTTTGGCCAGAATCTCGTTGGAAAGCTCCAAGTGCGTCTTCCTACCTCAGCCTCTGACGGCCACAAGATATCATTCAGCCATGCCGAGGTCCTCGAGCACGGCGAGCTTGGGACTCGGCCATTGAGAGGCGCCCGACCGGTTGACAACGTGGTCTTGTCTCAGCATCAACCGTCAACATGGTCGCCAAAGTTCACTTTCCACGGCTTTCGTTACGTTCAAGTCGATGGCTGGCCAGATAATGAAAGGCTGCCTAGCCGCGATGATATTACAGCGCTCGTGATGCATAGTGACATGAATCGTACTGGCTGGTTCTCGTGCTCCGAACCCCTCATCAACAAGCTGCATCAAAATGCGCTGTGGAGCATGAAGGGCAATTTCCTTTCTGTACCTACAGACTGCCCGCAGCGTGACGAGCGACTTGGTTGGACTGGAGATATTCAGGTATTCAGCCCATCGGCAAATTTCCTCTTCGATACGAGTGGCTTCATCGGCAGCTGGCTCAGTGATGTTGCGGCCGAGCACTTGGAGGAAAGGAGACATGGAGTTCCAGGATTGGTAGTCCCAGATGTGTTTGACATTCCTGCCTGGCCACCGGGCCCACAGTCTGTCTGGCACGACGTTACTGTCTTGACGCCATGGGATTCGTACAATAGCTCTCGCGACGTAGAGGTGCTGCGAAGACAATACGATAGCATGAAGGCTTGGGTTGACAAGGGCATTCCTCGAGGGCCAAATGGTCTTTGGGATCAGAATGTCTGGCAGTTTGGCGACTGGCTGGACCCTTCTGCCCCGCCGGAAGAGCCCGGAAAGGGTCTTACTGATAGTGTTTTTGTCGCCGACGCCTACCTGGTTCGAGTGCTCGAAACCATATCCAAGGTCAGCTCGCTGCTTGGGGAGGAGAAGGACGCATCTCGCTACCTTGAAGAGGCTACAAAAGTGAGGAAGGCGTTTCAAAACGAATACACCACGCCATCGGGGCTTCTTGTCAGCGATACACAGACCGCGTATTCGCTTGCAATTTCGTTTGGCCTATTCGACCGAAAAGACCAAATTATGAAAGCCGCAAGCCGTCTCAGTCACTTGGTTCACGCGGCCAAATACCGAATAGCGACTGGCTTTGTGGGAACACCGCTCATTACGCATGCGCTCTCCGACACTGGCAACTCCCAACTGGCCTTCCGTATGCTGCTGGAACAATCTTGTCCGTCTTGGCTCTACCCAATTACAATGGGCGCCACTACGATATGGGAAAGATGGGATAGCATGATGCCAGATGGATCCATCAACCCGGGCTCCATGACGAGCTTCAATCACTACGCGCTGGGCTCGGTTGTGAACTGGCTGCATAAGAACGTTGGCGGGATAAGCCCACTTGAGCCCGGGTGGCGAACGATTAAGATACGACCTGTCCCAGGTGGCACAATAACAAGTGCCAAGGTAGAATACGAAAGCGTATATGGGCGAATCGTCTCCTCATGGAAGATTGATGAGACGGATGGGGCATTTAATCTTACAGTTACTATTCCTCCCAACTCAAAGGCCGTTGTCATCTTGCCATCTGATTGGAAGGCGACAGGGCAAGGCGACGAGAAGGGAACTGAGATTGGATCTGGAACTTATGAGTTTTCCTGCAGTTACACGCCTGACGAGTGGCCTCCTAAAGCAGAGCTTAGGCGCTCTACGTTTCGGCTTGAGTTATAACTAGAGATAGATAATTTGTTACAAATGACTTATTGACTGTTTATAGCTTTTTATTATCGCTGTTGACATATGGATTCATCTTACCGTATATGTAGTCCTTGGCTTATACTCAAAGGGTGTCAATGAGCAGACCAGGGTCTAGATGCTTGAAAGAACCTTGAAACTCTATTGTCAGCCACCCTGATTTGACCATTCGACCAATATAATCTTGCTCCAGGCAACCGTTCTCATATTTACCGTAACATGGCACTTCTTCTTCACGGTTGGCGCCAACGACCCTCGGCCCCTTTAAGCCCGAGGCAGAGTCGCATTGAATCGCCCCGAATTGCCGCGGCCCAGACGCCAAAAGCTTGAACCCCGTCGCAGGCTTATTCACACCGCATTCACCCTCCTCGTGATATCTGTCACCGAAACCCCAGCTTTTCGTGTCACTGCTTGCGGGGCCCCGGCATATTCATCTGCCCCATGCCCATGCGCTAGCTAAGCAACTGGCTAGTCTACGATCCTTCGCTGGATTTGAGAATCTGGAATGAGATTAGCTTTGGACGAGGGGGGGACTCTTTCCGGGCCGACGGTGATGGTGTGTAGCTACAGCGTAGGTAATTGGATACCATCTCGCCAAAGAGGTGGCCAAGAGATCATTTGGCTTTTACTAGCAAGTTAGCTATAGAGGCGATTCCAGAGTCTATCGACTGCATGGCATGAAGTATGCAAAGGCAAGCTTGAGAAAGATGCGGAGAGAGCACAAGCCGATATTGGGTGTTGCTTAACAGTCGAGCGACTTGTATAAGCGCCAGCATATGAAGTAGGCCTTGCTTCTTTATCCCTGTCCATCGCCGCTTTGCTAAATAATCGGCTGACTGGCAAGGAATATATGGGCACATCTTCCATCCAGCCGCTCTTCAGCTTGTTTCTATCCGACATTTATGCAGTACTTTCACGATACCATCAACTCCAACTCTATCGCCGAAGAATCAAAGTAGCCGACGATGAATCAGTCCGAGAAACCAGAGGTAGTCCTCGACGACAACGTTACGGCCGACGACGTGACAAAGGATGAAGGATATGGCCTCGTCAAGTCGAGGTTCGATGAGTTATCAATTCCTCGTACGCTCTGGGTCTTTAAGCGAGTTGTTCTCGTCTCGCTCGCGGTGTACACCGGTTATGTCTGCGAGGGATTCGAAGTGAGTCAAACTTTAGATTTTCACGATGGCTTCATGTCTAGTCTTAATACTTATTTGATACGATGTAATATAGCTCGGCGCTGGAGGCAGTGTCGTTGCCAATGCTGGCTTCATCAAGCAATTTGGTTCGGTCAAGGGCGAGGGCGGCGTGAGGGCGCTTGATCCGACTTGGTGTAAGCAACTGTGTTGTGTATCTCATGAGTGTGTGTTCGAAGCTGACGATAGTGCATAGTATCCACCTGGAGTGCTCTTCTGGTATGCTAACTTTGAGATCTTAAGACTGCTAGATTGATGCTGATCAACTTCAATAGAACGTTGGCCAAATCATCACACTTACACACATTGCTTGGTACGTTTGCCATGAAGTATATCTTTAACAGTCCTTGCGATGGCTAACTCTCACCAGGGTTGCAGACAAGTTTGGACGCAAAGTGTCCTTCTACATTGCATGGATATGGCTCGTCATTGTGAGTTGGATAGAGAGCAAGAGCATAGAATGAGCTAACATCGATGATTAGGGCTGTGTGCTCCTAAATACGGCGAAAACACCAGCTGTATGGGTAAGTTTTGAATGACGCCGGGCAGCCATGTGATATCATTTACCACGCGCGTGCTGACTCAAGTCGCATAGGCCGTCGCCAAGTTGTGCAACGGTGCAGGTATAGGCGTTCTCCAGTAAGCATTTCAAACCTTGATATGCTCCGTAATTCTCGCTGATTAGTTTAGAATCACCTGCCAGGTCTATGTCATGGAAATCTGCCCAAACAAGATTCGAGGTGGCTTGGTCACCTTTCAGGCAGTCTGGTATGTCCCTCAAGAGTTTTCCCTTCTCATCATTTCTCATCTTTACCACTAACTTATCGTTTTTAAAAGGAGCAACATCGGCGGCATCATCGTCTCCGTCATGATGCAGCAGCTCAACAAGAAACACCCCGACAACTACCTCCTCGCCATGCGCATCATCTGGGCCCCCGTCGCGCTCATGATTGTCTGCTGGATCTTCATCCCCGAGTCACCCTGGTTCTACGCCCGCCACGACAACAAGGAAAAGGCAATCAAGTCGTTGAAGCAGCTCTATGGAGGTGTTGAGGGGTTTGACTTTGAAGAGGAGTATGGGATTATCGTGAGGACGATTGCGCATGAGAGGGAGGTGTTGCAGGAGGCGCCGAGCTACCGCCATGTTTTCAAGGGTCTTAATTTGGTGAGCGAGCGGGATCTGTTTCTATCCGGAAGGAAATCGAAGACTAACAAACAATGGTCAGAAACGTGCCTTTATTGTTGTGATCCTGAGTGTATCTCAGCAATTCGCCGGTCTCGCCATCATCAACACATACTCAACCTGTGCGTTTCATATCCTATCCTCGCTTGAACTGGCTGCTAATAACCAATGTTAGACTTTTTCTCTCTTGCTGGTCTAAACGACCCGTTCCTCGGCACCGTCATTCTTAGCTGCTGCAACCTCCTTGCCGTCTTGCTATGGTCTCTAACCACCGACAAACTCGGCCGTCGCACAATCGTCAACTCCTGCGAGACCCTCGTCTGTGTGGTCCTCTTCGTCGTCGGCGGCTTGTTCTGGACGGGCGCGACAACCGGAAACGCCGCTGCGGGAACTGCTCTCGTGCGTCATTCATATCTAGCAATAAGTTGAGACAGAACATTTAGTTGGCTAACGTGTTTCTGCAGTTGGTAATTTGCTGCTTGTGGACATTCTGTTATCAAGTCATTGTCATGTCGTACTATGTCTTCTCAGCCGAACTGCCCTCTGCTCTTCTTCGAGGCAAGCTTCACTCCTAGTCACTCAGCTGTTGCGTTTGTTAACATTGATTGATACAGTCAAGACCGGACCCATCACTTTCTTCTTCAACTCAATCACAGGCATCGCCACCTGGTATATTTCACCCAACTTCTTAAGTCACGTTTGAAATATCATTCAGCTAACACTGTAAAGCTACGCTACTCCGCCCATGCTCCTCCATCTAAGTCTCAAAGCCGGCTTCGTCTACGGCGCCTTTTCCGTGCCCATTTGCATCATCATGTGGCTCTACGTGCCAGAGACCTCAGGGTAAGTCGACATCTCTAACTCCTCATAACAAGACAGTTTCATCTAACTTTTGGGCATAGCCGATCCGCAGCTGAGATTGACGAGCTGTACGAGCGCAGAATCCCCGCGTGGAGGTGGTCCAAGACTGTGACTGAGGCCGAGCAGCGGATGCAGACCGTTGTGCTGGTGAAAGGGGGCGTTAAGGAGCAGAACCAGATTCATACACAGTAATTGAGGCCTAGGGAAAATGTTTGACTTGTTACACTGCAGCGAATCGCCTTCCTAAGAATTAAAAGGCGCGGTGTAACATAATTGGCCCATAGTACATGCCTCTTTGGAAGACATGTAACACAACAGTATTCATGTAATACAATTTCAACTTGGAGTGATCAACATATGTTTTGACTTAGTAAAGTTGTTAAGAATAGCATTTGTGATGACAGCACTCATGGAAATCACGTTATGCAACCAATAATGCCGAGTGTATTCGTATCACATCTATAATAAAAGCCAACAGGTATGATATCTCCAAAAATACCTTGTTCTAATGCCAATTTCCCACGCTCTTAAAGCATCTAAAAGCGAATTGCTATAAGAGTGGGCTAACATAACGCGACAAGAATGTTACCTGCCTTGATGCAGCCACCAGGATATTTTCGCTGTTGTTCATAGCATAAACCCGCAGCGCAGATCCATTCCATCAGGTGCCTTGTCCTGGCCGGCCTCGATGATGAAGCCCTTGTATAACCGTGCTGCAAGAGTATAGACAGCCGTACGTGTTGGTATCCGCAAACAGTCCATTTTTTTCGTCCCATAACGCCTATTCCAATTCCTTTCTCTTGTTTTCAACTCCAAGAGGCAGTCTATCCATATATACATTTCCTTTCTTGTCTCGCTAAAACGCATTGTCGTCAAAGTCTCTTCATCAACCGTCAAGTTCCATAAACGGTACAAAGGTTGGTCGGCCCTCAAATCGCTCGCAGTCGCCAACTGGCCAACAGTCTACATATGTTTTCTCTTCGCTCAACATGGTGTCAAGGCGGCGTTTTGAATTTTCTTTAGCTTTAGTGTGAGAAGCCGGTCCCACTGCATCTGCATGATGCTGCGAATTGCTGGCCACAGCAGCGCTGGCTTCAATCAGCTCCTGCCACGTCCGCAGAGCTTCTTTCGACTTCCCGTCGAATACACAGCAGAATCTTTGCGAAATGACGTATCCAAAGCCAGATTCCATCGTCAGCCCATACATGAGTATGAGATAGGCGGCCACCAAAGTAGGTGAGAGATCGTTGCCAGAGTCGCAAGTAACTAGAATCTTGCCCATCGGTCTCCGAACACGTTGCGAGGCGTCCTCTGATCCACTCGCTTGAGGGCCATTTACATTCAACAGATGGTCATTGACTTGATTGACCATTTTGTAGAACGATGGAAGCTGATTCTCTGGGCTGACGTCGATGTAGACTTGTGAAATGCCAAGCCTTGCGGACACCGCTCGCGCGCTGGGATAGTCTCTGGGGGCTCGAGCATCACGGACAATGATCATCATGGTGAAGGCCTCTCGCTGCATAAACTCGTCATCTCGGATCACGCTTGTCGGGCCCAGGTAGAGGAAATCGAGGATGGAATGCGCGTCTCTGCGCCACTCGTATGGCCAGCCCTCTCGATATTGAGCGGTCTGGGTCCTGTTGCCGGTGATGATGGCGAATTCATCGTCAGTGAGCCGTGCGAACTCGACAGGGCGATGCGAAGGCAGAATGCTGTGCCTTTCAGCGCCGTAGTGCGGCTGAAGAGGGATGTGGATCATCGGCGGGCTGGGTGGGCGGAAGCTGTAGGGCGCCGAACGCACGACGGCCCTTTTTGCTGAATCTTCCATGTCTTGTTCGTGTCTGGGGTAATTAACTAATCCGAAGCAATAGGGCGCTTTGAGACTGCAGATGGGCTTTGGAGGTTTTGGCGGCTTTGGCGAAGAGACGAGCAAACGATGGCGAGATAAGATGGAAATGGAACAATTCGGGTCGAATGCGATATACGTATGTTGTATATGACGGCGTTTTGGAAGCGTAACAACAAGAGATGATGGATGGAATGAAGATGAAAGAAGAAAGAAGGAGAAGGAGAAAGAAGAAAGAAGGGCGTTGAGAGCAAGGTGAAGAAGAGTTCAGCTGCAAGGCAAGCGCGAACCGATTCCTGGTAGCAAGTAAAGTTGCCCGTGGCTTGCTGAACAGCACAAAACAAAGGAAAAGACTCGCAAATTAATTGTATCAAATATCAAAAGCAGAAATCAACATGATACTCCTTGCACAAGATGCTGCAGACTGCTCTGTAGAAAGGACCGGCAAATGAAGAAGAGCAAAGGAATCGCGGTGAATGTGTATGTAGGCTGTAGAGCTTGCGGCCTCTATAGAGCTGGAGCTTGCGCTGGAGCTGGAACCAGAGCTTAGTGCCTAGGCAGGAACGCAACAGCGGGTCGCTTTTCCAGCTGACGGCCAATCGGAAGCCTTTGCTTTAGGCAGCGGCTGGGGTGGGATTGGCGTTTTTAGCTCATGTTCTCAATGCATGGGAGAGCCGTTGATTGACTCTTGAGGCGCGTTATAGTGCCCAAGCCATGAGCCGGTGCTGAAGCATCGTTATGTTCCCACTAGAAGTCTTGACAGTACTATTAGAGGGACGAAAGTTATTTACCTTTAATAAAATAAATTTTCTCTGTTATATACCTTCAAATATGTACCTATCTAATTATTCTTAGGAAGGTGATGAAATTGCAGTATTTGTGCCGATTGAGCAAGCCTGTTAAAGTTCCCTGTTGGCAACCGGAGTTTGTGGAGCCCAGATTTAGGTACAGCTCCATGTCTACTGGGGTTGTTGGAATGATGGAGGCATCGATGATCTTGCAGCGCAGAGTCTAAATGGAATTTTACTGCCTAGTACCTACCGACGTTCACATGTAATCCATCAACTGCCCGTCTAAGCAATACATTCTCACTTTGATACTGCCATCTTACATACAGCAGATAGAAGATGCTACCACTCAGATCAAAGGCTCTACAAAACACAAACACCATGCAGATAGCAACCACCGCTCCTCAGTTTATTCACCCTTTTCTGTGATTAGTATTTTCCATCTTCATACAATACTAATACGAAAACTCAAAAAGCATCTAGTACAAAAGCAGCCACATATTCTTCTCCACCAACGTCAAATAGCTCGACAACGCATGCATAAGAGTGGTGCTGTCAAACGCGATTCCCCCGCAGAGCAAGACCTTCATCAAAGATGTGATATGATGTACTTGAGCAGGGGAGAATTGACACGAGGGAACTCATTGAAGAGCGGAAAAGAAAAGGGAAGAGTAAACGATCGAATCGATTCTCACAAATGATATAAGCCTAGATGGCAAGACTACCATTTGATAGGCATTGTACAAGGACAGACGAGAGTAGAACACCATGTAAAGAAGTTGAACTACCATGTGATTTGTATCTTCAGTTCAATCTTCCTATTGCTTTTCTACCCTTCTCCAAGTTCATCGCGGATATCGCGCCACGTACACGTATGCCACGACTAATCTTTGACAGCTCCAACTGTCCGCAGAATAGTAATCTTTCTACCATGTACAGCATATCAATAGAAACGAAGCAATCCACATAGAGCACAATAGCTGCTAACAGTACCCAATTGTCTTATATGGTTATCTCACCAGTCTTTGCACATACGTAACTGATATTGAGAATACAATGCACTGTGCCTTCTGCTCTCCACTCAAGCGCTGCAGAAATATCTCCATGATAATTTGATCCCTTCCAGGATATATTCATACTACCATAATCATACAATCTTTCGGTTGCCCCCCCTTCAATACTGTTTATCATACAGTGCAATAAAGCTTCCTTGTAGCCATTGCAGTTCGCTCTAAAATGCTTTTCCCTTTTCCTTCTTTTCCAAACCAGGGGCATCATATCCAGACTGATCCCTCTCCAGGTCTAACTGATCAGCGAACATGGTGAAAATGTAATGAAAATAATGTAGACGGGTTGTAGGTTGTAGGTCAGGTACTCCATCATACAGCGGGCACCTCTTCTTTCCTCTCAGGTAATTCATCAATCACCAAATCATCATCCGGATGCTGCTCCACACCTTCCACATGCCCCTCACCAATCGCAGACCTGTTCGCATTGCGAGACTTGACCTGCTGGCGCTTGCTCTGTCGCTTCCGCTCCAGCTGCTCGTCGCTGTAATTAAGCCACTCCAGCGTTTTCATGAGCTTTTCCTCGACCAGCGTCCGCACGTGGAACGCCAGAGCTTGGCTGCGGAACATGCCCGAGTAGCGATACGACAGCCACACGTATTGGTTCAGAGCAACGTGCAGCGCTTCCAGCTTGGAAAGATACTGCTGGCCGGATCCTGAAAAGTCTTCGGGGTTTATGTCGAGGAATTCTAATGGGATTTCCTCAATGTCGAGGAGATCGCCCTTTGAGTTTGTGGCTACGACCTGTGCTAGAGCTCGAAGCACGTCCACGGCTCGTTCGGCGCGGAGCGCAACGGGTAGGTAGCAAAAAGTTAGCCGGTCGTGAATGGTAAGCGGAATATCCTGGATGATGTCTGCGATTTCCAAAATGTCGGATCCGAGGCCCATTTTGTATAACGAGCTGACTGTTGCCGTCTCCTGGATTCTTTTGAGGATATAGGATAAGGGGGTGTCTGATGGAAAGTATGAAGCAAATCGCTCCACGATGCCTGCTGGAGGCTGGATGCAGGCTGCTTGGATGTCCTCGACATTTCTTTGAAACGCTCGCTGTACACTGCGCAGATCAGCCCGTTCCATAGTAGTGACGAGGCCGACTTTTTCCGATTCATCCGTCGAGCCATCTGGATTCTGTGCCGATCTGTATCGTCCTGCTCGCCCGCCAATCTGCTTGATTTCGGGAAAAGTCAGCAGTCGGTTTTGACTGCCGTCAAACTTTGTAACAGACTCCATAATGACCCGTCGAATTTCAAGGTTCAATCCCATGCCAATTGCATCGCTAGCAACAACAAAATCATAGTCGTTGTCGGGGTCATTGAACAAAGCTGCCTGCTGGGCCCGAACCTCTGGCGGCAGTGATCCATAAATGATTGCACAACGCCGCCCTGTTTTCCTCTCTATGCTTGTTTTTAGTGAATGGAGATTTACACGGCTAAATGCAACAATGGCATCTCCCTTTTGCAGGAGATTGTAGTCGTTGTCAAGCGGCTTGTCCATCGTCTTAAGAGGACTCAAGCGCTCATACCGATGAACAACACACTTGTCTCCAACGCTGGCGCACATTTGCTGTATGACCTTGACAGCTCGCTCTTCGCCACACACGTGGACCTCTTTAGCCTGCACGCCCAGCACGGCTGCGGTCCATGCATTTCCACGATCGGCATCGGCAATCATCTGGATCTCGTCGATGACCGCAACGTCGAAACGGGTATTGAGCGGTATCATCTCAACCGTGCAACTGGAAAAGTACTGGTCCGTGTTTTCAGGGATGCGCACTTCTTCGCCGGTAATGAGAGCGCAGGGGATATTCTTCGCTTTAAAGCGCTGGTACACTTCGGTGGCGAGCAGCCGGAGAGGCCCTGCGTAGACGCCGCACTTGGAGTTCTCCAGCGCCTTGAGCGCATTGTACGTCTTGCCAGAGTTGGTAGGCCCGACGTGGACGTGGATGGTGCGTTGCATCGTCCGCGTCGCAGGGAACCATTCGTAGGGAAATCGAAAGTCGAGCAGACGCTTGTGACTGTCCTCGATGTTCTTAGAGAAGCGCTGGCCGAAGATGAAGGACTGGAACGAGTAGTGGACCTCCTTGGTAAGGCCTTTTATATCTCCAGAAACAAAGGCATCGCGCAGATTCCAGAATAGCGAATTCTTGTCACGGCGAGTGATTCCCTTTTCCGCCAGCGAGAATGCATGATCAATGGCGTCCATAAAGACGGCTGCGTGGCGACTCAGCTCATCTTCGCTAAAGGTGACGCCAACCCGAGCTGCTCCCAGCTTATTTAGTACAATTTGAAAGCGATGGAGCACAGTAGAGCGAAAGAGTTTGTGTCGTCCAGAATATTTGCCAAAGTCAAGCCGCAGCCGGGTGTTGGGATCATGGCCATGGCTAACCTGAGCATTACGCATGAGTCTTCTTCATCTCTTCTTTGTGTAATTAAGTAAACTTACTGAATCAACTCGGGAGTGAGGTGCTGGCTTTGAAGAATGTAGTTTTGAGAGCGCAGCAGCCAAGCTTCCCTTGTTTGCTGTCGCTTTCTGCTTCACAGGCGTCTTAGGAAGAGGAGCCCGCCAAAGGTGGGATGTGGTTGAGAGATGCCGCCGCAGACATGATGCTCCCAGTTGGCCTCTGAAAGCGCCGTTGCAGGCCACAGCTCTCATGACAGCGGTGTAGAGATGGCCAGTATCATGATACAGCTGTAAAATGAAAAGAAAACAGCAATTGCTTCTCTTCTTTCACCAATTCACACCTACCCTACAAATTCTCGAGATTTGCATCCAACTTTTTCATGCCATTCACGGAATTTTCTCGGCGGCGGATTAGCGTTTGGCCGCCTGCAGCCAAGACGGCAAACTGTGGATGGAGTTTCGTCATAGTTTCACTCTCGCTCACTTTAGCCTCTCCGTCACTCTTGGTCTTACAACACCACAGACAACCGGATTTCGTTGATTGCGCGCTCCCACTTTCTCTACCCTCTAACAAACACCAAAGCTCCAACCTTTATTATCCTTATTCAAGCGCCGCAGCATCCATCGCCGCCATGGCGTCCTCTTCTGCTGCAACTCCGCTCCTTTAGTGCGTCCAAGCTCCTTTAAGGGATTCCCAGCGTCTTGCCTGCTAACAAAGCATCCGTCGCAGCTCCTGCATCGCCCACGAAACAACAATCCTATCTGAGTGCACCACCTCAGCCTCCTCACAGACCTCATCGCTCGCCTCTCTCATCCTGCCAAAGATCGAGCATTCAACCCCCCAGAAGTTGACGTATACCCACGGCACGCACCAGATTCACTATGTCGCCGAGGCGCCGTCCGATTATCCTGACCACCCGGCCGCCGGCGGCCTGACTTTTCTCGTCATCGCAGACGGATCGTTAGGCCGTCGCGTTCCATTTGGCTACCTGTTGGAGATTCGCAAGCGCTTTTTCGAAAAGTTCCCCGAGAGCAGCGACTTTGCCGACATGCCAAACTACGGCGCCGGCTCGTTCAACGCCGAGATGAAGAACCTGATGGTGGAGTTTGGCACGACGAGCGGCGGCATGAACGACGCGATTGGCAATGCGAAGCGGGAGATTGACGATGTTAGAGGCATCATGACGAAGAATATCGAAAGCTTGCTCGAGCGAGGCGAGAGGATCGACTTGCTCGTTGACAAGACGGACAGGCTGGGGAACAGCGCTCGAGACTTCCGGGTGCGGAGCCGCGGGTTGAAGCGACAGATGTGGTGGAAGAATGTGAAGCTCATGGCGCTCCTCATTCTGGTCGTGGTTCTTATCCTGATGATAATTATCATTTCAGTCAAGGGCTGACGGACAGAGTGTGATTGTTTCTTTATTCTTCTTCTTCTTCTTTTATGATGGGAACAGCAAGCCTAGATGCTGTATGTGTATTGATAATAGGGATTTGATATTATGGGAGTCAAGGGGATCATGAGCCTCTCGAGGTCTTCTACTGCTTGTGAATAAACGGGACCTGGGTTGGAAGTACTTGAGCTATAGTGTAATGCAATGCTATTTTCTTCTGTTTTGTCTTCTCTTTCAATGCGCAAGCAAGTATTACGAATATTGCCCTTCTACTATGTATCCTTCAGGCCAGCAAATAATACACAAAATCCACTCCAAATGGAATCTCGATTGCTTCAACATTCCCAATTGACAGACAACTACATTAAAAAAAGAAGAAAAATCTGGATAGTCAGATCCGATGCTAACAGGCTCTTCCGCATCACCAGAACTTACCGTATTTTAGATGATCTGCCCCTTCCACTCATAACTTTGGCGCATTCGGACCAACCCTCGCCTCCTGGTAGACGTATCCCTGCGCCACAGGACTAAACACCGTAGCTGGCACCGGAGCCGGCGCAGGATGAGACGGCTTGCGCAACCTGTCGGTGAAGAAGACGGGGTGCGTGGTTGATGCGTCGTGAGCTGGCGAGGCGTGTTTGCTCCAGACGGCTTGCAGCTGAGCGGCTGTTGGGGCGGGCTGGGGATGCGTCATTGCGCTGGAGGGAGCTGAGTCTGTTGTACAATGATTCTAACAGAATACAAAGAAAAGAGAAAAAAAGAGGCTTTATGGTGAGCCAATGCGATGATTGAATGGGAAATGATGGAGTAGAGTTGGCATTAGCCGGATGAAGTCGCTATGATGGAATTGCTGCCACAAGGATCTTAGGTAAGCCGAGGTTCATTTCTAGGTGTGATCAGCGCGGGTTAGAGATGAGCATGAAAACAGCCTTGATTCTATATCGACGCTTTATGGATGCAAATCTATCAAATCTATGAAAAAGAAAACAAATCGAATGCGATGGTTCTTTTATTTCTTCTTGTTGCCCTTGCCGCCTTGCTTTTGTTGCTTTTCCTTTTCCTTTTGCTGCCTTTCCTTCTCCTTTCCCTTTTTGATGGCTGCCACCAAGCTCTCCAGCTCTGCTGCCTTTTCCTTTTCCTTGTCCTCTTCAGCCTGCTTGTCTTCGTTGGCCTTCTTCTGCGCCCTCTTCTTGGCGGCGGCCTTTTCAGTCTTTTCAATCAGCGCATCGCTCTCCTCCCAGAGCTTCTTGGCCACGTCGTCGTCCTTGACTTCGGACCGGGCAAAGTCCACTTCCATGCACTCCTTGACTAATCTGCCGCCGCCGATACGTCCAAGCGTGCCATCCATTGCGGCGTAGAGAATGGACTGCGCTCCTTTGCTTGGCGACTTGAGCAGGAACCAGGGTATGGCGTAGAAGAAGAGGTACAGGGCAAGACCGAGGAGTGAGCCTCGCGTCAGCCACCTTCTCGTGCCTGGTGTGCGACTCAGCCCCGGGTCCACAAGGACGACTCGGGTGTTCATGGGTAGTTCGTCGGGGCGCTTGTAAGAATCTAGGTGCTTCTGGAAGTACTGTCCAAAGACGTTGAGGGCGAGCTTGCTTCGTGCATAAGCAGATCCGGGAGTCCAGCCGTTCTCTACGTTGCCAAGACCGTCTTTCAGCGATGGAGATCCAATGTATGACGAACATGTCGCAATGACGACACGGACATCTCTGTCAAAGGGCTGTGCCTTGAGAGCCGGGCTGAGGATGCCCAGCAGGTGAAAGTTGGCGAGGAAGTTGACCATCCACGTCTCCTCGATGCCTTCTTCGGTGACCTTTCGTGTCCCGCCGGGGGGCGTCAGGGTCGATGCGCACAGCACAACCATGTCCAGTCTTCGGGGAGGTGCATTGTCGACCCATTTTGTCGCAAACTTTCGAATGCTGTACAGGCTGGACAGGTCGACCTGTTCCGCATAGATCAAATTGTTGCCCGTCTTGTCGCGGATGTCTTGGATGAAGTCGATCAGAAAGGGGTCGGAGCCGGGCACCTGCGTGAGCAGCACCAGTTGCGCGCCGCGGGCTGCGAGCTCGCGTGCCACTTCTGCGCCGATGCCGCTGGTGCCGCCTGTCATCATGACGACGCGGCCATGGAGGTTGCGCTCCGAGGGGTTCGTCCGGCCGGAGGTGTAGAGCTTCAGGAGCACGAAGAAGGTTGTGACGGCGACGGTGTAGAAGATGGGCCGTACATTGTCGTGGACGACCTGCGGAAAGCCGTGCTCCAGCAGATAGAAGACGGCCGGGATGGGCATTGTGAGGCCGCTGTAGCGAATGGAGAGTGGCGGTTTGTAGGAGCGTAGATTTCGTCAGTTCATCGTCTCGAATCCGTAAGCATCAGCACCTACTGCGTCGGTTTTGCTGACGAAGCTGGGCGGTCAAACGTTGTGGTTTCGGTCGAGTCGACGTGGTGGAAGCGATTCAGGAGCTCCACGTGACACGGCCCAGTTTAAGCAGCTTGCTCTTCACCTGCATCAAGAAGTGCTTCACAGACACGCTCACAAAAATGTTAATGCCTTTCTGCAAACAAATTCTAGAACGATTCGACAATTTATAAGTGTAGATGGAAGCTAGAACCTGGAAGATGACATGCTAATTACATAGTGGTATAGCTACCTAACTAGGTAGTGTAGATACGAAGTGCTAGTACGGACGGCATCAAATGTGCCTGGGGTATGAACATGAAGAACAAATTTCCCATAACTCATCCATAAGAAAGAAAGAATGAAAGAACAAAAATCAAAGACATAAAAAAAGCCAAAGTCGATCCTTTTAATGCCCAGTTTAGTTTTGCTTCTCCCCTTTGGACTTCTTCTTCTTCTTCTTCTTGCTAATCTCGAGCTTCACAGGATCGCCATTTCGCACCCAAATCTCACCAATGGGGTCGCCCTCTTCTTGTACACAGATCCATTCTCCAATGGAATACTCTTCGGGTGCGACACGTATGCCACGACCGCCTCCGCCTACAATCAGGTTGCCAGGACGATATGTCTTGTCCAGCTTCATGCGGCGGATGACGCTGCCGTGGATGCGAGCGTTGTTGGGAATGTCTCGAACTTCTCCACGAGGCAGCGGCCAGTTGATGGGCTTCCAGGTCCCGTCCGCCTGCAGATCCATTCGTCGGAAGGGCATCCACTCCATCATGTTCCAGGCAGTGACGGCGACTGCAGTGAGGCCGCCGCCATACACCAGTGAGTCGTGGATTCGGGCGAGATGGGCCTTGTGCATCATGTCGAGGAAGACCTCCTTGAAGTCCTTTTCTCCGTCATCATCTGCAAGAGTATCCGGTGTTGGAGGAGCTACAAGCTCTCCTCCGTCTTCGTCCTCCTGATTGAGATGAATCTCGGGTCCTTTTTGTGGTCCCCTGCGGTTGCTCTTGGAGCTGGCCTTTGCGCTTTCGTTGTACAAGTCGAAGCAATCTAGCTCCTGAACCTTTTCCAGGTCGAACTTTAGGCCGGCACGCATAGCCTCGCGGACCATCCATACCAAAGGCACATGACTTGCGTTTTTGCCATCGGATTCCATTTGCCATCCACCACCCACATCGCCATGGCCACCAGAAAACCACACTTCATCAATGTCTTGATCACCGCCGTCCTCATAGTCAAGATTGGAAACTTGTTCAGAGACATTGCAGCCAGCTACCGAGGCGCGGCGATCAGGTCGAGCGCCGGACTTTGATCTGGCCCTATATGGCATGTATTTGCTGCCTTCTGGATTTGCTGACGACTTCCTCTCCCCGGGTGTTGCGTACTTGCTTGGGCGTCTGCCCCGGTCCTCCTGATAGGGCTTAGCTGTGCCATCTGTTTCTTCGCCATTTCCACTGCTGCTGTGTGGGCGGCCAAGCATGTGCTCCCAATCTTTCCAATGGGCGCGACCGCTGCGGCGCCTATTCGCTTGCTGGTACATCAAATCCTGTCGGAACTTGGCCCGGCGCTCATCGATGCTGACGGCATGCCGAATAACTCTCGCGCTACTACGCGCGGTGTAAGGGAACTTGCTTCGCTGCATCCAAGCCGTCTCAAAGCGAGGCACTGAGTTGACTGTGTCAAACAGACCAAGGAAACGGATCCTGCCAACGGGTCGAGAAAAGGTTTCGCGGAAGCCTTTCATGAAGTGGTACATTTCGTGCTTCTTCTTCTCTTCCTCATCCGCTAGTTTTTCGTCCTTGTCGCCACCGCGACGACTTTGCCAGCTGGAAAACGCCTTCCAGGCAAACGAAACCAGTTCTTCATTACCATGAGACAAGAGGCCAACATAGTCAAGCATCTCAGCCAGAAAGCGGGCAATGTACGCGCCGCGACTGAAGCCAAACATGTAAATCTCATCCCCAGGATTGTAGAATCTCATGAGGAAACGGTAGCCTCCCACGACATGCTGATCGAAGGAAGAACCAACCGCTGAATCCTTGGCTTTTTGGTACCATGATCGAATGCGCGCCTTCGTGCTGGTATGTGAAAGCGAGCTAGACACGACATAGGTGCCAATACCAGCTGGTTATGAGTGTTAGTCAACTTCATGAGCTCATGAGAGCGACTTTGCGCGAGTGTGCACGCGCCGGCTATTGTCGAAGCACTTACGCTGGTAGTAGTGATACTGATCGTCTGCAGTTCGATCAAGCATGCGAAAGATCTTGAGAATGTTGCTGTCGCTTTCATCGCCATGGAACTTGTTGCCCGTGCCGTCAAAGCAGAGAATCAGCTTCCTCGCAACTCTGTCCCGCGGCGTGGGACTTGCTGGGCGTTCCATCATGTTGGTCATGATGTAGTCTAAGCTGGAGCGTTTCTTTGGGTGCTCGGCAGAGCTTGGATCCAACATGCTGCCTGCAGCCATTATATGTGGGCTCTATTAATCTCAAGCTGACAAAAGAGGCAATGTGGAGGATGAGGCGGAGCCAGGGGCCTTTCGGTACCTGATCACAAGCAAGCTTGGCGAGCAAAAAAGTGAGAAAGCTAGGCAGAACGAAATTGTCATTGTAAGCACAGGGCGCCCGCTCCTTAATATTAGTACTTTTCTGATCATGAGCGTGGCTCATCGCGGCCGATGACTACGGATCGCCTTGCAGCCGTATGTCTCGGACTTTCGCATTAGCTTTCGACTTGGCCTGGGCAAAGCTGCTGCTGCTAACCACTTCTTGTGCAGTCTGTACGCCGGAGGCTGAGAAGCGGTCGGCTGAAAGGCGCTGATCGCTGCCCTGTCGAGGTGGTGGAGCTGCTGCTTGCTCAAATGCCGGGGGCTAGCGGCCAATTAAAGACCCCTTTTGTCTAAGTGATTGGCAGAAGGCCGAGATTGGGGGCAGCCTTTGAGATTCATGGCTTCACGATATTACGCGCTGCAAACCAGGAAGAGCGGGGAGAGCTGCAGAAGGAGACGCTACTCTTATGCATGTCTCAGAGCCTCACTCAATCGGCCAGTGAGCGACGATGGTATTATGGATAGCTCTGCCAGTGGATATTATTCGGCCAGTTACATGATGGGAATTGGACAGAATGGCGGACCAGCTCTGCGGCTGAGATGTAGTTGCAGACAAGCAGCAGGGAAGTGAAAGATTGTCACATTGGCCTGTTGCATGAAGCCATTCAGCACTTGCGATCTAGACACGCTCTTTGACTTCCTCTGCTCCGTATTTGCTGCATGGCTTTGCACTAAAAGATGCCACGCAGTTGCTGTCTCGAGCCGCTCTGTCTCTCTCAGTCTCTCTGTCTCTCCACTTACGGCATGGTTTTCAGGACAGCTTGGCAAAAGGTTTGTGAAACAACGTGCTTATTTCTCGGAAACTTTCCATGAATTCATGTGTACTGTTGTACAGTATCCAGTCTTCCTGTGCTCCAAGAACGGATGGTGCTACTCTACACCCGGTCTTTGGGCGTCCCAAAAAAGAGCTTCTCGACGTCTCCGCAACGGGCCGTGCCTAGAACTGTTTGGGTGTAAGAGCAATTTCACAGCTTGCGGCCATTGGCTGACAGCAGATTTCGTTCTCCACATGTGTTGGATCTCTTCATTCTACGCCAATTGCTGGGTCTGGGCTTTTGTGATGATCTTGGATTTGCCTGCAGCCGATCGGCCAGCTGGACCATTTTAGGTGGGAAGATCCAGTGAAATGTCTCGGGGCTTGATCGATTCTTAGCAAGGGAAGCCGAGACCTTGTAAAAGTGTGTGTATGGCGTATGAGTATGTGAGAAGATGTGTGGTCTTCCCAGGTTGCTGGATCTCTGAATTGAGGTGCGAGCAGTACACCTCGGACTCACTGCGATGCTACGTTAACGGCCTATGGCCTGAAAATTGGCTGCATACTCTTCGTCAAGAGTTACTACCTATGGGCAGCTACGTGCATAAAAGACTATTTGCAGGACAAAACAGCTTTGCTAACGAACACGCCGGCACTACACGAGTCATATGTACATTCGATATACGGAGCATACTGTCTGCTGCCATCTCCAGCCTGCTCGCATGTATTGCATCACCAAGACGCAAAGACTGAGACATTCCACCACACAATTCTCCTGTTTGACGGGCAGAAGAGACACTATGACAGCTACATTTCATCTCACAGCTTGCTATCCTTCCAGATCGGCTTCCTCTTCTCGACAAAGGCCCGCAAGCCTTCCGTCATGTTGTCTCCCCCGTCCATCTGCGGATAGACCTCTGCCAGGATGCGGTCGGTGCTCTGCTTGGGGTTCTCGGCCTCCCAGCCAGCCTGCAGGCCCTCGCGAGCCACAATGACCGAGTCGGGCGAGTTGTTGGCCAGCTCAATGGCCCATTGGAGGGCCTCGCCGACGACGTCGCCGCCGCGCACAATCACATGGTTGACCAGGCCCCAGCGCAGCATCTCGTCGGCCTTGTAGATGCGGCCGAGCAGCGCCATCTCGGACGCGCGCTGCATGCCGACGGAGCGGATCAGCCGCGGCAGCGCCCCCTGAATCGGCACGACGCCGCGGGCAGCCTCGGGCAGCGCGAAGCGGGCGTCGACGGTGGCGATGACCATGTCGCAGTTGATGATCATCTCCATGCCGCCGCCCAGGCACAGGCCGTTGACGGCGGCGATGATGGGCTTCTTGCCGCGGCGGTTGCTCAGCCCGCCGAAGCCGCTCTCGGGCGTCTTCTTGGGCGCCTCCTCCGGGTGGGCGTTGCGGTCGTTCCACTCCTTGAGGTCGGCGCCGGCGCAGAAGGCCCGGCCCATGCCGGTGATGATGGCGCACCGCAGCGACGGCTCGGCGTCGTACCACGCCCAGAGGCGCTCCAGCTGGAAGTGCATGTCGTTGCGGATGCAGTTGAGCTGCTTGGGGCGGTTGATGGTGACGAGCAGGATGTGCGAGCGCGGCGCGGTGACGATGACATCGTCGATCTTGGGGGGTGAGCTGATGGATATGGCCATGGTGAAATATCTCTTTTATGTCCTCTCTTTTTGATATTCGCTCAGGTGTCTGGTTTCATCAAAGGAGATGCAAAGGAGGTTGACGATGTAAACGGCCTCAGCATATGTATGTTATCCGGATAACGAATCGAATCGCAGCAGTGGCCAGCACCAAGTCTCGCCTCCTTTCTTTTTCTGCTGTCCTCCAGAGATTTTTATCTCATTCAATCAATGAAAAACAATGAGATTGCGTCTGCAATATAGATCATGGCGTCGCTGCGGACGCTCAGCTTTCAATTATGTCTTTTCAAACTCACCCTGACGGTGTGAATGTTGGGCATAAGGGACGGGCAGAGAGACTTGACCGGTTGTTTTTGGCTACGCGCCCTGAATGGCCCGGCGCTGTGGGGCTCAGCCTCGGCCCGTGCTTCTCCTCATTTTGAGCCGAGCGGTTGCTTTATATGCCGGGACTTGGTGATGCTGCTTTTAATGATTTGTAAAAGATGTTGATAATGGGTGAATGGATTTGAAAAACGTTGATTGGGTTTGGTGCTAATATTGTGTTCCAGATTTTGGGTGATTTGCTGGTGAATCATTGTTGCGTATAGGTTTCAACTAACACCATCTACACGCTCAGGCCAACTTATAATTTCAACATCAAACAATCAGAAAGTTGAACAATATTACGTATTCATTTACAAACGTTCCCTAGACTATTTTCAAAAGTCCCCAGTGCCCCAGGCCCCTCCCTAGTTGTTTGTACATGTAAACAGTATTTTTGGTGTTTTCGACTCTCCTGTTTCTTGCTCACAGTTCGCATATATACATACATTTCTTCCTACAGGACTTGGACAGTTTGATTTGATCGGCATTTGCGCACGTTGAAGAAAAAGAGGCAAGTACCAAGATGGATTGAAGTAAAATAAAAAAAAAACAAGTAGCCGATTAGTATAAGTAATTGCCAGAAAACAATATCCGTGTAGTGGTATCCCATGTCCGCGATACAGCCCTTTACGCCGGCAAGCCTCGTTTCTCGCACTCGGTGAAGAAGATGAGCATGCGCCAGAGCTTCTTGACCAGATCCTCTGCTTCGTCGTCCAGTGCCTATCATCGCCAAATTGTTAGTATTCGCAACAACAAAAGTAAAAAGAGTATTTCATAACTCACCCCCTCCAGCTCCTCCACCAGCGCTCCAGCAGTCCCATGCTTGCGCAAATGCTCCTCCACAGCCTCCACCAGCATCTCCTCCTGCACGCCCAGGTACTCGACAATCTTCTTCTCCACAAACGGCCGCAGCTTGTCGCGCACCACCGCGTCGTCCATAAAGTCCCACTTGACCTCCCACGCCCAGAGGCCGTCCTTTTCCGACGGAATCTCCTGCGCGAGCGCCCGCACGGCCTGCGAGATTTCTTCCTCCGACATGCCTGCTGCGCCGGAGGTGGCGTCCAGCTGGATGGGGATGAGCTGGCGGCGGGTGGACTCGACTTCCTCGTCGTCCAGGAGGCCTTCGACTTCGGCGATTGTGCGGCGCTGAGGCGCAGCGCGTGAGGCTTGCGCTCGCTGGGCTGCTGCTCCGAGAGACAGCTTGAAGGGCTGCGGCGCGGCGGCAGCGGCGGCGGCTTCGCGCTGCTCCATCTCCCGCGCCTGCTGGTCCAGGAAATCGTCGGCCATGCCCCGGGCATGTTCCAGTCGGGCCTGCTCGCGGTTTCGCTCCACCTTTTCGGCCTGGCGGTCGGCCTCGTCTCGCGCCTCTTCCTCAGCTCGGTCTGAGTTTCGTTTCCTTGCCCAGCCGGCGCGGTCTCGGTAGTAAATGTGCGATTTGCGCGTCGCCTCCCGCTCATCGTCCCATGACTTCTCTCTTTCCAGCTGCTCTTGTTTCCGTCTCTCGAGATTCTCAACGTCATGCCTTTCTCGCTCTCTTTCTCGCTCCAATGCCGCCTGTCGTGACCGCTCTCTGTTGACCCATTTCCTCTCGGCCTCGGCATAAATCTTGTCGTCCTCGGCCTTGCGTTCAGCCGTATATCTCTTCCAGAGCTCTTCGTCACTGGCGTCGGTATCCTCGTCGTCTCTTCTAGCGGACAAGTCTGAATTGTTCATTCCTCCATTGACAAAGGCCACTCTGTTAGATCCGCCTTGGCCCTTGGGTCCAGAGGGGGCGTTGGGCACCGATACGCCTCGAGGCCCCAGCGGCACGTTGTTAGAGTTTCGTGGTGGTGAAGCCAGTCTTGATCGCCCAGCGCCATTTCGTCGTCGTTCCATTTCTTCGAGCTCCTCTTCTCGCTGTAGACGCTCCATGTCCCGTTGATTGCTGCGCTCACGGAAGGCAGCAATCTCTCCAGCCACGACCTCTCGCATCTCCGCGGGGATATCGGCCAGCTCATCTTCCTGTGCCAGGGGTATGTTGACCACCTCCACGTTCTCCTCCGTCTCGGTATTGCCCATAGTAACATCGCCATTAGTATCGGCTGTCTCGACAACAGGGGGGTAGAATAGCTCTCGGATAACCTGTTTCAGCGCAGCGCGGGCGCTCTCTATTCTCTGCTCAAAGGATGCATCCTCTGCCCTTCCTTCTTTATAAGACTCCAGGTAGCTAAGCGATGTGGCATCCACTGCGACTTGCAGTTTTATCTTTTCCACATCTTCAAAGGAGTCGTCGGCTGGAGGCTCACTAGTACTCGGCTGCTTCTTGGTGGGGATTTGGACCTCCTCTTCGCTAAGGAGCTTGACCGCAGCTGCCAGGGAATCAAAGTCCTCGTACAAGGCAAAGCCGAATTTGGTTCCCTTTCGCTCTTCTGACGTGCTATCCGACGAATCCCAGCGCCTCAGCTTACCAACGGCTCCAAGAAGCTTCTTCGTGCCCTCGTCGCCGCCCAATCCCTCTGGAATCTGATGTAGGAAGATCGTTCGGAGTTTCTCATCGCTCGTCGGGGGCAGTAGCGTCTGCATGCTCTCTCTCGCCGCCATTCGCCCTTGATCTGAACCTCGTTCCATGCCAAGCCCGGCTCTTCCTCCGGATTGTGCTGGTCGGTCATCGGATCTGCCGCCACCGGCTGACGCTCCTGTGCCCAGTCGAATCACGGGCGCGTTGAAGTTGATGTTGGGCATGTTGGTCGGGGCTTGGAAGGGCGGCAGGCCACTTGGACGATTAGCTTGGGGCACGTTGGCTTGCTGGAAGCCCGGCGGAGGGGCCATTCCCGGGGCAGAAGACATGCCTGGTGGAGGTCCTAGAGCAAGATCGTGTTAGCATCTGGTAGCCTGTATTGGCGGTGCTGGAGAGATATGAGAGCAGCATACCTAACCCAGGAGGAGCGGCCATGCCAGGCGCCGCGCCCGGATAGCCATATCCAGGTGGCGCGCCATAGGGATTGTGCGGTGCTGAGACTCGATTAGCTGATGCATAGCGAGGATAAGGCCGGCCTCTGTGCTGAGTACCTCCATAGGGATTGTACGCCATGGTGACGGACAGGCTCTGCGACTCAGAGCAGCGTCACGTAGGCAGTTAGCAGAGAGACGAATTGGTCGTGTCTGCAGGTCAAATATTCGCGCCGCTGAAGGGTACAGCTTGTTGAATGGCAAAAAAACAGGGATTCGGTAGGCAGCTCGTCGATAAGCAAAGTCTCCAACGAAAAGCAGCTTCAAATTGCAGGGTTCTCAGATTGCATTGAAGCGCGATGACACAGGAGGCTGCTTCGAAACATGCGAATAGCTTCACAGTAGAGTATTCAATTCAGCTGGCTCGCGATATCCAGCTGTTTATTTCGCCAGGGTTTCGAATGTCGAGATCTGTTGTTGGTTTTGCGATCTGCAGGTTCGAATCGCGGCTCCATTGGCTTTCGGCAGATAAGTTGAAGCTTGCAGCGGTGCCCCGCATCAACGTTTATCCGCCCGCAGCTTTTTGCAACGACCTTTTGCGGGATGGAGACCTTTTGGCTTGGATACATGTAGCGAAAGAGTCGAATTGGAGGAGCCATTGAGGACGGCAAAGATGTGCGTTTTACTTGTTCTATGCATAAGATGATCTTTTCTGTTTGTCTGACATTTGTTACAGGGCTGCGACCTCCAGATACGGCAGCATGATGCTGTCCAGACTTGCTGCCCCGGCGCAGGCCCGCGCATTTTCTACAACACTGGCTGTGCGATTCAACGCCTCGAGACCGAATTTCGACAAGAGAATAAACCCTCTGATCGGCAACTTTGTTCCTCCTACGCCAGCTCCGAAGCCTGCCGCAGCGCCAAAGGCTCAGCCCGAAACACCCACCAAGACAGCAGAGCCCAGCGCCGAGTTCACACCACCACCCCCACCTCCTCCCGCCGCCGAATCAGAATCACCTTCATCCGCCGAGAAATCACAGTCCAAATTCCCCTACAACGCCGCCGACTCATCCACCAGCTCCTTCAACTTCGACATTGCCGAAATCGTCGCCGCCCGATCTGCCGCCTGGGGCCAGTCCCTCAACGTCGGCGACCCCCTCCAGCGGCCCAAGATCCGCACCGAGGCCGTCACTGGCCGCACCGTCTTCATCCAGGATCGTCTCTCCCCGACGTCGGCGCCTACGCCTGCCGTGGCGATTCGTGTGCTGGAGAGGATGTGCCGGGACCAAAAGGTGCGGAACAAGTACCACTCGCAAAAGTTCCATGAGAGAAAGGGATTGAAGAAGAAGAGGTTGCGGAGTCAGCGGTGGAGGGCGAGGTTCAAGACGGGGTTCAAGGCTGCTGTTAGCAAGGTTATGGAGTTGAAGAAGCAGGGCTGGTAAAAGGGGAGTCTGATATGTATGATGAAAGATGGATTCAAAAGGGAAGCAGGATTCAGGGAAGAAAAGGTGCGTCTGGACAATGCCATTTAAGACGAACTATATATATACATGTACAATATGATAGATGGAGTATGAAACGCCTATATGCGAAATAAATAAGGCGTTATTATGAAGAAAAGTCAATGAAGAAAAATGAAAAGGTAAAAAGGGAAAAGGTGGTTATATGTTGCCATACTGTTTAATCATTTATTCCCGTTCCAAAGTCTATTCATCAGAGTAAAACACATACATGCTCAACGCTCAAAGCAAAAATCCAAGTATAACCTATCAAAACAAAACAACCCCCCCTATAACATTCAACTCACTTCATCCTTACGCCATTGTGCTCCGGAATATCCCCCCATTCCTCTCTCGTCGGGCTAGGCTGCAAGCTCTGCCCAACCTTTGGCCGCGATCGGAAAACAGCCTCCATGTCTGCCTCCTCAGCCAGCTGCTCTAGCAAAAGAGTGGCTTCGTTGAGATCTTCCTCCACCGTGGGGAAGTAGCCGCCTTCTTTTCGCTGTGGCATCTTGGACCTCCTGAGAGATCTACGCCGCTCCATTTGGGCCTTTTGTTGCGCCTGCTCGAATCCAGCCATGCTTTTACGGGTCCGACTAGCGAGATCTTCCGAATAGTCTGGCTCTGGGACTTTGATATCTGCTGGTTTGGTGGTGGCAGATAGAGGGGTAGGGGGGTCAAGCTCCTCATCTTCAAATAGCAGAGACTTCTTACGGCTCATCGACAGTCGAGTACGCTCAGCCAAGGAAAGTGTATGCCGTGGTTTCGTGCGCTTCGTAGGCGCTGGAGTCTTGTTCTTCATAGATTCAAGGACATCGTCTTCAGGCGCCTTTGTAGACGATCGTGGAGGGCTATTAGATGCCTTTTGTCCCGGCATGGACTTTGTCCTTTCAGGAGGAGACCGACGGCGTGTCGGGGTATCATATCCTGAAACCTTCTTCGTTGGAGAAGGAGGAGTGGCCAGCGGCGAGTCGTCAATCTGAGTCAGGTCATAGGTGCTTCGCCCGGGGAAGTTCTTCTGGCTCGGCCATTTCTTCAGGACCGGCGGCGTCTCGGGGCCAGAAAGTTGCGACAGGCTCGGTCGAGATATCACGGGTCTCACTGTGCGGCTCGGCACAGCAAACTTATCCTGGAACGACGAGAAGGATGTAACTGAGCCATCGGTACGGAATACACTTTCAGCGTCCTCCAAATCACTAATTTCGTCATCATCGCCGCCCTCAAAGGATGAGGTGGAGAGGAGACGGCGGTCGCGGCGATCTTGCTTCACGGGCGTCCGCTTCCTTGTAAGACTGGCAGTGTTGACCTCTTTGGTCGCGAGTTTTCCCAGCTCGTATTTCAGATCTGAGACCAGCGCAGCATAGTCATCCGTCATCTGGGGCGCATGCTGGAACAGTGCAGCTCTCATTGGCTTGACTCTTCTCACAGTGTGCAGGTCTAAATGGGCTGAGAAGCCAAGGTCAATGCCCTTGGTTTTGGCGGATGAGGTCCTGGGCTTGGACGGTACGGATGCCGCTTCACCAAATGTATTCCTGCGGAAGGCATCCCATCTATGGAGTCTCTCCTTCTGCAGCTTCACTCGGTTGTCAAGTTGCTCCAGGAGACCAACGTCATCGGTGTCGAGGTCGTTCAGTCGGCCCTTTTGGGCTCTTCTCCAGACGCGGTCGAAGCTTGTAGCAAGAAGGCCGCCGTGCTTTGGGTCTCCACTCAAAAGAGCCTCCATCCAGGCCTCGCTACCGGCCCAATTATGGTGTACAGCTCTTCGCATCTCGGCTCTGGCATTGTCAGACACTGTCTGGCCGCCGCCGTCCATCTCTTTGATTTCGAGCGTTTCCCGTCTACGAATGATGTCATCCTCCTTGTCGTCTAGGACGTGGGCAAGATCCTTGAATCGAGCTTTGGCTGCTTCTTTGCGTCGCAAGACTTGGCGGATCGACGCCTTGTGGGCCATGGAAAGCGCAATCAAATGAGACTTTTCACTCTTGTAGCCCTTGTTCTCAAAGGCGAGCTCAACGGCGGGCGATAGATAGCCGCGGCTTGTGGCAAGGCTGTCTGAAACAACTTTTTTCAGGACAGCAGTGGAAAAGAAGGCCAAGACCTCCTCCAGCCTCTCGCCTTTGCACTCATCCAGCATCGTCTTGCGGATGATGGTGTCCCGCCCGAGGTCGCCATTTTTCTTGGCTTGCTCGAGGGCCCTGACGAGTGCAGCACGGAGGTTGACGGACTGGAGCTGATCACTCGGTGGATAGAATGGCTTCAGCTTCTGTCGGGTGGGAGACGGACATATTAGCACTCAGCACTTCACCATGTCACAGAGGATGGAGAGGGTCGATTGGCAGTCAGGAGATGGGAGAAAATACGCACATTCGCCGCCTCGTCTGGATCCCAGATGACAAACAGCTGATACAAGGCCCATTCTACGCACTGTACTCGCCTCTTCTGGTCCTGCAGCGTGGTGCCCGAGGCCGCAAATGTCTCGGCGGCAATGCCGGGCCAGTCGGGGAGCTGGTCGAGGTTGAGCAGCTTGATGTTGGTCAGGAACAGCGCCAGAGAGGCCGGACCTGCAGCCGCTATGCCTCCACCCGCATTCGGCTCTGCAGGGGCATTGCCGGACGGGATCTCAGTTGATTCGGGCTTCGCAAGGCCGCGCACGGGTCTGGCAAACGCTGCGGCGGCCACGGCAGCGGCGGCGGCTGCTCGAAGGGGCCGTGTGGTGGATGAAGGCACGCGAGAGGCGCGCGTCCGAGTAAGGAGCTGCGTCTGCTGGACGACAGTCGCCATCTCGGCGCCCTCGTGCGGCCGCGGTGGCTGGCGGCGCAGTTGGGGTGATGCGGTGATGCGATGCTGCGATGCAGGTGATGCGATGCTTTGCGTCTTGTCTCGCCTCCTGCGTGCGTGCTTTGCTTTGCTTTGCTTTGCTTGCTTACTGCTCTTGGTCCCGGCTTGAAACTTGGAGAAACGACTGTGGGAAAAGAGCAGGCAGTGCTGGATGTATCGAGAGCGTCGAGAGAGCGTCCCTTTGAGAGAAAAGCGAGAGATCCGGGCAAACCAGCAATTGGCCGCTACAGCATCGTCGGGCTCGCAATTGGGACTCCAAGTGTGTCTGCACGTCGATTGCCAGTTCAGATGCAGATGCAGATGCGGCGGGACTGGCTGTGAGTGGCTGCGGATAAGATTGAAGGTTGATGTGAGGTTGGAGCTGGAGAAGGCTGGTGGAGAGCGCTTGTGTAGAATGCCGGCCACTGATTCACTCAGGCACCGCAGGGGCTGGTGGGCTTGCCAGCGGACAGGCCAGCGGGCTCGCAGTGGGCGCCCGTAGTGGGCTGGCAGTGGGTGCGCCCCGCCAACCAGCGCATCACAGGTGTCGGTGAGCGCTGCAGCAGCCCACTGGAGCTGGGGGGGGCCACGGCGGCAAGGCGCATTTATACTGCGCTGTCCCGCATTTTGGACGGCGCTGGCCAGTGTGTTTATGAACACTTCACCTTACATATCGTCGACAGTACAGGCTGTTTATGGATGCATTGCGGCCAATGAGAGGGGCCAATGGCTGCGTGCGTGCAGCTTATACGGGAGATGCGGAGAATATTGCATGAGAGCATGACTATGAATGAGCATGATTTATGAGCATTGGCGAGTGAGATGTGTGGACTGAGCCCGACACAAACACATAATCTGCCGGTTCAGGCTCTGATTCCAATCATTAATCATGAATGCTCGGAGAATTGTTGAGCGCAGATACTTGTACATACGTGTATTGCTAGCACTAACAGCATAAGGCAGGTGACATTGAACATTCAATGAGTTGATTGTGAACGCAGCAATTGTTTCCAAGAGCTCATCGTCGATAACTCGGCATATCAATGCCCAAAGTTTCTGTGATGGCACCATTCCTAGTAGGCTGTGCTTCAAATGGGATCAACTATTCTCCCGCGCCGTACCAAGAATAGCACACATGCAAGCTTTCCTTTTTGGACCTCGCACAAGTCATGAGATCAACGACATACATCATCAGCATCATCATCGTCGGTTGTAATACTAAAACACCAAAGATGGTATCACCACCGTCATCACCATCATGATTATCACCATCATGATCATCACCACCACGATGTTCCGCTGCCATCGCCTCCAATCCCAACAAGAATAGGGCCGTCACCATCTCCATCCCCATCACCCTCTGTGGCATTACTATGCGTCTCGCACATTCCCAGCCCCGCCGCCATCTTCAGCAGCTCATCCCCGCTGCCATATCCCGGCCCAGTCTTGACCGTCGCGTCCACAGGCCCGTACAAGAACCACGCACTCATCGGTTGCGCCGTCACTTTCCAGTCCTCCCCCGGTCCATCGCTCGAGGTCACCGCCAGTCTCTGGACGCCGACGTTGCCCGCCAGCAGATACGCCGTCGAGTTGGCCCCTGGACTTGGGTAGTCCAGCATCTTGAGCGGCGCCTTTGCGTAGCCGACGGGCACGTCCTTAAGCGTTGCTGGGAAATACGCGACGCCGTCGAGCACCAGGTCGTCGTCAGAGGGCACGTACTCCTTTTCGACGTCGCGCGGGATACGAAGCGAGCCCTCGGCGGTCCAGTGCAGGAAGCCGGTGATCCACCCTGAGATGCGGTAGTCAGGGGGCCCGCCGCAGGAGAAGAGGCGCTGGGACCGCACAATGTTCTTCCAGAAGTCTTTGGTTTCTTCGCCGTCGGGGCAGTCCCATGTGTCGACGAAGCGCTGAAGAATTGGCCGCAGACGCTCGGCATAGTCTGCCGGCTCCTCTCCCCACTCCTTCAGCCTGTCTAGCTTGTTGAGCAGCTTCACCCAATCGTCTCTCGTGCCTAACAAGGTCACCTCGGGAAGGCCACAGATGATGCCCCCACTGAACTCAAAGTAGTGCTGCATCAAGCCCATCATCAGGACAGTGGCTGTGAGCCCGTCCGTCTCCTCTGTCGTGGTGAAGCTGGGGGTGATCCAGTCCAGCAGCCAATCGGTCTTGACCCTCTTCTGGATCTCGCTCCCAAACGCCGCGATCACGTCATGCCATGACAGACGCCACACTTGGATCTCTTGCTTGCCGTCAAAGTCGACAAAGAGGTGTCGGATGTCTTCGGCATGTGCAGTCATGTAGAAGTTGAGCTGCACCAGAATCTCGAACCATATCTCGTCAGGCCGGAGGACAAGGCTCTGGTGCTGGCCCCACGCCTCGATTGCCCCTCTCACGAGACTGTCCGATGATGGGAAGACGGTGCCATTGGGAAACACGTCCTCGCCAGCAGTGCCAAAGTCGGCAAAGGACGACATGAGAAGCTCCGGCGAGTATGGCGTTCGCGGCGGGAACTCTTCGGGGCAGCTTTGCCGGAGCAGCTCCGACGCAGACGTCACAGCGCCGGAGGTCGAGAGCGGAAGTGGGGCCACATCCGGATCGACAGGGACCGTGATGGCAGCGGCAAGAGGCGCACGGCCACAAAGGCCGGAGAGGATGAATACCCCTATCTGAAGCAGCATGGTGCTTTGCTTTGCTCCGTGGATGAGAGAGGCCAGGGTGTTTTGGTGCAAGCGTGAATTATGCAAGCAAGCTTTTGCCAGCGTCAAAGGGAGCGAAGCTGCTGCAGATGATGCTGCTGCTACGCTACTGCTAATGCATGCAGGGCAATCGAAAACTTAGAGCTGGCCGTTGGCAACTTACAAGCACTAGTTTTATGCAACTCATCACGGGCAGCAAAAGGGGGCTTACTCGACAAGCCCGGGAGAGCTTCGCCGGCGGATTGGTGATCAACATTCCTCAGCCCCTCGGCATCAAATCACGAGGCTACGATATGGGGTAAGTTAAAGAGGTGCTGTACCTAACGTGAAACAGCTTCCCTTTGAACACGTTCCTGTAGATCCTTGGTCATGCCTTTCCAGCTTCAAACCTCAGAGACAGGTGCTGGAAACGTAAGGCCATTACTCATTACCGCATACACGTGGTCACGAATAGTGTAGCACATGATGAGCTGTTCCATCCTCCAACCCATTCAGCCACGACTGTAGACATTCAAAGGCATAACCCCTGCATGATGGAAAGCCAATTGCCAGTCCAGACTCTTGGAGTTTAATTACTGCAACTAGTCGTATGATAGATACATGTAGTCTGTAACACGCGAGAAATCCAGAAAAGAACCCCTTGCATATTCCTTCTGCCAACACTTTACGTCTCTAGCCGCATGTAAGCCATGCCCAGCTCAAGCTACAGCATGCCACGTAGAGGGCTCGGCTTGCATTTAGGTTAGTATCGAGTGGCGGAAGACTTCCGCATATCGCCGCGGAACAATGTCGTACAGCAGAATGTAGCAAGCAGGATGCAAGAAAAGCAAGATAAGTGATGTACTGTTTTACTTCCTGCTCCATCTTCCATGTGCCTGCTAGCATGCATACTGTTGGGCCTGGAATCAATTAAAGAAAAAGGTTACGTGTATCATCAATTTCGGAGGATTGGGAGTAGCGGAAATGGAGAAATGCCCTTTTGACTGGCATGCTCCTTTGCGTGAGACTTTTGTTTAGTCACCTGTTACTATTCTGTCTCACTTTGAATCACTTTTCTCGGGGAAGCCCGGGTGCTAATACCGATCATTGCATGGAGGTAGTCTAAACCTCCAAGGGCCCGCGTATCGTCCCCTTCCTAATTAGGCAATTCCAGATATATAAGCACACGATGTTAATTAAGCATGACAAGGCGTGGGCATGGCATGCATGCTTTAGCGCAAAATGATGTTGTGTGACACCAACCTATCTTGAGAGAAAGGTTGTTGGTTTAAAAAGGAGGCGAACCGTTTTAGACGGGGAGAAAGATTGGTGTGTTTCCGTGTCTGGTAAGTACTGAGATCATTGTGACCTCATTTCCTGCTGCTGAACGATTTGGGGATGGTTTACTGAGATAAGGTTATTTTAGCACAAAGGAATTATCCATCACAAGAAGAGAGATCTTTTTTTGTTTTTAATAATTTTTGTTTTCATTGATATGATATGCTGATTCGTTATGCTACCAATCAATCTATCGATTGACTAAAGAAAGTGAAAACCGTGCTAGTAATACCCAATTACGAAAAAAAAAAAAAAAAAAAGAATAGATAATGTATCTATATGATGTTCCCAATAATCCCAGCGCCTTGCCGTTCATTCATTGCATTTGATAAAACAAGCTCAAGAAGCGAATTGAAAAGAGAAATGCAGAAAAAGGTGCAGGCTATTCATTCAACAGGCTTGTGCGTGTAATGATGCCGAAGTAGAAATGAAGAAGAAGAGACAAAAAAGACTGCGACCCATCAATCATATCCTGGATCGGAGTTCCTCGGCTGGAGCTTGACGAGCTAGTCAATCCTCGCGGCTGTCGTCCTGGACGCGCTTGACAACTGCGACCAGGCGGGGGTAGATCTTCTCTGTGGCCTGGATGCCGCAGACCTTTGCGACAACGTCCTCGGGGGTGTTCTCGGACATGATGGTCGAAAGCTCCTTGGACTCGTCGTCGCCCTCGACGTCCTGGAAACGGAAGGTCATCTCAATGGCGTCGAGGAGATAGTCGATGGGCATGTTGTTCTCGGCAGCCTCGGCGGCAGGGCCGATGAAGCGCTCCTTGCGGGACAGCTTTCGCAGGGGAGCACGGCCGACTCGCTCGACGGCGTCTTCCAGGTGGGGGTTGCCGATGCGCTTGATGATCTTGTTCATGTAGGCAATCTGGGCGTCCTCGTCGATGCCGTGCTTGGCGACGAGCAGGTTCTTGGTCTCGGTCAGGGCGCCGCGCACCTCGGCCATGATCTGCTTGTCCTGCAGGGCGTCGAAGACGGTGCGCTTGCGGCGGTTGTAGCCGTGGTAGGCGGCGGTGGCGTGGCCGGTGTTGACGGTGTAGAGCTTGCGCTCGATAAAGGGCTCCAGGTTGTCGACCCAGTTGATGCCGTCGATGGAGGGGACGCCGACGTCCTCAAAGGGCGTCTTGTCGACCACCCACTCGAAGAACTTCTCGAGCGTCACGTCCAGGCCGGCGTTGGGGTCCTGGGCGGGCACGATGCGGTCGATGGCGGAGTTGGCATAGCGAGCACGGAGGTGGTGAGACTCCAGACGCTCCGAGTTGGTGTTTCGGGCGTCCTTGATGTGGCCGGCGAGTGTGTCTGTGGCGCCGATGGCGTTCTCGCAGGCAATGACATGCAGGGGACTCTGCTCCGGGCCGTCGGCGCGGGCGTCGATGCCCTTGGCAATGACGGGGGCGATGAACTTGAGGATGTTGGGGCCAACAGAGCAGGTGACGACGTCGGCAGTGCGGATCTCCTCGATCAGATCCTCCTCGTGGGTCCGGGAGTTGATGGCGCGGTAGTTTGTGATTGTGTTTTCAGAGGTGCCCTCGGCGCCGACCTCGATGACTCTGTACGAGGGCGTGGCGTTGATCTTGTCGATGAGGTCGCCGTTGACATCGGCGAAGACGACTTCATAGCCGGAGTTGTGGAGGAAGCAGGCGACAAAGCCGCGGCCTGGAGTTGTTAGAACAGATATCAAGGTTGGTTAGATTAGAGTGGCTTACCGATGTTGCCAGCGCCAAAGTGAACTGCCTTTTTGCCCATCTTGGCCATTGTGGTTTATGAGTATAGGTGGATGGAGGAGATAGGTGGATAGAGTTTAAAGGATAGGATCAGCCGGTAACCAAGAGTCGGACTGATGGATGGTTGTAGGATATATAGGTAGGATATATAGGTAGGTTTGAGGTTGAGTTATAAGTGAGGTGGATGGTTTTGAACGGTAGACCGTTTTGGATTGTTTGGATGCTGAGGATGATGAGACGAGACTAAAACGCAAGAGGGAAGCGCGCTTTATATAATGCTCGGCGCGCGTAGGCGAAACTCTGCTGCTGCCAAAAGCCCACGATAATGCGAGCAGAGCAGCACCGAGCTCGAAACATGGCCAGAAGCCGGGGGTGGAGGCAGGGCGTGCGTGCCGATGACGATGGCGGGTCCGGCAGCGAGCATTCAGGGAACTTTGGCGAGCTGATCGGCCATATCGTCAGAGGCTACCAGTACGGCCAGGGAGTCGCGCAGCGTACAGGTACAGGCGGGGCTGCAGGGGCTCTGCCTTAGCACTAGTTGGAGAATGTAACGGACTGTTGAGACGCAAGACGGTGCGAGTTGGGTGGAGGCGACATGAAGACATCATGGCTCGCGGCGGCCAATCAGCGGCCACTGGCTGACGCCTGGCGCAGACTGGACGTGGCGCAGGATCGAGGCGGGTCTGGCGCTGGCAAAGTTTGGGCGTCGGTACTTGCGCCTTTGCCCTGACGCCGCTGCAGAATTAAGTACCTGTCTCATGTACTCTACTGTGCCACTCTTTCACATGCACTCATCACCGCACCCATATCAGCGCATGTGCTGCGCTGTATTGTTGATTGCTGTACGCTGCAGTCAGTAACTGAAGCCGAAACTCGGCGTCTCAGCTCTATGGCGTGTTGTGCTGTATCGTGTCGCCTTGCCGCTGCATCTCACAAACTACGCCAGCATGGCATCAGATGCTTTCTTTGCGCATGTTTGCTGCTGTGCCACGCCCGCATCATCATCACCAGCATCATCATCATGACTGACTCTTTGCCCGCCGTTTCCAACGACTCCCCGTCAGGGGGGACCGTGGCCAAGAAATGGTTGGAAACCACCGTTTGCCTGCGCCGAAACCAAGGAAATTCCTTTGCGCCTTTTTGTCGTGGTCTTTGGTGCGGCGTGCCGTCTCCACCGCCCAACCTAACGTCATCCGGCGGCGCTGCTTTGCCTGCAGTCGAATTCTCACGATAGCACGGTACGGTAACATCCAGCCAGCAACGAAACAGACGCGCGCTGTTTAACTGCTGCAAAGCCCCCCGAAACTTGCGCTGGTTTTAGCGGTCGGGTGGCTACCAGCTAGTGCGAACCAAGGGGCCCACTGAGGCGGCCTAAGAAATGGGGACGCTGTGCTGTAGCGGGTGGGGAGTGACATCAACAGCGCTTCACCACCCTTTGGCGGTGGCTTCCATCCTTCACGATACCTGCTGGCTGCACGATGCGATTTGGCTTCGATGCGATGGAGGCCGCTACGGGGGAATATGCAGAATGGCTGAACCCTGCGTCACGGGCCACTCGCTGTGGGCGGTCAGCTTATGGAGAGGAATTTGGCAATTTTGTTTTGCTTCGTCTTCTGGCGAGGCGAGGCAAGGCTGGGTGATATCATTCCAGCCGCGAGGTCCAGACGGAAGCTTACTCGTGGCTCACACTAGGTAACGGCTCAGGTCTCGTCTCGTCTCGTCTCGTCTCTGTTCCTCTATGGCTGATTAACTTCAAACCTAGCTAACATCTACTTGTTCACAATGGGCAATTTAGCGTCAATCCTCGCTCGTTGAAAGCCGCTCCTGGAGGCCACACCTTCGGTATGTATCGATGCTCTCGAGATGTGTCTGGAGCATCGCATCGCACCTTCAAAGAGCTCATCTCCTATAATCATCCGTGGCTTGTCCCCCCTAGATTCAGGATCCCTACCCTCCCCCTCCCCTTTCACAAGGCTGCCTGTCAAAGACAAACTCTGATGCTGCTGGGCTTACCAGATGCAGACACGTTCGTATCTACGATCGTCGCCTCACAGGGGGGGCCCCGGCAGCACAATGACGTCGATTGAGGGGGAGCCATCACCAAGCAAGCTGCTTCACACAAATCACAGCTTGCCGGGAGGTGGCATCTGGTGTTTCTGTTTCACCTACAGCTAGCTGTGCACGATGCAGGTGCAGATGCTGATGCAGAATACAAGAGCAATAATATGCACTCTGCTGTCATCCAGCATAAACAAGAAACGCGTCTCGCCGGTTGGGTCTGGCTTTTTGTTGTCCTTGTACGCAAAGCCATCAACGTCAATGGCTGTTTTGGGATCACGGCTACGCGGCTACTACAGCTGCTATGCTATAGCTCCTCTTGCTCAGGACGCTCTCATTTCTCCCTTGCATCGAATACGCCCTCATGCAACGGAAGAGTAAGGAGAAAAGGGCCAAAGGAAGAAAACGAACGAGGTTTGCGTCGGCACCGCATCCATCCGTCCAAAGGGGCATCCATATCCATCTCGCAGCAACGACTCCTCAAAAAAACGCCTTCCCGTAGGACCTCTGCGGGCGATTCTCTAGTCAGTTGATGGTCTCCGCTATCTCCTCTTGACCCAATACACGCCCGCGGGGAAACATGTGCTCGTCGATCTCTTGCTTCTTTCTGTCCCGTAGCTCTCCATCAACCACATGCTACGTCTGCAGCGTGTCGGTGCCGCCTGTTTATGTTCTTGCTCATATTCTTGCTCATGTCCTCGCTCATGTAAGTTGACGTCGTGACACTAGGGACGTCGTGACACTAGGCCAAGGTTACACCTCAACTTCAAGTTTTCTTTCCATCTGCCGGGACGCTAGGCATCGTGACAAGCCTTCATTACTCGGGCAGGGAAAACAGGGAAAACAGGTTATGAAACAGACATGCAGGCACTGGCCATTCTCGTTAAAACAAAACACATTGCCTGTTCGTAACCAGAAGCCAGTCGTGCACGGTGATAGCGACATCAAGCCACTTGGCCAAAAGGATGATTCCTCGCTTTCCTAGCTTGGCTGTGATACCTGCACGAGCCCGGTTTCAATCAAAAATAAAACATGCTAAAGTAATATACTACTGCGTGAAAGATACGACGTTAGCCTCGAGTTTCATGCAAACACGGGGATCGGGCCCAACAAGACACAAGACAGAGAAGGCAAAAAAAAGAAAGTGATGTTCACTGACGATACCCGTTGCGGGCTGTCCAAGCATGGATTTGCCGCCGTCTCGGCCACTCACAGCCCATAAGCCTCGCGCCAAGTCTCAAAGTCTCAAGACGGGCCGACACATGGACGAGTTTTTGCGCGCTTTTTCCGTCGGCTTCAAAGCAACCAAAGACGAGCGTGGCTTGGCTCGGTTTGATTTCACGATGCCCTTTGCTTCGGCCTCATTTGTTGTGCTGTTTGACCCCTGGTAGCCAGCTGGGCGTCGCTTATCGTAAGATGGTGAGATTGCACGATTCTGCTTCGTATACTTGGCAGAAACAGCAGCCACGTTGCAAAACATATTGATCCCTGGATAAGACAGGAACGTGGTGCAACAGACTCACCGCAATATGTCAGGCTGTCACCTCCTCTCTGCGCTGTCTGTCTGTCTACAAATCAGAAACGCTCAGTCAAGACCTCAGCGTCAGCTCTCCAGCATCCCTCCGGCCTTGTTCGCCTCGTTCTCCCGGAACGGCGGAGCAAAGGGACCCAATCAACGACATCCGTTTGATCATTGGCAAAAAGACAAGACAACGTGAGTATCCACCGCAGTTAGCAGGTACCTGCGCCCTCGCCAACGTTACCTCGTGCATGCTTGGGACTTTTTATCAAACAATCTCCTTCAATATCCATTGCCAACCAACGGCTAATTCTCCCGAGACACTCCTCCCTAAAGCAGCGCCCTCCGCCGGTGCTCCGGGGTCCTCTTTTGTTCTCCACTGTGCACCGGCCGTAACAAACCGACCGATTACAAAGAAAATGGGGCCCCAACCGTTTCGCCTTTGGCGGCATTAAAGTCGTATCTTCTGATGGGGGCGAGTTGCTAGCGAAAAAGGCCGCAAACCCGGAAGAATGAATGAATCCATGTTGCTGCTAAGCTGGACTTGGCTCGAGGCATGAATCTGTATTAGACGGTGGCGGTTTTGGCCCAGCTTGTCTCTCCCTCAGCTCAGCTCAGCTCAGCTCGACAAAAGAGAGACGGCGGCATGACTCGGATTCCCCGATCAAGAGAAGCAAACTGACAAGTCAAGCCGGCATGCTATGTTACATTAATACGTGCCTGGCATGCAGCATTTCAATATTCACTTCCTTATGCCTCTTTTTGCCATTAAAAAGGGGGTAGCAATACTCCGTTCTTTTACATAGCCCCCCTTACCTATCACTAACATGTGCGTGTAAGGTACAGTACAAGACGATTATATCCCGCCGAGAAGTCGTTATCTCCCTCTTACGTGCAGGGACGCTAATATGATGTGTCAGTCCATACATGTGCTATCGTGCAAAGGCCAGTTAGAACTGTAGGATTGCCCGAGATAGCGGCGAAACCGTCATCAGATCCATGGGCGAGCAAATCCCACGATAACCAATATTCATCCACGATGCTGATAGATCCCTACATGCGCCCGCTACCCCTTTGTCACCTTTCCTCTCTTGCTTTCTTGCATTTACATGTGGATTGGCTGCCTCTTTCTTCTGGTATGCCTATTTCTCTCTTTTTTGGATATTCTCGGATTTTAGTGTCCTGGCCAATTGCACTGCCTTTGTGTAAATTAATCACGCTTGGATGCCTCTCAGCCTTACAATCCATTCATTATACACCACGATGAACCACATTTACCCCCATCATGTCACTCTCATCACTCATCTACAACATCCAACTGACAGTTACATTCCCCCAACATGTCCTTCACTTGCAGTAGTTCTTCCCTTCTCAAACACGCCACTTTTCCCACATGGCAGAGGAACCTCCCCCAGACCCGTTTCACCAGCATCTTTAGCCCAGCCTTTTCTCCCCTCAGCCTAGGCTAATATCGCATTATCTATCACCAAGTACACATATATCCAGCCATGGATCGCAAATCGCTCATCGACATCTTCCCCGTATTATCCCGCATCTACTGCAACTCCATACCCCGTATAAGTTTGAAATGCTACCCTGTGCTTTTCCTTACAGCCGACTCTAATAGGAAGTACATTCACATTCACATTCACATTCACATTCACATTCACATTCCCGAAATCGCTCTTCACATGTGCCATTGTCTCTGCGTCGGTGTCACGAAGCGCCAAGCCTGCTTATTCCCGTAATCATCGCCAAATCTCATCTTCACTAAAAAAAGCCTCAGCTTTCAGCCTTCCCCATATGACTCTTTCTTCCCACATGTGTGTGTGTGTGCCTGCCTGCCTGCCTGCCTGCCCTCCCCGTGCATGTGCGTCCTGCGCCCCGGAAAATAATAATCTGAGTTAATTACTTGCATGCCTTCTTAGTGGTGTGAGAGTACATGTCAAGCGTCTATAGTAGTAGTAGTTCTAGGAGAATGTGTGGATAGAGGGATGCAAGTACATACAAGTAGAGTACTTGCTCTTCACTCTTGTGGAGAGCGGCCAAGTATGAAGAGGTAAGGCTAAATAAGAGGCGTACTCAAAAGAGAGAGAGGTATTATTGTTTGCTATTGAACGTATTATACGGTTTGTATTCTCGTGATATTGGGCAAATGCCTCAAGTGCAAACCACATGCTTCTCATTTCAAGGCGTTGGTCATGCCGATCACATCGACGCACTACACATGTCACGTTTCCAATCCGCAGATAGGCTACTCATGCTCATGAAGATTCTAGCTCTGTTAGAAATTGGAGCATTTGTTCATCTCGTTTCATTAATTCTCATGTCTTTCAGATGCTAACTTTCCCTCATGCTTGACCCCTTTTTCCCTTGTTGCTTTTTTTGTAATTCATGTTTTAACTGTTTAACTTGGCAAACTGCTTGAAAGCTCCAATCAAGCCACCAGTGGAAGTATCGTGGCCCTCGCCGTTGCCAGGCTCGTCGAGCTCCTTGAGAATCTTCTTGGCAAGGACCTTGCCCAGCTCAACGCCCCACTGGTCGAAGCTGTTGATGTCCCAGATGGCACCCTCGACAAAAGTCAGGTGCTCGTAGTAGACAATCAGGGCGCCCAGCTCAGCCGGGCCGATGACATCGCCCACCAGGATGGAGGTGGTTGGTCGGTTGCCGAGGAAGCGCTTGTGAGGGATGAGATCCTCGGGCGTGCCCTCAGCTCGGAGCTGGTCGTCAGTCTTGCCGACCATGAGAGCCTCGGCCTGGGCAAAGTAGTTGGATGCCAGCATCTTCTGGTGCAGGTTGTCCCGGATGGGGTTGTGGGACTTGGCGGCCAGGATGAAGTCGGTGGGGATCAGCTTGGTGCCCTGGTGGACCAGCTGGAAGAAGGAGTGCTGGGCGTTGGTGCAAGGCTCGCCGAACAGGATAGCGCCTGGTAGAGTATTAGTCTCACACTTTTATACCACAGTTCTAGCCGTAGCAAATGGAACGTCGAAACTCACCAGTGGTGTACTTGGCGGTGGAACCATCAGAAGTGATGGCCTTGCCGTTAGACTCCATGGACAGCTGCTGGAGGTAGGCAGGAAATCGGTGAAGGTATTGGTCGAAGCTAGAACGAGAGGCTCAGTTAGTAACGCTCAAACAACACAATTTCTCTTCAAGCAATTTTCAACTTACGGAGCAACCAGGTGAGTCTGGGCCTGGAAAAAGTCAGAGTACCAGACACTCAGCAGACCTCCTAGGACGGGAATGTTCTCCTTCAGGGGAGTCTCTCGGAAGTGCTTGTCCATGGCGTGGGCACCGCTGAGGAACTTGTAAAAGTTGTCGTAGCCGATGTACAGCGCAACACTCAGGCCGATGGCACTCCACACAGAGTAGCGGCCGCCGACCCAGCTCTCGAAGCCAAACATGTTGGCGCTGTCGATGCCAAACTTGGTGACCTCGGCCTCGTTGGTGGACAGGGCAACAAAGTGCTTGGCGACGTCTCCCTTGCCGCCGGTCTTCTCGAGGAACCATGACTTGGCGGTGTTGGCGTTGGTGGTGGTCTCTGCTGTGGTGAAGGTCTTGGAGGCAACGAGGAAGAGGGTGGTCTCGGGGTCAGAGGCCTTGAGCGCCTCGGCCATGTGAGTGCCGTCGATGTTGGAAACGAAGTGGAGGGTCATGTCGGGGGCGCCGTAGTACTTGAGAGCCTCGGTGACCATGACAGGGCCGCTGTATAAGACGTAAGTAAAGATTTCTCACTCACATTCCCTCAGATGAGCTCAAACTTACAGATCAGAGCCACCAATTCCAATGTTGACAATATTGGTCAGCTTCTTGCCGGAAAAGCCAGTCCACTCGCCGCTGCGGACCTTTTCCGAAAACTCCTTCATGTGGTCCAGCACGCTGTTGACGCCGTTGGGCCCGCTCATGACGTCCACGCCGTCGACCTTCATGTCCCAGCCGCCGACATTCCGCAGCGCGGTGTGGTAGACGGCGCGGTTCTCGGTGAAGTTGATCTTGTCGCCGCGGAACATGGCATCGCGCTTGCGCTCGACGCCGGCCTGCTCGGCCAGCTTGACGAGCAGGTCGAGCGTCTCGTTGGTCAAGAAGTTCTTGCTGAAGTCGAAGAGGATGTCGGCCGAGCCGGCGGCCTTGAAGGTGCGCGAGAACCGGCTGAAGCGGTCGGCGTCGGAGGAAAAGGCCTCCTTGAGCACAAAGTTCTTGGCCACGTCGTCGCGGTGAGCCTGGAGCTCGCTCCACGCGGGGAGGGTGTTTGCCGGAGCCATTGCGTGTCGTTTGTCTGTTTTATTTGGTGATACAAGTTGTTGGGTAGTCTGATGAAGATTCGAGCTGTTAATACAGACGTTGGAATGGGGTATAATAGAGCAAGCAAGCAGGTATTAGGATTAGGCAGGTTCAGCTCGAGGTGTCCAATTCAGCACCAGTGATGAGGAAGCAACGCTCAAGCAGCAGCCACGAGCCAGCCAAGGGGAAGCACAGCAGTATATAAACCCACGACAGCTCGCAGCCATGACTAAAAGCTTCTCATCCCGGCCATCGCGGGCTCTGCGGAAGCTTCTCGTCCAGCATCTGGACCTCGACGTGGTGGGGGTGGCGCAAAGGGAACGAGGCCGACGGGACACCAGGGGAGTTGCCCGGCTTGGGAGGAAAGGAACTGACTCAACACTCACCAGCAGGAATAGCTGTTGCTCAGCAAGCAAGCAATTGACGAAAGCGTAAACTCGGAAGATGCCGCTTGGACGAGATGCAATGCCGGGAGTCGAAATGCCGCAACAGACTGGACGGAGGTTTTATGTGTATGTGGCTTTGCAGCTTTTTCTGGCCTGACAGAGGGGGGAGCTCCCCATGCTCTGATGCTTTCCTCAGTGAGCTTGAGCCACTGCCCCTCACTGATGACCTCACTACTGGGAACCTGGGAACTTTGCTGGAACTTTGCTGGAACTTGGCGGCCCGCTGCAATTGGTTGGTTGCTTACCAAAGCGCTTAGCTCAGCGGTGGTCATTCTATTAGACACGAGTTATCGTATGGTAATTGAATGCTTAGATTGATGTTTCTTGATATTTGAATTGTCATTCGCTTGTCAAGTCTTACAAATGCCCATCTTGGCCTGCTTCTACGCTGTTCTTGCCATACACGAAGCTCTGTTCAACACAGAAGAAATCCTGCTTCGCCCTTACTTGTGAAGCATTAGTGGGGGACGTATGGGAATTATACGTGTATACACGTGCTGACATGCCGCAATTTGATTCAACTTCAACCTGAATCCTTCTTGATTCAACAAGCTACGGTGATGGTAATTGCCTGATTCATTCTAGACACTTCCTGGATAAGTACCGACAAGACGGGATATAAATTTGGTCAGCTCTATGCCCTTACAGTTGGCTGCAAGCCTTGGCTACTGTCACTCTAGTTGCAGACAAACAAAGATAAAGGGCTGATAAAAATCATGATTCCTGCTAAAACTCCATATAACATGTGTTCTCATGCATGTTTCAAGCCAATATAGACCCGTGCCTCGCATCTCTTCTTCGCTCATAACGCTTCCTCTGTCCCATCAGCTTCGCTAGTCTTGATGAAAGCATGGCATCAAATCAGTCGCGCTCAAGTCACCTCTTCATCCTCGTCTCCGTCATCCTATCCTTCCTATCGCTTCGAATTCATGCTTCTAGTGTCTAGTTCTCAACTCAAATTGGTATTCGCCGAAAATAAAATGCTGCCCTGAAAAGCTCAATTGTCCTGGAGGCTGCCCACAAACGAGGGGTCCCTGACACTTCCGCCGGCATCTCCCAAGCCCGCAATGGGGCGGTTGTAGCTGAACCCCTGGAACTGGTCCTGCATCGTCTGAGACAGCATGGGTCCATCTACATATGAGTCCTGCGGGACTTCTCCTGTGAAATCATCGTCAAAATTGGTTGTGTCCATGGCATCCGCCTAGAAAAAAGAAAAGTCAGCAAATTACCTAGAGAACATTCGTAAGAGGAAATATAACGTACCACGCTAGGCTTGAATGTAGGTTCGTATTTCCGCTGGAGGAGCTTGCGCCAGTCGATATCGTGGAAGAACGGATGGGCCTTGATCTCGGCCGAGCCATTGGCGCCAAGTCGCTTCTTCGGGTCCCGGTTCAGCAGCTTGGTCAAAAGGTCCTTGGCAGCCGGGGGCACTACGTCGGAGAAATGCAGCGGCTCGGACAGAATCTTTCTGTACATTTCGTTGGTGTTCTCGTCGTAGAATGGGGGAAGACCAGTCAACATCTCGTAGAGCAAAACGCCCAACGTCCACCAGTCGACAGTCTTGTTGTATCCCTGACCAAGGAGAAGCTCGGGGGCGAGGTACTCAGGGGTACCGCAAAATGTATTCGTTCGGTCCTCGTCCTTCATGTCCAGCTTGCAGAGGCCGAAATCACATAGCGCAATATGGCCCTGGTAATCCAGCAAGATGTTCTCCGGCTTCAAGTCTCGGTAGATGACGCTAAATCCGTGCAAGCACTCCAAAGCGCACAGAAGCTCTGCAGTGTAGAACCTTGACCTATTAACGTCAAAGCGATGCTCCTTCTGCAGATGGTGGAAGAGCTCTCCTCCGTTGACGAATGCCAGCACAAAATACAGCTTTTCGGGCGATTGGAAACTGAACTTGAGGGGGACGATGAAGGGATTGTTAATCTGCGCCAGCACAGACCGCTCAGCCAGAGTATGGGCCACCTCTGATCGAGAGATGATGTGCGCTTTTCTGATCGTCTTGAGCGCGTAGATTCGATTGGTGTCCTTCTTGCGCACCTGCATCACCTTGCCGAAACTACCTTTGCCCACCACCTTGAGCAGTTCAAAGTCTTCAATCTTGAGCTTTCCCGCCCGTGTCTCCACGAACTCAACCCCAACCTTGATCTTGCCCGTGCCGTACTGGACATCGACCCACTCAACGCCAGCATGGCCCTCTCCCTTTTGACGCTGGGCCTCGGACGCCTTTTCGCGATCCTTTTTGCTAGCCTTTGCGTCGTCGGTGGCATGCTGTCTCTCCTCAAACTTGGGGTTTATCCGGGCCACGCCCAGGAAGATGTCTTGGCTTCGTCCAGCCCCAGGGGGGGCAGCAGGGTTCCGCATGTACAGATGAATCACCAGCTCCGTCACTCTTGAAACGTCAAACTTGTACTGTGTATTTGAACCAGCCCACAGGGGGTTCTCGGGGTTTCCTTCGACCGAATTGACAAACACCTGCACCTTGTCGAAGTCGATGAGCGCATAGGGCATGTATTTGCCGGAAATGCGGCCGTGATTGGTCGGCAAAAGGCCAAATCCGCCGCCAGAAGAATGCGGTCTCGCGCCGTTGCTATATGACCCAGCAACGGTTTTATCTGGGCGCACAGAGCCGGTCAAGGCGCCGCCCGAGGAGCGAGAGCTCTGGTGGCTGGACGCGAATGCGCTTCTGTGTTGCTCGGGCAGGGAGAAGCCCTGGCCTTCGTGGATGGTAACGACCAAGATGCCGGGCTTCTTGACGACCGGCGCTTGTGACAGGGCCTCTGCGCCGCCTATGGATATTAAAGAGTCAGAACAGGTAATCAGAATCCATCAATTGCCGGCTGCAGCTTACCAGGAACAGTCTCGCTGGTCGGCGTGGTGGCGCCGGGGCTGGTCCCCTTTTCATCTTTGTCGGTGATGGTGGAAGTCGACGGCGACCGGGAAAACGCGCTCAGCGGGCCGAGGTGCGTGTCCTTGAGCTCTGCGCAAATCTAGTCAGCCTCATGCGATAACCATTGCCAGCAGGCGGCCAAAGGCGACGTCCGTCGAGCCCAGCACGGCGTGGGACTGCCAGTAGCAGCGAGTTGGACGGGACATCGGGGGAACAGGAAAAGGAGAGACATACTCTTGGTCAGCTTCCACGACATGGTGACGATACCCGGCAAGACCGCTCGATGGGATAGAAAGCTAAAAGTGAGAGACGGGCGCAGATGATAGAAGAGAAGAAAAAGAAGAAAAAGTTGGAGGCCAAGGAGCGAATGCGATACGATAGACGGCTGCGAGATAAGGCAGCTGACGAGGTATCGAAAGGAAGCAGCCGCTTTTGATGCAGACGATATGGCCGGGCGTGTTTTGGGTTCGAGCTCAGTCCAATCAAGTAACCCCGCAGACGTCGAAACCCGCGAGAACCCACCCGCTCCAGTTGAGGGATGGAAGGGCTGGGGGTTGGTTGGCGGAGGGCGGGCCCCTATTTTTGGTGGCAATAAAAGCCTGTGCTGTCTGTAAGGATGTCTGAGGGACACGCGATGCGACGAGATGAGATGAGATGAGATGCAGTGTAGTTGGAGTCGCAGAGAAGAGAAGAGAGCAGAGTCGCAGAGTAGAGATCACAGCGCGGCTATGCTGTGAAAATCAAGATACGAGGAGCAACGTAAAAAAAGAAGTGGGCGGTGCACGGGAAGAGGCGACAAACGCTTGATTATATAAATGGATCGAAGTCTTTGTAACGAGGGCTGGATCATCAAACCAGAAGGAGGCGAAGCCGCGAAGGAGCAAATCTGGGGTGAGTGGCTCTGAAGCCCGCTGGACGAGCACTAAAAGCTGGCGGCGGTTGGGGCGCGCGGGCGCTAGGCACACTGTGCGCTGCAGGGGAGAAAGGTCGAGGGATAGTGCCTGTGCGCGGCTGCTTATCGCTGTGCTGCACACAAAGTTCCAGACGGTTGGCGGCGATGGCACAGTGCAAGACCCTTGATGGGTTGGCGACTCATTCGAGCCGGTGGTGGGTTTTACAGGGCCTCTTTGCCGTGCCCTCTGTTTTGTGTCATGAACCTTGCTGAGAGAGACCTGGCTTTTCGGTCCCTTCCCTTGCCGTGTTGTGTTTGAAGGCAAAGTGGTTATTCTCTTTCTTCTTCTTCTTTGAATGTACAGATAGATAGATCTCATGAAGCACTTGAAATCTCACAGCAGTGCCTGAGCCTAACGTTGCATGGTACGTCATTGATGCGCGGTTCCTGGTTCCACACTCAATGCTCCATGGCCTAGGGATGGCAACCAAGATGCGCAGCCACATCGAGACTCGGTTGACACGCCAGCGGGTGCGTAATGCGTGCGCTTTTATAGAATCCGTCTAGGCGCAAAGTGGTATTTCTCCATCAGCAGTGCCAGGGAACGTACTATCATTAGGTAGGTACCCAGATAGACGTGTTCAAGGCCTAGTAAGTACTGCTAAGTACTACACACAGCGTCTCTATTACAGGTCTTGTACCACACTCATATGTCCAGTCTGTTACATACATGTACCATAAGCCGTAATATCTGGTGATACTGTCGTCAGGCATCTACCTGCATACAAGGACAGGAACATTCTCTGCTGGGCTTTGGATTGTTTCTACATTGGTTTTGTACAAGAGATCCTCCGTAGATGCTACCTGCTATTATTACTACTAGTAGTGATATCCATCAATAAGTCAGTTATCTTTTACTTGAATCGTACCTCGCTCCCAGATGCTGCCCTGCTTCAGAAATTGTTCTGCCACATCCTATAGCGAGATAAATAATGCAGCGCCGATAATTGATATATAAAACTCATACAATTACCACTTCTACTGAACTCAATATCATTCGAGAACGTCGTCATGCAGTTGTATCAGAATATTGCTGCTTCAATCTGCTACCCTGGAGTCTCAAAATTTCGAGCCGCTTTTCCCCCTTTTCTGCTGTGGACTGGAAGAGAGCTGCTAAAATGGTACATCCACAGCGGCTCGTTTTTGTAGCCACGTACGCTATTTGGTTGTACCTTTTCTGACCTCCCACCTTGACCCCTGGCACTAGCGACAAGTACCCAGGTACCTCATTGGCAGCAGCTCACACTGATGCCTCAGAAACCAGGCCCCCACTCGTCCCTAGCTTGACCACCTGGCCATATACGGCTCCGACTCTCGATAGCGCCAGCAGGACACATTTTCGAGAAGCTGGTCAAGCCCAATTGAGAGCTGCCGTATCTGCTGCGATCCGATCCCCGCCGACGACAAAGAGCTCCAGAGACAGCAGACTCTGCCCGGCTCGTCCTGACCAGCAATTGTTGCATCCATCACAGCCTCGGCGTCTTATGTGGGAGGTCATCGAGTTCGATTCACCCCGCGCTCTACTTTCACCCACGCCACCTCCCTTTGCCTCGACCACATCCGCGACACCAGAGCCTTAGAAGGATAAAGCCGCCAAGATGAGATTGGACGTCAAGGTCAGATTCCAATACATTGGCCCCATTCCGTGCGGTGTCCGCGCTGCATGCTGCATACCAAGCTATGGATGTCGTCGCAAGACGACGGCCTAGTTTACCGCTTCTGCAATATCGCAACCGTGTCACTGACCATGAGCTTTGCAACAACAGCGCCAGCTTTACGCTCGAAGCGAACGAGTCAAGGGAATCGATTTCCACCCTCAGGAGCCATGGATCCTCACCACCCTATACAGCGGTATGTCACAGCAGGCAGCCTGAACCGAGAGGCCGATCTCGACTCGCATCACTAATGCACTCTCCTCTTTCTAGGCCACGTCAACATCTGGTCATACGAGACGCAGCAGATTGTCAAGTCATTCGAGCTCACAGATGTCCCCGTGCGAGCTGGTAGATTCGTTGCGCGAAAGAACTGGATAGTCTGTGGATCAGATGACTTCCAGCTGCGAGTCTACAACTACAACACCTCCGAAAAGATTACCTCCTTTGAGGCCCACCCCGACTATATCAGAGCCATCTGCGTTCACCCAACGCTGCCGTTTGTCCTGACCGCCTCCGATGATATGAGCATCAAGCTTTGGGACTGGGACAAGGGTTGGAAATGTGTCCAAGTTTTTGAGGGCCACAGCCACTATGTCATGGGTCTTGCCATTAACCCCAAAGATACAAACACGTTTGCGTCGGCGTGTTTGGACCGAACTGTCAAGATCTGGAGCTTGGGATCCGGCACCGCCAACTTCACCCTCGAGGCCCATGAAACCAAGGGTGTAAACCATGTCGACTACTACCCCCACTCCGACAAGCCTTACCTCCTCACCACTTCCGACGACCGAACAGTCAAGATCTGGGACTACACCACAAAGTCTCTGATTGCAACCCTCGAGGGGCACACCAACAACGTTTCGTTCGCCTGCTACCACCCTGAGCTGCCCGTCATCATCTCTGGTTCAGAAGACGGCACCATCAAGCTCTGGCACGCCAACACATACCGGCTGGAGCAGTCATTGAGCTATAGCTTGGAAAGAGCCTGGTGCGCCTCTTATCAGAAGGGAAAACAGGGCGTTGCCGTTGGTTACGATGACGGTGCTGTGGTGATCAAGCTGGGACGCGAGGAGCCGGCTGTTTCCATGGATCCCTCCGGCAAGCTGATTTGGGCAAAGCAGAACGAAGTCGTATCGTCCATCATCAAGGGAGATGCTTCTATCAAGGATAACGAGCCCATCACATTACCGACCAAGGATCTAGGCACCTGCGAAGTCTACCCCCAGACGCTTATCCACTCACCAAATGGCCGATTCGTTGCCGTGTGCGGTGACGGCGAGTACATCATTTACACGGCGCTGGCATGGCGCAACAAGGCCTTTGGATCTGCCATGGACTTTGTGTGGGCGTCAAAAGAGAACAGCAATGACTTTGCCATCCGAGAGTCGCCCATGAGCGTCAAGGTGTTCAAGAACTTTGTGGAGAAGAGCGGAGGCCTCGATGTTGGATTCCAGGCCGATGGTCTTACGGGAGGTGTTTTACTGGGTGTAACTGGCCAGGGCGGTGTCTCGTTCTTCGACTGGAACACTGGTGGCCTGGTTCGCAGAATCGAGGTAGAGCCCAAACAGGTCTACTGGTCAGAGAGCGGCGAGCTGGTGGCTATTGCTTGCGAAGATACGTTTTACGTACTGCGCTTCTCTCGCGAAAACTACGTCGAGGCTGTGCAATCCGGAGAGGTTGAGGAAGATGGCGTCGAATCAGCGTTCGAAGTCATTACCGATGTCAACGAATCGTAAGTATTGATGGGCATTTCTTCCATTTTGTGCATGAAAGCTTTCTAACACTTGACATAGCATTCGCACGGGTGAATGGGTAGGTGACTGCTTCATTTACACCAACAGCACCAACCGACTCAACTACCTGGTTGGCGACCAGACTTACACCATCTCTCACTTCGACAAGCCCATGTACCTCCTAGGTTACATCCAGAGAGATTCTCGCATCTACCTTGCCGATAAAGACGTCGGTGTCACCTCCTTTGCCCTGTCACAGCCCGTTCTCGAATACCAGACCTTGGTATTGCGCGAGGATATGGAGACGGCTGCTGAGCTGCTGCCTACTATCCCTGCCGATCAGCTGAACAAGGTTGCGAGATTCTTGGAAGGCCAAGGACACAAAGACCTTGCTCTGGAGGTTGCAACTGACCCCGAACACAAGTTTGAGCTCGCATTGGCCCTGAATCAGCTCACTATTGCTCTTGACCTGGCCCGACAAGCCGACGTCGAGCACAAGTGGAAGACTGTTGGAGACGCGGCTCTGACAGCCTGGGATGTCAATCTTGCTGCGGAGTGCTTTACACACGGCAAGGACTTGGGCTCTCTCCTCCTCGTATACTCATCAACAGGTGACCACGAGGGTCTCGCCAAGCTGGTCGCTCAGGCCGAAGAGGCCAATGCTCACAACGTGGCATTCTCGGCCGCTTGGCTCGTCGGAGACATTGACCGATGCGTGGACATCTTGACCAAGACTGGACGGGCAGTAGAAGCTACTCTGTTTGCCCAGACATACAAGCCTAGCCTAGCCGCGACCGCGGCGAAATCATGGAAAGAGAGCTTGGAGAAGAACAAGAAGGGACGAGTAGCCAAGTTGATTGGTGTGCCCGATGACGATGCGGAGCTGTTCCCGGAGTGGGATGAGTGGCTGAAGCTGGAGAGTGAGGGTGGCGTAGCCGCCGATGTCGATATGGCGACACCTAATAGCAAGTCTGAGGAAGAGGGCGAGGCTGAGGCTCAGGAAGAGGCAGAGGAAGAGGAACAGGACGAAGAAATGGAGGAGGCTAAGGAGGAGCAGGAGGCGTAAAAAGGGCACAAGGGAGAAAAAATCAACCGACTATTTTCTAGATGGCAGATGGCGTAGAAGAGGGATTTATGTGAATATGATTCTCAGCTGTTGTGTTGCGTTATACACTGCACCATATTTTTTACTTATAAAACAGCTGTATGGTTGGGTGGTTGATTGTGGGTAGTCACGGGGCCTGTGTTTGCTTGAATATACTAAACAGATGTTAATTAATTTTTTGATTCCAGCTTGTAGTGGATTTATGTGAATGATGTGAACAAGCCTCGAAGAGGGTGATGGTGTAAGGAGGTTGGCTAAAGGGGCACTTGGGGTTGTCAAGCAGCATTTTAAGCATAGTCAAGGTTTATATAGCTAATCTCTCTGATCGACGGTGTTTGGTCTCTTTTTCCTTTTTAGGAAATGATGATCTTTGTTGAAGAGGGTCTGTGACTATCAAAATTTCGATGTTTTGCACAATACTTGGACAATGTCCTGAATGCCACGTGCCCCTGATTAGTGAAAGTGTTTCAGCGCGAGACATTCGGGCCGCTCACTTACACGAGCTAAGCGCAAAGCAACTTGTCACAGTCAATGTCAATTCACGGCAAAAGAAAAGAAAGAAGAGAAAGCAGTGATGATTATGCGGAGCGGAAGATGCAATGCTCGCAATTGTTATTTATTGATTCATTAAAATTGATTAGCGTTCTAAGATGTCGTCTATCCTCCGTAAAAAGCGTGAAATTAGACATGTCTATATCCCCCCTTTCCTCCATCCGTTGAATCAAGAGTCCGTTTACAGGACAGCAGCAAGACCAGCAGCGGCGAGGACAGCAAGACCCATTCCAGTCTCACGAGCACCACCGGCCGTGCTGATGCCAGACTTGGGAACGCCAGAAGACTTGGAGGCGCCAGAGCCAGTAGGAGCAGCAACACCAGAGGTAGCAGTACCAGTAGCACCGGCGGCAGCGAGCAGGCTGTTGCTGCAGACGGGCACGAGGCTGGTGTAGGAGGCCAGGGCAGAGCAGTCAGACGCCAGCGAGGTCAGCTCGTCCTTGTGGCTGCTGAACCAGGACAGCACCTTTGCCTCGTAGGAGGAGTAGTCAGCGCTGAGGCTGGAGGCGACGCTGAGCTTGCAGGGGTCGGTCTGCGGGTGCTCGGTCAGGTCGGAGACGATGGCGGGAGGAGGCGTGGGAAGGGAAGAGACGATGCTCAGGGCCTCGGAGGCGCATTTGCTGGCGTCGGAGCCTGAGATACCGGTTGCGCGGGGGAGGAGGGCGCGGACGTCGAGGGCGGCGGAGGCCGAGGCGGCGAGGGAGAGGATGGCGATGGCAGAACGCATGATGGGTGGTTTGAGTGGATGATTGATATCAAATGAGTGAGTGAGTGAGCGTATTGAGAGTTGATACTATCGCGGAGTATGAGTGAGTGACTGGAGTTGAGAAACTACTACGAGACTGTTTCCTGTCAACTACGGGTCTTGGCGCTATATATATACTATTTCTGCTTTACAACTACATGCTACTAGTAACAATTCCAATAGTTCGGCAGAGTCATAGCTCGCGTTCTGTTGCCTAGAGACAAGTCCGTCAAACTGCGTCCAATGCAAACCACGCTGCAACGTTCTCCTTGCTCAGCCCAGCGTGTTTGAAGTGACGCTTCACCGAATCCAGACTTGGCGCAAAGACGGTGGGTTCCGTAATGTCGCTTCCCTGCGGCAGCTGAGCCTGGCAGGATTTAGCTCGGCTACGCTATTACATGCCTAGTGTAGCATTTTTTTTTCGTTTTCCTGCCGTTGTTTGAGTGTTTGAAGGGGTGTGGAAGGATGGTGGAAGAAGACGGGATAGGAAAAAAGGGGCTTCTGGCGCTAAAACGGGTTTGCTACGCTTTGAGAGCTGAGTACTAGTTTGGGAGCGAATAGCCTGGATGGGGGTTAGTGGCGTGCTGAGGCTGTTTGGGGAGATTGGAGGTTATGGGAGGGTTTCGGTGAGGCGTTTTGTACAGAGTCAATGGGCTGATGACTAGGAATGCTGGTTTGTACAAGTTATGGGTTTGTGAATGTCGTTGATACAATTTGATAAAAGCAAAACTACGTTATAGTGTATAATAATTGATGTGATATGATCCGGACTCCTGCATAAGCAGAGGGTAAATGTGCTTTGGTTGACGTGTAAGATGGTGGCTTGCTGGCTTTGCTGCAGTAGGTTGTTTACTATAGTCGGTCTGCCTGAGCTAACTAAGGTATCAACTAAAATAGTTTCCAGCATAGCCTCGAACAGCATTGACACATACATTTAGATGCATGACTTGTGTTGAGAGTGACAGCATTGGGGCAAGAGAAAGAAAGAATGAAAAGAAAGGGAATTGCTGCAGGAGTGCAATGCTCTATGAATACCGTGCAGTAAGCACTGAGTTTATCGCTTGTGCTTTTAGGCACCACCAGGGGTTTCGCATTTTTCGAGGGGTTCTGGACTTTTTCGGAGAGTTGCCGGTTGGCTTTACAGCGGTGGATAGAGGTAGCCAGGGTTTATTGGAACAAACATACTCTTACTCTGCTGACTTACAACTTACGATAGCATTTGGCGTATTCGCCTGCAAAGAATGATGCGACTATTTCTCTATATGCATGTAAATAGTATATCTCTACACCAAAGGTAGGATAGATGCGGAGAAGCTGAGACTTATCCATTCAGTGCGGCCGCCAGCTGTATTGGGGGACATATTAATCTGACGAATAGTAAGCAACCGCTGCACAAAGCCGCTTTTGAAAGTTGACTTCGCACAAGGTTTCAACGATTTCCTTGTTTCCGTTCGAGGCTGCAAAGTGCAGCATACTTTTGCCTCTGCTATCCATGTTAATGGCGGCTTCATAGCGCAGGGGTCTATGTCTGCTTGAACATATAAATCAGCCTCTGACACGTCGTTCGATTCTGAGCTCTTGGAGAGACGCTCTTGAGCGAGAGTTGTGATGGAAGTTGCGAACTAGCAAGGGTTGGCTGGTCTGGAAGTCGGTGAATGAGGCTCTGTACAGCCCTCCGTATAGAGGTTGGCTTAAGCCCGTGATAACATAAGCAGTAGGACTTACAATGGAGTTAGGTACTGATTGGCCCGAATCTTCTTGCATATGTCTAATTATTGTTTACTAACTGCGAGTAATCATAAATGCTGGATGTAAGCCTCATGCAACTGGCTGAACACTAGTCCGCAATTCGGCTGTAAAAAAAAGGCCGAAAGCAGCTTTCACCAAAACTTATATACCTGGCAACAAATACTTGAGGCCACTGGAGGTTTACATTCAGTCTGCACTCACATTACCCACCCACCCTCAGTATTGCATTCTCCTGATGTATTCCAACCGTAATTCCGAGGCAGATTCTGATGAGGAATATGACTCAGAAAGTTCCGGGAACTCAGAAAGCTCCGAGAATTCAGAGCCGGCATATACGCCTCTGCATAGTTTCTTTGAACGAGCCGACAGCGCATCGGCAAAGAAACTAGATCTCCCTTCTAGTTCAGTACCTCTGTTAAAATATCGGGCTCCATCAGAGGTTTGCAATACCTGTCGGCGCCTGTTACAGCTGATTTCGAACGTTGTGGCAACAGGCAGCCAATTCGACGGCAAATATTACGAAAGCTACGCAGCTGTGAAATCGTCCGCCGAGGATGGATGTGGAATCTGCTCAATGCTTCTCCGCGAGTTTCGAATTGAGCTAAAGGATAAAGTCAAGCCCGGCAAAAAGATGAAAACAGCGACACTACATGCCAGTGGATCTTCATTTTCGTGGCAGGTAGCGATTCCTTGGATGGACGGCGATCCAACTCCAGGATTCACACACCTGGAGCCTTGTGGCGCAGAGGATCAATACTGCTTGACGGCTAGGACTGAATCATTCGTGGCAGGTTCACAAAGTATGACGCTCTACCCACTGTGATGAATATCGCTGAAACTTTCTGTTCACTTTTTAGGTCTGGATTACGATTCCCCAGTTCCAAACACTCGAGATGCTTTAACATTGTGCAAAATTTGGTTTCAAAACTGCCGGGATTCGCATGAGACATGCAGTCTTCCACATGCTGATGTAGCTGAGGCCAGCCCTACTGCTGCAAGACTTGTTGCGGTCTCCAATGGAGAAGCTCGGCTTTGTCTGCCTGAAGAGCTGAGCCCTAATAGCCCTTACGCAGCCCTCAGCCACCGCTGGGGCTTCCTTAATTTCACGACGCTCAAGAAAGACAATATCAATGACTTTCAAAAACGAATCCCGCCAGAAGCTTTAACAAAGACTTTCCGAGATGCCATTGACACTTGCAGATACCTTGATATTCCATATATATGGATAGATTCTTTATGCATAATTCAAGATAGCGCAGAGGACTGGGCGCAGCAGTCAGCCCTAATGGCCCAGATATATGGGCAATGTGATCTAAATATTGCAGCTACTTCTGCTGAAGATGGCAGCGTTGGATGTTTCTTTGACCGGCCAAGAGACTGGACAGTTCAGATACGCCCGCTTCCTGAAAAAGACGACCTGATATTTGACTTTATGCCATCTCCCTTGATAAATCCAGAATTGGACGTATTGAATAACCGCGGTTGGGTTGTACAGGAGCGCTACCTGTCAAAACGGACTCTTCATTTTACCGCCAAGCAGGTATTCTGGGAATGTGACGGAGAATCGGCGTGTGAGACCTGCCCTGGCGGATATGAAAGAAGACCGACCAACTTTTGTCCCTATGAGCTCAAACGAAACGGCATGGACCGATCCAACTGGGATGACCTTGTGAGCCAGTACTCGGGAGCCCGTCTCACGCAATCCAGTGACCGGCTCATCGCTATAGAAGGGCTCGCAAGATCTATACAGGCGACTACAAACGACGAATATGTTGTCGGAATGTGGAAGGAATGGATTGAGAGGCAGCTGGCTTGGTCTCCTTCCGAAGAATTCAGGCCCATTCCTAATACATCATGCCCTTCCTGGTCATGGGCCTCAGGCATTGGTAGTGTGAGCCTCCCTTTGGTCTGGTTTGATGGGCATACCAACTCGCCCACTCATATTACACTCCATGACCTCCAAGTGCAGTATTTCACAGAGAACACCTTTCGGGACGTCAAGAGCGCTGTGATTCGCCTTCGCTGCAGCTACCTTCTCCGGGCAGTTCTTGAGCCAGTTGGAGATTCGCCCGACGTCTATTACAAGGCCAGATTCGGAGATCAAAAGTTTGAGGATGTTTACTTGAAAATTGACAACCCTGCCATTGCCAACAAGGCTCAGGTCATTCCTGCATATGTTTTGGTTATAGATGAGAGAAGTGGAATACTTCTAGAGCCTACAACTCAGGCAACTGGACAGTATAGGCGGATAGGGTCGTTGTTCACTTTTCAAGACTCTTTTGCAGAATCATTAGCATTTGCGAATTGTATTGAGCAAAGACAACTTGACGCATTCTCGGCTGTCGAGGAAGATGATGAAGGCAATGAAATATATATTATTGATTTAGTGTAGATATATAAGTGTTTGTAGCCTATTTTGAGAGAAATGCAACTTTGGATTTCTATTTACTGTTCAAGTCGTTTAGTCTGACTTTTGGTTTACTTTTTGAGAATAACAATAAATTGGTTAACGAATACGCGTAGAAAGATTTAAACCCCTTGCACGGCTTTGACTACTGATTGCACCACTTCTCAAGGTGGCAATTTCTCATGATAGGAAGCTAATTAACTTACAATAGCCGTAGCCCCCTTCGTAAGAGAATTCTAGTTTCAGCTGAGGAAGGTAATGGGCCAGTCGGTGGCAATGGCAGTGATCCTAGCCGAATTGCTCGAGTATCAGGAGAAATCAGCAGTGTAGGATGAGTAGTCATTGCTAACTTAAGGTTGGTCGACCTTGCATTGTATGAGTACCTATAGTGCTAAGAGTGACAGAATTGGTGCCTAAGAAATAAAGGCATAATGAGAAAGAAAGAGAGATATTCTGCATGGGTGAGGGAATAATTTAGCATGATCAAGTACTGGGACTATCGCGAGAGCTTGTAGACATTTTCAGGGGTTCTGGATGTTTCGGAGAGTTGCCGACTGACTCAGCAGCAGTAACTAGACGTAAATAGTCAAGGGATGCGAAGAAAAAACGAGAATCCTGTTTATAAGAACGATAGTTACTTTATCAAACCATAATGTAATCAAAACAGAAAGTTAATATTCTCAGCGCGATCCACTATAAAGACTAGGTATTGTCTCTTCTATATAGCCAAGTACAGCATTTTATCATTGTGAATAGAAGCTCCAACAGCCGGCTACAATTTCTGGAGATTGAATAGCTATGCCATGGCCAAGATAGCTGAAGCTCGTAAAGGAATGTATTCTTGTGCCCCCGGCAATCTCCACCCGTTCATATCCTAGTCCTAGATAGACCAAGAGAAGTTTTTGATGAGAGTACCATCGCCGTCGTGGCCTCCGAAAGCCTGCCACAAATCGAGGCACATGTCGATGGAGTGGTCGTTGCTGAGGTTTCGATCCGCAACAATGGCGGTTCTCGTGACACCGTTGTGCTTCATAGTGATGGTCTTGCCGCAAAGGGTATTATGCTGGGCCTGGCCGTATTTGTCAAAGATATCAGAAGGCATGGCGACGAAGGATTTCTTCGGATCAATATTCGTGAAGAAGGTGCTGATTCCGCATGCACCGCTGGTCCTGAGGATGTCGTGGCATGCGGATGCCGAGCCATATCTGTAAATCGAGCCGTTGGTGCCGGAACCAGAAGCTCGTTTGGTGATCTCTTCAGTCGGGGCTGCAGATACACTGAGTGAGAGGACGAGTGCGGCGACAAAGCTTATAAGAAGCATTTTGAAGATGATGTTGAGGAAGCAAAGAGAATTTGTATCGTTGTTTTTGATGTGATTGCCAATGTGATCGTGGAGTTCTTGTTATTGACTGATGAAACGAAGAGTAAGATCTGCCAATTCAGCGGTCCTCAGCTATGTATTTATATTTGACGGATCACACCTGAAGTTTGTCAAAGAACTGATTCTTTACATCAAAGAATGATCCAAGTCATAAAATGGCAGGCTAACGGATTGGGAACGCTGAACAAAGGCAAACTCTCCTAGGAATACCCTTTTGTGAACAGTTCTTCGGCATAATGTAAAATTAGTCTTTTGTTGGTATCTCGAATCAGATGATGAGCGATTCGCACTCCCGTAGTCCAAGCTCGACTTATCATTCGTGGGACTTACATGAATGAAAGTCTAGACTCATGAAGATGAAAGTCTAGACTCACGAAGATGAACGTCGAGGTGATGAGAGCTATGCTACATCTTTGTTCCTTGCCTGCGTTGGCCCACTTCCATGTCACCGGCATCAATAAGAGTATCGCCTTTTTGGCTAGACCATTTATATGTTTCTACTAATCTTAGCTTACTGTGTTACTCCTGAGTTTGGGATCTCTCGCACATTTTGCCCCAATCAATGTAATTGTACACTCTTTGCCTATAATACTGTCAGACCGGTATCCAGAGCAGAAGAATTGCCGGTAATCGTTTTTCGGGGTCTTATACCAAAAAAGAACTCGAAAACGTACATCAGGCTCAGGCATATGTACCTTTATTTCATTTTACCAACACATTTGACCAACAAAGCTCACTAACATAATTCACAAACATACCAGAGAAGGACCTAGAAAACATATAACTGGCTTAGGCAGAATATATCACCAACACACTTCACCAACGCATTTCGCTAATGCATTTCACCAACACATTTCACTAACATATACCGCCAGCACATACCGGAGAAGGAACTCGAAAACATATAATAAACTTTGGCAGAATGTATCACCAACACATTTCACCAACACAGTTCTTGTATTTAGCACTGTATATCACTACTTAGAATGCGTGTTTTATTTCCCATCACCATGCTGATGCTGGCGTTTGTGGCCTTGCGTAGGCGTGCTCCTGCAGCTAAAAAGCAGGACAACTTATACGGGGAGATATAAAGTGCTTATGTTAGGTCATATACACCAGGAATGTTATCAATTGTGATCTAATTTTAATAGAATTGGCAAGTAGTCTGCCATGCTGTTAATTTACAACGTCCTTTGTAGTCGGCGTTCATGGACATGCAGCAATCTGACATATGCATTAGAGTGGGCCGAATCAAGGTTAGGAGATTAGGTATTGCTGTAGCTGCCGAAACTGTCAAATGCTCCAGGTACACGTACATGATCTGATGCTAGTAGCCATTCGTAAGCCTTTGTCTGGCTTATGGCAGTGGATCGAAACAATTTTAAGCTACGGCGTTCCTACATACATGTATGTATCGTTTCCGGGAAACTTCCGTCGCGGCAGTCAGCTCGCATTGGTATATTCTACAGACTATTGGGTGGCCGGCCAATGCGTCAAATGTTGGGCCAGACGCACAATATCTCGCCCAGACTTCAGGGTCTGTGCGGAAAGCTTATGTATTGTTACACACTTTACCCGGGCGTAGAACATGATCTAGAACTTTATACAAGCAAACGCAAATACATACAATTAGAGTAATGTGAAACCACTAATGGCTAGAAAATGATATGTCTCCTTCGAGTGACATCTCATCAAACGGCGACCAACGATTCTAGTAGTCACAAAGTGTAACCAAAACTACTGCCTGAATTTGATGGCATTGCAGCCTTGTACTGACTTCCTCCACGATTAGACATTATAAGTGGCGAAGCTCGGCGCACCAGATGGTTGTGGCGGCCTTATGTACTGGGTAGAACAGAAACAAAACTCAAGAACGGAAGAATTTGGAGGACATACCCGACGCTGTGATTAAGTATCTAGAAAGAAATCTGACTCAACAGCCGATCATGGGCAAAGCATACCCCAGATAACCCTGCAAGGGATCTGACGGTGGCAACTTATTTCCCGCTCCTTAGCATCTCGTATCTTTACGGCAGCCTTTATACACCTCGGCATGAACAGTAATCCGGCCAATTCGGCAAAGTGGCAATGCTGTTTGTTACAGAGGCTCATGAGAGTTGGTGGTGGTAGCTGTGGAGACTATCAGGGCGATGAGCTGTGCTGAATTAATGGCACATGTCGAGCTACGATTAAGCATCAATGTGTGTTGGAGGGCAAAATAGGCCTAGATCGTGGGACCAATTATACCGCGAGGATATTCCAATTTAGGAATGTCCAAGTGGTGCTTCCCGCGCCACCATTTGCTCGAGCGATTTCTCTTATAAAGCTTGACATGGACACGGGGTTAGGGGCTTCTTACGCCTGCAACGAACCTAGCTAAACAAGGTGGTAGTCGGATGAGACCATGTCAGCTGTCAGTGTTGAATCTCACTCGAAAGGCTCCTGCTGGACTTGGCGTCTTACACTGGCGACCCGGAAAATATTTGATCACGAGAGGTGAATCATACTTTGAAGCCTCAGCCCAGCGATCCTCAGAGGAAAGGCTGAATGGTTGTACCAATTGGCGGGAAGAAACCAAGTTCAAATTCAGTATAGGATCAGGAGTAAAGCTAGCGGAGAACGCTCTACATCAGCTCTTTTTTACTTCCTTCGTGGAATGATATGCTCGGCAAACTACATGTGATCAGATATGACGAGACAGTCTGGTTGAATGGCCAAGTTCCGACCAGGGGCAGCCTTGCTGGCCATTAGCTCTTGGAATATGAAGAGATTCTCTTATTACAATTTGTATCTAACGTAGACGAAATATTAAAGTAACCCGTTCATCCATCTAGCAAATGCTGCCGTTGCTGCAGCTCTGCGAGCAGTTGTATTCTCCGTCCAAATCGGCATCTGAACCATACATATCGTAACCCAGGAACCATCCATTCAGCGTCTCGTGCAGATAGTTCAAGTTCTGCGGGTCACCATGTGCCTTGCCCTCTGAAGAGCAAGGATACCCTTCTGTCAAGCCCTTTCCACCATTCAGACCCGTGCCGTCACTGGCCGTAAACCACCCGTTATACGAGCCCAGCGCATGGACAGCGTTGCCGCCAGTGTTATCCAGAGCCGAACGCAAGACCCAAGCTCCGCAGTCGACGTTGTCCTGGATGGGATACTGGCAGCTGCCTTGGCCGTTTTGGCAGTTGGACGGGTCGCACTGCATCAGGCCGGGCGTTGAGCCTCCAGCATCGGCATTGCAAGAAGACTCCTGCATGGCAATGAAGGCCAGGATGGCAGGGTCGATGTTGTATTTTGAGCCGGAGCTCTTGAAGTACTGGTCGTACTGCTGGCAAGGCTGGCCTACGCCGTTGTAGTAGTCATCCAGCGAGATGTGTGTGAGGCTGTTGATGTCGAGGAACGGAGGCTCCCAGCCATTGCCCTGGACACCGGTGTTGAGCCATTGCTGTGAACCGTTGGGACCACAGGCGCCAGAGCCACCCGTTGTAGGTGAACAAGCTCCCTGGGCATTGGGATTTGTTTGAGCAGCTGCCAAGTTGGCAAAGAGGAGGGCCTTGGCGGCGAGAATTGTGCGGTGTGAGGAATGCATGTTGAGGGTGTATAATGAGAGGTAGCTGAGTCTGAGGAGCGTAAACTCTCTGAAAGACGCATCCTCACTCTATGTTATATACTGTTTCTCAAGGGGTACCTGAGTTACCAGGTATAGTACCCAAGTAGTCTATCGTGTTGTCGATCACCAGCCACTAAGCGGCGGCACAGATCCGGGAAGAATACGGGGCAGCTTCTTTACCCTAATTAGGCAACTCGCGCTTCCTAATAGGGCAGCTGAGGCAACTCGATTAGTTATTTGTTTTCGGCATAGTTTATAGCTTTACGGAGAATGGCAGGTGGGCAGCGGAATGCCTGGCTAAAAGCCCGCGCTGAGAGTCCTTGTGGCCCGCTTGTAATACAACGTTCCCCGTCATTGACGGATCTCAAGTGCTAAAAAGTCCGGCCCTCGTTCACTGATGAGGTGACATTTCGGGTCTCGTATGCCTCGCTTTCAACTATTTACTACCTACTACTACATGTAAGCCGCATTAGTAGGGACGCAGGCCTCGTATTACGGCGCATCGCGGCCTTATTTTCTCTCTTCTAACCACAAGTCTAAGACAATCTTCAGCTGCAGCGGGCTCAAGGACTTTGCTCAGCACACAATTGAAGTCCGTTCGTAGTTGCCGCCGAGCCGAATGAATCGTAGTCTATGTTGTTGCATTGAAAAGGCGGTATGAGGAGAACATGAGCGTTCCGCTGTAAATCTACATGTACCGAATCAGCAGCAATTGCATATTTTTGCTACACATCTCTAAGTCGGCATTGGTTTCCGTGAAACGGTGCTACATACTTGGTAGTCAATTCTCCAATTGCTAGTCATAATGCAGGGCGCGGTGGCATTTCGAAGCCTCGTCGGAGTTTACGCCGGCATGCAAATTGGCCATCGTCATAAGATCCAACGAGGCTCTGACCAGCATATCGGGCCATTTAAACACTGTTACATAGTTGATCTGCGGTGCCAAGCATACGAACCAGGCAATAGCATGGAATATTCTAGGTTGTTGAAGCCAGCAAAAGAGACTGGCCATGCTTTCGGGGCTCGGCGACGCAATCTGGCGCCAATCGAGATGGTTCATCCTCAGCTCGTTTCATACTGGTGGGCCAACTACTTACATAGCACCTAGCGCATGAAACACAATTAAGCCGAATCATGAAAAGGAGGATGAGTAATCCGAGATTTGAGTTGTTTGTAACTCAAAAACAAGAATAGTAACTCTAATTTCAATTCTATAGGCTCAACATATGCGTAGTCTTATTGATGAGTAAAACATGTGCTAAAAGTGTAGAGATCCATGTCCGTCAAAGGGCAGTTGCCGACTTACAGCCTGGCGACGAGTTTGTCGCCCAAAGAGTTGATGCTGGCTTCGAAATTCGGCTGTGTTCTTGGCCTTCCCAGTTTGCACCAATCTTGCCAGGAACAGTATGCCTGCCAGTAGTCCCAATACAGGGAACATCAAATGTTTGGGATCATGGCCATTATCGCCTGAAAGGCTGCCCTTGAGAAAGCAGAGCTCACCCAATGCTAGATTTATTATATCGTCCCAAATCCCATAGCACTATAGTACAGCCCAATTGTTATCAATTGCCTCTGTAAATTGAGATAAAATGAACAAGTACGGCGCACAAATACTAATTTTTAGATGACACTGGTTGTTGCGCTCTATTGCCATGACACTGAGAGGCTCTATTCCCTTGCTCTGGCGGCTGAACGGTGGGCTAGCACTCTCAATTCCAAAGACAACTTGGGATGGACATGGTATTGAGGTTGGGGATACTGTAGCTCTTGGCGGTGTCTTTGAACGCGGTTGCGCCTTGGTCACTTGGGTCATTTGAACTCCGACCAGCCGAGGTTTGAGCACCGACCGACCGAATTGTTTGCGCCATCGCAGCATGTTCATATTGTCAAAGTCTCCACTGTTTCCTTTCAAGAAACTGGCATTGGACTAAAAAAATACATCATTTATTGTTTGATAGAGCATTCTTTGTGCGGATCATACTTGATATCTTACTGACATTGGCTGGAACTTCATACGATACGCCGATGCAAAAGCACCTAGGTAACGACGGCAAGACCTATTGAAGAATGCATCTTGTAGAATGGGTTAGCGAGATTGATATTCGTCAAATATGGTAGCAATTGATCTTCTGCTTATCTGTGACGAGGACGGAGTGAATTCTATATCCTACATTAGAAGAATCTCTAGATTCCTACTGTATACTTACAAAGTCGAATTACGAGGATGACTACTGGACCAGGATAAATCGATCGGCAAATGCCGAGCCTAGCTGGTCTCTAGTGTCGGCGTAAGTCGTCTAAGCTTTTCACCGGCGAAGTTCCGGCGTTGAAGCTCAGGAAACATGGGCACCCGAGACTTGCCATAATAGGAAGGTGATTGCACTCGTGAAGGGGATTGGAGGGAAATTACAATGGTACTAAGGCAGTATATGCGTGTACGGCGCGACCTGTCTCTAGTACGTGATACTTGAGTATCCGCAAATACGAAGCATGGCCTGAAGAGTATGATAATGATATACATGCATATCTCTGTATTTGTCCTTTAATCATCCAAACAAAGACTGCTTTCTGCTTGCTCAGGCATGGTTAAGAAAGAGTCTTTTGCAACTGACGCCAACTTTGGATGTATTTTGGATCATTTGTTGCTACGTCAAGAATAGACTCTTTGAAGTACTGGGCTTGAAGTTTGTTATAAATGAAAAGGCAAGATATATATTACAGAAAATAAACTTATAATCACGAATGACAGTCGCAAATACAGTAAAAAGATAGATATATAGAGACAAGCAAGTTGAATAGATGAAAAGTAATCTTTGCAAAAGAGAGCATTTCCGATCTCCAATATCTTCACTTTCGAATTCTCTGGCATCCCCCGGCCAGGCACTAGGAAAATAATTCCCAGACGGGAGCTGATCCTGCGCAACGGACTATATCTCTGCCGTTCGAGAGCTCGCATACTTCCTTGGAGGTGGAGGACATGAGTTCCAATTCGGCTGAAGCCATGTTCTCGGTTGCTCGTCCAATCAAAGCTTTTAGCTACGGCGGACCACCGACTCTTATAGCAGAGACGATTATGGTAATTATACCAAGAGGTGCTGTCGCAAGCATAATGCATTCCGACCATCCCAAAGATTGGCTAAGGAATTGCATGGTAACACGCTCTCAAAAAAGAGCCAACAGTCTAGGATGATATGTTGGATTAGGTATAAAAAAACATGCGCTGGGCGGTGATGCTCTGTTGGAAGGGAGTCTCTTACGGGCTGAGGTCTGAGGACAGGTTATTGGAGAAATCATCTCCACCATCTGCATCAGCAGGCTCCAAAAGGAAGAGATAGAAAACAACTAGAAAAGTGAAAGAAAGCGTTATTTTGTTGTTCGTGATAGTTTGCGGCTTGGTGTTGAGGCGATACAATTTGAAGTTATTTGTTTGAAGTCGACACAGTAGAAGACGCTCGTTTGGCCGACCTTTTCTGTCTTCAAATTAGTTTTTGATCAAAAATTTGCAACTTGAAAGATTATAATAAGTTCTTGCACCTGGGTAGGTAGAAAGTGGTGTTATTCGAGGAGAAGGATATCGACTAATTCAGCTGGTGGCCATAAAGTATTATAGTATTTTACGCACCAGCGTACAAATCAATAAGTCCCCATGTTTTGAGCTGCTGGCTTCACGTAGCAATCCATCTCGGCTGTACATGGGCTAATCAGCTGCAGGTCACTATATGTAGACATGGACCAATCCAACTGTATCCAATTGGCTAGATAAGACGGCAGAATGCATTTCATATTACAGCAATACTGCATGGTGAGATGACTGCTCGAAGGTTTTGGCCCCAGTGGCGAAAAGCCTCCTTTTCTCGCGATATGTTCTTTCATCCATGATGAATTGTTCAAGGCGAGCTCCCCCAGGCCGTGGTACAAATGACTCTGAGGATACACAGGTAACTGATGGCGGAAACCTAGGTACCTACCACCTACCTACCTCAGCGCTATGGCTTGGCTTCATTTAACCCTTCTATTTATAGCATAAGAAGCGTCGGCATCATATATTACATTTAGGGTTAGATGGCTTGCTGTAGCATTTTGTCAAGGTCTGCCGGCGTCTTGGTGTTTGTTTACTGTCCTTATTGAAAAACAAATTTTGTAAATACTTTTTATTAAGCTCATTGTTTATATATTACTATATTCTTAATATATAAAAGTTACTTCATATTCGTATAAATACAATCCCATGAATCATCTATCAAATCAACAAGCCATGAATCTTGTTCTAAGCTTCTAATAAAGCTATCTGTAATCATAGTATCCCCAGCTGAACTAGTAAACACTTCATTTATATCCTTCTCTAGGTTTAAATGAGGCATGTTTTCAGTCATCTCTGTCCACATTAACATTTTAACTACCTTAAAAAAATGCAGTGCTTTATTCAACACTCCTCTGTTGAGCCTATCATTCTCTACTATTTCGGCCATCTTCAGGGCGCATTCGGCTCTCTCAGAATAAAAATCAAGGATTTGAATCACATCAGCGCGTTTTCTGGTTTCGGCCAGGTCCCAGCCAGGTTCGTTGAGCGTATTGAGCTTGAAAAGGACTACAAGGCAGTGGGTAAGTTGGGTGAAGCTGTCAACAGAGATTCCAACCCAGTCAGGAAGTGCCAGATTGTCAAACACAGCTAAAAGGTGCTCGATTCCGAATAAAGCCGACTCAAGGTCTTGAACCCTTTGAAGGTGGGTTCCATTATGTTGGTTGCTATTTTCGTTGCGCCGTAGGAAGAATTCCTTTATTTTCAGCTCTGTACTAGCCAGATAAGACAGTGTAACTCCTAGAGATTTCTGTTAAATTCACCATTCAAATATGCATTTAATGAGGTTGGAAGGGTTCTATACTCTCTGATCGAAACTTTTCAGGTAAGTTTTGTCTTATATCGTCAAGCTGCCTAAGCAATGCCAAATATAAAATTCTGGACGGTGGGTTCAGGTTTCCGCTTTCTGTAATCTCGCTTACGGGACAGGTGATCCGATTCGTAATGAATTGACATCTTATTTGAGTTGCCAAAAGGATATCGAGGCTCGTCTGAGTACCTTGACTCAAAGTTCGGGCACAATCCTCTAGATACGGTGTCCAATTGAGCGGATACGTTTTCCTATACCCTGCCCACGTACTAGTTCCCGTTAGCCAGACGGCGATTTGTAACCAATTTGATGCTACTCACGCGGAGGTAAGATGAAACAGTGCAGCGAATGTGCGACGTTCTTCCATGGTCCGGTCAAGCCTTGCGGATGTCTGGTGGGCTGTCAAACTGTTGGGTCTGCCACGTGGTGATGTTCCATTGTGTAAGTCAAGTTCGAAAGCCATCGACACGGCCATCTGAGTAAGCATAGTCATGAAGGGCTTCTCTTTTTTACAGTGATGCGACCTGAAGTAGTCAGTCCATAGTACCTGTTTCAAAAGCTTCGGTGCAAATCCGATTTCATACCATGAGCAAAAGCAAATTATGCCGAGAAGGAGATCCAAGCTTGCATGATGTTCACACAGGACCCGTCGGGATATAATTTTCCAAACGTGATCTGCAAGATCGAATTGCTTCGAAACGACCTTTGTAGTCAACACCATGATGATAAGCCAAACAAAAGGCTTCTCCCTGCGTAAATCGGAGGCAGATGATGTGTTTGGAATGTGTATGAATGGAAACATGGGGATAAAAGCACGACGAAACGTTGCTAATTGCTCCTCAGCCTCCCACTCCGTGGCAGTATCAGTAGGTATATCACCCGCAATTGGTGATGGAGGACTGGGCGCCATCGACGGTGGGTCATTTGGGGTTTCGGTTGGCCGAAATAGATGAACGACGCTTTCAGTCGTGTCAATAACGACTTCTGATCCACGCCCAATCGAAGGAACGATAGGCCCATCTGGCGATCTCACTGTTGATGGAGTGTCGTCATTGCCAGGCCTAACTTCAAGGATTTGTTCGACGGGCTGTTTGGTGGACGCCTGGGAGCGCAAAAGGGATATCACGTTGTCCAGCTTTTCTTCCAGTAGATTACGGGGCGGTGGTGACTGCGCTGATCGAGAGGAAGCCTTTTGAGCTCTGCGCTTACGTATAGATACCGGTTGTTCACAAGCCTTGGCAAGACGATGGCACCTAGATACGCCGTTAATTAGCAATATGTCTGAAAGCGAAGTAGATCAGCGAGAGGGCAGCACTCTCACCTCTCACATCCTGAGCCGTCAGACCGATAGAAACATTTGCATTTGGCTCGGGAACAAGCCACGCATGCTCGTCCATACGGCGCTGGAGTCAGTGACTCTACTGCTGCTTGGTGGAAGGCACTGGACTGCATCGCTTCATTCTAGACGAGATCAACTCCGCCGGATTCCGATCAGGATTCTCAGATGACAAGTCGTTCGATGGGAGAGCGCCGGAAACCCACGGGAGCTGGTGACTAGCAACCCGCGGGAGGTGGCTCGAAACCCGCGGATGTAGCTACCCCGATCCTAACCCCGCGGGGTTGGAAGATGCCATGCCTGCGGGATTGGTTAGAGTTGTGGCAATATACCACCATCTAGCACGACTTCGAAGAGGGTACGTACAGCAGGAGGGAGATATAAGAACACTGTAAGGAAAGAAGTAAGACTATTCATGGCAATATACTCAAACTACATCACCTTTTATTCACATTCTTGAGTAGTTGTTAACAAGTCCATACACACAAATCGTCCCTTATAACTTTGACATCTTAAGATTTCATTTTCTCCTTGCCATTCCTCGCATATTGTCCAAAGCCAGCCCGACTTGTTACACATTCTATCTCCTTGCCGACAAGATAAAAATGCCTTTCACAAAATCTCACAGCCTCAATTCCGATGGTTATGCTTCACAAACAGCCTGGCGTGACATTCAGAAGTTTCTTCCCCAAAGTCTCCATTTCACGGCTGAGCACTGTCCTGTGGAAGAGTGGTGGGAGCACAAGGGATACAGACTCCATCTGGACCGATGGCGCAACGCAACAGCCAAAATCCGGTTGATCCTCCACCACGGCGTTGGAACCAATGGCCGCCAAATGTCAATGATTCTCGGAGTGCCCCTGCACAAGGCCGGCTTCGAGCTTGTCGCCATCGACATGCCTGGCTACGGCTGCACGGAGGCACCTGCTGGCCAAGTCTGGTCATACGACGACTGGGTGCAATTATCGAGCGATTTCATCGACCACGAGCTGGAGGCCGATCCGCGGCCCATTGCCCTCTACGGCTTAAGTGCTGGTGGAATGCTGACCTACCATTCTGCCGCTCTCAACCAGAAGGTCAAAGGCATCATTGGCATGACTTTCCTTGATCAGCGCATCCAGCAAGTCGCTGACACTACAGCGAGGAACCTTTTCATGAGCCGTATCGGACTGCCCTTTACTCGCGCTGCAAACGCAACAGGTTTCGCGCGCGCCAAGATACCCATGGCACTCGCAAGCAAAATGTCAACGCTGGTAAACAATGAGGACGCGTTACGGATATTCTTAAGCGACAGCACCTCAGCAGGGTCAGCAGCCTCGATGCGTTTCTTAGCGACTTACTCGCAGTATGAACCGGCCATAGAGCCAGAAGCCTTTGACTTGTGCCCTGTGCTTTTGACCCAACCTTTGCTAGACCGATGGACACCTTTGGAGTTGAGTAAGCTATTCTTGTCTTCTATTACCAAGGTGCCTGTACAAACTGTAGAGCTTGAAAACGCAGGTCATTATCCCCTCGAGGAACCTGGGCTACAGCAAATGGCAGATGCTATTATTGAATTTTTGAACAAATTGAGCTTTTAAATAACTATAATCCAATATGTTATTTATTCTTTTCATAAAGTTATTAGTATTAGTATTATTATTATAGATAAGTTATAGCTGAAATGCACTCTAGCTGACAACGTTCTTGATGCGAGCTTCCATTCTTCTATTTATAGCCCAAGAGGTTTCGCCTCTGATAATTGAATTCTCTGAAAGTCCCTGGAAATAGATTCTTATACACCCAATTACCGTTCGCTTTCTGACTTGAGAGATTATTGCTCGATGCTTGTTGGGCCCTCCTGTGCTTGCATGAAAAATTGTAATCTCGGTATTAGTAGGTCGATGAGGCGGGACCAGGTGAGGTAAAATTAGAAACTCACTTGAAATAGATAAGTTGCGTTTTTGAGATATTGTTGAGAGCGAGCTAGGATATCATGTAGTGCCACTGGCGCTTTCAATTACTGTGGCGAAAATAGGCACACCTGGCGGGGGTGGACTTTTGAACTGGATCTCACAAACAGTTTTGCTCAAAACACGAGCAAGGAATTTCTCAAGCAAATCCAACAAAAATAGTAGTAAGGTAAACTCCCTATCATCTTGTGGACTCGAAATAGATGAGCGGCGTCTCTGACTTGATGCTACGATCAGCGGTCAAATAGGGATCAAGAATTTGAATATCATGCGGGCGACAGACTAATTATCTCGAGCATTCCAAGTTGTTTTCGTCCTCAGCTGCACCGATCTTGTATGTTCCACAAGAAGCCCCGTTCTAGATGAGAAAAAGGCAGCTAGAAGTAAGCGGTATAACCCTAACAATGGTTAGGGGACCTTTCATCATAATATAGAGTCTAATAACAAAGACCCTGTTGCCCGTAAGATATGGAGTGCGCGTAGCCACAAAACTCTGCGGCGTCTTCTAAAGCAGCGTATCCATCTCACGAACCTCGTACAAGCTTCGAAATTCCGCCCTAGGATCTTAAAATAGCGGCTGGGTGAAAACGGTAGCTGTGGGGCAAGTCATTTCTGGAATGGGACGTTCCACGGAAGCTGGCCACTCTGCAGCTTCAGTACTGGCGGGAACCTATTCGTAAGTATTCCTTCTGATTTCTGTCTTGTCTTTACACACAATGACAGAAGTGAAAACTTTATTGCTGACTGTGATGTTGCGCAAAGCTATACCTCAAGGACATTGTGTATACAGGCTGAGGAAAGTGTCGATCATGGATCTAAAGTGTGCGATTTTACTAGTCATTAGATTCAGATTATACAAACTCTTTGTAGAAGATATATTCTACATTCACAAATGCATACGTCACCACAATGCACGGTCCTGTTGAGGTACTGAGCGCTTGATCCAATGGCCGTACTGCAAGTAAGAAGCCATTGATAAGAATCCGCACTGGCAATTAGCAACATTACTGTATTAGGAGAGAGCTTTGCATATAGCGCAAAACGGCTTTACCTTTTTAGATAGGGTGGTGCGAAAATGGAAGAGAGCTTACATGTATCAAGCAGTTATTACATTAAATGTATGTGCCTTTTGTGACAGTAAAGGTGGTAGTAGGCGGCTCTGTACGTGTATATATACTGTAGCGACTGCTTCGTTGAGATGCAATTCGAGGGCCAAACACATCCATAATTCTGCTTCTCTCCTGTGAGAAATAACCCAAAGGCCAATCATTTTACAAGTTTGAAGTTGTTCTAGCCTTCCAATCTCAACATGTCCTCGTCAGTATTTGAAGTCACTAAAGTGACCCCTCATTATTGGCGGGCAGCAATTAACCAACCGCCTTTCAATCTGGCAGGGCCCGACTTCTTTATAGGCCTGTGGAATCTCCTACAAGAAGCTGAAGCTGAATCAGGTCTTAAGATTCTGGTTTTCGAGAGCGCAATACCCGACTTCTTTATCTCCCACTATGACCTCCAACAGGCTTCATCAATTTCACCTGATCTGCTGGCTAAATGGCCATTGATGATGCTAAAGCTCGCTACAATCCCGGTAATCACCGTTGCTGCGATCCGCGGTAGGGCCAGAGGTATTGGCTCAGAATTTGTGTTAGCCTGCGATATCCGGTTTGGCAGCAAGGAGAAAACGATACTATCACAGGCCGAGGTCAGTTTTGGGCTCATCCCTGGCGGTGGTGGCATTGAATTGCTCCCAAAGCACGTGTCGCGCAGTCGGATGCTTGAGATCATCTGTGGCAGTGACGAATTCGATGCTACAACCGCCGCAGACTATGGCTGGATCAATCGGGCTGTGCCAGACGCTGATTTGGACGGCTTTGTCGATCAGTTTGCGCACCGCGTCGCTGGGTGGCACAAACCAGCGCTGGCGTCAGCAAAGGAGCTCACCAACGAACGCTTCGGCCTTCCTAAGACAGAAGATTTTAATGCATCCTACCATGCTATGGCGCAACTTTTAGCGGATGCTGAGGTGCTGAAGCGGATGCAGATGTTGATAGAAGGGGGTTTGATAAAGAATAGGGATGTGGAGCTCGATATCGCGAGCTTTACAGCACAGTTCCCAATGCATTAACTTCAACGTTGTTTGTGTCTCATAAGGTTCTCTGTTAGAACGAGCTGCTAAAACACTTCAGGGCTTTGTGAAACCAAGCACTGGCCATTATAATGAAATCCTGTGAACTGTAGCTGCACCAACAGAAAGACTGGAATAAGCCTGCAGGAATACCAAGAGTTCATGGGGTGTATAGAGAAAAATGGAATAATTCCTTTCAATCTTTATATACATAGGCACCTAAGGTTGGTATTATATTATATTCAGGCATTTCATGTGTCGAATCTGCCCTTGGCCCCGAAGCCTTTCAGGCAGCGCTTCGAGTCGCGCTAGGTGTGTACATGTAGAATTAAAACATTCTCTTCATTTAGATTGAGCCATGTAGCTGAGATTCAGCCATGGGGCCTTGGTTCAATGCATCCCAGACCCAAAAATGTACATGCCCCTTTGTGATCTCTTCATTGGATAGGACCCTCTGCCTTGACAATATTCGTTGCTTTCTGTCTATTTAACAAGGTAAAATGTCCTGCATCTGCGCCAACTTACACACCTTTCCTGCATGAATCAAATATTAAGACGAACAAATCCAGTGTATTGAGAGCTTTCTTGGCATCTGGATTACCATTCTTCATGATTCAACATGCCAGACATTGAAAACGTTCATGAAAAGCGTTAAGAAGAAGGTAGTAAAGCTCAAAATAACCCTCATGGAGAGTGCGACATCATAGCCGCGGAAAATGCTGCCCTGGTTGAGCCTGACAAGCCAGAGACGGAACAGAAACAACAGGATGGAAATTTACTAATGAGGCTACCTCCAGAGCTCCGAGATGACATATATTTTCATTCATTTTCTTCGACTCGATTTATGTATGGAGAGAGATCCAGACTCGAACAAAGACACAGATTCTTGCAGCCATACACACGTATATCTAGTCTTATGCCCCAGAGCCTTTTTCCACCTCCTCATGGCCTCACGCTATTTCGTAGCTGTCGCCAAGTACATCTCGATATTGGTAATGTATTGGTTGGAGCATGTCACCCTTTGTTTTGAGTCTCCAAGTGCAATGCTCCGCCAGTTGAGCGAAGTGCCTCTGGAGACACGCTCACTGATTCGACATGTGCGGATTGCAAGTAATGCATTACAGGTTCCTTTAAGTTATCCAAAAGAAAAGAAGGCTATTGATGGGTGCTTTCAACTCTTACTTCAAATGAACCTTGACACGCTGACGGTATTTGGCCCTGCAATTCCTTGCTGGTCTCATGGAGACTTGGATCTCTTTATCAAGTACGGCAGAGGATGGAAAGAGCTTCGCTACATAACACATACCTCGGCTTTCGTCGACACAATATCCTCCCGCAGCGGAAAGACAATCACAATGCCTAGCGAACCGCAACCTGCAGCCTGGCAGCGTGATCTTGAGAACCGCGATGGCCCAAACTCCGGAGCTTCTGTTACCACGTACAAGTCGCAGAACCCAAAACCCCGTGTCTGTTACGTGGCCAACTATGCGGACGGAGTTGTCATATCCTCCAACTCCAACAACGGGTGTCGATTATTCGGGCGCAGACGGGATTTCCCCAAGCCTAGATTGGAAGAGGACAAAAGAGTCATCTTAATCGTGGTAAAGCGTGGCAAAATGCAGATTGGCAAGAATTGTAGAGAGCAGATGACCAGGAGGATCAGGAGTCTTTAGATTTCCCATGGGTGAGGACCAGAGACAATACGGTACTCACACGATAAGATTTAGAGAGACTGTGTACTATTTACGACCTTGACAATACCAAGTTTTCTGGAGAATCAGGCAGACATGTTAATGAAGTTTACGACCGCAAGTCAAAGATGTTTGAGGTGGGCAATTACAGACACGTAGACGACTGTACGTTTCCGCCACATAGTTTTCGAACCGATCTTTTTACTCTCTTTCCTTGTGTACACCTAGTAAAGTTCAGATAATGTCCACCTAATGCGATATGAGCAGGGAGATACTTTAGGTAGGAACTGGCTGTCTTAGATGTCTTGGCTTTGCTTCATGAAATCTGTTTTGAGATTGGTCTCCTCTTGACTTTTCGTTACGCTTATGTTCTCTAGAGTGATTTGCTATAAAGACTTATTTATAGCTGGAACATAGGTATCAATCAGCTCGCTAGGCCCCGCTGACAGACACACGAAAATTCCGACTGGCCGTTATGCGCAGTATCTAGTCTTCAGACAGAATTACCCCCACTCTATTAGTTATCTACATAGTTCTAATTATAAAAAATTTTTTTGTTGAAAGTTTGACCAGCAGCCAGCGATCTGAACCTCTGCAATCAAGTACCGTCAGGACACGTGTTTCTTCATTGAATGAAAAGGCTATAAAGACAAAAGCATGAAATATTGTTTTCCTGTGGCCACCCGCCCGACGAGCATCTAATTCGCCGATTAGTGGCAAGGCACCGGATTCTCCTGAGGACTATGTGGCCTATTTGTACCAAGAGTTAGGCACTGGCTGATTGGCCGAAAGTGGAAGTTATCGAAACGCAGAAACAGACCTTGGCTTATCCTACGGTTGTATGAATGAAACGCCATGATAGCATTTCAGGGCCCGCACCGAATAGCCTGCCCAATCAGGCTAAATAATTTAATACAATAAGCCTGGAGGGAAACAAAAATTCATGAGCCATTGTTACTTTTTGCCCTTTACCCGCTTGCAAACGCGAGTTTTGCCGAGATTCCGCTCAAGGGAATATATATTAGAACAGGGGTTTGTGAATCAATCTAGGCGGCTCAAGGCAGGCGGGTCTCCTCTTGAACGTCTTCAAACTACACTCCATCAATCTGCTCTATCAATGGTAGCGGCTCTGACAATAGTATTATGGTCGCATTAGGCCGGTAGAAGACGGCAAAATATAATGTAACTACATGCATGCTTGAGATACTTCCGTGCCAGCCTATATCGCCTCAGAGACTATTGCCGATTCACATAGCCTGTCAAAAGTATATTGGCTCGGATGACTGTAGTTGTAGCACTTACGCCGCGTAGAAAACAACGTAAAAGGGGCTGCAACGTCGCCTGGTTGCCACAAAATTTGTAACCTTCAGGTCTCTCTGCCCAAACCCCCTTTCTCAGTCCATATAGCAAGCAATATGGCGCCTCCCAGCACACTGCCGCTGGCCGCTGCTGTTCTGGCTTTGGCTGGGATTGTCACGGCTCAGCAACCGGGTACAAGCACTCCTGAGGTCCACCCCAAGTTGACGACGTATCAGTGTACGACGTCGGGAGGATGCGTGGCTCAGGACACCTCGGTCGTCCTGGACTGGAACTACCGCTGGATGCACGACGTCAACTACAACTCGTGCACCGTCAATGGCGGCGTAAACTCTACAATCTGCCCCAACGAGGCGACTTGCGGCACCAACTGCTTCATTGAGGGCGTCAACTACACTGCTTCGGGTGTCACAACCTCTGGCAGCTCGCTCACCCTGAACCAGTACATGCCCGCCACCACCGGCGGATACAGCAGCGTGTCCCCTCGACTCTATCTCCTGGACGCCGATGGAAACTACGTGTTGCTGCAATTGAATGGCAAGGAGCTGAGCTTCGACGTCGACATATCAGCTCTGCCCTGTGGAGAGAATGGCTCGCTCTACCTCTCTCAGATGGCTGCCAACGGCGGTGCCAACCAGTACAACACCGCTGGTGCCAACTATGGAAGCGGCTACTGCGATGCCCAGTGCCCCGTTCAGGCGTGGAAGAACGGCACCCTCAACACCAACAACTCGGGCTACTGCTGCAACGAGATGGACATCCTCGAGGGCAACTCGGAGGCCAATGCTTTGACTCCCCACTCCTGCACGGCCACGGCCTGCGACTCCAGCGGCTGCGGCCTCAATCCCTATGCTAGCGGATTCCACAGGTGAGAGAAGATGCACCGTAGCAGTGTTGTTGAGATGACTGTTTGTTAATAAACTAACGCCTTATACCTTATACTTCTTATAGCTACTATGGCCCTGGATTGACTGTTGATACCTCCAAGCCCTTTACCATCATCACCCAGTTCAACACGGATACCGGCAGCCCTTCCGGCAACCTTGTCAGCATCACCCGCAAGTACATCCAAAACGGCGTTTCCATCCCAAGCGCCCAGTCTGGTGGCGACATCATCTCCTCATGCCCGTCAGCCTCGAACTATGGCGGCCTCAACACCATTGGCAAGGCTCTGACCTCGGGCATGGTCCTAATCTTTAGCATCTGGAACGACAACAGCGGCTTCATGAACTGGCTGGACAGCGGCAGCAGCGGCCCCTGCAGCAGCACCGAAGGCAACCCGGCCACGATTCTGGCCAACAACCCGAACACTCATATCACCTATTCCAATATCAAATGGGGAGATATCGGCTCGACTACCTCCAATGGCAGCTCACCACCTCCCGTCTCCAGCTCCAGCTCTAGTTCAAAGCCGCCTGCCAGCTCGACGACTCTGAGGACCAGCACAACTACGTCCAAGACGTCGACGGCTCCCCCGAGCTGCACGCAGACTCACTGGGGCCAGTGCGGTGGTAACGGCTACACCGGCTGCAAGACTTGCGCCTCGGGTACAACTTGCCAGTATAGTAACGACTGTGAGTACAGCATAAATGTCCCTAAGACAGATTTTCAGATTCTAACTATGTGAACTTAGACTACTCTCAATGTCTTTAGACCTTGACACTGTGGCTACGGAGAAACAGAGCAGGCCACAGGCTCTGGCGGCAGATTGATTCAGCAAAAGAAAGGAAAAATGCAAAAAAAGACAAAAAATTAAGCGCATCTATTCTTCGAGTACATATGTATTGTTTTTACTATCTTATAGCCACCTTGTACTTAGAATCTCTCCCCGTATAGATAATTAGATCCATAGTGAGTGGAGCAGATGGGCGATGAACATTATACATATTATTATGACGAAGAAGTTTACGTGAAGCTGCTAAAGAAAGGTGATACTGATATAGCGATGAATTAATCAGGATAGCAACCGCATCTGCTACTCTCTCAATACATGGGGCCTCAGCTTACTGATACTTGGAAGATTTCAACTGCCGGCCGTTAGTAGAATACAACTCTTCGAGTTGGTAGCTGTATATCGGGAAGAGCTGACCTTTCTCATAATCCCTTGCGATTAATTGTCTTGAGCTGGGCCAAGTACTAAGTATTACTACCACGAGTGACATCCCGTAGTGGCCATGAGATCAACAAATGCGATTCCGTGGCTGTAAAAGCTGCATAAGTCACAATCACATAAAAGGAATAAGCTATTTGGTAAATATACTTATTCTTAATTACGCATAGCCTCTGTAGAAGCAAGGCGTTCGAGAAGGCATTCAATAGTCCGTGCAGCGATGGCCGCTATGCCGCTGGAGCTAGCCGTAGTCGCTCTGTATAAGTGGTGAACTTATGATCTTCTTGGGCGAGCGAATCAGATGAGACGGTGATCATTGTTCAGCTAGGACTATACTACTGTGGGATCAGGTTTCCGACTGCCATAAGATACCCAGACCTAGTATCAGCTCTGTCTAAGGGGCATCGTCTCTGCTACAGCCTTACCAAGACGATGACAGCTGACGCTATGAGTACAACAGGCACTTATACGTCCATCATTGAAGCCACTATCGATATATTGCATTTAGAAAATGAAGTTGGTTTGTAGAGTTTTCGTGCAAATTACGCAGTAAGCAATCCCTTTTCCAGGTTAAGATTACCATTATCTCACCACTGAAATCGCCGAGGATGCGATTAAACCAAAATCTCTTTGCATCTGCTCAGCCTAGCATTCTCGACTACAGTACAAACTGAATACTGGATCAATCTCATTAATGACGCCGCTTCTCGATGGAATCTACGCCATTGTAAACAACGTTTTGCATTATCCATTTCTCGACCTTGATGGCGTCACCAATCCCTTTGCAACCCCCATCGCTGGTGTTGTCGGATTGTAAGTTCTCTCAATCTATAAGATGGTGACAAAACTCGTCAGCCAATATGTCTTCAGTACTAATATGGCGCTGGGACCAAGAACCTATTAAGTCAAACCACCCACTTGGTGGCCACCCCTACTTAGTGGCCACCTCAATACAAATTTATATAGGTTATTACAGTGGATAGTAACTATACTTCGCCCAGGTGTCTACAGTCTGCAGTCAGCCTAAGGATTTAGTTGGCGCCAGCGCAAGAAGACCAAATAGTATCGAATACAGGGCTTCTTACAGTAAGTAGTCTAATTCTTGACGCAGAAGCTGAAGCACCAAAGTGAGGGGAATGACTAAAATTAGTAATACGCTGGACGTGCGTATCACAGCCCGGACTGAATCCTTCATTCTGGCCTCGGTGATCAAAGCTCACAGTGGACAAACATCACAAATCTGCAGAACGCCTCCTACCTAGGGCTTGTCAATTGAGTACTATACTTCTTCTCCGTTCAGGTAAGGGATCCTCTCTTCTTTCATAGCACCCCGACAATGCCTTTTCAATGTCATTTGTATCCTACTAAATGCGACTGATTACTGTTCCAGCGGCGAAAGTGTTGCGAAAAGAGCTTGCCCGCGCTGCAGAATGGCCGAACAAACTGTTGTCAAAATCCCATTTGCCTACCGGGCGCTTTTCCTTTATTTTGAACCTTTTGCAGCATTGTTCGGCGCTGTGCTGCTTCATTTCCGCCCACAGCTATTCCTCAATACAATGTCTCCGATTGCGAGATACGCGTCAGACAATCAGGTCATCTACGACCAGCTCTCGGCGACGTACACTTTATTTGCCTTCAATGAGGCTGTCCTTTTGCGTGTTACAAAGGATTTGCGTGTCTGGAAAGCACTGCTGGTTGGCATTCTCGTGTGTGATGCTATACATCTGTATGGAAGCTGGGCGGCACTTGGCGGCGATGTGTTCTGGGACGTTCGATCCTGGAGGGCCGAAGACTGGGCGAATCTCGGAAGTCTTTGGGGACAAGGAGCCTTTCGGGTGGCCTTCTTGGCGGGAATTGGACTGAAAGAAGCTACACCTGTGAAGAGAGAATGACTGGGCACTGATACAATTAGGTCGTTATGAAGCGTGGGGTTGGAGCTCTAACACTGATATTTAACATCAGGTTACATAGTGAGACTTGCTATGTCTATGGGGGAACTGGCAGTATAGATATATGTCCATACTTGATGCGGTGTTAGTAGTACTATCTGATAGATCCAAGTTTTCAGATAGCCTGTAGAACAATTTAACGATACAGGTATAGATAAAGGTACAATTAAAGCAACATAAAACTAGAGAATCGAATAATCTGTCGTGTTGGCATCTGTTATTTGGGCATGCTCCTCCATCTGGCCATGAACCTCCCATTACTGCTCCATCAGACGAGCATCGAATGGAATTGCGTCCCAACGCACCCGACGCAAATGACGTTTTGGATCCTTGATGCTGTGCCGTGCGTGCAGCCAGCGGCGATTATCCATCAGTATAATGGTCCCTGCGGGAAAGTCCTTGGCGGTGAGATGCACCGTTGACTGTGATTGAGCATTGGCATCTTGCACGGCCTCCTCTAGCTCTTGCAGTGCTTTTGAGGCCCGCTCCGTCAAAGCTGTTACGAGATCTCTCCTGAAGCGTAGCATGTTTTGCTGACCTTGTTCGTCAGCGGTCATCAGACTCCCTATAATGTTCTGTTTCCGGGGGTCTTTGATGAACTCTGGAGGAATTGTGATGCTGTACTCTCGTCGCATAAGAGACGCTCGGGTGGACGAGGAGAGAGACAGGCTTAGCCGTTGAGTGTTCATGGCCGACAAGGTCCCTCCACCGAATCGATCTTCCTGGAGAACGTGGAGTGCAAAGTATCGTGGCGGCAAGTCTTCATAGCTGCAGTCGGTGTGCCAAGGGAACTCTTCCATCGTTTCAGACCGAGCCTGGTGGTTGGCAGTCTGGAAAACGGTGCTGTTGGGCCTCACATCCCAGAACCACCCGCGTGAGGCGCTGTGAGATATGGGAAGCTGATGGCCATGATGTTGATGAAGACTTTGGACTAGTTCCTTCAGGTAATCGCTGTCAGGATCTGAAAAACCCAGGCCGATTTTGAGTATGCCGTGTTTCTGGAGGTTCTCGTGCACGCTGCGAATATGACACGGTTGTGTGGCGTGCTCGAGATCAGATGCTGTCAAATGAGGTACGACGGGAGGGATCACAGCAGAAACTGATGCTGCGCAATGCCGGCTGGATGTGGAGATCTGGGCGAAATTGCCACATCTTGCAGCCGAAAAATGTATTCTGGGAGTTTTGCCAGAGCACATGTAATGCGCGATCCCGACAGATGGTAGACGCATTTTCAGAGGCTTGAAGTTCATGGCCATTGCGAATAGGAAGATTGACCGTCATTAGTTTATCTCTCCCAAGGCACTTCCTCTGTATTACTGAGATTGATACTCATATTATTCAGATTTTGACTAATCTGAATTTCCAAGGCCGTCGCCCTTGCAGTAATATCCTCTTACCTCGGGCCTTGGCTTCGTCATAGGCGATACACCAAATCGCGATGGGTGACACAGATAAGAATAGGAGCTCAGCTCAACTGAGACAATGTAATGATACGTGTACACCGCTATTTTACGTTCCCGAGCTGTGTAACCTTCTCTAGGCGGAAACCTGAGACATTGTGTTACCTTCAAGTTGGACGCTGACATCCATCTCATGGTGGTCTATATCTCCTAGAGCATTTTCGTTGCTCAGCACCTTTTGCATTCTGGCCTTTCTCAAAAGTATTAGCCCTTCGCTATTGCCTCAGCATGGCAAAATCTGATATCTCTTCTCACTTTAAACTTCGGCCGAGAGGGGCGACCACGTTGAAGTGGCCTATTCTTCTCGGCTCTCTAGCCGTGTACATCTTATTCTGGAAATGTTGTAAATTCTCTGCTTTCAATCTTCAACAAACGCTGCTCTCTGTTCCCTCCGCCGAGCACGTACGCAACTGGAGCGCCTACTACACCTCGGAAGCGCATTTTGTCGGCCAAGGCTTGAGCCAGGCGCAGTGGACTGAAGCTAGATGGAAAGAATTTGGTATCACTGATACTCGAATTGCTTCCTACAATACTCTGGTACCAGTGCCAACAGGCCATCAGCGATTGGCCCTCCTTCGTGGAGATGAAGTCCTCTATGAAGCGCCGTTGGTAGACGATTTCACCACCAAGGGACCTGCTGGAAACAGCAGTTTCTTGCCTGCCTACTTAGGTTTTTCAACCAATGGCAACATATCAGCTTCTTATGTCTTTTGCAATTTCGGCAGTGCAGAAGACTTCCAAGACCTTAAACGAGCCAATGTCGACGCCAAAGGGAAGATTGGCATCGTCAAGCTGGCCAATGCATCACCGTACTTGGGCCTTCGTAACCTACTGGTCTTTAGAGGAGAGCAATTAGTAAATGCTGGAAGGGCAGGCCTGATTGCCGTTGTCTTTTATACTGATCCTCAAAACGACGGCCCTATTACTGAAGCCAATGGATACAAAACGTTTCCAGCCGGGCCAGCACGACCACCTGCGGCCATCGAAAGAGGGACAGTTGCTACAGGCAGTAAGCAATAAGCCTTTCACACCTCATCTCGCTGCTTTATACTCACAAACGATATCTAGATCACTTTCGCGATTCAAAGTCTCCCAAAGTTCCCTGCATACCCATATCTTACGCTGATGCCATTCACCTTTTGGGGGCTTTGAACGGCCACGGGCCTTCAGCAGAGGAACTCGGTCCTCGCTGGCATGGCGGTGGTCTTGAATTCTACGGCGTACACTACAATGTCGGGCCTTCGCCTGCCGGTATTTTGCTTCACCTCATCAACGAAGCGGATGTTGTCGAGACTCCGGTTCACAACGTAATTGGCACTATCCCTGGGGTTATCTCTGATGAAGTTGTCATCCTTGGATCCCATCGTGACTCTTGGGGTCATGGCGCCGGAGATCCGGGCAGTGGTTCCGCAGCCCTGAACGAAGTTGTGCGCAGCTTTGGCGTAGCACTCCGGCATGGCTGGCGGCCACTTCGTACCATTGTTTTCGCGAGTTTCGAAGGTGAGGAGATTGGTCAGGTGGGCTCCTCCAATTGGATCACGGACCACTCAAAATGGTTGAAAGCCTCTGCCGTTGCATATCTCAACGTTGTTGTTGCTGCGGCCGGGTCCAGCTTCAAGGCCAAGGCCAGTCCACTTCTTTATAGGGCAGTACTTACCGCTACAGATACCGTTCCTTCGCCGAATCAGACTGTGGCTGGTCAGTCGGTGCGAGACGTCTGGGGAGGGTCCATTGGCACTCCAGGTGGTGGTGATGCCATATCCTTTCAGGGCATTTCTTGTGTTTCCGCCGTTGATTTCAGCTTCTCCCAAGGTATAGGAGACGGCGCCTTTCCATATCATACCGGCTTCGATAGCTTTGAATGGATGGACCAAGTCGGTGACCCTGGGTGGAAATACCATATCACTAGCGCAAAGATATGGTCAATCATGGCTGCGTATCTTACAGAGTCTGCCGTGCTGAAGACGAGTGTTGCTGATTATGCATCGGCATTGCAGAAGTGGATGGATGAACTTTGCAGCAGTAATCTGTGCTCTCCCGAAGTTGATCTGGCCGTGATGATCAGCGCAGTCAAGCGTCTAGCACAAGCCGCAAAGAGGTTTGACAGCTATGCTGAATCACTGAGTGCGTCTCGGAATACCTGGTGGAGACTCTGGTCCGGAAACAAGTTGAATGCGGCAATTCGTGGCGCCAACAAGGTTTATATCGCGTTCGAGCGTCAATTCTTCCACGAGCGAGGCGCAGATACGTTCCCCAGCTTTCATCATGTTCTGTATGGGCCAGCCGCTTGGCATGCCGAGCAACCACCTCTCGCAGCACTACATGACAATCTGAGAAAGAAGAACTGGGAAGATGCCATGGTAAGAAGCAGTTATTTCTGTATGCTTTTGGAATTGTCAAGCTAACGATAGCAGGAATGGAGAGATGCTATGGCAGAAAAAATCGATGATGCTGCCCGGCTGCTAGAGGATCATCTTGACGAGGTAAACCAAAAAGACAATGCCTGGACTCTATAAGCAGACGCTTTTTGAGGGCTACACCAAGAGTTATCGAGCCATAGAAGGCCTCGGGTCGATTTATTAAATCCATTACTACATACCGTCACAATACTAATAAGTAATATTGAGCTATTTCACCTGACCCTTTCAAAACTTAGATATCTCGTAGTATGAGCCGGAAGTATAAGTTGATGTACATAATAGTAGCAGGTTATACCAGCCCGTGTCATGGTGACGGGCCTTTTGCTGCTGTAGCTGGCCAAGGTTACCCCGGTCCCCAGCCGTCTCCATATCTGCAGGGAGGCGATAGCAACTCTTTTGACAGCGAGCACCGACACCTACACGGGCAAATGCTTGTCATAGGTTGGATGAAGGAGTTGTACAAGTACGCTAGTAGTAGCTGTTTGCAATTTCTCGTTTTTCTTATACCGCTCGGTTTAGTGTACTGGCTCGCCGTGAGAGTGTGATGAGACATGTGTGACTGGCACTATATTCTTGGCACAGGTAGTAGAATACGAATGTACTGTGAGATTAGCATGAGACATTGGAGGCCCAGGTGCTACGTCATTTTTTGGTACTGAGCGATTTAGCTCTTTAGTAATAATACTATCATGCACGCTTAGCTGTAGTAGTAATATCAGCTCACCGTAAGAGTAATACAAGACATCGGTAACTTCCAGTAACTCGTTGGCCATCCAGTCCTAATGTGAAACGACTGCGTACCACTCGCCTGTAAAATATTGTCTCATTTTAACCATGGCTAACTTCCGCCCCCACTTTCCTACCCGACTCCTCTGTGTTTCACATGTTAGAGCTTTTCGTCGTCATATGCATGGCCGTATAGCAGTGTCGCCGTATAGCAGTGTCGCCGTATAGCAGTGTCTTTGCAGGGCCGAGACATGCCGCGCTTCCTCGCCTTGGTCATTATCAGTCTAGCATGTCATGGCGGCTGCCAAAGGCTTCCCGCTCTGTGATCGCTGTTGTCTTTCTGACGGCTGGCCCGAGCAAGCCTAGCATAATGACAACTCATAACTGAGTAATCATGACAGGAAGCATTCTGCAGTCTCATAGGCAATAGGGAAGTATTAGACGCACCAAAATTGACTATTCTGTTCTGTTCAGTTGACATCCACATGCTAACATGTTCCTCATGAATTGCAAAATGTGAGTATCGCTGGAGCATGTAGCTCATGGTCCAGTATCAACGGCCACTATTCACAGATAGGGAGTGAGAAAAAAAGAAGACACAAAAATGTCTTAGAGCTACGAGCAATTTGATTCACACTTGGCTTATACTCCTTGAGGTATAATATTTCACAACATTTTGATTTTGTCTTTTCTGATCGGTTTTGCTTGTGAACAGGCAAAAGCGTGTGAATTTCTCCAACTGACTACAACATCTTGATGGTCTATGTACTACCTCAGTAAATGAGATATCAGCCTCAGCTCTTGGACACAAATTGAGTTTATTTTCCTTGAAGCTGGCCTCTAAACCATTTAGATGGATGAATCAACACCTCTTCTGCAACACCAGCCTCACCATCTTTCCCAGAGACGGCTTTTGGTCATCTTTCCAGCACTCGCTTTGATACACTTTATTTCCTTTCTCGACCAAACAGCTATTTCAACGAGTCTGCCAGCCATCGCAGCTTCGTTGAATATCGGCGCGTCCATCTCGTGGGTGGGAGCGAGCTTCCTCGTCACCAGCACCAGCATCCAGCTCATCAATGGCCGGCTGTCGGATATATTTGGCCGCAAGGCCTCTCTGGTCACGGCGATCTCGATCATGGGCTTCGCAAACTTGCTCTGCGGCTTTTCCACGACACCTGTAGAGTTGTTTGCCTCGCGCGCTCTCGCCGGGTTTGGCGCTGGAGCCATTAATGCCCTCGTTCAGATTGCCATCGCCGACATCACGACGTTGGAGCAGCGCGGCTACTATTTCGGCATTATGGGCATAGCGGTAGCTCTTGGAAACGGCTTGGGTCCTGTTATCGGCGGACTGCTCACCCAGGCGGTTGGATGGCGATGGGCGTTCTGGTTTGTCTGTCCCTTGTGCGTTATCGCCATCGTCTATCTTGTTTCAGTGTGGCCTGTTTCCCGCCCTGTCTCCAGTGAGTATCAAATCTGGGACAAGCTGAAGCTGGTGGACTGGGCGGGAGCTCTGGCGAGTCTGTTTGGCATCGCATTGCTTTTGGTAGGAGATGCAAATGGCCTCTCACCATCATCAATACGTATATTCTAACGCTGCGCCATCGTCTAGGTTCCGATATCGCAAGGCAGTTCCACCCAATCCTGGAGCTCGCCGATGACGATAGCCATGCTTATTGTTGGCGGAGTACTGCTCGGTGTCTTCTTGGCGATCGAATTCCGATTTGCGAAGCTGCCGCTGTTGCCGGCTCGATTGTTCCGCTACGGCCGCTCCACCAATATCCTGATCTTTGCCAACATCCTTATCGGCTGGATCTTCTGGGGCAACATGTTTGTTCTACCGCTGTATCTGCAGAATGTCCGCGGATTGAGTCCTGCCCAGGCCGGAGCCCTGATGCTGCCCATGGTCATCACTCACGGGCTGACATCCGGCCTGACCGGCATTCTCATATCCCTGACTGGGCGTTATAAGCCCATCATCGTTGCTGGAGCTGTTTGCTGGGTCCTAGCCGCCATTGGAAAGATGCATTACCACCAGACGACCCCGGTGTGGGAAATCATAGTGGTTGGTGTCTTTGACGGCGTGAGCGTAGGATGCTCTCTGCAGCCCGGTACGTGCTTCTTACTCATGTACAACTTGTCCTCTATTCGCTAACCATGCATCTACAGTCCTTGTTGGTCTTTTCGCTGGGTCCGATGCCCAAGACCGAGCTGTCCTGACCGGATTACGAAATTTCCTGCGAGACTTTGGAGGAGCAACTGGAACTACTAGTACGTGTGCAGTTGGTCGGCTATAAAGCCATCCATCATTCATCATAATAAGGCAGTCTAACAAATATCTAGTCTCTGGCACTATCCTAAGCAACATGCTCTATAGACAATTGAAGTCGACATTTAGCTCCGACTTCATAGCGAAACTAGCATCATCAGCCTTCGCGTTAAAAGACCTGGATCTAACCAATGAAGAGCGAAGTATGATCTCTCGGGCGTACACGAATGGCCTCCGTGCAGTCTTTGCTGGTTTTGCCGTGCTTAGTGCCATTTATCTTTGTGCATGCCTATGTATTCGTGATTATGGCCTAGGCCGAGAAAGTAACAAACAACAGCAGAGAGCCATTGTGGAAGCGAGCAGAGAGACGAACGGTGGTGATGAATAACGACGAATTCGTGTATTGGAACACCAAATGGTAAATAGTTGATGTAGGCTTATATAAATCTCTGTCGCTTTTATATATGAATCTAGGAGGCGATTGTACGAACTGCAAAGGTAATTACAGCGGCAGTCTTCCATAAAGTGGTTTTTTTACATAAAGATGACATCTATAAGAAGAATCTCAATCTCAAAATCGTTACGCGTCTGCGAAGAGCGTGCCATTGAGATACTTGAGACCAGTATCGACTGCCACTGTGACCACCTTCTTCCCAGGTCCCAGCTCTTTAGCCAGCTCTATAGCAGCAGCAATATTCAAGCCAGATGATGTTCCAACGAGCAGCCCTTCTTCCTTTGCAAGACGGCGACACATAGCCCGGGCTTCTGCCTCGGGGATGGCTCGAGCCTCGTCGTACATCGATTGATCGAGATGCGGCGGAATAATGCCACAGCCAATGCCCTCAACGCTATGGCTTCCCTTTTCACCTTTCGTGATGATCGGTGATTCTGCAGGTTCTAGCACTACTGTCTTCGCAGAAGGATATTTCGACCTCAGGGAGCTGGCTACACCAGTGAACATGCCTGCAGTGCCGACAGCACCGCAGAAGCCGTCAATACCGTCGCTAATTTGTTCGACCAGCTCCTTTCCAATCTTTCCATAACCAACCAAAGCGTCAGTATTGTGGAATTGATCAGTGTAGTAGCAGTCTTTGTCTTTGCTGAGCTCCTTTGCACGATCCATCATCCTCGGGATCAGGTCGGGGGTGACTTTTCCCGTAGGGCTATGCACAATCTCAAGATCAGCTCCAAATGTAGTCATCGTGCGTAGCTTTTCCATTGAAAAGGCGTTTGAAGACACAACTAGAAACCGATAACCCTTGGCAGCGCAGACAAAAGCCAACGACGATCCTGTGCTGCCGCCGGTGGCTTCAACAACCGTCATACCGGGTTTCAAATCTCCGCGTCGTTCTGCCTCTTCTACCATCGAGAGAGCCATGCGGTCTTTGTAGCATCCTGTGGGGCCGAAGAATTCCAACTTGACATACACCTCTGCGGCATCCTTTGGCACGACATGGTTCAGGCGCACTATTGGAGTGTTTCCAATGGCGCCTAGGATGCTGGTGACGGGTTTGGGGGGAGCTGGATTCATATTGCAAAGTTTTGAGGGAGCTTTATGGAATCAGAGGTATGAAAAAGTAGTGGTGCGGCGCAAGTGTATAAGGCGCAGCATAGTTCGGCAAGATCGGTATACTTGCCATTTATGGTATTTTCTGTCGCCCTAGAAAACCCAAAAACGAATTGAATTTTTATGACTCTTAGCATTGCAACTCCTCGGAGGCTTAAACGGACCATATGCCGCGCTGAATAAGGGCATGGAGCTAATGCTGCTCTCCACCATTGAAACTACATCCAGCGCCCTACTCATGACACGATCCCAAAATATGTACATTGCTCTTACGCAACTGTGTTGAAAAGATGCCGTTGATTGGCCATATTTGCGCCTCATTTCTGGACAAGCAGGGTATTCCACCGCTTCAGACAACTAAGAGTAAACACATCCGCGGCCCGGTCAAGTACAATCCTCATTCTTACTGTATCTGATGACGTGTGTCATTGGCTTAGCTTCCGTGGATCGGTTAAAAGTCGAGCCATTGTACTTTGTTACCATGCATAAACTATAGCACATACCATACGTAGGAATAAACTATCCCTTTCGAGATCAATACCGCTTTCACAACCATGGGAGATGAGTAAACAGTTATGACTCATGCGGTTCATCTACGTGAGGCTGACAGTCAACAATGAAAATCCGAACCGGGATAGAAATTGACTTTTCCGATGCCATATTGATATCTAATTAGAGTTGCTAAAGTGCCTGAAACAGATGAATATGGTTCAATGGTTCAATTCCAGATGCTCCTATTCTCACCGATTTTTGAATGTGTTCTCTGTGCTCACAAAAATGTAGAACCGTAAGCCCGCATGATTCCAACAGTTGCATTTCTCGAGCGGCGAGCATTTAAACTTCAACACTCCGCAGTCGAAACATCTCTATTGCGCAATCAACATTAAAGATCACTAGGTTCTTCTTAACTATCTATCCCAAAGTCGCATCTAGAATTGACCCAGTACGCTTGGCCCTTATATAAGATGCATCGACAGTATCGGCAGGCTATGACTTGCAGAAGCGAAAGTATTACGAATTATTATTATAAGTATAAGTTAAAAAACATGAATCAGTTGTTAAATATGTGCCCAGCCAGTTTACATTACGTTAGTGAACATCCCATTCATTCAAGTATTGAGTCATTACTCGTCGTCAAATTGCTGCTGGCCACGCTCTTCCTTGTCGAGGGATAGTTCTTCAAGACCCAGGGAAATTAAAAAACCTAAGCCGCTAATACCCGTCATGGTGTAGAAGATAGCTTTGAAAGCATCCAAGTATGCTTTCCGAATCAATAACAATACATCTGATGGTATGTCAATTGTCCTTAATTTCGGGATAAATTCAATGGCCGTGTTTGCATTCCCAAGCACTTGAAGATTGGCCGGCAGATCTGGAATGATCTTGGAGATGGAAGGCCCAAATGCGTTGCTAAAGATTGTTGAGCTGATAGCTAGGCCCGTGAGGCCGCCGAGCAAACGAGCAAACATCAGCAGGCCAATAGCGACACCAGTGTCGTCAATATTAGCCACGCTGGCTTGCATCGGGAGCTGAGCTATCCGAAGAAGAGCACCAATTCCTAATCCCCACACGATAGGGAGACCGTATTTCATGGCCGTAGATGTGGACACGCTGAATAGAGATAACAATCCTGATCCCACAGTTAAGGTGATCCAAGATATCCACATAGGCCATCTGTAACCCTTCAGGGGGCCAACCAGGGCTGCAGATGAGCCGGCGGCCAAAACAGAAATAATACTGGTGGGAAGCAGTGACAGGGCAGAACGAATGAGCGTCTCGCCAGCGACAGCCTGGTAGAAGAATGGGAGATACTGCAGAAGAGAAAACAGCAATATCCCGTGTAAGACTGCTGTAACCAGCGTCACTGAAGCAGTGCGTGGATAAAAGATGCGATGCGGAATGATGGGTCTCGATGGCTTAGATTCATACCAAGCAAACACTATGAGACCGAGAATGCCCACCACGAAGGGGAGTAAAGTCTTCCATGACTGCCACGAATAAAGTGTTCCTCCCCATGTGAGGGGCAATACAAATAGCGTGCATGCTGATGTAAAGATGGCCATTCCTATCCAGTCCAATTGCTTTGTCCTTTGCATCAGAGAATTGTCAATCGGTTTCAACTTTAAACAAAAGAGGATAAGCGGGTATGCGACGCCAATAAACGGAAGATTTATCCAGCCAATCCATCTCCAACTGGCATATTGGACGAGGACTGCAGCTAAAGACGGGCCAAGAATGCTCCCAACTGCAATAGGGATGGCCATAAGCCCCAGATAAACAGGCCGGTCCTTCAGCGCAACCATGTCGGCGACAATGATCTCACTGAGAACATCCATTCCTCCTCCTCCCAAGCCCTGTATCAATCGTCCGCTGATTATGGCAGGCATGTTAGGTGCAAGCCCAAAGACAATCGATCCAACGGTGAATAAGAAAAAGGCAATTTGGAAGAGAGGCTTGCGGCCGTATATGTCAGACATGCTTGTATACAACGGTTGCGTGATGACGGTCGCAAGAAGAAAGGCGATGCCAGCCCAGAAGGACTGCAGCGTCGTGCCATGGAGCTGCTCTGCAATTGACTAGAGAAGTTAGCATTGAACCTCGATTGAAGACAATTTGTTAATTGGTAGCTTACGGGAATTGCTACCGAAAGGCTGGTAGAGTCAAGAGCGAAAATGAAGCAAGCAATATTGATAGCCAAAAAAGCAAGATGGAACTTGATCGGCTTCTTCTTCGTTGGCTGTCTAACAGTAGCATCGTTGTTAACGTCTACTTCACCAGCAGCGTATACAGTAGTTGAGGCCTCTTTTGAGCCATTGTTGTGGCAATGCGCAACTCTTTGAGGGGCAGGAGATATCCCAGCATGCGAAGAAGCGTTTTGTTGTGGCTCAATTGACTCCTTTGGGCTGCCGTCTACCATTGTCGAAAGCGTGCGAAACAAAAATGCATTGAAGTTGTAGAAAACGCTTCTGGCTGGTGATTTCGAGATTTCGAAGAGACGTACGCTATCGGCAATGTCAAGTGGTAGAAAAATAATACACGAAACAGCATGGAAGAAGCAAGTTGTAATTCAAGTCTAGGGTTTAACTATGTACCAGTGTCGAATGTCGGTTGTCATGGCCGTTGCAGTTTCTATTTGGCCGCAATTCCTCTGCTTTAAGACGATCCCTCAGAGGAAAACAACCTAGAACCTTTAGAGAAAGAAGTTGCCGGAGCTAACAAAAACAAACAGGGGGAGTGCACGTGCTGTTAGGCAGACGGTTTGTAGAATACGCAAGCGCACTACGTATAAGCGTTTACGGCAGTTGACAGCGAGAGACGACAAATAACAGCGCATAAGCTTCGGGTGCTCGGTCATTGAACCTCCTCGTACAGTTTACTTTTAGTATGCAGCCAATGTCGAAGGAAGATAGAATCAGAATATCTAAAGGCGAAAACGTCTCGAATTCAGAGCTTAATTCTATCTGCCGTCGAAGCTGTCATTTGCAATCACTAGGCTTTTTCTGCGCCATCACCCAAGAAGTTTATGGCTGGATCTTGTATGAGAAGTCATATCTTCAATAGAGAACTCAACAATTCATTACACTGCTCAATTTTCTTTTTGGAACAAATTAGCTAACCCTAGTACAAGCTCATAAATAATAAGACGACGAGACATCTATTGAGAGTAACTATCAATGATATGACTTGCAAAAGTCAAATGATAAGACATAGCCATAGGGTAAACGGCGCCACTCGGATAGCTCCGATGTAAGATCACTGAAGTGGGTTCCGGTCAGAGTCACTCAGTGATAGTGATTGTCCCTGAAAAAGAACTAGTGTAGGTATATAATCCTGATATTGATACATGTGCGGTGGTGAAAGATGCTACGACCCCATCTGTTACGGTATGTTGCTGAAACTGTGCTATCCCGACAGTGGACGAATAGAGCTATAGTCTATAATTTACATCTGCTCCCAAAAAAACAAGCATACTCGTCCAGCTCTGTTGTCAAGTCATAGAAAGGTACCTATCTGATTGATAGAGGACGATTTTCCGGCTCAAGGCCTACCAAGAAAAATCGCGAATGTTTGCAAAAAGATAACTTTGTTAGTTGGACTTGAGGGGAATTGAACCCCTGACCGTTCACATGCGAAGCGAAAATCATACCCCTAGACCACAAGCCCATTTTATTACATAATAAGAAGCAAATGCAATTGATATACTCTCAAATTGACTCCATCTCATTCTTGAATAAAGCTCGGAAAAAAAAGCAAAAAGAATGGACACGAGGGGAATTGAACCCCTGACCTTTCACATGCGAAGCGAAAATCATACCCCTAGACCACGCGCCCAATTATATGAAAGTTTATCATCTACTACAGATTATACAGTGGGTTCTTCAGAAGGAGTCTACCAGGTATTCCGCTGCTAATTGATAGATGAGTTCACGATAGGAATCCATGAATACTAGACATAGCTCTATATGAGCTTTCTTAGGTATGCATGCGCATAGTGTTGCTATTCCCACTACGCTCACTACAATATACAATTGTTGCATGTAAATGTACTCGCATTGCAGATCGCTTGACCTGACTCAATCACGCGGGTGCTCTACGCAACCTGGTATTTATAGAGACATGCCGCGTCGAATAATTACAGCGCAGTACACACTTATATAAGAACAATCCAACCTATCTAGTATTACTGAACATCTTGAACAGTAATAACCTTCAATTTAAAGGACCGATTTGCGATCGTCGGTAGCAATGCCGGATCTGACCTGACCGGGTCTCAAGTCTCGGATAAAGCTAGCGCATCTCCACACGGCTTACTCCTGACTAGCAGCTCTAGTCTTATAGTGCAAAAGATACTTATGAACAAGGTTAACGCAAAAATGAGCTTAAATGTTTCCGTTGAATGGGCCTTCCACATGTCTTGTTTCGTAAATCAGGGCGGCCTTCCTGTTTGAGTATCGCTTGATCGTCAGGTAAACGCCTCCTTAGGAAGCTCCTTGAATAATAATACGAGGCATGACGCTGCGTTTTGGAATGGCGAGGCGGTTTCAAAAGCTTCTATTAGCAAATAGTTGTTTCTCTATGGGGTAATTGTATTGATCGAGCATGATTCTCCGCCAATTGCAGGATGTTTTAAGGTCTGCAGATGCGACAAGGTACGGACTGTTGAGTAATACATTAGCATCAACGAGCTACTTGCGTAGAACAGCATATATAGCACAGCTCTCTCCTACGCAATCTCCTTTGCGATATCTTTACCTTACATCTTTCTAGTGTTCAGCAATTCGTTCTATTTCCTCGCACTTCCAAATCACCTCACAATGTATTCTAATAGTCTCCTTACTATCGCCGCTCTGGGCGCCGTCACTTCTGCCTTCGATCTCCCAGATAACTTGAAGCAAATATACGATAACCATCGGGTAAATATATCTTCTCCCCAAACCTGATTATATCTGACACCATAGTGTTTACCAGTCTGGCAACTGTCAAAACGCTCTATCCGATGCCTTCTCAGGCGGCGCGGTCTACTGTGGCGATATCCCCAATGCCATCTTCCTAAAGGGATCCAGCGGCAACTACGACAACATGGACATTGACTGCGATGGCGCCAATAACTCTGCTGGCGCCTGCTCAAATGATCCCAGTGGCCAAGGCGAGACCGCATTCAAGGATACTGTTCAGAGCTTCGGGATTGATGACTTGGACGCCAACATTCACCCATACGTCGTATTTGGAAACGAGGGCGCTGATCCCTCATTTTCGCCTGAACAATTTGGCATGCAGCCTTTGAGTGTCATGGCTGTCGTTTGCAACAACCAAGTCGTAAGTCTTCATTTATTTGGCCATTTTGCAGCAATGGATGCGCAAATGGTGCTAACATCAGAATCAGTTTTACGGCATCTGGGGCGACACCAACGGTTTCACGTCCACCGGCGAATCGGCCATTTCTATGGGCAACCTTTGCTTCCCGGATGATGGCCTCACCGGTGATAACGGCCACGATCCCAAGGATGTCTTGTATATCGGCTTCATGGGCCAGCAGGCAGTCCCAGGCGCAGACGGCGCTAACTGGAGTGCTGGAAACACGGCAGACTTTGAGAACAGCATCAAGAGCCTTGGAGATAGCCTTGTTGCGGGCCTTCAGGCATAGGTAGATAATTATAACACCACTTAAAGATCTATAGAGTTAATAATCCAACATCATATTTACTATTTACTAGAGATAAATCGTCATTGCCATGAAACTTCAAGCCAATCGCTCCAAGCTAAATAATGCGACATATAGTCCTGCCCTTTAATTGGCAAGTCCAAGCTCTCTGATTATTATGTCGGCTCCCTTTTCGCCAATGATGAGGGCTGTGTTGTTTGTATTGGCGGCCACATTCTCGGGCGCAATTGAGATATCTATACAACATGGTCAGCGCGGTGTACAAGCAAATGGTGGACAACACCAAGAGTCGCCCTGAACATAATATACTGACCACAAATCTTTAGTCCTTCTGTGCCGTAAACATTGAGATTCTTGTCCACAACGCCACCTTTCTCCTTTGGAGCCATTTTGCAAGTTCCGATAGAATGCCAAGTCGTTTCAATGTTAGATCGGAGATAATCCTCGATAGCTTTATCGTCCTCCTTGGTGTACTCAATAGGAGGCAACTTCTTTCTCTCCTCAAGAGAATTGAAGCCCTCTGCAACTTCGCGACTCTTTCGAAGACCGGCTTTGCTACCTTCGGGGAAGCTCGGGTGTCCTGAGGCAACTTCGCCAGTAACCGAGTTTACACGGCGAAAGATTTCTCTCTGCTTCTTGTACGCCCAAATTTGCTTCGTCACGTCCACGTTATTGTTGAAGAAACCAGTGTTGAAAGAAGGCGCCGCGTCGGGATCTTTGGAAGTGATGTGGATGTCGCCTCGAGCGTACGGATATGCCGTGTACATACCAATGGAGATGTACTGATGAGGGCCATCTTCTTGTTCTTCTGGTAAAGTCTTGTAGTCACCCAGGTACGAGCTGACGATTGCCAAGAGCATCAACGGCCTTGTTTTCTGCTCTTTGAAGTCGCGATTCCAATGCTCTTGGAATTCTTCACCTAGCTGCGCCACCTCTTCCTCCGTTGGGCGAAACTTGGCTGCGATGTCAACGCCATTCCAGCCCAGAATGGGGTTCTTCGCTTTGAGAGCCTCTTCAAAATCCAATCGGCCTCTATGCAAATCGTCAAGTGTTTCATCAGGCTTCAGCGAGGTCTTGTAAGTGTAAAATATGAGGTTATGATCTTGGTATTCCTCGCCAACGCCTGGTACATTGGCGACGACAGGAATGTCGAGCTTCTTGAGAAGCTCAGCGTTGCCAACTCCCGACCTCTCAAGCACACTTGGCGTGCCGAGAGCTCCTGAAGACACCACCACCAGCTTTCTTGCTCTGATAATCGATGGCTCACTTCGCGTCAGATTAGTCAAGGGCTGGTAGTCTGGGTTGGGCACCCATTCCACGCCCACAGCTCGGTTTCCCTCAAAAATGACACGAGTGACTTTGCTCTCGAGCAGAAGATGAAGATTGGGGTAATCTCCAGAAGCGATGAGAGGGTGGACATAGCGATGGGCCGTATCTTGCCGTTGACCGTCTGGCGAAACATAACGAAGATATCGAGATATCCCATCAACAGACGTAAAATCTTGCAAATCGGTAATTTCAGGGAGGCCAGTAGCCGCAGCGCCTGCCATGAAATCGTCCTGACAGTCTTTGGCGCTGTAAGAACCGAATGACACGTTAACTGGCCCATCGTGACCATGTACGGACTTGTCCACGTCGGGATGATCAAGGTGATATGTCTCTAGCTTTCTAGCAAAGGGTATCAGGCTCTCCGCATCCCAGCCTTCAGTCTTCCAAGAGTCAAAGTCGGCGCCCGCAGCTGTTTATCACGTCAATGTCAGCAATCTCGTATTACATGAATGGCGTTTTTTCCTTCTAATACCTCGAGTGTACATGGTGAAATTGACGGACGAGCCTCCTCCCAGCATGCCTCCCGAGGGCACAAGGGGCGAGCGTCCATTGAGAGCCTCTGACTTGTTTGCTTTATAGAGAATCGTCGTTTTGGAATTCGGAGTGAGATGAGTGAGATATCTGGATGGATTGACAACATTGGGATCGTTGAGGTTATTCGTGCCACGCTCGACAATAAGGATCGATAATTTAGGGTCTGCTTTAGCTAGTCGACCAGCCACAATGCAAGCAGCGGTGCCACCTTGGAATTGTTAGATCTTGGGGTAAATGGCCATGTAAAGGCATAGAGCGACGCACCGCCAGCAATTATAACGTCGTATTCGGTCCCCGGCTTGTGAGTAGTCATGATGATGTTTTGACAAGCGTTTCGCTCGATAAACTGCAGTCTTTCGCCTGGAACAAGCGATTCCTATAGTACTTGAAGAAACCAGAGAGAAAGAGGCGAAAACAGGCCACTCGGAGATAATTGCCTACAACCTCATAATAAACCATTGAACCGGCACTATTGCTTACCCCTCCTTGCGCCTCGTCATCAGACATGCGATTTGACTCCATTGGCGGCATGCAAGTTCATGACTCTATGACCTTTTCAGTACGCCAAGGGACTATAAGGCGTGCATTGAGTAAACGCCTGCTCTTGCCTATTCGGATCTGCGACAGCATCTATTTGGGGTAACATCAGTTGATATAACTGCGGGGTAAAGAGTCGCTGAAACAGCCCAAGCGAGCGCAGTTTCGAGGAGGGGTAAACGAGGAGCATTGGTTCATACAGAAGCAGAAAGACTTGCCGAGGAAAACTACTGAAAATAGACAGAGCTTCGAAAGCCTGACTCGTAAACTCCATGTGCCTATCTCCTAAGGCTTAGTATAGTATTGCAAATGTAGCGTCCGCTGGTTTCTCACTTTAGGCCAATAAGCGCAAGTCAGCCAAACTTTAAAACACTTGAAGAGAAGATCGGATATTATAAACCCGGTCATGCTATGCTCTGGGATATTACCTAAGGGCTCTGTAATCCAACGTGCATGATTACCTCACAAGGCCGAGAGTGTATCGGCTTTGTGATTGGCAAATGGCGGAATTCAACCTGCTGCTAGCCAGATTCATGTCTTACATCAATGCTGCTGCCCAAGCCATTGCCGCCTATAGTTGGGACAAAACTCGCAGCATCCTCCAAGATGTGGGACAAAGCGCCCGCTGGCATTCGCTTTAGTATGATGTGCTCCAGAAATGCCATTGGCCTTTCCTCATATGTATATAGGTCCCCTATCTCTTACCTAGGATCGCCCTATTTCTCTGACCTATTCCTCAGAATGGAGGAGTAGTAATTCCAAATAGCTTGGTCCACATCGGAGACTTGCATAGTGGCGAGACGGCGTTAAACTGGCTTTATAACCGCCCGAGAATATACACCCGTATATGAGCCGCCACGGGTCTCAGACAGCGTCAGTCCTGCCAATGTCTCAACTCTCAAACACGCATCGAAAACTTTCTTCCCAAAATGGAATGTCTGATCGCCTTGATTGGCTCTCGCATATGCCCCATCATGATCAGCTAAGCGTCACCCATTGAAGCTGACTTAAGATTATTTCATAAGAGATTACTCAACGCATTAATCATCATATTGCTCCGAATGCTACCAATTATCTATGGGAATTCGCATGTTATGTACAGCTAAGAATCGTATGATAACTCCCTCTATCTTCCCGAACATAAAGAAAATCATTAGAAAGAACAACTATGTAACTTTTCGAATTCTGTCCAACTCTATTCGTCTCCCTTTATTAAACTTTGTACATGCTTATTTCTCCGAGCGCTGCTGGGTCTCTTCGACGTCAGAGTCGGAGGCCAAGGTCTGCTCGCTTGTCAGACGAGGGTTGCGAATTAGTAAAGAAAAGGCAATGAGAGGAATGCAGATGCAGATGCCGGTGATTGTGAGAAGGCGTTGGATATGCTGGTAGGCGTCGATAATGGCGTCTCTCTCAGGCGTACCTGGAGGGTAGGGAATGACAGCTACGAGAGGGTTGCCATAGACTTCAACTGCCAGCGTGGAGTTGATGTTTGCCAGCCGGTTCTCCAGAGTCTTGGGGAGCAGCTGAGTCCACAAGGCTCCGGACACGGTGTTTCCCAGGGCAGATCCGATGTTGTAAAGGGCCAAGTAGAGACCCGTGATGACGGCCAAGTTTTCATGCTTCAGGCCAACCTGAATAGACGCCTGAGCGGTATACGGGAAGAGACCGCCGGCAACTCCCAAAACGACCTGAGCGCCAATGACACCTGCTCGGCTAGAGCCCGAAACAGCTCCACGGTAATGGATAAGCAGTCCAAAAGCCACCATGAACAGACAAGTTCCCATGATGACGAAGATTTTAAGGCGGCGGACTTTGTACACCACTATGCCAAGGAGGGCTCCAATGATGACGCTGACAAACGAGTACAGCGACGTCACACGGGTCGCAGTGGTGATTGAAAAGTTAAAGGCAACAACCAGCACGGTGTAGAGAAAGTCGCCCTGCATTGTCCACGCAAAGTTGAGGCAGACGGCGATGCCCATGGGCGCCCACACAGAGCGGTCCTTCATAAGGGCAAAGGGAACCAGCGGGTGCGGCGCCTTGAGTTCCCAGTAGACAAAGAAGGGGATGCAGCAGAAGCCAATGACGAGCGGTGCAATAATGTGTGCGGTGCGCCATTCGCTGTGGACTCCGCCAGCCAGCGTAAAGGGCACCAGGATGAGGGCGAAGACGGCAATGAGGAGGATGATGCCAATGACGTCCAGCAGCCAGAACAGCTCGATGACGAGGTTCTTGAGGCCGAGACGCTCAAACGACGACCGGTAGTTGACCAGACGGCCCTGCTTCTTGGCACGGCGTCCCACAAGCGACAGGCTGATGATGAGCGGCAGCGCGCAGACGGGGTAGATGATGCACCACATGCCGATGCCCCATTTCCAGGTCGTGACGCCCAGGACGGCGCTCGCGATATTGCCGCTGCACCAGGTGTTGATGATGAAGGGCAGCGCGGGGATGTAGCTGAAGAAGAGACGCGCGCGCGTGGACGTGATGTCGGCGATGATGACCTCGACCAGCAGCATGATCATGGTGTAGCCTACCTGGTAGATGACGTTGCCGCCGGCATAGGTCGCCATGTTGGTAGCCGAGGCCTCGATGACTGTTCCAATGACATAGAAGAAGACGGACACGCAAATCAGCTCGACACGGCCAAAGACATCGGCAATCTTGGCCGCCGTGGGCTGGGCCGCCGCTGCAATGACGGCGCGGAGGACATTGACGGTCGAGAGCTGGGAGTGGCTGTCGAAGGAGCCGGTGGCATAGGGCTGGTAGGTGTATCTCAGCGTGCCGTCGAGGCCGTAGCAGTAGGCGACGAGGAAGACGCTGAAGAAGATGAAGTAGCGATCAAGCGTGGTGATGGCGCCCGAGATGGCCTCGATACGGGAGACGCCCGGCGACTTGATGTTCTTGACCAGATCGGCAGCAGACCGGTCTGTGCTCTGCTCGACGACTGGATCAGCGGCCTTTTCCGCGTCAGGAACCGCGGGGTGGGCAGACATTGTGACGATGTAAGACAATAAAGACGCAAGACAACAATGATGATGATAGAGGCGCTGGGTTCGGAAAGATCTTCACAAAGCCACTTGCTTGTGCCACTCTCTCTTTGTCAGACCAGATAACGTCGGTTTAGTGATGAGCAAACGAAACAATCGCACAAGGCCGGATTCTCTCGACAAGTTCCGGATGCGGACTTGGATGCATGTGCATGCTCATATATGCAAGTGAGAAGCAGGGGGGGACGAGGAACCCTCTCTCTCAGTCCGTGGCACAAGTTATATATTTCGTTTTCTAGCGTCCATCCCCCAAAACGCGTCTGCCTGATCCGATCGATTAGATTAAGAGGAGCGAAAGAAAAAAAATCGGCGCAATGGTGCCCCGAAAGAGTCAAGATTGGAAAAACTAGCTTGATCAATGGCTTTATCTGATGATCAGATTAAAAGCGGGTCGAGATGGAGCACCGAGTGAGAAAAAAAAACTTCTTCTGGAGAGTCCGGCCAGAGAAATTTATCGGCGTCGCTGCCAAGTCTGGCTAATGAGGATTGCAATCCTGGATTGTGTGTGGCACGACTCGAAGCCGGGGGGCCAGAAGAAGTTATTGCTTACTAGCAGCCAATCGCATAAAGACGCCGAATACCGTCGTTTGTGTTACGAGTACGATAAGATGTTGGGATGTAGAGCATCTCTTGGTGGTGGCAAGGGGAAAAGAACTGTTGAAATCATTCATGTTGCGAGAGCATCTCTTGTAAGTCGGTGGCTTGCGAAGGAATGAAGCGGCGAGAGGATATAGAGCCACATAGCAAAGTGTAACTTTGAACGAAGTACATGCACATAGATACTGGATTGTACTTTTTTCGATACCTACAACCGTTACACCGTTTCTACGATATCAGTGGCTTGTCGCCTCGGCTTGGCTCCCTCTTGATATCCCTTCTCTTATACCCTTCTTCAAAATTTTCTCGCAGCCCACTTCATCGCCAAGTCTCACCGAACGCTTCAACGGACCCAGGCCCTTCCAGCCCTTCCAGCCCTTCCAGCCCTCCCAGCCTTTGCTCCCGGAAGGATCCGCATCCTGCCGGAACCACAAAAGGCATCTTGGAGGGGCGGCATGAGCGCATTTTTCGCAGCGTGGCGCTCGGTGGCGGCCATCAAGCTTCCATCTCTATTCCAGACAACGAAACGTCCAGCGCAAAAGCCGTAGCAAAAGCCGCCCAGATAGCAGAGCCCGCAGCAACAGCCCATGACACAAGATTTCGAGGCTAGGCTGCGTCGAGGTATTCCGGGATGGGGCGCGCTAGACAGTTTCTTTCTCGGAGCTTTTGGCGCCACAATAATCGCTAGTGCTGGGCCCTTTTTCGCATCCGGAAGCTCTGCGATGGGCCGACGCAATACCAACATAACCTGGAAGCTCTGCAGAAGGCAAGGTGAGCTGCAGACGCTCGCAAGCCGAGATGGCGAGGAGTCTTGACCGATCGTCCGAGAAAGCAATTATGGAAACACGTTCATACTAAGGCTATCCAGTAACTGCCCCTGGTTTAGAACTACATGCACTGTCCCTAGAAACGTCTTGCTGTGTTGCATTTGACGACATGCACCTGCAGATCGAAATGGACGCATGTATCACTGCATCTGAGAATTTTCGTAAAATTGTAAAGAGGCGTTTGGTCCAAACAATGCAGACACATCCCACCGAAAACAACAATAGCACACGAGATGGCTCATTTTAGACACCCTGAGAGGTTGCTTAGTTCCACATCTCGCCACCGAGAAGGCTAACGGGATCAACCGATGGTACCTTGATCTGTGGCTTGCCTCGGCTTGATATTGTAAATTGTTTCAAGCCATAACATGTAGGACATCTGGTCCGATGAAACAAGTTTAATTGCCATGGCTGCCACCAGATTTTTTATCGTGCACTATTCGCTTCCGTTTTGACGTGCTATTGGTTGGCCACAACTCAAGCATATGAGAAGCCATCATTTGAGCCCACCATACACGCGAGTTCCCATCGTTTTCGTGATTTTACTCTTCCGCTGATCAAATTCTGTTTTTCAGCCCGTCTTTGTCATATGATAATCTATCTCTTACTTCCTCCACTCTTGTGACTTCAAGTATTCTGTACGAGCCGCATTCGACCCGACTACATGTAAGCCATATCTGGCCATTGTTCACATGCGACTGTATCAATGATCATTCCATATATTCTTCAACTTCGACCAAGAGATGGAAGTTTGCACTCGGCTACTGGACAGCTTCGGTGAACAGCCCTATCTAAAGTTTCTGACGGGTATTTATAAAGGTACCTGCTTCATGATGAGCATATGCATTCATCTTGGGCTTCTTTGCAATATTTCCCTTAATACTTCTCTAATACTTCAAGTAGTTATTAGGGCATCCATCCTGGTTCGTATAATTTATGCCGCGGTGACCCATTGTCTGTGTTGATGTTTGAAAGGTTGAGCCACCTGATACTTGAGCAACAAAGCGGGGATATCGGCAATCTCAGATTGCACGGCGTTTCCTTTTGCAGCACACATAGACCGCTAATGCAGGGGATATCGGGGACATACGAGATGCCCAATAAAGAATTCCTCTATCCTCAACAGACGGGTTTTATCCATGTAGCGCTACGAGCGTGACACTGGGTACTCGACAAACCTGGTCGTTTCTCAACCTGTCGCCATGCGGTGGCATAAACGCTAGATGCCACAATTATTGCCTCAATATCGTAGATACGCTGCGAGCATCTGCGGCTTGAAAATAGAGGATAGATTGCCGAGTTGGCCGGATTCACTCGCGTAATTAGCTGGACCTCTGTGATAAGCCAAAACAGCCATGGGCAGTCCTATCCACTCTATTGCTAGGCCTATTATATATTAACATGTGAAACTGTGTTCTTCCGTCATTTCTTTCTCTTCCTTCCTTTCCTTTTTCTCCTACTCTTTGTCCCGTTTGTTGAACACCTGAAAAGCTGTAATTGGTTGCACATTGACGTTCAAGATGCGTCGCTACTACAGGCTTCTTTATGCATCCTTTGCGGCCACTTTCTTCATGGTCACTTTGGCCTTTGATGATGATAGTGATCACACGACATCACAATTAGAGAAACGCTATCCTAAGAGCGAAGACGGTCGCTGTGGTGTTAATTTTGGCACACGCTGCGAAGATGACGAGGGCTGCTCGGCTGAGGGGTATGTGCTAGCACTCCATACTGCTTGAGCTTGACACGAAATACTAGCTTACGACTTCTTTAATTAGATGGTGCGGCACAGGATACTCGTATTGCTCTGCTCCCGCATGCCAGCTTGAGTATGGCCCTTACTGTGACGCAAACAGGCGGCCACTCGGAGCAAATACTGAAGAATGGCCACGCCCTCATATGGGCGACGTGCCATATGGACAAGCTATCTTTAACTGTAAAAAGCCCGGCACCGTTGCATTGACTTTTGACGATGGCCCGTGGAAATATACCGAACAGTTGCTAGATGTGTTGGAGGTACGTTTGCTCTCGTCGTGTAGATATAGAGTACTTTAACGAAGATGATACTAATTTCCTTGTCTCTAGGAATACAATGTCAAGGCTACATTCTTCATTACAGGCCGAAATCTCGGTAAAGGAGCCATTAATGACCCTGACCTTGACTGGGCCCGCCTCATTCACCGAATGAAGGCGGATGGCCACCAAATCGCCAGCCATACGTGGTCTCATCAGCGTCTTCCTACGCTTGGCAAGACTCTTCTCCGTCAACAGATGATTTATAATGAGATTGCTCTTGCAGATATTCTTGGCTTCTTCCCCACCTATATGCGTCCCCCTTACTCTGCCAGCAATGAGGACGTGGACAGGTGGCTCGGCGAGCTGGGATACCACGTCACATACTTTGATCTGGACACACAGGGCTATCTACACGATAGCGAAGATGAAATTGAAACGTGTAAAAACATTGTTGACAAGGCATTTGGAAATAGAGACGCGGAGACCGAGAGCTACTTGCACATTGAGCATGACACTGTGTACGAAACGGTGTCTACTTTGGTGTCATATACTATCGACACTCTCTATCACGCCGGCTTCACAGCAGTCACTGTTGGCGAGTGTCTGGACGACCCTGAAGAAAACTGGTATCGCTGGCCAGACTATGAGGAGAAGAAGCGTTCGCTTGAAGCACTGGAAGAGCGTGTTCCCGGCCCGTTTAACCAAACTCGGGGCTCAAATGGAACTGCCGCCAACAATCATTCTGAGCCTAATCAGCATTCCTCGTCCAGGCAATTTCACCTCCAGCCTTTCAAGCCTCAGCCCTCGGTGAAGGGATCTCGCTCCACACTCAACCGGACCCTCTCTCACCCCGCCAGTCGTCATTTCGGCAAATCACTCCTTCTTAACCAACTGCCATTTAACGGGACCAGTCGTTGCGGTGCTGAGTTTGACAATGTCTCGTGCGAACTCAACAAGATTGAGAAATGCTGTTCAAAGTCTGGCTGGTGCGGATCTGCTAGAGAGCATTGTCTTGACGGCTGCCAGGAGGAGTTTGGTCGCTGTGCCAAGCCATTGATGCCAGGCCCTTGAACTGGATTATTTTATTTCTACTCTTATTTTTTTCCAATTTCTGTGTTGGTATTTATTCTTTTCGTTAGGGGATTTCTTTCATTCACTACGCTATTCATTGGAGGTTTGATGGGAGTATGGGTTGCAAGTAAACTAGACACCAACTACTTCCCTCATTTGGAGGATATTGTCTGAGGGGTATGGGGTATTATGGAGACCACATGTAGTCATTCTCTTGGCCGGTCCTAAAAAAAAGATTCAAAAAAAAATATATAGTACAACATTGGCGCATCTTATTTCTTCGTTTCTTCGTTTCATGAACCACTGTGTTTGTATCAGGATGTTCCTCTCTCGCTACAGTGGCTGTCACATGGCTGAGACTGCCCAAAGATAGTGACCCGGGGACGCCTTATCAGTGATAAGACATTGAACCGCTAAGATGCGCTAAAGCTTGTGAACGTGCATGTATCGGCACGGCACATTACAGTGACAGAGTACGCTGCCAGCCGCGGCAAAACGCTAGAGGCACCAAGTACCTGCGAACCGCCGCAGTGACATCGAGACCCTGTGCGTATTAAGCTTTTTCCGGTTTAGACTGCCTCCCCCGCTTTTATTTTTCTTTCGCAGATACGCCAAAGATTTTTTTTCTTCTAGAATCTCGCGCCTCAGAAAAGATTGATAGCGATATCTTTTCGTCAATACTCGTCTTTCTAGATTCTCCGAACAGCAAGCTGCCAATATGCGTGTCGTTCTAGTCAGCGGTGGTGTCATTTCCGGCGTGGGCAAAGGTGAGTTCTGGGTGCCGCTGATGCATGCCCTGTTGATGAAACATCATCTTGACATGTGAGATCGATCATCTATTCTGATCCGACGTGCTAACTTGTGAACCTGTAGGCATTATCGGTATGGCGATTCATGAGTGCGAGTGGGATATGCAACTTATTAATGGCATCAACAGCCAGCAGCGCCGGACTTCTTCTCAAGACTATGGGTCTTCGAGTCACAGTATGATGCTGCCGAAGACGATCCATCTTGTCTTGCCGTCTCTTACTTATGCCATGGTTTACAGGCCCTGAAAATCGACCCTTACCTGAACACAGACGCCGGATTGCTCAACCCTCTAGAGTGAGACTGACCAATTTGCATTTGCTACGTACGAGCTAACTTCATCATATAGACACGGCGAATGCTTTGTTCTGGCCGATGGCGGAGAGGTGGGAAAAGATGGCGCCAATCATTGATGCTTGATGCTGACTCCTCTAGACTGATCTGGATCTTGGAAACTACGAGAGGTTGGACTTTGGTTTCTATGCTTGTCGATGAAAAATTGCTGACATCGTATTCAGATATCTTGGCATCCAGCTGAGCAACGAGAGCAACATGACGACTGGCAAAATCTACAAGCTCGTCATCGTAAGAGACCACCGCATGTGAATCGCGTGTCCTGATTGTATGCTGATATCTTCCAGGATAAAGAGAGACGCGGAGACTACCTGGGAAAGACCGTTCAAGTGGTTCCCCATGTCACTGATCAGATCCAAGAGTGGGTTGAGCGAGTCGCCAAGATCCCTGTCGATAGCTCAGGAGAGGAGCCTGATGTTTGCATTAGTATGTTTGTTCTAAAAGCGTGTGTTGCATGATTGATAATAGTGCTGACCTGTCTTCTCTTAGTTGAGTTGGTACGTTCTCCAGAATAATCTCTCAAGTACAGTATTTCGATTCTACGATTCTAACGTCCGAGCTTGCAGGGTGGAACTGTTGGGTATGTGTCTCTCGCCAGCCACTAATGATTGCATGTTTTGCTTCCAATCTTGACGCCCACTGTGGTTCAAAACTTGTCGAGTTAGGGATGGGCAACATTCTGAAGCAACGTAGCTAATACCCTAGAAGTGACATTGAATCCGCACCCTTTATCGAAGCGCTTGTTCAGTTACAGCACAGACTCGGCCGCGAGAACTTCTTCAGCATTGCCGTATCATACGTGCCGATTATCAATGGAGAGGAGAAGACCAAGCCCACTCAACACGCCGTCAAGTCGATGCGCAGTGCCGGCTTGATTCCCGACATGGTTGCCTGCCGTTGCGAACGATCCCTCGACGAAGACACCATCCGAAAGGTTGCTCGAAGCTGCCAGGTTCAATACGAACAAGTCATTGGTGTGCGAGACATGGACACCATCTACCAGGTTCCTATGCTTCTTGAACAGGAGGGCCTGCTCAAACTCCTCCAGAAGGGCTTGGCTCTTGACAAGGTCGACCTCTCTTCGGCTCAAATCAAGCAAGGCCAGAACCTGTGGGGCCTCTGGAAGAAGACTGTCATTCCCGAGCACCATCTCGAGCCTGTCAACATCGCTTTGGTAGGCAAATACGTCACCCTTGACGATGCATACCTGAGTGTGCGAAAATCGCTTGAGCATTCGGCCATGCGATGCAAGCGCAAGCTGAACCTCATTCCCGTGGACTCTGAGCATCTGGAGAAAGATATGCAGACGGCCGATCCTATCAAATTCCACAACGCCTGGAAGGCCGTTTGCGAAGCTAATGGCGTCATTGTGCCGGGTGAGTAATCCAAGGACAGAGATATCGTCAACGAAGCTTACGCGGATGATGATTTAGGCGGCTTCGGTTCAAGAGGAATTGAGGGAATGATTGAGGCTACCAAGTGGGCTCGCGAGCGCAAGGTGCCTTTCCTTGGAATTTGCCTGGGTCTCCAGGTGGCCGTCCAAGAATATGCTCGCAATGTCCTTGGATACAAGAACGCCACCTCCGAAGAGGTTTCAGGTGCTCTTGCAGAGCATCGCTTCGTCATCTTCATGCCTGAAGGATCCAAAGAGTAAGATGGACTGCGACTCGACTCCATTCTTCAAAGTGACATGAACGCTGACGTATTATTTTCTAGGCAAATGGGCGGCACAATGAGACTTGGTACTCGCACAACGCACTTCAAGCCCGGCACCGAATGGAGCAAGCTCCGAGCCATGTACGAGGGCGCCGCAGTTGTTGAGGAGCGCCACCGACATCGTTACGAGGTTAACCCCGAATACATCGACGAGCTGGAGAAGGGCGGCCTCGATATTACGTCTCTTGACGATCAAGGAGTGCGAGTCGAGACCATTGAGATCAAGGATCATCCCTTCTTTGTTGGGTAAGCAACGCGAGCCGCAGTTCAGCTCAGGGAGCTCGGAGAAAAAAATGCTAATCATTTCAAACAGATTGCAAGCTCATCCCGAACTTACCAGCAAGGTGCTGAGCCCCTCTCCGCCATTCCTCGGCTTCGTGGCGGCCAGCTCAGGATGCCTCGACCAGATCACCGAGGAGATCAACCACAAGAAGGATGGACTGGCGAATGGAACTAGTGGCGCTTCCCACTTTTAAAGTAGCCGGCTGCCTGTAGACCGCAGAATCTTAGAACGTCTCATTTAATCAATTCATAAATTGCAGGGCATGTAGGACATATAGACGGTCTGTCTCAAAGACGACCACCGGCGCTAGGTAGGCACACCTAAACAATCTACAACACTCTTTGCATAATCGCACTCGCTAACGGGGACACAGGTCATCATCGATTTTTTTTCGGCATTTAAGCATCTTGGAGAGGTCAACGAGTGGCGGGGAGTGACGGGCTTGCGGATCATAGAGAGAGTTGCGCAATAGATATCACAAAGCTCTTTGTTGTTTTATTTACTTTGACCCTTGTTGAAACCTCCTACTCTTACCCTCCATAAACAAGTTATAAGAATTATTGCATCAATAGCACATAATGCATAAACAGCTGTGAATGCTTGCTGATATGATGTTACAACTATAATATATATATTAGTTACAGTTATTTAAATTAGAAGGCTGATTTTTTTCCGACTTACTTTGCGATTTCAAGGGTTCTTCAACTGAAAGTAATTCCCCTGCCTCTTGACGGACAGTCTCTATAATCTAATTCATTCAGTTAGCTAAACACGCTTGAAATGGCTGGATATAGCAGGGCTCTTCACATACCTGCTTTTGCTGTTCATTATACTGATCTAGGTTGATGGTAGCTAGGAAGATATTTTGTAAAACAGTGGTGCTAAAGGCTGTTGAAATGAATATTCCTAGCGACCTCAGCATAATCAGCCCACCGTTTGCGACGGCTTGGTCCTTGCTAGGTGTAACGTTTAGTAGCGCGAGAACTGTGCTTGATGCCAGCATTCCCACGCCAACAATCGGAAAGATTAGCATAATATTATATAGCCAGCCTGGCATATTGAGCGTCCGGAACATGGCTGCCATGAAAACCAGTCCTGATGTGCCAACAAAGAGGAAGCCTTGCCCCAGTTGGAGTGTCAGCTCGGGACTACCACGCCGCGCGATGATAAATCCTGTTGCACAACTCGCAACAGTAAACGAAATTGATGGCACCAGCAGTCGGAAGCCAGCGTCTTGGCCAGAGTCCAGATGTACTGTTTGGAAGAACAGTGTTGTGTTGAACAGAACCTAGTGAGTGAATGAGAATGAAAGTCTTGTGCGAATGAGGGACAACAGTCTTTGACATACCGAATAGTTAATAAAGGATGTAAGAAAACCCGTCACCATGATATTACAGGCAGGAAACTGGATGAGAAGATACAGCGGAAGGACAGGTCGTACCGCATGCCTCTCGACGAGGACAAAAGCTGCGGCCAAGACTAATGTAAGCAAACCTATAATGAGAATGAGGGAATGAGTCCATGGATAAACGTTGCCCCCCAAGGTTAAGAAGACAAATAAGCAGATAAGCGTAAGCATCTAGGTGCTGGTTGTTAGATTGTGATTATATGAAGCCATGTGCATTCTGTCACTTACTAGACAGGCTGATCCTCGCCAATCGAATTCTCGAAAGATTGCTTGTAGTCGCGATTGCCCGGAATTTTGCTTTATTGTCTCGTGCTGAGCGGGAATCAAGCAGCACAAAAGAACCAATGATAGTGATGAGATGGGTATTTGTGTCTTTGTATGTTAGGATTTTACTTGGAGATATCCGGACGGGGAGATACTAACTTTGTACACCCAGTCCCATCCAAGCTGCTGTACAATAGCTCCTCCAAATGCAGACCCAAGGCTGTTGAAACCAACGTCAGTTAATGAGCAAAATGGAAGCAAAGACAAGACTTACGCTGCGCCTCCACCATATACAGCGTAATTAATGGATTGGTAGTATCCTCTCTTTGCTAATCCAACCGCGTCGGTAAGAACAACAGAACCTAAGTCCAGGTTAGTAGAACCACGTCTTCTTCAATTTAGTTTTTCATACCCATTGTGGTAACACCAGCAGAGCCCAAGCCGCATAGCGCTCTCGCCAGAATCAACATCTCCCAATTCAAGGCAAACGAGCTCAGGACGATACCTGCGGCAAAAAGTGCCGATGCAATGCAATAAGGAACTTTACGGCCTACAATGTCGGAAGTCCGCCCATAGAGAGGCTGCACTGTCATTGAGGCGACAACGAAAGAGTTGACTGGCCATGATGAGAGGTTCGTGTGGCGGAAAGCCGAGGCAACGGCAGTATGAGTAGATGCTGAGAGGCCAGTATCAACGGCGGCGGACTATAGAGTGTCAGAGATGATGTATGATTTAATAGTCTGTAATGTAAACCCTCAATGACAAAGACGTTTTGAGTTTGGCACTACTTACGAAATTTGATATCAGAATGGCTGTTGAATCGAGAATTAGTAAACGTATACTTGCCTGTGCAATAATGACAAGCTAATGCTCGATAGGCCTTGGAAACAACTTGGGATAGACTTGCCTATGACGAGCAGGGCCAGCCTTGGACTGGAGAGGTGATACCGAGGACCTTTATCATCAGGCTGTTTTTCGTCTCCATGGTCATATCTGGAGCTGTTGGATGAAGTAGAGTCCTGCGAGTTGTCGTTTAATTCGAATTCCTCACACTCTTCGTCTTGTAAGAGCCCCTGCAGAGACTCTTCGTCTCTTTTCCGTTGTTCCCTGTCCATACCCCTACTCGGCGATATTTGGTGGTTAGAGAGGTGGAAGGTAAGAAAACAGACAGCTGGCCTTGGAAACGCCAAATGCTTGGTTTCAGGGTGAAGAAAGGGAGAGATGAAAGAAGTTTTAGGTTTTCATGCATTTGCATCATCGTACGCGGGCATCCTTGGCGCCTATTGCCAGCATTGCCACCTGAATTGTGCGGCCTGCCCTGCACAGTCCTTGTCATGCTGGTGGCCTTGGTGGGACCTTGAGTTAGTGCTCACGGCACCCGCCGAGGAATACTACTAGTCAGATTCATGATCGCCGGAATCCAGATGCTCCGAACAAGGATACATACAACCTTGTAAGGATAACAGTAAATGCCCCGTAATCACAAACTGGTCTGTGCGATACGCGTTCCGACTTTTGCAGAACACAGCAAGGAGTAAGCAATCTGTATTGAAGTATGCAATCCTCATCAACTGCTGTCTAATAGCTCTAATAGCCGCGCATTTTACGGAAGTAAACGAACGTTGATATCTAATTGTATATTTTGGGAGTCTGTCTGGGAAGGACCAGAGAAGTCTTTTGATAGCTGGAACACGAGCACGTGTGCACGTTCCTACGAAGTACAATCCAGAGTGCCGATGTCTCTAATAGATTTTAAAACTCTCGGAGACAGAGAGAGAAATAGTAGAGAGTTATGAGTTTCAGACAAGCGATGAAGAATAACCTTTTCAACGATTTACGTACTTGTGCTATTCAAATGAGATAAGAACTGCGAACTAGGTATATACATTAAAATTCAAATCCGAACCTATCTATTGAAATTTTCCAAACTCTTCCAAGCTACCGCGACCTCATCTATCTCAAGGGTTGCATTCAACACCTTTGAGTCGGGGAAGAAGCTGAATGTCCCGGATATCGTCGTGCTGCATGACCCAGCTCAAGAATCGCTCTGTTCCGATTCCCCAGCCTGTAGTGGTCAGGGGCTTCGTACGGCGCATCTCCAGATACCAGGCGTACTCCTGCGGGTCGACTTCATGCTGAGCCAGAGCTTGGAGAGCCTCCTCTTCCGTCTGATGGCGCTGGCCACAGCCGACAACTTCGCCCAAGCCGAGCAGGAGGTCACCACAGCGAGCCTTCTTGAAGCCGTCATCAGTATAGGCCTGGTAGAAAGGCACGCTGAGGTGGTCCATCTCCAGCAGCCAGCAGGCACCGCCGTACTTCTCGATCAGCATGCGCTCTCCCTTGCGGGTCAGTGAGCGGCCGAATTGGGGCTCGCCCTCGACGGCGTACTTCCACATGTCGTCGGTCATTTCAGGCAGGGCCAGGGCCTCGTCGAGGGTGATGGTTGGGAACGCGTTGCCGTTGCTCTTGTACAGCTGAATCAGAGAGTCCAGATGGCTGGTTGAGCCTGCGTAGGCCCGAATAGCGTCAGCGTGCTCACGGAGGAGACTTTCAGTAAGCGACACGACGTAGTCGTTGGCCACTTTCATGCCGGAATCAAGCCCGCCGAGCAGCTCGCACTCGACGTGGCAAAACTGGTTCAAGTGCGTGGCGTCTGGGTCCTCTCCACGGCACGAGGTGCCGACATAGTATGAGCCTGCGAGGCCATCCTGAAGCCGCAGAGCGTATTCAAGCACAAACTGCTGAGAGTCGGCAATGTATGTCTGCTCGCCGTGCAACTCGATGCTGACGGGCTGCGAGTCGGACCCGAGCCCCATGGGAGAGCTGATGCTGTTGGTCGTGATGGGCACGATGAGATACTTGTAGCCCATATGGCGGTGGAAGAAGTCAATGGACGAGTGAAACAAGGTGCTTTGGAGACCAAACATGGCTGTATACCACGGGTCTTGAATGGCCTTGGTAGCGAATGTCTGAGGGTTCTGCCAGAGCTTGGGCACAACACTCTTTGACTGCACGCCATTCTTTTTGGTTTGGATAACGACATTGTTGTCGTTGGGGGTTTCGGACGAAATCAGAGTGGCGGGAGCCATTGTGTCAAACTGAGATACTTGAAAAGTATTGGAGGATGGGTAGAGAAGACTCAAATGAGAAAGATACTGCTGATTGATACAGGCCGTCTGGAGGCAATTGCGGCACCTTATATAGAAGCATGATCAGTTATCGCGGGTAGATCAAGACGAGAAGTGTCGTTTCCGCCACGCAGCTACAACGCTCCCGAGCTACGATACAGCTCCCCAGAAGCTCATCATCTCGCCGTGTTCTGATGGTGACCTTTCCAATTTGCACCGAGCCCATACTCCAGGCCATCACAACCACTTACACCATTCCCGTTCCATACGGCATGGCCGCTGTGCAACCCTCCCATTCTCGTCATCTTACCGTGCCGTGTTGGCGGCCTTTCAGGCTGACGCAGCGCTGCCCAAGTGACCTCTTGCCCGATTCGTCTAGGAGGCTGCCCAAATCGTCCAGGGGTCCTTGTAAATAGCTGCGTGGCGAGGATCTGGGGTTTGTTGCCGATCAGCCGTGCATTATGGGTGGCCTTTTACATACAAGATCCTTTGCAGGTGGGGCACGTAGTATTTCTCACCGTACTTTTGGCTATCGCGATGTCGTGATTCCCGTTTCCGGAGCTTTTGGAGTTTTTTTCAATTTCAGGCTCGTGCCTACCTGTATTGTCCCACTAGCTCCTCTCTCGTCATCTTGATAGTGGACTATTCGTGTCGGCTTTTCATAAAACAACCTGTTGGAAGCGGAAAGATTCAATTATTCAAGCGAGTGTTGAGAAGACTGAAATCGCGCCAAAAGCCGTACGCAATTAGCCGACTCAAAAGTGTCACGATTTGCCTAGTAAACAGTGTATTGGTGTACAATACTACTCATACTACTAATCCAATAATCTTGGACTCTTTTGCCACTTTCCACCTACGAATACTCAAGCCTCCGACGAAGCAAGCAACAATGGATGATGCCATCGCCAACTCACATCGGCCTCTTCCTGTCATCCACTTCAATGCCTTTCCAGGAACAGGAAAGCTGACGATAGCGCGAATTCTCGCCAGCTTTTTCCAGCCCTCCTCCCTGAAAGTCGTCCACAACCATCTCCTCATCAACCCTGCGGATGCCGTCTTACATCGCGAGCAAGCTGGCTATCAAGATCTCCGTCAGCAGATCCGCTTGGCCATCTTTAACTCACTGATCCATGCGCCGGCCACACACTCTGCTGCATACATCTTTACAGACTTTCAAACATCCAACGAGCTCGGTACAGCTGTCTGTCAGGAGTATGTGGAGTGTGCGAAGATACGGGGATGTGATTTTATACCAATCATGTTATCTTGTGATGAGGAGACCAATCTGACGCGGTTGGTGGAGGATGGGCGGGCAAGCCATGGGAAGCTGATTGATGTAGAGTTGGTGAAGCGGTTTAGGGCTGGTCAATTGTATGAATTTGATAACCATCCTGCACTGCTAAGGTTGGATGTGTCTGAGCTTTCGGCAGAAGATGCAGCAAGGAGGATCATGGACCATCTTCTAAAGACGTCTCCCGAGTTAGCAGGCTATGTTGAAGCTGTAGTGAATTGAGTCTTGACTACCCCTACGAGCGGCAATGGTCTCGTAGAAAATAATATTTGTTATTCTAAAACTTAGACAATTTCATATCTCAAATTCTTTCTAATGTCATCGCCAATTCTCATGGCATCCTCCCGCCCTTCCTCACTCTTCACAGTGAAATATGCCAACCACGAAGCCCGCTTGCTGGGGTCTTTGACAGTGTCGCCGTCTTTGTAAAATATGACCTCGTCTACAACTCTCTCCATCAAATGGGGCAGCCTGCCTCTCAGATCATCAAACATATTTTCCCCGTGGAAGACGCCCTCTCGCGGTGTAATCATACACTCGACGATTGAACACGTATTCTTCAAGTCCGTAAATGGAACGGATAAAAGGCGCGCACGATGTGTGTCTTCTATACAAAGGAGAAGTTGCAGCAAGGTGAAATCAATGCCGTAGCAGGATGTGATAGCTGCTGTACAGGCGTGGCCCTGCGTGCGCGGGTTGATCTCTATAAGCATGGCCCTCGGCTGCACTTCTTTTTCCGTTGCTTTCTTTTCGAGATAGGGGAGCTTTCTTTCATCTTTACCACGACTCCATTGCATGGAGGAGTCAATGACACGGGCCTCCATGTGGAACACGCCATGCTTGAAGCCGAGTTTTGTCAGTGCTGCCAGCGCTGTCTCACGCAAAACTGAATGTTCAGAGGGCGGTAACATGCCGGGATATATCGCCTTGGACTCTATGAAAGAGGCGGGTGCATCTTCAGGACCAAATAACTCGGCCGTACACGGCGGCTCATCAGTGATGTCGCAGAATGCAACCTCGCCGTCGATGAAGACAAAATCTATATCAACCTCGGGTCCATCAATATACTTTTCCACCAGTGCGGCAGAACCAGAGCGAATCGTCGCCTCCACAAGATTCTCAGCCTCAGCAAGCGTTTCGGCTTTGGCAACGCCGGCCGAGTTTGCTCCGTTTCGAGGTTTGATTATGAAGGGGAAATGGGGCACCAGCTCGTCAGCCCTAGCATGGAACTCGGCCATTGAGGAGACGCAGAGAGACGGATAGCCTTCGATGGGGAAGTTCTGACGGAACTTGTCTTTACTTGTGCATATTTCCAATGCTTCTGGCGAGTCTGTTGGAAGGCCGAGCTCCTGGGCAGCCCGTGCAGTTGGCACACGCAGGTCATCAGCGTATGTAGTGATGCCATCAAATTGCAGCCCTGATGCTCGACAACTGGCCACAATGCGACCACTAAAGCCTTCATCTCGAGTCATGTCGATGGGCAAAAAAGCCTCGCACTCATTACCCTCTAGCAGCTGAACCCAGTGTCCTGGCTTATCGACGATGACCAGCTTCACACCAACTGCTGCTGCTCCCTTGAACAGGTCTGCGCGGAAGCTGTAGTTGTATCCTCCGCCTACAACACAGATTCTCCTAGTTACGGGAGGCTCAGTGAGAGTCATGGGCATGTTCAATTTGTTGTTTAGCTCTTCGAACAGCCGGGTGAAGATGGAATCGAGGCTGCTCTGATCAGGTCCCTGGATGATGGCAATGCTGATGGTTGACTCCAGGAGTGAGTCAAGGTCTCCAGCCGCAGGGAGACGTCCTTGGATCTCTGTTGGCATTGCTGGCATCCATGAGCATGGCATCGCTATGTCGTAGATTGTTGGAATAGACTGGACATGCTGAAGGCGAAAGGAGACGATGTCCGACCTGACAAGATAGCCATCGATAGAGGAGCCGACAAGAGCGATAGTGGATGACTGGGGTTCGTCATGAAGGGCGGTTATATGCTGTATCAATTGACTTGAGCAGTGACGATGCTGTAAGAGCGATATCAAATGCTTCAAAGCATCTTTATCCTTGTGTAAGGGGATTTTCAAGAGTGAGAAGGTTTGGTTCTGCTCATTGTAAGCCATCTCTAAAGGTATTTAGTTTGGATGCAACGGTATTCGCAGCAGCTAAGACAATACGTTGAAATAAATTTGAAGATCAACTACTGACTGGCAAACTACTTGTAATATACATCCCGTAATAGCAGTGGACACTGCGTGGGGATGCACTAAGGTGGTATTGATGATGACGGCGTATAATGCATCTTGGCTTCATTTCTTGGCATTCTCTAGAATAGTTTTGGTACTATTGTTTCTACTACCCCAGTCACTAATATCATATGAAATAAATAGAGTAACTGGCCAAGCTCACCATGGCGATGAATGAATTTCTCAAGAAACCCTCGTCGGATCGCCTAACCTGTCCACACAAGCGTCAGCTGAGTGGCCTCGCCCTATGGGTGGCCTCGTCTTATGGAGTGCGCCAGCGGAACATGAGCGCGATTTAATAAATCAAATGACAACAACGACGACGGTATAGTAAATTCTACCCCTTACTGTTTCTCGCTTCGAGAGATTCAGAGGGACAGTGAGAGATAAGTGTCGAATCCGTTTTCACCAATTCACTCGGTCCGCCAGATCATCCCTAATATCGACTGACAATGGCTGAACAACTCGTAAATCCTGCCTATGCCGTCGTGCTGCATGCCGGAGCGGCAGAGTCGTGGATCGGAGACGCTTCAACACAGCAGAATACGCAGCGCTTCTTGGAGTCTGTCGTTGCCAAAGCAGAGGCCGCGCTCGCAAGAGGAGAGACCGCCGTTGATGTCGTTACAGACGCTGTAGCGGCCCTGGAAGATTATCCAGAGTTCAATGCGGGACGTGGGTCCGCCCTGAATATCGACGGCATTCACGAGGTACGGCGAAGATGCGTTTGTTGACTTTGCCAGGAGAACCATCTTGAATTTATTCGTGCTAATTCTATTGCGTCTCTCACGCAGCTAGAGGCAGCTGTTGTCGATGGCAAGACGCTCGAATATCGCGCCGTTGCTGGCTTGCAGCGCACCAAGAATCCCGTCCGGCTGGCCTCCAAGCTGCTCTCCCGTGCATCGCCGGCTTTCATATATGGCAAGACCGCGGACGACCTAGCCTCCAAAATGGGACTTGAGGCCGTGGAAAACTCATTTTTTACCACACCGAAGCGGAAACAGTACTGGGAGGCGAATATAGCGAGGGTCAAGGCGCTCGAGGAGGATCATGGGACGGCGGGAGCGGTGGCGTTGGACTTGCACGGCAATCTGGCGGCTGCAAATACCACTGGAGGCATGACTTTCAAGCTCAACGGGCGAGTCGGGGATACGGCCGTCCTCGGTGCGGGGATCTTGGCTGATAGGCGTGTTGCCATCGCTTGGTGAGCTTCTATTGAGCCAACCCCCCCTGTTTAGTGATCTTACAGGCCTGACTTGGCAGAACCAACAGCAGCGGCACCGGAGAAGCCATTCTCAAGTCTGGCATTGCAGGCAAAATAGCCGCCAATTACGACAGCGGCAAGACCCTCGACGACACTGTACGTGGCGTGGTCTTGGACTCGGCTCGATTGTATCCGAGATCCTCGTGCGGCGTGATTGCTTTGTCTGCAGATGGAACAGTCTCCATCCAGTCCAACAGCAGACTTTTTGCCATCGCATTTTCATCTTCCAAGGAGTCTTCGAGGTTTGCGGGCATAGTGCCATCATCGTTTCCCATACTCGATCAACACATAATCCACGCAGATGATATGATGCAGGCCGGGGTAGCTAAATACCCCACGATGAGGAATCAGATTGCCATAGAACTGAAAGCCGGATTCCGAGTCCATTCCATGAACTTGGTGACTTTTCTAATTTTCTTTTCCAAAGTCCGACAACTCGCTCTCGCTGTTCGGGCTGCAATAAGTTCGAAATATTTGGGCTTCATCACCGCCAGCAGCGACAGAGCTTTCCTTTTCCCGATCGCCGACGGCAAATTGAACGTCGAAAAACAGTCGCCATCGGCCGTCCCCGTGGAGCCCATCTGGACATTATGTCCCGATGGTGGCAATGAGGAACCACCCAAGGTGCCTCAACAAAACTCAGATGTAACTTCATTAGCTGTCGCACCCAATGCCAATAAAGAGGCCATTGGGCAGCAATCAGATCACGAGGCCGGCAAAGGATCTGGATACTCGGAAGAGAAGTTGAAAAACGACCATACTATCAGATACTGGCTATCTTCAGCTTCACACGGCACGTTTGATAGGGCTGAAGTATCAAGCCACCAATGCGACTCAGAGCAAGATCCGTTTTCACTGGATCGTATACGATATAGTCGTCTTTTGGCAGCTGTATGGGAATCCCTGAGGATGATTTCTGCAAGATTTCAGATGCCGGTGGAATCATTGCGAATCGAGATTCAGCCTTTTCAGCCGCAGCGCTGTGCGATTGCGATTGTTCCGAAAGCCGAAATACGGTTGCAACACTTTCCGGCCCCGGCGCCATTTCATGTCGAATACCCTGGTTATTTTAGCCCTGAATATGGCGCCCTGCCGTCAGATATGACTGAGTTTTCCTCATTGGCCTTGGACATACGGTCTCGTCTGAGCAGAGACGCGGGGGAGAGGACTGGGGGACCCTGGCCAGACGCAATTCTCGCCAGTGATCCTTACTCGTCTCAGCGAAAGGCAGAGATACAGAAAAGTGCACTTTGGGAACTCGATAGATTCCTGGGGACAACTTTTGGATACCGATTCTCGTCCAAAGGCTTCCAAAAAGAAAGGCAAGGGTCAGCGTCGCCGTCAGAGACCCCAGCGTCTCTCCTCGAGCTACCGTACGATTGTCCCGGTATCTACAGTATTGCAAACCTGTCTTCCATGCAAGCTGAATCTGCCATTATATCTGTTATACTGCCTGGTACGCTAATCAATGGCATGGAAGTGCTGAGCAAGTTGGTAAACCGCTTGGCTCAGCTGTTGGCGAGCTGGGCTCATGGGGAACACGCTGTGGCCTTTGCACCGATGTCGCAGCAGCTGTCCGCCTTGCGAGAGGATTTTGATGCAGGGATTAATTATGCAAAGAAAGAGACAAATGGCGGGCGAGAAAAACAGCAATCTCATTCGCTCATGTTACGCGAGAAGCAGGTGGGGGTGGTAAGAGAAAGGCCGTATGATTCCAAGGGTGTACATCGAGTGCTCGGGGAGATTTACGGCCATATTGCGCCTTTTCTCGAGGATACTGAGAGCTGCAAGGAATTAGCGCCTGTGTTTACAGAGGTTGAACTGAACCTAAGTGCAGTCTTGGAGTCACTTTGGGAGTGATGTTTACCAGGTTGCCAGGTTAGTCGATAAGACTCCTTGCATCTCTACTTGCTACAAGGGATTGTGGAGGAATGCAACTAGTGCTAGCCTCCGCCAAGGAGCCGTAAATACAGGGTTAATCTCACCAAATTCGCCTGCGGATCTCCTTGATTTTCTCGCTTAATTATATACATACAGTTAGCTGCTTACTATCAATGGAAAATAGGGGACCAAAAACAGGATGAGATCCACAGGCCAACTTGGTGAGGTTATAGGCTAAATACGGTATTCCTGATAGTATAGCTGGAATATAGTTGAGCTCCTCGGCAGGGGCAATCCTCATTGCACGCCACTTTGCCACTCGGGTCGTCTGCAAACTGCCCGAGACTAGAGAAACGGTTAGTAAACGAAATTTGACACGTATATAAACTGTCCACGCTAAATCCTTTGAATAGATGCGCATATTATCCTTCCTTATTTGGGTATACTCTTTTGCGGTCTTGGTTCTTTTGCAGGCCGCCTGCCACCTTGGAGTGAATTACTTGAAATATAGTGTATAGCTGCCTATAGAGTATAAAAGTCTAATTAGGCATTCAATATTCCCGAAGCTAGGGCTTTAATATTCCCGGAGCTAGTGCTTTGTATAAGAAACTACACCTAAGGTAGTCTTGGTACAAAGGAAGCCCTTGTCTAAACCCATATCAAAATCCTCATTGGTACACGTATGATCATGTTCAGAAACCGGTGTATAGCAGTCGCTTGTTTTTTAACCCCTGCCAAACCCCTTCGGCACGCGAGTGCCGATCACTAGGTACTATTGTATCCTTATCGAAACTCGGAACCGAACAAGGATAAACGAAGCCGAGTATAACCCCATTGTCTTCTTGATCTCGTGGCTTTCAGATCTACCGCAATGGATCATAGCTGAATATATATAACTTTCAACTTCAACTCCTTGTGGTAACGTAGAAAAATCCACAAGTCGTTTTAGTATTGAATATTTCCATATAATGGACGAATTTCTTCTTCCTGTTTTATGCTCAACAACCCCCGACTTTTCTTTTTATTCTCAAAGCAGTCCACTAATAGCGAGTAATGCCTATTACGACTCCTTGCACCCAGATCCACTGTTCACAGGTAACGCTCCTCTACCTGTGCTTCCGTCATCAGCGCCGGATTTCAATCTTGAATTTGAGCTGCCATTACCCCCGCAAACGACTATCAACTATTCATATACACCGACGTCTATAACCAAACAGCCAGAGCTAGAGCTAGAGCAGCCTCTCTCTTCCAAGAGCATCTTCTCGTCGCCCGAAACCGATGCAGATGTAGCCTGGGAGCCTGCCGATATACACCACATCGGATACCGCGACGTTGCCAGCAACTGGCGCTGTGCCTTTGCTGGATGTCAATCATCAAGAATCTTTGTACGAGCGTGTGACCTGCGCAAACACTTTCGTGGCCATGAAAAGGCCTTTTTCTGCGAGAAAGAGCAGTGCCAGAGCGCTGGTGTCGGGTTCGCAACCCGCAAAGACTATAACCGACATATGAGATCACACCAGCCCGCTATTGAGTGCCCTCACATGGGGTGTAGACGCGTGTTTAGCCGGAAGGATAATATGGTGAGTGGCCAATATTAGTTTCTCATATGTTCGGGACATGTTGTGACAAATAATAGAAAGAGCATTACAAGAAGATTCATTTACGGCTAAGAAATAACTTATTTCCTCGTCTATGCCGTCGAACTCAGGCAACGATATAAAGTCTACCGTGTATACAAACTTGTAATTGGAATAATGAGTATTTTAGAGAATGTTAACTGTTCTTTTTTTGCTTGAAAAGTGTTTCATTTTAGCCAAGTACCCTCGTATTCGTCACTTTTCGCTGGTGGCCTGAATGGGAGATGAAGAAATGGATTTAACATATGAACATCTAACAAGTCCTGAGCTCTTGAACAGCATAGAGTCTTACTACTTATAATAGAAGAATGCCTAATGAGTAGCTATCATAATGCAAGAACTCCATAGTGGCTGTTACCACCATTCTGCTGTTTGGGTGACATCAGGACCCAATAAGTGCGAAAAACAAAAATAAGATTAAGGATAAACTTTAAGACTATTTTACGGGGGCACCTTGCGCAAAGTGTGCAATACTAGTGCAATAACTCTAAATCCTTAAAAATTAAAAATGAAGGATGAAAAAGTGAAAACTGTACGGTGTGTGTACAGTATGTTTACTGTATTTCCTAGTTACAGCGCTTCATAGAGAACTACAGAGACTGTATAAGGCTGAGACTCTTTATTACCCAGCGGTATCACTTACAAGCTGGAGGATTTAGATAACTTTGACTGAATTGGATTGAAGAGGATTACCTTGATTAAATTGGATTGCCCTAATCGAACATGATGACTTTGATTGAATTAAATGACTTTGATTCAACTAGATGACCATTATCAAGCCGGAGGACCTAGATTCATTCTGATCAAGGTCATCCAATCGGATCAGGGTCATTTGATTTAGTCAACGCCCAGCCATCTATTAACCTAAACACTGTAGTCGTACTGTCCATATTCTGTGTTGTTTAATTTCTACTTTTTGAACTTTTGGAGTTGTTGCTCTTTGGCGAAGTCCATCTAAGGTGCCACCGTATGCCACCGCACCTACTATTAATACGTGTAATCTAAGCAACAAGTTCTCCTCTATTAAAGCAGAGACATAAGCATACAGCTGACTTGGGCCGACCTAGGTTCATGCACTCTACACAACAGTGTCATCACACACGCCAACAACTTTGGCTGGCCAAAATAGACATCGCTGCAATGCAGCCCACTGTTTCAAAGTCTTGAACAGGTACAAGCGAATACAGCAGCGATGATTCCATAGTACGATTCCGTATATAGTAACAAGTCTCTGTCTGGTAAGGAGCAATTACACCGCGAGCTGTGTGTAGTTAGACAACCCACTGTTCAGACCTAAATATGGACAGCTAGGCTCAAATGCCGTAAGTTTTGAGTCAGCTTGGGAAGTCGTCAAATGCCTAAACAGGAAAGTCATTTCTCTTGAAGGCTAGACTACGGGAAAAACTGCCGATCAATCCCTGAACTTTTAATTCTTACGCGGAAATTGCTGCAGAGTACGAGCTTGACAATTGCTCTGTGTCTTCCTGGGAGGCAACGCTATTGGCCGTGCAGTGGGCAAGTCGCTAATTCTTTCTCAAGTTTGTCCAAGCAAGGCAGATCCTTGCAAATGTACCCGTTATACTGCCTGGAAACACCATCAGTTGGTAGCTCAGGTACTTCAAATTTAGATATCGGACATATCGTTCATCGCACTCTAGTAATAACAATGTCACCATATTCTCTGACTCTAGCTTGCTTGTGGCTAGTATGAAGTAATCCATTCACTCTACGTAGCAAAAACGTTATCTACTTAGACATTTATAACATCTGATGTGCATCTTGTGTGGAGGTATGACCAGAAAAATGCAAGCTAATCTCTCACGGGAAGTTACCCGTTTACTCGCTGCAGACTAGTCATCGTTACTTCGTATATTCATTCCCCTGATCCAGCCGGCTGCAAGCCTCCAAGCATCTGCTATTTGGGTACTTAACGACGCCTCTGTCCTCAAATTTTTTACTTGTTTGTTACATCGTCCCAGTTGAGCGTTTCGGTATAAGATATGCGTACACAGTTGCTCTTCATTTCTGCACTCTCTACGGCTGCCGAGGCCCTCGTGCCTCGAGCGGCTGCAGCCGTAGATGCTTCAACGATCCAGGGCAAATACATGTTTGGATACCAAGGCTGGTTCCGCTCTCCGGGCAAAGGACTTAACACACACTGGTCTACCAATGGTGGAGTACCAGGGCCTGGAAATGGTGCGCCGATCCCTCAAAGTTTAGAAGACTTTTTACTAAAAACAACTTTTAGCCGTCTTTGACTTCTTCCCTGACACAAGTGCGTACCCTTCTGAGTGTCTTTTCGACACTCAGTTCAAGTATGCGAATGGAACGACTGCCAAATTATACGACAACACCTGTGCTGGAGTGGTAGATCTGCATTTTAAATGGATGCAGCAGTATGGCATTGATGGCGTGTTCGTTCAGCGCTTTTATGGCGCTTTGAGCGATGCTACGTTTTTAACTGTTAGTGCTCAGACATCTAATCTCATCATACAGTCTCACAGGCGCTGGCAGCTAAATAATATCAACTAGGTCTTGGATTTAGTTCAAGCTTCTGCTGAAAAGTACGGTCGCGTTTTCGCTGTCGAGTATGACTTGAGCGGCGGCAACTCGTCACAAGCAAGTGTCACCAACAAGATCATTCCCGACTACGTTAACAACATCAAAAAATACACCCAGTCTCCGGCATATGTTCACCAAAACGGCAAGCCGGTTGTGATGGCCTTTGGATTCGGCGTTGCTGGCCGTGATCTCAGTGCATCAGACGCGTTCAACTTGGTCAGAGACTTACAGGCCGAGCCAGCCTATGTTATCCTGGGAACGGCCAACACCTGGGCTGCTGATGTCCGTAATAACAACGGCTTGGTAAACACCTACAAATTGGCCGATGCAATCAGTCCCTGGACTATCGGCGCCTATACCGATGCTGGATATCCGAGCTATAACTTTCACTGGCAACAGAACGATACCACGTAAGCTGTCCTAAAAAGATTGAAGCTATTGGTCGCTGTCTAACGCTTTTTCTGTCTTTAGGTTAACCAATTCACTTGGTAAGGGCTATGTACCCGTGGCATGGCCCGGTACCTCAAACTACCACCTGTCCAACGATCTCTCTCACCTTGACTATTTCCCACGAGACAACGGAAGCTTTTACGAACTTCAGGTCAATACTGTTATGAAACAGAAGCCACTCTTTATTTATACTGCCATGTTTGACGAAGTTAATGAAGGTGAGAGATTGAATGCCTTGTGCTTTGTCAAAGAGACATGATTTATTAACCTATGGCTTAGGTACTGGGTCGTATGCTTGCCTCAAAGTTAACCAACTACCGACGAATGAGAAATTTGTGGGCATTGACAACGACTTTACTTCGACAAACCACTACTTTGAACTCGCTCAGCAGCTGGCAACTTCATATAGAGCGCTGCAGTAGACTAATGGGCGCGGGGGGGGGGGGGGGTGGGTTACTATGTGCCTAAATTGTTTATAATACACAAGAGAGGCAGACGCGCAATAATTTCTATAATTCGCCTTTTTCTTCGTCTTGTATTTTATTATTTATCAGCCGAAGTATATTGATTTCACCAAATACTCTGTGATAGTGACCCAGCAATTTCTTAAAGTTGCCAATCCAAGTAGTGAAAGATTGAAACACGCTTACTGAGCGCAGGCACAAGTACAAGTAAGTAGAACCTAGACATGTAATTGTCATGACGTTGCTTTGAGAAAATATTAATAATATGCTCCAAATCTTCATCCCTTTACAATAGTGGATGTATATGTCCAATCTTTGTCTTCGACAACGAAAAACAACTCTGAATTGCGGACGCGAGATATAGTGTCCCCGTCATGAGGCCAGGTAAGACCATACAGGTCACCATAATTCCTTTTTTGAGAATCACGAATCCATTGATATGCCCAGTATGACTTCTTCGTATGATCGCGAATGATGTCCAAGGCTTTTTGAAGCTCGTTGTCCAATGCGTTTCCAATCTTGGTGCCGAGATAGTTGCATTTCCATCCATGCATCTTAAGGACAGCCGTGTGCTTGTCATCGGAAAGGTTCAAAACTGATAGACTTGAGCTTATGTGATCACTCTCTCCTTGAACTAGCTGAAGAACGGCATCTTTTTTGAAATTAAACGTGCATTTCTCAAAAAGATCTTTGCCGTGGTTTTCCTTTTTCTGAGGAAAGTAGCTCACCAGTTTTCCAGAAGAGTCGAAGACAATGGCTGATCCTGGTTCAGGAATGTCTTTCCAATCTGAATCAGTCGAGTGGGAAATAATACCACCTGGCGATATACCCCGAATTGCCAAATATCGTCGATGGGCTAACTTATGTGTACCAGTGACATGAAAGGTAAAGTAGTCCTTTTTCTCGTTAGATTCACCTTCAATAATTTTTCCGACGTAGTTGATGTCCAATGAGCATTCCTTCTCGTATTGCGTGACCTTGACCTGTGTTCCGTGGATCTGGATATGAAAGAGGATAATCACGCCAGCCTTTCCCTTGTCGAGGGATAGCTTGAGCACATCATTTAAGAAAAGCACCCTGCTGACTATTTCAGGGCTCTGAGTTGCGTGAAAATTGTGAAAAGGCGATTGGCTCGACAGATACAGGCCTCCAAGCCCTACCAGCAGCGCGGGTGAAGGTGTTGAGGCACCAGAGGCCAAGCCGAGAATAGAGAGGAAAAGGGCCCCAGCAGCCACTGCTTTGCCATAGGCCTCGCTGGAGTCTCTGTCCACAATGGAACAGAAGACTGTCTCCTTTCGGTCATTGATGAGAGTAATTGTGTTGGCAGCACTGTGGGCGAGAGGAGAAAGAGACATCCTGCCGTGTATAGCACTCAGCGCTGGTGAAGGGCGTTGGCTGACGCTACGCAGCTGTTAAGCCTAGATGTCCAGACAGGCGACTTTCGACGACTGTTTTAAAGGCGATTGCATATACCGTCTTATAAATACTTGTCAGTTGAGAATTTTCTGCTACATATTTGACGTAGCTAAAGACAGCAGCGTAACAAAATGAGCTGATTGAGCAGCAAAGCTGCTTCTGTGGCTCGCTGAATATGTGGCCCCGCCGTAACCAGAACTCGTCGGTTTCAACCGCAGTGCAAGATATCTCTATAACTTACTAACAAAGCCTAGAGCACTATTTCAATTGCGCTACAATCTTCGCATGTTTCTTACCACGAGAAAAGGAAGCGCTGGAAGTAAAGGACAGGTACACCCTGCGCCCGTCGTGAGCCGCGCCACCATTATCTGTAACTGAGGGGCTAATGCCTTTACGGCTACTCAGCCAGCCTCTCGCCGGATATATGTTGAAAAGGATCATATAAAAAGCAAAGAGGTAAGCAAATGTCCACAGATAGTCACGCTATTGGTTGGGAGAGTAGCAAGAGCAGCTCCCTGCATCGTCCAAAACAGCTGAATTATTGCTGACTATTAGCTGAGCCAAATATGTACGAGCATGTATTCAGGCGGCAACAAACTGTCGCTAGTTTCGGATCGAGGCCATCACCAAAGCCTTGAGGCTAGCTGAGGGTTTTTTCAATCACGGAGCAGGCGAAAAGACCATTCTTTTCGAAGGAAGATAACAGAAATAAATAGGTATCCCTCTGAGTTTGGTCACAGAGAAATGTGGCAGTGAATCTGAACGCGACTCGTCAATCAGAATCCCCCGCCGATGCGCTGATGCCATTAAATCACTGGGATACGGCGAAGTCAAATGCTTTCAAGAATCAGTTTTACTCATAAGCAGCTACAATTGAAACACCAGCCTTAAAGATCTCGCAGATTATGGCGTCTAGCTGTTCTACCATTTAGATACGGAGGAGTCACAGACTACCAACCTGCGGTGTAACAAAGAAGCGCTGCGAACTGACGGACAAGGAGCTCCGATGGAACCCATAATTACACCCCTTTCACAGCCTCGGTATGATGTCTACAATATCAATAGCCTGACTTTTCGCCCTTGAGCTCTGTCAAGTAAAGAGACTCACCTTTCAGCTGCGGCTGAGCGAGCCGTGTCAAGAAGGCTGCAGCTGAACAGGCCGTCCAGGATGATCTTCGCGACGCTACTCAAATAAGTAATCTCGATGTCAGACTATCGATTCATGCTGCAGTTTACGAAGCCCTCCAACCGGTGGCGATAACTTACGATGTTGTAAGCGCCCCATTCTCTCCGGGTGGCCCTGCCATATCAACCACAATGCCTTATAGATGAAAGACCATATGAGTATGCACAATCAGCCAATGAAAGACGCCTCAAGCAGCTGCTATCACCAATGATGGTTCGACGCGTCTGTTCAAGGCAGCAAACCTGTGCTATAGCTCCACGTAGCCGGAGGCCGCAGCTCTGCGGCCTGGGCGAAGCCGTTGAAGTAGGATTTTATGCAGGGCGGCTGCGATCAGTACGGCTAGGTAACAGAGTACAAGGCTTGAACGTAGTTATGTACAACAGTCTTGGACTTGAGTGAATAAGGCTCCCGAATAGGAATTGTTGTAAAGAGTTATGCAGTACACTTAGAGGTATCAAAATACAATCCATCACAGCTATAAACACCACTACTCATAAAACAGTACGATAGAGTTTTCATCGCTTATCTTAATGTATCAAAAATACAAAGTCACGACGATCATAGAACATTTTAATGTGGGAGAGGTTAGATGATATGCGAGCGTCTCCCATGCATTGATCGGATTCAATGCCTGCGAGTATGTACAAACAGTCTCGGCCTTGCACAAAGTACACAAACCTGGCCTCGGCGCAAGTCTCAGTTGATGACAGCGGTAAAGCAAGCTCTATCCATGTCTAATTGGTTTACCAGCCTTATCTCACAGCCGCGTTGGAGGCAGTATCCACTCACCTATATGCAATACTACACGCATATGCGGCCTATTCCAAGCTGAACAGCATGCTGCAGCCAATAAGAGTGGTTCTCGGTGAAGCCTATCCTGGGGTACTTTCTAAATAGAGTTCTAATTGAAATTGGCAAATATATTGCCAATATATGCCTAGAAGTATGGTATTTGCAATGCTGAACCATCTTTGTACACTGTACTCGCAAAGGGAAAAACAAAGCAAATTAGATATATAAGCTGTCCGACATTCTTCGTCAATCCATTATCCATTTTCCTCTATCTTCACAACTTGACTAGCGCTGATGAGACGATTCCTTTACTTGAGTCCCTGCTTTATATCTATCCGGGACTGAGAGACCGATAGATATCACCTTCCAACTCAGCATGTTCAAGAGTTTTGCCAATAAAGGTACGTTAGCTGTCATACTGATGAACAATCTCTAGAAAGCGATCCCTAGTGGTTTCCCACTGTTTGTTTTACTGAATGCTTAAGCTGACTCTCTTGACCGGTTTAGGAAAGAAAAAGAACAGAAACACCGACCCTACGACCAACGACTCCGCCAGCATCAATTCTGCTGCCAGCGGCTCAACTCCATCGCAGACTGTGATAACTCCTACAGTCCTTCGACGATCTGCCACCATGGAGCCTAATAAGTCTCGTGGCCTGGTAGTGTCATACACCCCCCCTGATCCTCTAGTATCAACTACACCAGGCCCTTCGGATAACACTGCTATTATCTCTCAAGTGTCTTCACCTCAACACAGCAACAATCACAATGAAGTGATAGAAAAGGCTGTTAACAGAGTCATCACTTCCACTACTACCATTAGCGAATTGACGGAGGTGGTAGAGAACAAACCATTCAAAATGCAAACGATGTTTACTAAGAATAAATTCCGCCCCAAGTTCTCTCCCAAGCCTCAAGTTACTCATATTACTCTTGAATACTATCTTGAATACATTTCAAACGAGCGACTTCGTCGGATGCCCGGCAGAGGCAGCGCCTGGGATCGCGTTCTCCACGCTGCGCAATTCTTTGGGCTCCATATTTCGGACTTTGGAGACAAAATCAATACTTTCATAAATGGAGAATTGCTCAATGCTCTCTCTCAAGAAGCTAGAGCCGATGATTTGTCCGGAAAAGGCAACGGTCAAGAGGTTCTCTCCAATGGACAGAATGATCATGCTTCTATCAACGGCGCCCTTGACTTAATTACCACTGCTCTTACGAATGCTCACTCTTTACTAGAGGTATGTCTCATTGACATTGGCATACTAAACAAATGCTAATATGACTTTCCATATACTTAGATTGGCTATACACAAGCTGAGACTCTTTTACCCACCTTTTCTGCCCTTTACGAGATCTCCGTTGTGTATACGGACATTATCAGAGTGTATGATCTCGAGCAGCCTTCACACGAGATTCTGAATGCCGCGATTCAAACTTTCCACAGTGTTATAGTCTTTCTCAACGGCATGAGAACACTATATCAGCAGAAGATTAGCAACGTCAAGCCTGGGACATCAGAACGTCTTGAATTTGGCCCCGACTTCGGAGCAAAGATTGAGCAGATTTGGCGCTTCAAAGAGACGCTGTCCAATGAGATTTGGAAGCAAAAGCTTAAAGCCGCAGGCCTCTCTAAGGATATCAGCCTGCTTCGATCGAAGCTTCAGCTTAATCAGAGCCAATATGTTCCTAAGGGCTTATTCGAAAACATTGGTCATTATGCCAACACATCGACTGAAGTCGGTTACTGGCTGAAGAATATTCTTTCTGATGACAATGGTGGCCAAATCGTCTGCATTACTGGCGATGAATCCTGTGGCAAAACATTCCTCGCTGGATGGATAGAGGAAAGGCTTGCTAGGCCCATTCATGTCAAATCTAACCACGTTCTTCGATACGACTTTCGTAAGTTATCTCACTTCTATTAAGTCAAAATATTGCTAATTGAACATCATAGCATACGACTTGCCAAGTCAGCCTACTCCGCATATCTTTCTGAAAAGCATTTTATACAAAGTGCTTGCGGAAAATGTCGGCAACATCGAAGTATACAAAAGCATCGCGCAAGCTTTTGAGCAACAATCTGACGAAGCAGATTCTGAGCCCACAGATTTGGTACTATGGGAAGCCCTCCATGCCTCACTCAAAGCTGTCCACATTCAGCATGCGTCGATAGTCATGATTTTGGATGGCTGTGAAGGAATTGCTGGTGGTGACGCTGAGTTCTACAAAAAGCTCCGAGCCTGCATCCATGGGCTCTCAAATGTCCGTGCCGTGACATTTTCCCGCTCAATTCCCGATGATGTCAGGGAGTACGAACATGCGATCCCTAGTATGAAAGTTGAGAAAGACATCGAAATTTATTTTTCCGAGATTCTGTCTCGGTCTTACGCTTTCAATAATTTGGGCTCTGCGGAACGCAAGGAGCTCTTCAGAACAATTATGGCAAAGGCAAACAATAACTGGCTCTGGTCATTTCATGCTTCTCAATTCCTGTCTGGAGAACAGTCAAAAGACTCGCTTCTGAAGTCAGTCCATGATATGGAATCAGATATACTTTTCAAGGTTATAAAGGCTTTTAAGTTTGATCAACGCCACTCTTTGAGAAATCACTCCTTGAAGACGCTTTTGTCTGCAATGCTTGTGGTCACACGACCACTCACTATCAACGAGGCTGCACAGATCCTTTCGGTTGATCTTCATATGCACATGAACTCGGTATCTCCTACGCCTTTCGATGTTGCCGCCCTCATCTCCGAATATAGCTCCGGCCTAGTCATCATTCGAGACGGCCATGTCCATTTTCGCACGAAAGCCGTTCGTACCTTTATGAACTCGCAGCTTGGAAACATTTCGTTGCCTACAGAGGCAGAAGCACATCGGCAGTTTACGCTGATAATGCTTCTATACGCCAAAATCTCTTGGAAAGGAGATACAAAGCTCACCATAGACGAATTGCATAATGGCCTTGCTCTATCTGCCATCTCGGCAGATCCATTGCTCCAATATGTCGTGCAGAATTGGATAATACACTTTCAAAAATCCAATTTGTCTGAGACTGAGGTGAAACATGTCTTCTCTAGCTCTATTACTCTGCTCCTTCTTGAAAGGACTTATTGGAGCAGAGTATTTGCAAAAGAGCAGCTCGTCCTCAATCACAAACTCGCTCTCCAAATCCGACAAGCATGCTTTGGTGAACATGCTGCGGTGGTTCACACTTTGATTAGCCTTGGATATACCTATCTCAACGTTTTTGGCTCCGATTCCGATGCAGCATGGTACTTTTACAAGGCAGCTAAACTCGGAGAAAAGATCTTGACAGCAAAATCTGCCATTGTGCATATCTGTACGAGTCATTTCTTAAAGTACATGGCGACTTTGAAGATAACTCGCAAGGCTGAAATCACCACCGTTCACACTCAAGAGAAAATTGATATTGTGGAGTGCTATGCGGAAATGATCCAGCTAGCTATCAGAATTGATCAGCATAAACATGGATATTCTAGTGATGAGGTGATCTTCTGGTACAAGACGCTCACAAGACTTTACATTGACAGCAAACAAGAAGAGCGCGTTATAGATGTCTATAAAGAGCTGTATACTGCCACGGTCGCCAAATATGGCAGCGAGTCAGAAGAAGCAAAGCGAGTTTATAGATACTTTGTTACCTTGGATATCGTTTTCAATGACCCGTCGGTACACAGAGTTGGCGAACTCGAACAACTCATTTTTGGGATTGGCAAAGAGTTTACTGATTACCTTTGCATAAAGAATTGGCTCTGGTTGGCTAACACATTTGAACAATGCAAGCACTTTTTCGAGGCCGAAAGACTTTATGTCAGTCTCTGGCAAAGCATTACTATTAATTGCGATCGAGAAGCCGATGTGGATGCCAACTCAATCAAAATCGACATTGCGCTTGAATATGTCAAGTTTCTTCGCAGACAAGGCCGTGATAGAGATGCTATTAGCATCCTTATCTGCTTGGCCGCGGAGTACAAGGAGGGTAAAGAGCTTCATGAATGTACGACCAACGGTGAGACCGAGCAATCCGAAGCGGTGATCAAGTACATCACAAGGGTCAGAGATGTCGCAGAAGAATGTAGGGCTATTGGCTTGAAAAGCATTGCTGTTTCCATTTTGAAGAAAGTTTGGAACTCATTAAGCAGCAAAGGGCATAGCAAAGAAACCCAGAGAACTGCAATTCTTATTACTGAAGTGATCAAAGAGATCACCGAGACGACTACGACGGTCGTAACGACAAAGACAACGACTGTTACTGAGTCGACGGAAAAAGCAGTGAAAGAATTGTTTGAGCATTTCGTACATCAGCACCATCATGATGAGTCTGATACTACCTTGTTCTCAGCGTCCAAGGCGCTGATAAGCGTATACATTCAACAACAAAATTGGCGCGAGGCTGAGGAAACACTCAAGAAAACTCTGCATTCTACCTGGCGCGAAATTCTCATCGCAGGTTCCCAGATTAAGCTCCCCCAGTACTCAACAGGGGAATGCTTGGACATAGCACATCGCTTGGCTGATTGTTACTCGAACCAAGGGCTCTTTTCTATGGCTGAGGAGATTCACTCGCAGATTTTTGCTGCTTGCAGCACCTCAAAGCTAGAAGACAATCTTGGCACGAAATCTAACCCTCTGACAGGCGCTAAACTGTACGAAGCCGCCACGAATAATTTGGTCTCATTCTACGAAGAGCATCATCGCCATACAGAAGCTATCAATGTCCACATCAAAGTGCTAGAGAAGTATGAGAGAGAACTAGGCACAAAGCATGCATCGACTATCAAGACACTCTACTTGCTGGCAGACAGCTATATAGCTCTTGGCCATGAAGAAGCGTACATTTACTATGAAAAGATTGTTAATGTACTCAACGAGGGTCAGGAGTATTGTCACCATGATGCATTTAGGGCTGCTCTAGTTCTCAGCAAGCATTACGATGCCCGCAGTTTCTGGGACAAACTGCATGCTATATGTAATATCTTATGGGTAGCTATCACCCGACATCACGAAGAACATGTGGTCGAGGGGGGACATAAGATTGATGCAGAGGCAATTACGTTGATCTATGATAGATACTCGTATGTGCTGGACCATCATGTCAAGGCTGACTTCTCTGAGCGATATGACGTTGCTGTCAAGTATAGAGACATAATCACCAAGACAAGCAACGATGAGACCTTGGTGGTCAAAACGCTACTTGCTTTGGCCAAGATATGCGAATCGCACAAAGACTACCACAAAGTGTCTGTCAGCGCCTACGAAGATGTACTGAAGAGAACCACCACAAACACCGAGGTCACCACAGTCACGACCATTGAGACCGTCAAGAGACTCTTATCAAAGATGTACGTGACAATGGTTGAAGAGTCTCAAACAACAGAGTTTGAATCAGAGCGCGCTATTGCGGTCACACTCGAAACCTACCATAAGCATATGGACGAGTTCAAAACCAATCCAGATCAAGCCTTGATTTATCTGAAGAACGTTGTACTCTTGTACCGGAAGTTGAACGTAACTGAGCGCATTTACCCATTTTTGGAAGAAGCCATCAGACATGTCCTCGCCGTAGCCACGGTCAATATCGAGCTCTTCCATGTGGCGCATGAGTTTGCTACCCTCTTTGCTGAGACGGGCTTGACGCAGAAAGGCAGAGACCTTCTCCATAAAATTCGCAAGTCAATCACTCACGGACACAAGCATGCTCATAGAGACGGTCAGCCTGATCATGAGTCTCAGATGAAGAAGGTCGTCTTTATTTTCCTGATCGTGTTTGCCCACGGCCTTGAACAACCTGACGAGAAACTCTCCTACTCCAAAGTCATGACTGAAAATGTTTTGGAATTTCTGCTACTTGAGAAGTATTCGCAAAAGGTCAAGGAAGGAGCTAAATTGGAGGTTATTCTGGAATACGGTGCAAAACTGCGTCATTTCTGGCAAATCCACCATCGTCATGAATTTGTTGACGACCTTGATGAGGAGCTCATCAAACGTTTCAAAGTCGCATTCTCTCAATACTTTGAGTCAAACATCAGCGACGAGATAGTAGTGTTCTTCTATACTTACCTGATGGAAGAACTCGGACAAGATCGGCCTTCTCTAAACTTTGACTTTGAAGCATTCTTGTTACAAATCGGCAATGAGCTAGTCAAGAATCTGTTGGATAAAAATGAGTCTGATAAGGCGAATCAAATCAGCTTGTTCATTTTCTCCTTTGCTAAAGAGAAGAAATTGTATTATCATGCTGGCCGTGTCCGCTATGGATGTATATTGGCTCAGTACTTGGTCGGAATAGATGCTTCGCATCCCAGCGAAGTGATTCACAGCGAAGGCCTGCTCAAAACGTCATTAGACATCATGACTACCGTCATTGATGCGATCAACAGCTTGGACATTGCTTTTGAGACACTCCCCTCTGAAGACTTAGTTGGTCTGGTCCATCTCCTATACAGGCAAAGTAATTACAAACAGCTTGAGCGCGTGCTTTCTCCTCTTTGGAATATGCGGAGCGACCTATCGGCCGTGTCCGACTCAGAATTGCCGACCATTGCTGAGATTGGCACCTGCTTAGTGCACGCGCAGTGTGCACAGAATCAATGGAGTGCGGCTATTGAGACTGTGAGAGAGTTGTATTATAACTTGCAGCGTGGTCTCGGAAGACTTCACCCGGAGACTTTGGCAGTATCTCAACTGTTCTCAAATGTCTTGGTCACGGCTGCTTTAGGAGGAGATACCAGCTATGCTTCTTATGCCATGGATCTTCACGAAACAGTACTGACAGAGATTTGCCGCTATTCTGAGATTATATACAACGGCTATACCCGTCGCGACATTCAGCTCCTTTCTAAGACAGCAGAGCTTCATCTAGAGCTACTAAAGAAGCTGCATTCTCGGTTTACGGATTCTGAGCTGGAGGATATGAGCAAGCGAGAGAAGGTTTTCCATGAACTCTCTGCTAAACTGAGTGCAGATTTCACATTTGACGGAGTTACTGGAGAGTTACCATGGCAGTACGCTCTACCCAAAACATGGAAATTCGGGGAACTGGAAGAGGAATGGAATGGCATCGATACATTGGAGACGTCCAAGAGAGAGTGGGTGCTGGCTTCACGCATTTTCTACTGACGGCATAGCCATGTAGATGAGCGGATGAGTGTTGATAGGGCCTAACTTGTCCTGAAACTTGCTTCTCCTTTGTCATGTTCAATTAGTGGCACACTCTTTTTATATGGTAATTGGCTTGTTGAAGTTTTGATCTGATGCTCTTCCTTATGTTTACCAGGCATTCCTTTCGCCTCCAAACTATGCACACTGCCTTTCGGCCATTATATTTGTATTTCTCTATTCTTTTAGTTAATTAGTTTCATTTTTTTCGCGAATTGAATTGGCCACTTCGCTTTTTGTTGTCCGACATGTTGGTATCACAATGGCAAATCCATTGTGCGTTATCCACTTCTCAACCTCGTTACACCTGTTCAAAGTACGTAATAGGAGACAGCGATGCCTGTTCGTTCAAAGCTAGATTACATATTAATTGCTTAGATAAATCAACTGCGAAAACGGTACTGGATAGCGGCATCCTCTAGCTATCTCAATTAGCCAGAGCTTCATGTGTGCTGTCGGGTAGTGAACCGTCTTGGCATCGGTCGGATGCTGTGCGACCATAAAGCATAGGTTCATGGCACCGCTTTCTACATTTTCAATCCACATGAGCAATGAATTGGCAGAAATTCAGTGGGTAAAATCGGCATTCGGCGCAATCATCCAGCGGGCGGAATGATGCATGGGACGCATCCAATTAGCCGGGCCAGTTGCTGTTTTCGCATATCTATGGCCCCAGTTTCGTGCTCTAGTGTTATAAGTGATTTGGCATTCTCATACTTGGATGGGCTGAGCATATGGCAGTACAAGACTGATTCCTGAATATGGTCTCGTATTTCGGTTATCAAGTACAAGTCTCCTCGATGAGGAGTGCTACAATATAGAAATTATGCGCATCATCGTAGAGAATCAAGAGGTTACCGTCAAGGATTCAGCTCATTGAGTCAGCGGAGCAGCTCAAACCTGCATTGTCCTCATTTGAAGTATACTTGCATCATTGTTTATACCTTTTTCAGCGATATCAGCTTAGCCCTACATGAAGAAATGAACAGCAACTGCACGTGCGATACGATGATCCGGAGCAAGGGAGCAGACGCCTTCGTCATTCATCGGCTATATGAGGTAATGAAGAGTACCTTTGCCTAGGGATGGAAACATTCGATTCGAAAAAGCCTTAGTAGATGCGCATTCGTGTAGGGTTCTCTGATAACGCAAGCCTCCGTCTTCGCAACCGTGTGGACCTACTTGAACCCATGCTATCATTGAAGAAGCGGCGATCTGGCCACTCAATTTAATCCTTGACGAATAGCATACTGCCATAAGGTAAAGGGTTCAATTGCGTAATTGACCATCTCAGAAAACTGTGCCCGTGGTTGACACTTGCTCGGCTCCCGGCAAATCTGCTGCCTCATCATCGGTTATACCACCATATGCCTACCTTGAAGATGCGGTCAAGCCCTACTGATTCAGATTTGAAACAGTCAAAAACACTAGATAAGAACGACAATCCACCAGAGAAATGGCTCAAGACGTCAGAATCATATTTGTAAGTCGACTTACCTGTTTGGGTGCCATACGCGAACATGAACGCAACACCTAGACCTAATATGAGACATGACGAGATCCGTTTCGCGATGACCCGCTGCCGCAATCGGGAGAGTCAGCAAATGAATGATATATAATTGGAGAACTAGCATGGAAGCATAATCAGCCATGAGGAAACTTAGAATTGCGTGCTTCGCGGTCGTGCAATTGCTGCAGCGGCTGCACTGTATGAGGTGAATGGCGTGATTCGCACTATCAATAGCATCAACACTGTCCAGATCGTCTCTGGTAGTGCGGTACCGACGCCCTCTGCAACGTGTGGCTGACATTACAAGTATTCGTTAACAAAGTCCATCTCCCGGATGGTAAAACCGAAGATCAGACAAGTCTCACACGGGGATGATTGGATGATTCGCCAATTCGCCATAGAGTTCGCGATGCATGCAATTGTGGGGGTGGGGTTTGCCCGATGCCGATGCGAGGGTGGCCGATGGGCCGCGACAAAGAGAGGGGAAGAGACGCTGGTTGGGCAGTTTGTGGAGGGACGGGAGGTATAAAAGGGCAGTATCCGACGAGCTGGTAGAGTGAATGCGACTGAACTTTGCTATAGCCGTTTAGCATTACTGTCCAAGTGACGAGAATAGCAGCTTATATCAAACCACAATGGCTCCCGCATTGGTTGAGACCGCCACCACCACCAGCTCCGGACCGGTGCCGGCATCTGTCTATAAGCTGGATCTTGGACAGTACAAGGAGATTGATCTGACCTACATCGATAAGGATGCTGAAGCGGGCAAGACCGACGGCCCTGCTGCTACGGTGAGTGACGATCCCTTTAGCAACAATATAGATATCATACTCATTCAAGATATAGTACCCTCACTACCTTCCCACATGGAACCCAGCACAGCAGTATCCTCCTCTGCAGCCCTTTGAGCACACTGAGCACGGCAAGGATGCCGACACCTCCTATCCCAACCTTCTCCCCAGCGGCGTCCAGGTCACGGACCTCACTCCCTCCATCGGCTCTGAAGTGAGAGGCATCCAGCTCTCTTCTCTCACCGATGCCGGCAAGGATGAGCTCGCTCACTACGTTGCCAAGCGAAAGGTCGTCGCCTTCCGCGGCCAGGACTTTGCTGATCTCTCAATCGAGGATGCGCTCAAGTTTGGCGGCTACTTTGGACGACACCACATCCACCCAACCTCTGGCTCTCCTGAGAACTACCCCGAGGTTCACCTCGTCCACCGTGGCGTCAACGACAAGGGCCACCTGGACTACTTCAAGACCAGAACTAGCTCCGTGGCCTGGCACTCTGACGTTTCGTACGAGCAGCAGCCTCCCGGAACTACCTTTTTGTACATCCTGGACAAGCCCGAGACGGGAGGCGACACCATCTTCGTTGACGCCGTTCAGGCTTATAAGCGACTCAGCCCCCTCTACCAGGAGCGTCTGCACGGCTTGAAGGCCACGCACTCTGGTATCGAGCAGGTCAACGCCGCGGCAGCTCGCAACAGCATCAAGCGACGAGACCCTGTTGTCAACACTCACCCCATTGTTCGAACTCACCCTGCTACTGGCGAAAAGGCTCTCTACGTCAACCCTCAGTGTAAGTTGTTCAGACGCTTCATATCGCACATCTATCGTACCAATTTCATGACTAACACTTGCTTTTAGTCACCCGTGATATCGTCGGATTGAAGAAGGAGGAATCCGACTCCATCCTCAACTTCCTGTACACCCATCTGGCACAGGGCGCCGACTTCCAGGCTCGCGTCAAGTGGGAGGACAAGACCGTCGTCGTCTGGGACAACCGAGTCACTCAGCACAGTGCTCTCGTCGATTGGGAGAACGGCCAGAGGAGGCACCTTGCTCGTATCACCCCCCAGGCTGAGAGGCCCTACGAGACACCATTCCAGGGATAAAGGAGAGACGGGGTTAACTATATTTCTTGGGTTATAAACATTTGTTAGCGGTATGATTTGATAGGCTCACTGAAATAGCCTTGTACAAAAGCAAAAAATAAAGAATGATTCCATGCTACTTATGGGCCTCTTGATTGGTGCTGGCTTATCGTCGGATGCTTACACCGATATAGGCGCGCCACAGCCTCGGCTCCGGGTTTAGCTTGTCAACTAGAGGGCGTGAGATGGGGCCCAACTACACTAAAAAAAAGTCCTGCTTCTAGAATTAAAGTATTTAAAAGAATGCTATTTTGAAAACTTGCATATTTTCGATATATCATCCAAATATAGCGTAATAGTGTTACAAGGTTGCCATAGACTGCTTTGCCATGGCAGTTACAACCTCAACTACCACTGCAGTCGAACTCTCTCCGCTTCCTCCACTCGCCAGCAGCTCCGGTCACAATCGGTTTCACAACGAGGCCGCAAATAATGGATCGCAAAATCCATCATCCGAAGATATTCTAGAGGCATCTCGCCTGGCAGATTCTGCAGTTCCGGATGGAGGTTATGGCTGGGTTGTTCTTGGTGGCTGTGCCGTCATTGCGTGGTGGGTGAGTATTTCTGTCTTTGTGTCTTTGTCCATACAAAGACAATATGCTTCAAACGATGCTAATCCTTTCATTTCAGTTTGTTGGGACAGGATATAGCTGGGGAGTGATGCAAGGAGCTCTTGTGGAAAAGGGACTCTCAACACCAGCAACTTTGTCATACGTCGGTTCATTGGCTACTGCCATTATCGCATTCCTGGCAATCGTCAATGCGCGCATCATCAGAGCCATCGGAGCTCAAAAGACTGGCATGCTGGGCATATTGATTCTCGGCGTATCCGAGATTCTAAGTGGTTTCACGGTAAACAGTCTTCCAGGACTATTCATCACTTCGGGCGTCACTCTCGGAGTCGGGCTGAGCTTGTGTTTCATGGCTGCGTCTGCAACACCAGCACAGTATTTCAGCAAGAAACGGGGTCTCGCGAATGGAATCGTCTTTGCAGCAGGGGGCTTGGGCGGCGCCATCATTAGCTTGTCCATGGATGCACTGATTCGCCGACTTGGAACTGCATGGGCGTATCGGATTCTGGGACTTGTGACGCTGCTGACCGGCTTACCGGCGGCATGGCTGGTGAGGGAGCGCTCACCAGTCAAGAATGCGGGATTCATCGAATGGTAAGATGATTGTGTAATACATTTCAATATGACCTTGAAGCTGACCTCTTACCCAGGCGTCTCTTTCGAGATCTCGAGTTTGTGGTCATCTTTGCTACAGGCGCTGTTGCTACTTTCCCTCTTCTCGTTCCTGCGTTCTTCATACCGCTCTACGGACGATCGATCGGCTTGTCTTCGTCTACCGGAGCAGGCCTCTTGGCAGGCTTCAACCTGTCGTCGGCTGCAGGCAGAATTCTTTGCGGTTTCCTTTGCGACAAAATAGGATCACTCAATGCTTTGTCCATTTCCTTATTGATCAACGCCATCACGATGCTGGCCTTGTGGCCTGCTTCTACTACGCTCGCTCCCTTGATTGCGTTTGTCGTTCTTAACGGTGCCGCAAATGGGGGCTTTTTCTCTACTATTCCCACGGTAGTGGGCAATGTGTTTGGATCTCAAAGAGTGTCTGTGGCCATGGCCATGGTTGTTACTGGTTGGGGCGGCGGGTATCTCATGGTAAGTTGCAAATGTGTCCATGTTTTGTGTCAATGTTTTCAGTTCACTTACAAAAGAATAGGGTTCTCCAATTGCTGGTTACCTTCTAGATGCCTACGGTGGGACAGAGAGCGGATTCCAAGCATACAGGCCTGCTATCACGTATGCAGGATGCATGGGACTCGGAGCTGCTGGACTCGCGACGTTTGTAAGGTTTCGGAAGAATCGCACAATTTTTGCAAAGGTTTAGTATTCTACACTTGTATATAGAACAAAATTTGTACACGTCATATGTACCATTGTCGATACATATACCACTTGACTGCCTTAAGCACGAACGGCAACCAAGAAAAGACGAGGGTATCGCAGTAACACAGATCCATCGTTGCAAGAAGGATAAAGCTCCTTTAGTTTTTCCAGATACGCCGCCAGGAATCCCTCCCTCTGCTCTGCACTGAGTGGATCAATGAATGGCCTCAATCCAGTGCCTTTAACCCACTCAACAATGCCCTCATGACCTTCCAGCGGGTGTTGGTAATTTGTATGCCATATGTCTACCGACGAACACAATGGCTTTAACTCATTGTATAGCTCAAAGGGTGTTTGGAAGGGCCCAAGAGATGGCTTCAGTTGTGAAAGCGTTGCGGACCAAGGACCATTTTCAGCCACCGCACGCATCGCTTCGTGAGACTTTTCGGTGAAGTTATCAGGTACTTGAAACGCAAAGACACCTCCAGGTTTCAGAGATTCAATCAGGCGTTTCATGATCGGAATTCGATCCTCAAAATTGATCCATTGGTAAACCGCATTGGAAAACAGAAGATCAACTGGCCCTTCTGGAGTATAGTCACTTAGATCCGCCACGGCAAATTGCAGATTAGGAAGGGCTTTGCGGGCCGTCTCGATCATGTTCGGTGATGAATCGATGCCCGAAATCTGTGCATCGGGCCATTGCTTCGCAAGCACTTCGGTTGAGTTACCCGGACCGCATCCAATATCGATGATGCTGTTGGGAGTGGCCAGGGGTATTTGGGCAAGAAGATCGCGCGAAGGCCGAGTACGTTGCTCAGCGAATTTGAGATACTGCGCGGCCGACCAGTCTTTGGTGTTGGCTGCTCTTCCTTTGCCAGCTGCTTGAGTCGCCATTGTTCTGTTGATGAGAGTCTTTGAAAAGGAGGCAAGTTGGCGAGATGCCATTGTAAAAGTTGAGATGTAGGATGGAGAGGAGGGAGAGAAGAACATGGGTCGTACTAGCCGATCTATTTATACATGGAAAAGCTGCAGTTTTAATTAGCATCCAAGAATACTTGCTGCTATGAGAGCCTTGCTTACAATACAAAAACAAGTTTTTGGGCAGCGAACATAATTATCATCATAGCCTAGCCTCCTTACTTCGGATACCTACTATTCTGGTGGAGAGTCGATACTCAGAAGCAATGCAGAGGATCAATCCGAGAGCCTTCGGCCGTCCGAACTTATTCCGCTGGAAGCCGGCTTCGGGGCTGAGGCGGCTTCGGGGCCGAGAGCGCCTCCGCGGAAATGCGAGAGCAAGGAAAGGGCACAAATACATGGGGAGGACATTTATTTCTCATATGTGATGTAATTTTTGATGTAATTTTTGTAATTATTCAAGTTGCGAAATGTATGATTGAAAGAATGGCTGGTCTATTTATAAGCACTGTTGTTGGCCATGCTGAGCCAGAAAGGGCAACGGAGCGTTTCATGTATCACTGCAAGCACTAAACACGACTGCCAAGACTTCTAGAAAAGAGAAAATATGTATGCTTGATTGATAGAAGCAGTATTTGACAAATATTGTTAGGTGACAGAGAAAGAGAAAACTAATCCAAACGCCTTTTCTAGAATTCCTAGATCACATCGCTGGCTCCCTATATCTGCACAGATGTGTGTGTCGCGTTTCTTGTAACAGCGGCAGCTCTATCCTCAGAGCTTCGTAGTCGATGAAATAATTCTTATGGGAGAATTAAGATTAACGGTTTATTTTCAGAGAGCTCTAACAAGCTTCAATCAGACCCTAAATACATGTTAGATATCTGATATAAAATTGCCATGTTTGATCCCATATGAAGCCCTTTGCACTTCGATTTGTCCTTCAAATTACCCCTCCCCCACCATGGCAGTCATGGCGGGGTACAGCTTATAGCCGGCAACGGAGAGAAGCTTCTCACTGAAACGCGACAATTCCATAGGAGGCGAATACAACACTTCAGCGCACATAACCGCAACATATATGTCTGAAACGCATCTTCATGTTTATACTCGCTAACTGACCTTGATCATCCTGCACACTGGCAGCTTTAGCTATCTTCAAGCTATACACAGGATTGGGGGTCAGAATTCCACGTTACATTGCAAGCCACATCGACTGACCCCCACTCGAATAGACTGTGGTGGGACAATCAGTCTACGTCGGCGAACAAGAGAGAGAGGCCTTCTCAGACAGCATTTCCGGGGAATAAGAAACTGGAATAACAAGTTTCAGACTATCGTCGGAAGAAACACCCGGGACGTTACATTGTTAGTGATAGTGAGAAGCCGCCACCAGGATAGTTCCCCGCAGACCGAATACCGAATTACTAGGTACATGTCCGGCTACTCAAGATTATACAACTTGAATCTTGATATTCTTCAACTTCGCTGGGTCATCATACTCGTAACGTAGGGGAAACAAAGCTGAATACAGTACGGCTCCAAAGACAGTCCCAGATTAGCCTTTACAAATCCGTCAAAATGCCGTCAGCAGAGCAGCGCAAACAGATCGGCCAGGTGAGGTCTTACAATCTGATATACCAGGACATGACTCGATCTAACATCACATCTGAGCCAGCTATTTGCTGTTGGTTTCCATGGTCGTGAGATTAACAAGGAAATCACAACACTCATTCGCGACTATGGCGTCGGAGCAATTGTCCTGTTCAAGCGCAACGTGCTTGACGCCGCTCAGCTCCAGGCGCTCTGCCTAGGCCTCCAGAGGATTGCAAGCGACGCAGGCCATAGCCAACCCCTTTTCATCGGAATAGATCAAGAAAACGGCTTGGTTACTCGGATTTCACCGCCCATTGCCGCCCAGCAACCGGGCCCTATGACTCTCGGAGCTACTGGCTCTCTTGACTATGCGTACGAAGTCGCCAAGGCTACTGGTGGGATGCTGCAGTATTTCGGCATTAATATGAACTACGCTCCTGTTGGGGACATCAACTCGGAGCCATTAAATCCTGTTATTGGCGTTCGGAGTCCGAGTGACCAGGCAGAAACCGTTTCCAAGTTTGCGGCAGCATGTGCGAGAGGCTTGAGAGAGCTCAACGTTGCGCCGTGCATCAAGCATTTCCCCGGCCATGGAGATACAGCTGTTGATTCTCACTACGGTCTGCCAGTCATAGACAAGTCAAGAGCCGATATGGAGAAGTTGGAACTGATTCCGTTCCGGGATGCTGTTGCCGACAACATCGAGATGGTCATGACGGCTCACATCTCTTTGCCACAGCTATCAAAGGACGGCCTGCCCGCCACACTGTCCTCAGAAACAATCGGCATCTTGCGAAATGAGTGGAAGTATAATGGTGTCATCATGACTGACTGCCTGGAAATGGACGGCATTCGCGCGGAATTTGGCAGCGTGAAAGGAGCACTCATGGCATTTCAGGCCGGCGTCGACAATGTCATGATTTGCCATACTTTTGACGTTCAGAGTGCGGCCATCGATCACGTCTGCGATGCCGTCACCGCCGGTACACTGTCCCAAGAGAGAATAGACGCATCTTTGGAACGTCTCCGAAAATTAAAGGACAGATACACAAGCTGGCCTCGCGCCCTTCGCACAGAACCGCCAGAGACTTTGGCCGCATTGAACACGAGCGGGGAGAAGCTCGCCAGTCAAGTCTACGCAGATGCAGTTACTCTGGTACGAGCAGAAGAAGGCCTTTTGCCTTTGAAGCCGACCGCAAAGATTGCCTTTGTCTCTCCTGGGCCTGATGTGCCAATTGGTGGCGCCGTCGATAGCGGAACTCTACCCACGCGCGTTCCTTGGATCGCAGACACCTTTGAGGAGCGTATCCGGAAGCGAGCCTCTCAAACAACCGATATTCGATTCACGAGTTCTACTCTCACGGACGAGCAATGGAAGCAGGTGGGCGAGGCTGACGTTGTGATTCTGGCAACCCGCAACGCGCGCGAGTCCAAGTACCAGAAGGAACTTGGTCTCGAGGTCGCCAAACGACGCGGATCGTCGCCGCTCATCTCAGTTGCCACATGTGCTCCATATGATTTCCTGGATGACGCTCAGATTCGCACGTACATTGCCGTGTATGAGCCTACAGTGGAGGCGTTCAGCGCAGCGGTGGATCTTTTATTTGGAGATGCACAGCCAAGGGGAAAGTTGCCGGTGGCGCACTAATTTTTTGGACATGAGCACATGAACGCTGTGGATAATTGTGAAGAAACGATGTATTTGTATAATTAAGCATTATCATTACATACAAGGTTTATTAACATGTACGTGACCTCATAAATCATAACGCCCAACCCGGTGCCATCTATTCAATCTTTACAATGTTCGTTTCGTCAGTGTACTTGACAAGCGAAAACTCAATTGTCAAGTCCTCGTAGTCAAATGTGAAGTAGACGTTGCGAAGAAACGGGTCGCCCAGAGCATCGCCATAGGGGTAAACAGGCACTGTGCAAGTGCCGTCTCCCATATCAATGGGGATAGAGCTCAGTGGCACGTCGAGGCTGACTCCCGGCGCGATATTCACGGCAATGGAGTCTTTAGACGGTTCGCGAAACTTGCAGTCCACAACGGGATCATTGGTGAGGTCCGGGTTGGGGATGCCCCAGTAGTCGGTGAGGGCGTCAAACAAGTCCTGCTGGACGTACCAGTGAGGATTGCCGGTGTCCCAGAGAGCGTATGTGCCGTTGTCGTAGGTGGATGTCAGCTTGGTGCCGTTGGCGAGCTGCAGTTCGAGGCTGGAGAGGCTGACAAAGTTTGGCTGCGAGTTTGCCGCGGGAATTGATGGATCTTCGACCTTTACTTTGTAGACGGGGCCCTGGCGCTTGGCAAGATCGATTCCTCCGATGAGCAGCGAGCCTGTGGCATCGGCATCGCTTGGTCCCAGATAGACGCTAAAGGCACGGCGAGAGATGACGCCCCTTTGTTTAAGCTGGTTGAGGAACGTCGGGTAAGTGTCGCAGGCCTTGGTGTCGCAGAAAGCCCCGAGACCAAAGATGGCGGTTTGTTGGGTGTCGATGGGAAAGGAGGCGGCGTTTAGTTCGACTGTTCCAAACATCATGTCGGTTACGGTTACGCCGCCAAAGGTGAGAGTATCATTGATGTAGCTGCCAAAACCATGGTCAATGAGCAAGTCATTGTACCCGTCATTTAACCACTTGGTCGTGGAAGAAGACGTGTTGTCGTAAGTGCCGTATTCCGAGCAAAGTCCTCGCTGGCATACAGAGTTTTCTGGTTACGAATGGTATCAGCAATACGATCTTTAAAGAAGCCTTTGAATCTCGAGACTGAGGGGAGCAGACGAACTGGGTGACTCAAAAGCATAAGTTGGACTGCCTGTATCGGCAGAGATAATTGCCTTTTGAGGTGGAGTGCCGACCAAGAACTCGGCTCCATAGGCGCTCTGGTTCTTTATACGCTGGAGCGGCAACTCAATTACACCTTCGGGCAGAGCTGCCGCAGCGAGAGACGCAAATGTTAGGGATGCAAGGGGAGCATGCATTTTGACAATGTTCAGATCCCAAGGACTTGAATGTTTGAATCTTGGCTCGATGTTTCAACGTGAGCTGATTTGGAGGGATCTGCACTATGAGGTGGGTGGCCATTGACTTTTTATATACCCAAACTGTGCATGTAGCCGCAACATCGGTATTTGCACGGCTGGTGATCGGTACCTGTCGGCATCGACTATATTTTCGCCTATTAGCCAAGGAGATTCCAAAGGAATAGTAGAGCCTTCTCCATAATCATGCTCACTGTCAAACACGAGCTCTCACTGCCGGCCGCACAAGTAATGGGGCACACCGTACGGAGCAGCAAGTCTCTTGCGACTTAGCATGGCCCACTAAAGCCAGGGGATCGAAATTGAAATCGGAGAAGCGGGAGCTTGAGCGCCACAGTTTTTGCTGTTTCAGGACCTTTGCTGCGTGGTAGGGTCGATGAATCAGCGTGGGATGATTGGAACAGCGATCTGGATAAAAATGATTCCGATCGTGGTGTATTGACCAGGTTCGGATTTCGGAATGGGTGACATCGGGTCGCCGTATTCCACTAGTAGCCTGTCGTAACATGGAATCATAAACAAAGGCTGCATTCCTGTCAAGGTGCTTGGAAAGGGCAAGGGCTGATGCTTCCCCTGCATATTCAATCAATAACCTGGAAACAGCAACAGTCTTTCTTGTACTTCTTGTTTTGGAAAGACGAAAATACGATTGTATAGCATGATACAACCAAAAAGGGGAAATCTAACACGAAGAGTTGATGATGTAATGGCGGCATCTGTATCACCGGTCTTTGTGTAAGCCATTGATAATAAAATAGCAGCAGCAGCGGTGAAGAGTGCAATATCAATCTCTGTATCGAAATACACATTACAGCCCATTATGGAAAGAGCAATATTGCCCTATAATCCCTCTGAGCTTCATTAATTCACTTTCACATATATTTTTATATAAGCAAAGTAGCAACGACCGAAACACACTATTAGTAGGATACTGTCATATGTCCATATTATTCTACTCTATTCTTAAGTCATTAATCAATAGTTCCCCCCCTCACAATCATGAACGTCAACCTGACTGCACCACAGCTGCGTAATCGGCGCTCCCCTCACTCCCCTCGCCAGCATCCTCTCCCGCTGCTCCGACAATCTCGGCCGTGCCTCCAGCTGCGATCTATTCGTGCCCGTCGCCTCGTCCACCCGGCCCGACCACCAGACCTCGGCTGCAGCACCGGCCCGTGGCCAGATGATGGTGTCGAGGCTGGTGGTGTCAATCGTCTCGGTCCAGACGGCCAGCTCGCCGCCAATGACGTTCTTGTGCAGGTCCGAGGACACGCCGTCGGTGGGCTCGTGGGAGTAGAGCAGCTTCCAGTTCTTGGTTGGGTCGCACCAGTCGAGGAAGGGGTAGTTGTTCTGGAAGGGCGCGCCGTTGTCGAAGTCGAGGAACTCGCCGCGGCCGCAGTCGAGATACTATGAATATCAGTCAATAGAGCCAACATATAAGAAAGGTTATATCAAACACTCACGTAGAAATCATTGCTGCTGTCAATGACTTTATATCCCAGCTGCGCCAGCTTCTGGATCGCCCCTCCGCCCAGCCACGTCTGCGCAACCACGTCCTTGCCCAGCGTGGCGTTCCAGTCCAGAATCATCTCCTCCCACACCATCGGCACGAGGCCCAGCTCGCGCACCTTGCCGTGCACGTGGTCCAGGAACTTTTGCAGCAGCGGCTGAAGCACGCTCTGGTCGTTTGTCTTGAGGGCCGGGTCGAGCAGCGAGTTGTTGGCCTTGTACTCGTCGCCGCCGGTGTGGAAGTAGGCCGAGTAGGGCGATAGACGAGGCAGTAAATCTTCAAACAGCGTGTCGATGAACTTTTCGACATTGGTGTCGTTGAGCTTGAGGGATCCGCAGGGCGGCTGGGCGCAGTACCACTGCCACGGGTTGACGCCGTAGGCATTGCTGAGGCCGGGATACGCCTGGTCGATGCCAACGTGGCCCGGCATGTCGATTTCGATGATGACCTGGACGCCTCGGTACACGCCGTACTCTTGGATACTGGCCAGATCGCTGGGAGAGTAGCTCAAGCTCTTGTGGTAGGCGCCCTTCTCGGCCAGCAGAGGCAAGGCGGGAATCTCCAGCGGCCAGGACTGCGTGTCGGTAGCGTGCAGATGCAGGATGTTCATCTTGTTCATCGCCAGCGCGTCGATTGTGTGCTTGATGTCAGACACCTCGAACCAGTGGCGACTCACATCCAGCAAGATGCCTCGGTGAGGGTACTTGGGCTCGTCGCGGATCGACACCGGCGCCAGCTGCGTGTACCAGGCCGTGCCGGCGCTGTGCTGGAAGAAGAGCTGCGAGAACGTCTCCAATCCGCGGAGAATGCCGGTCGACGACGGCGCCACGAGCGTGGCATGGCCCTTGGAATCGACATCCAGGGCGTACGATTCGTTGACGGCGCCGTTGAGCGGCTTGAAGGTCTTGTCCGAGTCGTGCTGCGTCTGCACAATCTGCAGCGTCGTGATGCGCTTCCCGCCCAGCGCCGGCTCAAAGTCTGATCCGCGCGCCCGCAGCATCCACGGCACGAAGCCCTGCTGGAAGATTGCGCCAAACGTGCGCGAGAGGCCGCCCTGGACAATCTGCTTGCTATCGAAATGCGGTCCGCTAGGTGGCACGTAGCCGGCCGTGTAAGAGATCTGTTGGTCCACCCTGGTCTCAGCAAAGTCCGGAAATCCGGGGTAGTCTTCATCATCATCATCATCTGGGCGGTACGGAGTCCATCGCACCTGTTCGCCGTTGTAGGTTACCTGGACCGTCTGGTCAATGAAGAGCGTGCCGTTGCCCGTCGAGGACTGCTTCGGCGCCGGCCAGATGGCGCTGGCCGGGCTGCCGAGGGCCAGGACGGCGACGAGGAGGGCCCTGCAAAGCATCGTGGGCCGATGGTCGTTCCACCGAGAGAGGGATCCGAGTGTATGTGCCAGAGTCAGGCCACGCAGAGTTGCCGTCCGTAGATAGAGCAGTGTCCTAGGTACATGTAGACGAGAACCGGGATGGCTGCTTAAATACTGCTGCTTGCAAGCATCCTTCTCTTGTATTCACCCCTGTTGAGTTGATTCACTGTCCTCCTTGTCGTCCTCTTGGTCCCGCTCCTGCTCCAGGTCCAGGTCTCTGGGGAAATACAAGCTAAAACAAACCGCAGGATGCTGCCCCGGCCTCGTAGATCGGTGTGTAGCAGCACCAAAGCTCGCTTGACAGGCGCCGCTTCTCAGCTTCATCGGCTGCAAGAATACTGGGCCTGCTGTATGTGTTGGCGCGGAGTAGCGTAACGTTCCATCGCCTTTAAAGGGAATCTTTGTAGATGAAGAGAGTACTCGGGATGACGATACAGCTCGAGTTGAATCAATGCTGAGCAATTGATGCCAAGCTGTGCCGGAAATTTTCCCTTGGACGACGTATTATCTTTGATTGAGCTTGTTCACTTTCGCTCTTTGAAATTCCGTGCCTCGTACGATTTTTCGTGATGATTTGGCCGTGCTCAAGATGCGGAGAATGACGCTTGCTTGGCCGATCGCCGGCAAGATGCTGGTGCTAGTGATAGCCAACACTAACGCCTTATAGCAGGAGATGTTACGCTGCTCTCATGTTCCGCTCATGGAGATGGCCGGGCCTTGCAGCGGTCAAGTCGGAGCAACAGTTGCCTATCAGGTTATCAATTGATGGAGGAGTGAAGTGCGGATATGCGGCAAAGGACCCCCATTTACAAGGTTATAGCTAATATGAAGCATAATACGGCGTATCTTTAGATTGGATTGAAAAGTGGCGTTGGGCGTTGTGCCTGTAGGCTGGATCTAATGGAGAGCTCATCGGGCTTCACGCCACCGAATATCCTACACACATGTAGTTTCACCCATGACACTGTTATTGTAATATCCATACTAATTTCCGCTCTGAATTGATTTTTAGGCATATTGATGAGCAGAATTTTGATTCTTAACCAGTACATGGTACGAGTATTGAAATCAGGTCACTTTTAGATCTACACGCACTTTTAGTTCCCCAAAGCAGTAATCACAGCACTAGCTCTCAGCTCAGCCTCTGTATCTCTCGTACTTACTTGGCTATAGTTCATCAGCAATCAGCCATTTACACGCGCCCATTAATCCCAAACAATGCGCGAATTCATCGATCCGGGCTATCCCGATCTCAAAGCATCTTTAAATGGAGCTAAAACACGCCAAAGAGGGTAATCCAAAGCTATGACGCACAGCTAATTGCATCACATCGTCGTATCCGCTGCTCGTCAGACCATCCTCCGGGTCACGATTCACGATATGGCGTGACGATTGATCATGTGTATTTCGCCCAGTCTATATGCCAATAATGGCTCAATTGATGTTCTTACTCAGAAACCAAGTATCATAATATATTGTTCCTTAACGAAGGATTTGATAAATACACGCATGTAGACAATTGATGTAAAAAGAAAAAAGAACTCTCATTCTTTCTCACCTCCTTCTACTGCGGCCTCATTCGTGTTGTTTAGCTGGCTACCCTACAAACAGGAACAGCCTTGAATCACTACTTTTCACATCGCTAATTGATTTCGAGGATATTTTTTATACCATAATCAAAATCACCAAGTAAGACGCGGTTTTGTCGCATTTGACCATCCGCAATGCCAACGTCAAACACATACTCGCGGCCAATTCGGCACATCCAGCGCGAAGAGCTCTACACCAACCTCGAAATGCGCATCCAATATCTCCACTCATTCCTCGACTTTTCAAGTCGTACGTTTTTACTTTCTTACTCCCAAGAACGCCTATCAAACATACTAACGAATGATAAGGCGACATTGACGCCCTCGTCAACGACTCCAAATACATCAAAGCCCTCATCCCCGCCGTCGCAAACATCGTCTACAAAAAACTACTCCAGTACGACATCACCGCCCAGGCCTTTACCGTCAGAAGCACATCCTACGAGGGCCCTCTAGACGAAATTCCCGATGAAAACAGCCCGCAGATTCTGCATCGCAAGATGTTTCTGCGGGCATACTTGAGCAAGCTATGCTCAGACCCGAGCAAGATGGAGTTTTGGGAGTATCTCGACAAAGTTGGGTAAGTTGTTTCATCCCCTCGTATAATAGCATGAGCTTACAAAAGTGTACAGCATGATGCACGTAGGCCTCGGCCGCAAACATCCCCTCAACGTCGAATACATCCACCTCGGCGCCTGCCTGGGTTACATCCAAGACGTCCTCAACGAAGCCATCCTCTCCCACCCGCGCCTGCACATCCAGCGCAAAATCGCCCTCGTCAAGGCCCTCAACAAGGTCATCTGGGTGCAAAACGACCTCATGGCCCGGTGGCACGTCAAGGACGGCGCCGAGTACGAGAATCCCGAGGCGGAGATTGAGGTTGAGAGCGAGGGATACCTTCACGGGAAGAAGGTGTTCAATGACGAGGACATGAAGGATGAGACGAGCGAGGCGTCTCCCGAGAGATCGTCGTGTCCGTTTTCCGGAGTGCCGGCTTCGGGGATACCAGTGAGGCATGTTGACTTTAAGGAGGCGACATAATAGAGGGATATCACAGGCTGTAGACGTTATTATTCATCTTCCGGGAGGATGCTTGTATTACTATTATTATTAACAATTATAAGGTTTCCATGTTGTAGGTCAACAGAATCGGGCAATTTTGTATGCTAGCAATTTATACTCCATATCACATGCTTTTGTATGCAAGTTCCAGCAGAGGGTATCATATCCAACCTTTGTGCCGTTTGTCTCCCTGGCCCCAAGTCTATTATACAAGCAATGGTGACTCTTCGTTGAGTATACCAAACAAACTCTCAATCTCCTTTTCGGCAATCTTCAGCTCCTGTGCCACCTGGCCCGTAACCAGCGTGTATGCGTAAATGAGAGCGTAGTCCCTCTCCTCAGCCAGGGTTAAGCCGACTTGTGTGTCACTTCTGTTAGTAGCAGCTGTAGTATCGCGGCTGCTCTCGCCATTGTCGGCTTCATTCTCTTCGATATAGCCGAGGTTTCGCACAGCTTCGGGTGAGTGCTCCTTGCGGAACTGGAAAATCTTGGCCAGCAGCCGGTCACGGATGCCAATGACGCTGGGAACCGCGTCCGTCAAAGGATATTCCAGCATCATGGAGCTGGCGAGCACTTGAAAGACGTGACATATGCGGTCGCACAAGACGGCTCTCTCTGTTGCTGTGTACTCTAAAAGGGCTCGCTCGCCTGGACTGAGATTTCCCTCACGATGTGTCACCAGGCTCATGGCGTAGAAACTATCCAAGATCCGGTTGGTGCTGCGCATGATGCGGCCGTATGTCTCAAATGGAAAAGGGCCGCGAAGCTCAAATTCCGACGAGGCCGATTGGCGCAGACTTTCCAGGCGACTCGCGTACCGTTGCATGGCCACCTGCTCCCCAGACTTGAGGTAACTGTCAGAACAATCGGTGCGGAGTAAAATAGCCAGCGGTCCTCGCCGCCAAATGAGACCCATTTGAAGATATAGCATGGAAACCCCTTCCTTGAACTTCCGGCGAGCCGAGATGGGCCAGATAACTCGACAGACGATCAGTCCCCAGAGAATACCTGCTATGACCGATATGACACGATGCTTTACAATCTTCATCATAATCGGGTGTACTCCACCCTCATCGTCGTCGTCATCCTCCACCCGCTGGCTCAAGCTATATGCGTAAAGGGTTGACACGTTATAGGCCAGTATGGTCATGCGACCCAGCGGAGCTTTGCCTCGGGCGACGATGAGATAAAAGTTCCAAAAGGCCACCAGCCATCCGAGTACGATGAGCGCCGCCGCATTACCCTGGCTTACCGTCCAGTTGAACAAGGAGAAGAAGGCACCGAAGAATGTTCCCAAAAATCGAGCCCAGCCGGTTGTGTTGGATGCGCCGACTGTCATGGAGCAAACAATCATGAAGGACAGAAGACCCCATTCGCCGCGATAATGGTTATAAAAGTCTCGAGTCTCCTCTATAAAGGCAAGCATTCCCCAAAGAGAAGCGCCAATACCGACCTTGAGACCAAACAATACTGGAAGATGTGTGTTAACTTTGTCCCCAATCAATTGAAACGGGTCGTGTCTACTTACTGTCGTCTCGGGCAATTTTTCTAGCGAATTTCATGACAGACTGAGAAAACATGGACAGTATCTTGCTGGCATTAGGCGCTGCTTGCCAGTTATAGGTGTCTCTGCGACGGATCATGGAGTCTGGAATGCCCCTAGGCATATCACGCTTCCGGATGGGCTTGATAAGGCTCTCGGCTTCAGGTGAAGTTTCAAACGGCAGGCTTGACATTTTACGTCCCTGCGCAGTAGCGTCCTCTTTCCTCCACCAGAAAAGCCAGCGCCAGCTTTGCTTGCTATGTTCGTTGACATACTTGAGATCATCAAGCACGTATAGATATTTCTGCATTTCCTCGCCAAATGTCTGCAAACTGAAGCTGAAATGGCCACAGGCGGCAGCAATCTCCTCCAAGCCAGCCTGTATCCGTCGCGAAGTAGACTTTTCTTGCTCAATCATGGTGTACACCTGTTGCAAGGCGTTGGACCTCGCCGCATTGTATTCGCTGAGCGCCTCGGTGAGGTTATGCCGAAGTTCTTCGCCGATGGTCACTTCAACATCGGAGGAGGTTCCTAGGGGCGGCTCTTGGAGAATCTGAACAAGGCTTTCGGTTAGCGTCTTCATCGAGGGCCCCATCAAATCGACAAATAGATGGAAGACGGCTGCCGGCGCAGGGCCATCCTGTTGTGTCGCAGTGCTTGGTCGCCGCCCTGGTGAATTGGGTCTGCTCGTCCCTTGGATAGCCCTCGGGCTGGAACTGCTAGGAGATATGCCTTCAAAGTCACCAAGTGACGAAGCTGTTAGGAATCGTGTCAAGGGCGGCGGCCCATCGTCAGATTCGGCCTGCCTGAGGAGGGACAGCTGGGTATTAGCCGCACTGCGTAGGCCGCCGATGGAGCGAGCCAGGGTCTCGATGGCCTTGACCGTGGATCTCTGTAAAACGTATATCTTCTCGCGACCGAGGAGGTAGTCCTCAAACTTTGCCTCGCGCAGGTTTTTGAGCATTTGCGGGTTTGTCGTGTTGTAGGTGGCCGAAGCTGCGGAAAATTGAGCAGACATCTCTCCTTCCTCCACTCCCTTGAGAAAGCTCGCGGTGATGGAAGAGAGCATGCCCCCAAGCGAGACGGTTGCCTTGGCCAAGGAAGTCCGCAACAGGTCGCGAGCAGACACTCTCCAAACCAAAACGTTGACGGCGGCGGTCGATGTGATGCCCATGACGAGCATCTTGAAGACTTGGACGATTTTCTGATTCGAAAAGACGTTGGAGACGACGGCGTTTTCTTTCGTAACGACGGAGATGATGGCAAGGGATGCCAGGGTGCTGCCGACATTGACCAGCGGGTTTGCCATTTTCTGCTTGACCCATCCCATGAAGCCAAAGGCGCCGCCGATGAAGATGATGACAACCAGCACATGCGCCAAGGTGACGAGGCCCATGACGGAGCCGACAAAGACGGAGGTGACCATGGAGAGGATCGAAACGAGCTCGGCGTACGCGACGGCCACGACGGCGATGAGGACGGCCTCGATCATGGAGCCGGTCGACCGGGCCGGGTGAAAGTAGACGGTGATTGTTGCGACGACATGCTTGCCGTCGGGCGTGCCCAGGAAGCTCGACAGCGGCGAGAGGAAGGTGGCCAGACTGGCGATGGTGTAGGCCAAGGTGCACTTCAGGACGCCGTGGCCCGCGGGCGAGTCGAGCCACTTGATGAAGCGCAGCAGCGCGGCGCGGGCGGAGTTGGCCATGGCATCGGCGCGGCGGGACAGCGATGCGGACATGAAGTCGAGGAAGCGTCGCAAGAGGCCGCTCTTGGCTGGATCTTGGGAGGTCTGTCGCGGTCTCGAGCTCAGCGCGGGAGCCCGCAGCTGGCGGGGCGACAGAGGGATGATGGTGTCATCGCTGCTCGTCTACAGTCGCAGAGAAACAAGGTCAGCCGGTCTGTGCGCATGAGCCTTGCAATGCCATGCCTGATGACGACGCCGCGCGGTTGGACGGGGCTGGTGGACAGGGAGAGGCAGGGCAGCAAGAAGAGCAGCACTGGAAGCTTTCAGGGTGCTGAAGTGAGGCAGAAAGAGACTGACATTCCGTGCAGAATGCGAGTGAGCCGGCGCCATGCGTGGTGTTGAGCCCGGCGCCATGGCAAGCTGGGCTGGATGAGCTCTAGATGAGCTTCATGGCTTCGAGCGCTATAGTGTGGGGGAGCTTGAGCATGGATAGGTGCGACGATGAGCTAATAGCGCGTCGGATAGGTAATACGGTAGGTTACAGTAGGCGGAAGCAGAGACAGGGTTGCGCCGTATAGCAGCAATTCGGATAACGATGGCTGGAGGTTGAGTGCATGTGAAGTTGCAGCGACAGGGTTTGGTCCACTTGGAAGAGGTGATGGAACCTTGGCGGGTGCTGGCTTAGGCGATGGATGGAACATTACAGCGTTTGGAGGTGACTTGGGGGCATTGAAGAAGGCGGCTGGGGAGAAGGTACCACGTTAACGGTTGGCGCGTACTACTATTGATTGCTACAGCACCATTGGATCAAATAGCTTTCAATAGCTGCTAGCCACATGTCTTTAGCGGGCTGTCGGTCTGCACCTCGAGAAACAAGCAGAAGCCTCCATTCAGCTTGAATTTCTTCTCAATACCGTAGCTTCATGTTTGATAAGTCAGCCAGGCCTCTGTAACCTGTCTGTTAAGCTGCTGGCAGCCTCTCTTCAATTTCTCCGCCTGGCCCTCCATCGCCATCACAAGCCGAAAGCCGCCCATTTTCTGCCTTGAAACGAAGCAATCAATCATACCCAGCTGTGGGACGGGCCGGGGTGGCCACCTGCTACAGAGAACTTGCACGCAGCCACCAGAGAATCACGGGCCAACACGCAGAATTTTTCAGTCTATTCTCTGATCCCCCAACATGTCCTCTTCTGTATTGCTTCAGTTTCCCACCGTGGTGTTCCTTCTTCTTCTTATTCTCCTTGTTCTCCCAGCAACGTTCCTCATCCTCTAGCTTTCATTGGAGATGCCGTGTTCCCGTAGACCACATTCCACACCAACTGCCGATTTCATAGCCTACAGACCGACTTACTCGGACTTGTGCTGCCAAGCTCCATGCGGTAAAGACACCGGTCGGGGAGAAGGCGTCAAGCCTGGCTGTCAAAGGCGCTGCTGATCACCAGCGGCCTCAGCGCCAGACTCGTTCTCGACTTAGCGCCCCACCCCGTAAAACTCCCCCAAAGTGTTCGCGGCTTAGCGCCTCGCTCAGGGCACCCGTAGTGCGCAATGCACGTCGCTAGCAGCGGTTCCGTGCATGCTCGTTGAGCGCCGTCCCTGGCTGGCGACACACCGGATAGTGCTGACAGGTCGGGCTTGCCGATCCACAACCTCCAGTTTTTGACATCCATGGCAGCAGAAACAACTGAACGATGGAAAATAAGAATGGCCAACAGCCCAACGACTTGATTCATCTCGTACACGTGCATCGTCAGGCTCCCCGGTAGCCTCTCGGTCAACGCTTTCGGGCACGTTGCTCACCCTCTTTTCGGGCGGCCGTTCCGAGATGCTCGGCCGAATCAAGAAAGGCCTTGCGCTGTGTGGACTCAATGGCTGCAACCAGACTCAACACGGAATTTGAAGTGAAGCCAAGGTCTGGAGCACGTGTGGTGGCCGGATCCGAACGCAGAGCGCACCATCTACGACTTACACGCAACGATTTCATAATGATTTGGTGGTGACTGGCGTTGGGGCCTCTAGTGGCGGAGGCTATCGACTGATGGTCCACCCAACGTGGTAGATAACTGGTAGACAACTTTCACTGCTCGGTCTTTTTGCCCGTCTCTCTCTCTCGATATCCACTCGATTGTCGGAGTCCGTATCAGTAGGACATGCAAACTTATTCATGGACCTTCATCTAAGCTTGCTCCAATACCTGCGACGCTGGCACTTTTGACGCGGTATCCATATATACTTGGACTACCCCATGGGTTTACTAGTCAGGCCGCCGAGTAATGCCTGCTTCCCCTCATATCTGTAAGGGATCGCCATGCTTAAGAAAGTACATGTACTCCGTAGCAGCATGTCTTTGGTAGGCCAGGATGCAGGCCAAGAAGCCAAGGTCGGGAGCCATGAGCCGGCAGGTTGAGGCATGAGATCAACTGCCAACTCTGGAACCGCCACACTAAAATAGATTAATAAAAAGAAGAAAATCTAGAAAGAAAAAGAAAAATGATCAACACGGAAAAGTCTGTAAAAACCACCCCTGACCAAGGCAAACTCGCATCCACCCGCTATGCCAGATAGCATTGCCGTCTGTTCCACCGCCAGCCATTGGGCGTCTCAGCACCGCGCACATGGCCCTCCACCATGCTTGACTTTTTATCTCTGTTGCATCTGCCAAATGAGGCGATAACTAATAGATAGTACAGGCATTCTGTGGGCTTATTATCGGTCTATCCCTGGACGACGGAAATCCCCAAGTGGGCCTACAAAAAGGCTCGGGTCCAAGGCTGTAGGCAGCTTAGCCTCTTTGTCTCTCTTTTACGCTGCATCTGTTTGCATGTGCAAGCATCATCGAGTGGGTTCGCGGCTCATGTAGCGCTACTACCACATTGCGCAGGTCGCTGCAGAAGCCATCTTAGCGGACGCAATGCCTGTCTGTTGGGTGGAAACTCGAGTCTTAGCCTGGGATGTGCAGCTCATCACCCTCGGCGCAACTGACCCGGCGATCGTAAATTCGATATGGACGGGCAGATATGAATAGCCGGTGCTACCCCCCTTCGTGAGAGAAGTTGAAAGAGCCTGGTGTCAGTCAGTGTGTGTGACACAGCTGCCGGAAAGTTCCTAGTCTTGTTGGTCCTCCATCTCGAGTTGACCGTTTTCTTTTCTTGCTTTCCTCTGTTGCAACTCTTTCTTGTTTCTCTTAACCATCAAGAGACTCAGTTGCAGCCTTGATGGAACCCGCGATTGAAGTCGGCGTCCGCCGCAAGACCTTCTTCCAGACCGCGCTGCCCGTCTTCGCCTGCGGTGCCGGTCTCTTCTCCGACGGCTACGTCAACAACGTCATTGGGTCCGTCAACACCGTCCTCAAGCTCGAATACGGCACCGTCTACACCGATTCCAACGCCTCCAAGTATGTCTCGGACATTGCCTTTGTCGGCACCGTCGTCGGCCAGCTCTTCTTTGGCTTCCTGGCCGACCGCTGGTCGCGCTCCAACTCGCTGCTCGTGTCCACCGTCATCCTCATCGTCTTTACTGCGCTGGCCACGGGCTCGTACTATCACGGCGATGCTGTGGGCATGTTCAACATGCTGACTGCCTGGCGCTTCTTTGTCGGTATTGGTATTGGAGGTATGTCTTCTACCCTTTGAATCATTTCCCTGGTTGGACAATGAAAAGTATTCATCTTGAAATGCAATTATAATACTAATAATCCTGCTTATACAGGCGAATATCCCGCTGGCAGTGTTGGCTGCGCTGAGACGAGCGGCGAGCTCAAGGAGGGCACCCGCAACCGCTGGTTCATTCTCTTCACCAACACCATGATTGACTGGGGCTTCGTCATTGGCGCATTTGTCCCTTGTAAGTCTTGTTCCCTCTTCTTTTCGCTGCTCGTCCGTCTGCGCGAAAATCGCCAAACTGACATCTCACCTTAACTGTAGATGTCGTTGCCGCTGCTACCCACGACGGCCGCCTCAGCACCATCTGGCGCACTTCTCTCGGAATCGGTGTTGTCTTCCCCTTCATCCTCTTCATCCTCCGACTCAGACTCAAGGAGCCTGATGAGTTCAACAAGGAGTCCATGAGGCACAAGACGCCCTACCTGCTGGTCCTCCGCTACTACGGCTTCCGTCTGCTCGCCGTGAGCATCGTTTGGTTCCTCTACGATGTCAGTCTCCATCTGATTCCCATGCCCTCTTCACTTGTATTGCGTATGCTGATATTCTCTACTTTTTAGTTCTCTACGTACGCCTTTGGCATCTACACCTCGTCTATCCTGTCTGGCATCTACTCCTCCACCGCTCCCCTCACCACCATTTTCGGATGGAACACCGTCATCAACCTGTTCTACATTCCCGGAACCATGATTGGTGCCTTTGCCAGTGACTACATTGGTCCCAAGTACACCTTGATCATTGGTGTTGTTCTGCAGGCTGTCATCGGCTACATCATGGCTGGTGTCTATGACCAGATCTCCAAGCACATTGCTGCCTTCGCCGTCGTGTACGGCATTTTCCTGAGTTTTGGAGAGTTTGGCCCTGGCAACAACATTGGACTCTTGGCCGCCAAGTCCTGCGCTACTGGTGTTCGTGGTCGTTACTACGGTATTGCCGCTGCCGTTGGCAAGATTGGCGCCTTTGTCGGGACCTGGGTCTTCCCCCGCATTGAAGCAGCTGGTGGCAACGATCCCACAAAGGTTGCCCAGTATCCCTTTTGGGTCGCCTCTTCTCTGGCGCTGCTGTCTGCTCTCATTACCTTCTTCTTCATTCCCAACGTTGGCCAGGATACCATCACTCACGAGGACATCAAGTTCCGCGAGTACCTCGAGAGCCACGGCTGGGATACTACCCAGCTCGGCCTGGACAACAAGACTGACTCCAACCCTACTTACAATGAGGAGGAGCATGTCGTCCAGAAGAATCTGCAGTAGAGGGTGACTTTTGTGCAATTCAAGATATCCCCATAGCATAGACTATACCCAAGTAATGTTAAGATGAATGAAATAATTATCGGATACGATCCATGTTTGGTATATATACATATCATGGCGACCAACATTATATGATTGATTGGGTATGAGATGAAACCTGTAGATACATGTAATTAACTCTATGCGTTGTGTAAAAGAAGTTGACCTCAGTCATCACCATGTCAAACGCAATCGTAATTATGCAAACTGTATATCATTATTACTGTCATTAAATCGCTAAATCAAAACATGACCAAATTCAAAAGCTACTCGAATCATATCCAGCCCTCACTCTGCCTCCACTCGGAACAAGGCCAGCGACAACGCATCGCCCAGAACCGACGACGGCGGCTTCTTGTGAACCGTCAGCATCCTGCTCAAGCTGACCTCGCCACCCGGACCCGGTGATGGCGATCTGGCCCTCGGCGCACCCTCTCCCGGGACGCTGAGATTTCTACTATGCCGCACACTCTGCGTGGCATTGCTCCTCCTTAGACTACCGCTGTCGAGACTGTCGCGACTAGGAGGCATGAGAGACGCCGGTCTCGCTTTGCCACCTTTGGGAGCCTCGAATCTGGCTGAAGAGGTAGGTCTGTCGCCATTTTGAGGAGGAGGAGGAGCGGCACGACTGTCTTTGCTCTTCTCGTCTTTCAAAAGACCCCACAGGTTGTTCAGCCACTTCTGCTTCTCTTCGGCCTTCATGGAGCGAATGGGCAGCACTTCCGCGCCGGCCATTTCTCGCGTCGGCCAGGGAAAGCTGACGGCCATTTCTTTCAGTGTCAAGGGGGCGAGTTGACGTAGCACGATGCGTAGCTGGGGCTCGACGTTTTCCACAAAATCGTAGGACCAGTCGTCTCTTCGCTGGAGACGGTCTGCGATCTGCGTCATGGCGCCAATTAGCCACTCTATGGCGACGGCGTCGGGCACGCTGTTGGCCTTTTGGAGGAGCCAGCCGAGCATTTCTGGAGAGCCTGACTGGTTCAGGATGGGGATACTGCGTTTGTCGTGTTCGCGTCCTTGGAGCTTGAGGATGAAGTCGTTGTACTCTTTCATGGCGTTGATGGGCATGCCGATGAACTTGCCGCTGTTCAATGCGTGGACAAGCTCGTCTCCGAGGGACAGACCAGCTTTGATACCGCTGTTGAGACCACGTCCTGGCCAGAAGTGTACCGTCATTGCAGCGTCGCCTGCGACTGCGACCAGAGCATGGGGGCGTTTGACGTTGATGGAGTCTTGAGGCGGCAGCAACTGTACTCCTTCTCTTACGGCCTGCACAACAATTGGGATACGAACGACGTTGATGACTTCTTCGTCTTTGAATCCAAAGAGCTTGAGGCCGTCTGAGATTGATGTCCACAGGGGGCTGCTCCTATCTTCAGATGGCGCGAATACTTGGCTTGGCTCAAAACCCTCGGGGATACTTCCGTCAGGCTTTCTGAAGCAACCCGGTCTGCCAAAGTGGACTGGCTGGCCGTCGACTGAGAGCATTTTGTGCCACTCTTCCTCGGTGAGCTGCATATTCAAGTAGCCTCTGCCATCGTGATCGCTGGCATTCAGTAAATAGCGCGTCTGCCCGAGCGTGAGGAAGACGTTTAGAGACTGTGACCACGGCAAGCCGGCAGGTCTGTCAAAAGCTAAACCCAAGGCATAGCTTCTTCCGCGCTCGTTCTCATATCCGTGGAAATACGACTGGCGCACCCATGAAGCAGCACCGTCGGCGCCTAGCAAGACGTGGAAATCACCGACTTTGGCCAGGTCTTCTCTCGTGACGCCCTCGCAATGCAGGAAAACAAGGCCTTGAAACTCTGGGTCTTGTACCCGCTTGAGGAAACGATCCTCTACTTTGCGGATCTGAATGTTGGCCGAGCCGGGCCATACTCGCTCTGGTCTGCCTGCAAAGAGCGCTTGGTATGAGGGCCTGCTGAGTAGGGAAGTGACGGAGTCTTGAAGAGTAACGACTTGATCTCTTCTCCTGGCAGTAGGGGGATAGTCGACAACAATTTCGCCGTTGGGAAGCTGCTTTTCTACCCAGCGCTTCTCATACATGTGCACCTCCACGCTGCCGGCGCCTTTCTCCGCGATGGCAATGGCTGATGCGAGAGCAGTAGGGCCGCCTCCTATAATGGCAACTTTTAATCTTCCCGGCACATACTTATAGACGGACACTTCGCCGGTCGGTAGAGGGTTGAGGTTTCTCTCCAGCGTCGGATCGAAGAAGAAGTCGACAACCGATCTTGTTCGGTCGGACAGAATAAGCTCCGGCACGCGAGACTTGAGAAGCATAAACCGCACAGACTGCATCAAGGGCGTGGTAGCAAATGAGCCGTGTGAGTTCCCAAATATCCTGTGCTGTATCGCCGTGGCCAGGGCTTGAACTGTCTTATTCTGCGGATTCGAAACGATGTTGCGCAACTCTTGGATAATCAAGGGGTCGGGCGTCATGTTGGCTATGCGCATGAGAAAGATGCGAGCGCGATCGAAGTCGGTTCGTTGATCTAGCGAGTTTGGGTCGGAGCTGCCCCAGGCTTCTTCGTAGATTTTGGGGAAGACGATGTCGTTGAAAGAGGCCGTCTGGGCGGCTACGCCTGGATCGCGCTTTCGGAATGGGATGGCAGTAGGCATGATGGCGATATTATTAAGAATAAAAACGTAAAATAAAGAATAAGAAAAGAAATATGTATTAGGAAGAGAAAAAAAGGGTATCTTGATATCTGGGCGAGCACGCTTGAGAGTTCTGGTAGAGCAACAAAAAGGCAGATACTGAGCTTAATAAAGGATTGCCAAAATCATCACAACTAGCCCACAACTCGCAAATCCCAGCACGGGGCGCGACAAATGAAAACTAGTATCGCCCTCTTGACAATTGTAATCAGTCTGCCAGTAAGAGAGAGGGACGCTTGACGAGCGTGACGAGATCCTGGGCCCGCGGGACAGATAGTGCTGACAGGCGGAGATGGCTAAATGTGATGAATTGAGATCGCTCGCTTGCAAGATTCAGCCTCGAATCCACAATTTGCATGGGGGTTTTCAAGATGAAAGTTGACTTCTCACAGCGGCTACTAGTGGTAGTATATATAAGAAAATAGGATCACATCAACTCTTGACAATAGGAGCAACTTTGGCGCTTCGTCTCAAATGCCGCCCAAGGCCAACTGCTACCCAACACACTGAACAACTCTGATTCTTCACTCACAAAACACTTCTTTTCTAATTTAGAACGCTCTGCGTACCCGCTCGCTAAAAGATCTGGAACAGGGGAGGTTTAAAAATAGCCTGCCGCATGGCTGTTTTGACCAAGCACATGCCTCCAACTCGAGGGCTTGTACTAAGCAAACCGGCAGCCTTAATTCAGCGCAGCCAACGGAGCAAAAGGAGGCTTGTGTCCTTTGCGAGACTGCTTTGGCGCGGCTTAGCCAGCCAGCTAAGCCGGCACTAGCAACGGCTTGGTTGCATGGTTTTGGTTGCGTCAAGTCGTTTATGCCAACCAAACTGTCGGACCCAAGCACTAAATGGGGACAGGCAGGGAAGCCTAAGCCTAAGCTAGAAAAGCAGGCATAACAAAAGTCCTGCAGCGGAGTTGAGAGTTGGGGTAACCTTTGAATGACAATTGGTATTATCTACGTTACTAGGAGGAAGAGGAGGGGCTCTGATTTGGGGGCTGAATCAAGGACGGGGAGCTTACATATATGTTTAGTATTCTGTAGCCGCGCTGAGGATGATGCAGATGGATGCCATCCATTTAGAATCCCTTAGGCATGACGAAAGGTCGTGGCCGAAAGTTGGCGTTCAGGCATGCACGGCCCGTCTTCTCTATGGCTCAAGATGACTCTAACATGAAACCGGAAAGATAGAGTCCGTCGAGGCTGACGAGTGCACAGCCACAACCTAATCTCGATCCCGAGATCTGTAGAAGAAGCGTATAGAAAGAATAGAAGATATGCGATAAACGACAACAGTGAAAAGAAGATGGGTCGTATATAGTATAATAATGACAGGCTCTACATGTAACACACATACACAAGTGTGCTATAATCAGAATATCCCTCTCCTTCGCGCACACGCAGTTTTTACTCATCTCTGGCTTTTACTTTGCCATCGCTGCCTCTTCGTAGCGTCTTACCTCCTCGGGCACCTGTCATCTTACCCTCGTCAAGAGCCACCTGACCATTCACCAACACGTACCGGATGCCTTTGCTAGGCAGCTTGGGCTCGTCATACGTTGCCATGTCTTTGACGGCCTCCGGGTCGAACAGCACAAGGTCGGCAGCTGATCCTTCGGCGACGAGTCCGCGGAACGGATAGACAGAGAGGCGCTTAGCCGGGCGAGAGGTAAGATGCGCAATCATGGCGGGAAGAGGAATCAGCGATAGGTCTCGCGAGTAGTGGCCTGTTGGGAGATTAATCAGTCGTCACCAATAAATAGCTCGGGAGCACAGAAATCGTAATCTTACCTAGATAGCGAGGGAATGTTCCATATGCGCGTGGGTGAAGCGTCTTGCCATGCAGAATCGCGTCGCTGCCCGACATGTGCACCCGATGCTGCATAATGGCCCTCACGTTTTCTTCGTTGCCGACGTGCATGATGATGCTGGTCGCCAGCTTATCTTTGAGCAGAAGCTCGAAAAACACCTCGCTGGCTGGTTTTCCCAACGACTTGGCAATCTCTGCCACCCTGCGGCCAGAGTAAGATGCCAAGGATGGTTCGCTCGTGGCACCGACTTGGATCTCCTCCCAGTTTGTGGGAATGCCGTGGCCTCCATCGCATCCTGTTACTTCAACCGCTACACGGATCTTCTCTCTCGTTTCGGGGTCTTCTAGCCTCTTGAGTGTTTCGGAGGGTCCGCCTGAAGAAGCCCAGCTCGGTAGCAGAGCGGCCAGAGTTGTGCAGCCGGGGAGATAGGGATAAGTATCTAGTGTTACGTCGATCCCTTTTTCGAGTGACTTGTCAATCATGGATATGAGGATGGGGGCTTTGCCTTTGTTTTCTGAAAAGTTTAGAGTAGCGTGAGTGAGATCTATTTCCGTTGCTTGTTAGATGTCTTTCGGTTACGCGATATAAGAGAACATACGAATAGGGCATCCTGTAGACTCTCCTAGTCCCAGCATTTCAGCATAGCTCTCAATAGCCTGGAAGCCATAACTGCGATGATGAGGAGCGTAAAATGCCCCGGGGAACTCTTTTGCAAGTGCTTCGCAGAGAGAGGCAAGCTCAGATGTTGAAGCGTACATGCCGGGCGTGTAAGTCAGGCCGCTATAGTGCATTAGATATTTGTAAAAAATGATAGAGCTTGCGCACTGGGTAATGGGATACTCACCTAGACATGCCGACAGCACCCTGAGCCATGGCCTCTCGCAGTAGTTGGATCTGGTCCTGAATCTCTTCAGACGATGCAGGCGTGTCATAAGGACCACAGGCCAGCAATCTCAAGTTGCCCTGCGGCACCAAAGTGGCCACATTGGTGGCCGTCTTATTGCGCTCTAAGCAGTCCAGGTACTCTCCCACGGTCTGCCACTCAAACATGCCAACTCCACTGAGCGTGGTGCGGCACTCCTCGTCGGTGGGATTGCCGTTCCAGCCTGCAATTTGTTCTCGGATTGCTCTCAGCTGGTTTACATTGCGAATTGGAGAGTAAGAGATGCCGTCTTGGCCAACAACTTCGGTCTGTCAGATTTAGCTGGTTAGCTACTTTGCCGTATTCGCTATTGCATCCCAACTCGGTCGAATTCTAAGAGAAGAGCTAAAGAGGATTGATTGCTTGAAGAACCCCCCACTGCGATGCGGATGAACACCGAAGAGCGTCCCTCTCGGTGGGGGTTGATTTGCGTGGGGTCACATCAGGCAGTCTGGGATCTCTTACCGTGCACCCTTGGGTGATTTTTGCTTCATGGTCAGGGTGTGAGAGCAAGTAAAGATCGGAATGGGCATGCATGTCGATGAATCCGGGAGACAGGACGTGGCCCTTTGCCTCAATTCGTCGAGCAGACGAGGGAGCATCAATAGAGCCTGGAGCCCCGATTTTGGCGATTAGGCCGCCTGACACGAGCACATCGGCCACGAACGGCTCGGCAGATTCATCGCCCGTGATGACGGTTGGCGATTGGAAGAGGATATCAACAGCCATGATGAGTCAAAGATGTCATGTATCTCCCAACAATGAGTATTGTAAATAGCAATGGCAGAACTCGCTTTGTGTTAAATGAAAAGTCTCATTAGGATAAAGAGAGAGGAGAGATCATAAGATTGAGATATAGGCGGCCGACTCCGTTTTGCGGAGAAACGGCAACCCCACCCTTCTTTTAGTCATGGGGAAACGACCCAGCATTAGTCGTAGAGAGCGAGATCAATTGGCATGAAGAGAGCGCTAGTGGCATCTCCTTGTCTACAGTAATGGCTGAGGGGGGTAATTGATAGCATCAGTCATTGAGGTCCGAGAGAGCTCGAGGCCAGATAGTTGACTGTTGTCGCCATTGTTTCCGAGTCGCAAGGCCTAATATAGCTTCCGTAATCTTGTATACTTTTACAAAGGAGTAGCTTTGGCCAAATATCTTGTAGCAGCATGCTTGGCCGCTGTAAGAGTGAGCTAATTTGAATATGCTGTTGTACAAGTACAAGCATGTATCAGAGCATCTGAATATCCTTGGCACCCAGCAGTTAAAGTGTCTCTCAATTTTGTAACCGCTTCTTTTCTTGATTCCAAAATGACCGAAGCACGAATAACATGGCGAGCATGCACACGTCGAGTGCAATTGCCCAGTTATACCCAATAAGATATCGCGGTGCATCAACGGTCTTCCAGACACTATATCGAGAGTTAGTCACTCCCAAAGTAGCATTCCATCATTAATCCAAGGCAGAATGCAGCTTACAACAGTGGCAACCACGCGCCAAATGTATTCCCAATAGTATTCATACTGCTCAGCACAATCGCACGCTCTTCTGCGTTACTGGAGCAAATCTCATTTGCCCATGCGTATATCACGGCTGCTATACCATCTGCGGATCCTGATAAGAAAAAGGCAAAGAACTTGAGGCCACTGGGAATGTTCCAAATTGCCAAAAGTATGCCTGCAAAAATATTGAGAAGTGCAGTAATGGCGATTAGAAGAACTTTGGCGTCGTAAATATCTGAGAAAACTCCGCAGATAATTGACGCCACAATGGTCACTGCAGGCATTACCGTAGTTATCGTATTGATATCCTTCACGCTGTATCCTTCAGCTTTAAGCCACAGGGGTAGCCCACTGTTAGAGGAAACGCCATCAGCCTGTGAAAAAAAGAAGGCGAAAGTTACCAAAACCCAAAAGTGCCAGCCGGTGAGGACAGATTTGATGACGGATAAAGTAATTGGTTTCCGTGGCTCACGATTCTCCGCTGCCATGCGTTCTCTCGCTAGCTCAATATCATGTCTTGTTAAGATAAAAGGTTCATAGTTATCTGGATTACTAGGCAGGACAATAAACCTAAGAAGAGCAATTGGGATGGTACAAGAGAAGCCTTTGTATGTCAGATGAGATGCAGCTTAAAGGTTATACACTGTCAACTCACAGATGATATACAGCCAGCGCCACCCTTCAATGCCATATCTACCATCAAGATGCGTGTATGCGCCGCTTTGTATGTATCCCGAGCTCATACTACCAATTTGACTGGCGATAAAGAAGAGGGAGCCTCGCCGGCTCAGCTCAGAGCGTTTATACCAGCAGCCAAGATACCATTGAACAGCTGGGAAGAACAGGCTACCAGCGGCGCCGACGAAGAAGCGAATTGCATATAGCTGGTGCACATTGGTAACTTTATACTGCGCGAGAGTGAGTATCCCCCATATGAGATCTGCGCCGGGAATGAAGTACTGCGCTGAGAAGCGAGTCATCTGTGGTGGAGATTAGACCGATGGCTTGAGCTTAACATTTTCAAGATATAAGAATGAGCCTTACAAGCACAGTTAGTGGTATCTGGAAAGTGATGTATCCAACCCTTGCTTGACGTATTAAAAAGCGATATTAAACTGCTGTGGCTCATCGTTGATTCTCACATATAAGTAGTATTGAGGTAATTGAGCTCATTCCCGAACAGTTTCAAGTCTTCTCTCATGCCGCTCACGTACGCCGCACTGGTCGCAGATGAATCCAGAACTTTCGCCCAGTATGCAAGAAAAACAAAGATCATGATTAATGCGTCCAATTTCAAGATCAACCGTCGTTCTTCTGGCGTATCGCTAGGAGAAAACCACTGATACCACTTCTGGCGAGGTGCATTTGCGGTGGAGGATCTGTCAGGATGCTCGGCACTCTCCACTCTGAATCTTGTTTGCGTGCCATCTTTCGCTAATACGTCCGCAGATTGTGGCTGCGAGTCTTTCTCAATGAAAAGCGACATGGTTGGTTATGCACGTCACTTTTTTTCCTCCGATTCGTTGAAACGACTTGGAAGTGAAGCTTGTGCATGAAGCAGATGAATATCTATTTATTTACTGGCTTTATTTACTTGCATCGCGTGATTTACCAACTAGATTGCGTCGCACTAGATCGTCCCACCATGTTCCGTCGCTATTTCATTGATCCAGCATTAGTTTGTTAAATTATATTCTCAATTATCCATAAATTATATGTCTTGGTGATACACAGCTGTTGTGTTGATGCTTCCTTTAGTTTCGAATTTTAGAATGCTTGTCATTGTATGTGTTGTAACTCGTCGTTAATCACGGTTCTGCATATAAAAGCATGCTATCGCTCCAGACTATGTAATTTCATGCTTTGTTCATTTACAATTGCATTTGTACTGATAAGGTCTGCATATACACTAGTTGAGAGTACTACTGATGGCCCGGACTAGGAGGCACATCCCCAGTATCCCACGACTTTGGCTCAGGCCCCAACACAAATTCGAGAAGTCCACCTTTTGCAATGTCGCTATGCTCTAACCAGCTCTTGCTCCAAGGCTTACCATTAACTTTTAAGCTCTGGACAAAGAAACTAGTGTTAGATAATCCCTGTGCCTTGATCCGAAGGGTATAAGACCCCCCGACTGAAACCGAAATATCTTCAAACCATGGTGCTAGGATGAGATATACTGGCTGAGTTACCACTGGATACAGGCCGAGCATCTGCCAGAGCATCCAGCTGTCCATGGCGCCAGCATCGCTGTTACCTGGTAGGCCGTTTGATCCAGTAAAATAATTTTCGTCAATATTCACGCGAGACTGATTCACGGCTTTGTATTGGCGGCCTGGTAGGTAGTTATACAAGAATGGAGTGCCGAAGCTTGGTTCGTTGCCTAAATTTGATAACAAGAGCGATTGTGAGCGACTGCTATTGCTGCGACATCTATGCGATGCGATATTTCTAGACTTACCGGGATTGAATAGAGTTGTTCCAGAACCCACTCCCACACCTAAATCTGTTGTTCGAAGATCAGGCACAAACATTATGTCAAGGCGCTTTTCTGTGGCGTCGGCACCGCCCATCTTTTCAATAAGGCTTTGCATGTCAAATGGAACCGTCCATGTGTATTCTGTTGTGAGATTAGACACAAGAACATTGGATGATAGCTGGACAAATCATTACGTACCCCATGGAAGGCCTTCAGTCGTGTAAGATTCGTCTTGCGGAGCAATAGTTATCATTGTACCATTGGCATTGCGAGGACCAAGAAAGCCTGATGTATTATACTGATTGATCGCTGGATTCCAAAGATTCTTCCAGTTCCTGTAAAATTTGATTAGAAAGCAGTTAATATTCCATGATCCGGACTGAGACTCACCCTGATCTGTTCAAATACTTTTGGTAGTTATTTGGCGCTATGCCCTTCGCTATTTGGCTAACAGAGAAATCATTCAAGGAATATTCAACTGTACGACTGATACTCGACGAAAAAGTCGTTGATACATAGCCCAAGTTGATCCAATCAGGAAGTCCGCAGCGGCCTTGGTTATCGGTACAAGTTGAGTCCTCTGGATCATTGTTCGGAGGCGGGACAACTTCTGCATCAGTCCATACAGCCCTGTATCCGTCATTCCAGTCAATACCATCTGTGAATCCTTTGACATAGGCATCGGCCAAAACATTATCGGCATTGCTGCCGCCTTGTACTTTGCCGTTGTGGTTGCCGCTGCGACCATCTGGCATGAAGCCAACGTGCCGCCAGATATCAATGAGGGAGCGAATCATGCCAACGCCCCGTTGTGGCTGGACCAACAGATAGAAGCTATTGAGGCAGCGAAAAGTATCCCAGAGAGTGTAATAGTCGTCGTAATACGGCTCTGTGGAGTTCCATATTGGGTTCTCTCCGGTTCTGTCGGAAGGCATTTGGTGCATGCGATAAAGCGCAGAGTAGAAGAGTGTCAGGCGTGTCTCATTCTTAGACGGCTCTTGGATAGAAATTTTACTAAAAACATCATCGTTCCATACTTTCTTAGTGGCTTTTACAGTATCGTTTAGCGTCCAAGATGGGATTTCTTTCTGAAATGCACAAGCTTTCTCAACCGAGATGAATGATACTCCAGTCTTGGATTTGACAACTGTAGTTTTGGCAGGAAACTTGAAAACTGCTCCGACTCTGTCTCCAGAGTCGTCGCCGTCAGGACCACCCTGAACTCCGTGAGGGTTCGTTGATGCATTACCCCAAGTCACCGGCGTAGAAGGGCTTGGGGGATTATCAGGAGCATTCCATGGCCCAGAGAAGTACTGCCAGCTCGAAGGAGTGGAATCAAAGTCGTTGCAAAAGTATATTTTGTAATCGGATCCTGGTAGAGTAGTTAGCAAGAGACAAACTTCTGATGGGCTGATGAGAACTTGCCGACTCCCCAATTGATTCCTGTGCCTCCCCAGCCTCCTCTCCAAACTCCCCATCCCCGCACTCGCCGGCCTCCGTTTGTTACTTCAATTTGGCCATTGCTATATGACTGAGACTTGATGAACTCAGCTAGAGATGGCAAATTGTGCGATACATCCAGAAGAATGATGCGATCCGTGTTCTCTGGATACGTGTATTGGAAGAATCCAGCATGGTTAGATGCAGTAAGCTCAACTGTGACTCCATTTGCCAAATCAGAGCGGTAGTACCCCACAGCAGCTCTGTCCATTGAAACACGAGGCTGTTGGTAAGTCGTGTTATCGAGAACATTAATGCCTGCCAGAGTTGTGAGTGGCATGTGCCCGACGACACCGTATTTGGAAGCGCCTCCAATACCGCACTCATGAAAGCAAGTAAATGCAGTGACTAAGAATTATTGTTATTGGTATAATCCTGTGAGCTAGGTCCATAGTTCGAGCATACCGTTTCCATCTGGCGTGTATCCAGCAAAAGCGTTTGTGCTTGGATTCATCTCAGTGGTATCTGGCCCAAGTTTCACAACTCCAAAAGGCAAAGAAACCCCCGGAAAAGTGTCGCCCGAGTTGGCTCCCGTGCCATCTGGTCCAGCAGTTCCAATAAACGGATTCACATAGACAGATAGATCTTCATCTTGAGTGGGCACTGCGAAGGCGCTCAAAGTTTGGGCAAATACGCCCAGCGTCATCCAACCGAACATGGTGACGATTCTGCTCTGAGCAGCAGTAGCCACAGAGTCTGACGGGAACTTGAAGATGCTTCAAATTGGATGATCAGCACCATAATTTATGAACAAATGTTGGCGATTGTCTCTTGAGGGGAAAGCAAGTGGGGCGGACGAAAATCCGGGGACGGGCTTTATCTAGATCTCCAAAGGTGCCTTTATGCATATAATGTACCGACGGCATAATTCGGATCTGCATCAGCTTGTATAGAACATGGATCCTAAAATTTGTAAAGAGTTGTTACCTGGTCAAATCGATATACGGGCAACATAGTTAACCATTTTGAGAGATCATAAAATATATGCGATACATCGCGTAGCCAATGTCTAGCAAACTTTGGAAGTGAAAGAGAAATCAGACAAGACAATGCATATGATAGAGGCTTTGTTGGTCTACCGTATTATCAGTTCGTTAAACTAATGCACACTCTGTTAATTAATTGATGCGACAGAAGAAATGAGTTGCTGGTTATTACTGAGGAAAGCCTTGTTATCCTTTCTGGTGTCGATACTGGGGGTAGTGATACGGAGTTGCTGAAATGCGACTACAACAACGCTGAAGTATCACTTATGTAAGTAGGTTCCGCCAATGATTCAAGTGCAAAGAGACGAATCGTAATTTTAATGCATTAGTGAGCGATCACTTAACAAAAGTTCGTGTATAGTCTGCTGGGATTATTAACAAGTCTATGCTGCCTTTTACATTGCTTTTACCTCTAAATGTCTAGTGCTCCAGCCTGTATAAAATTGGGTCATGCTAAACTGAGGTATAACAAGTTTATGTCTTTACTACCATTATACATTTGCATAGGAAATCCAGCGTTAGATCTCTCGAGTCCATTTCTGAGAATCTAGCACCCCAAATACGATATCCGATAGCCATCGTTTGATTAGCTGAGCATACGATGCTGACTCTGCGGATGGAAGAGGGATGTGAATATCCTTTCCTCGATGGTGAATAATCTCAGCCGGCGCAATGAAATACTTTGAACAACATGTCAGCCATCTTAAGCTTCAGGTTAATCGATACTGAATTCTGAGATGACTTACCGCAGTTCCTGCTGCAAATGCCTCAATCAGTCGGCCTTCCTCCACTGCATCCTGTATCTCATTTATGGAGAAATCTCTTTCAACTGCTGTTAAAGGAGGGAGTGATTTCCCCTCATACTGCCACACAGACTGTTGGTTACGATTCGACCGTACTAAATCCAAGACACTATAGCGCGTCACGCCTTCTAATATTGTGCCATTGTCTAGACCCGCGGTGACGAGTTCAATATCGCCTTGTTTTGTCTTCCAGACAACAAAAAAGTTACTCGCGCCTGCTTCAGTAACAAATCCCTCGGGTCCAAATAGCCACAGTATTTGGTCGAATCCAGCCTGAAGGGCAGCGTCATGTGCAGGTAGAGTTGGCCCATAGTTGCCTCCAAGCTTCCTATTTCCGAAACCTCCAGGCCAAGCTCGGGCAGTGTCAGCTGGGGAAGTCAGCAATCTCATACCATTTCCTTTGGTGGAGAATCCTGGAAGCAATGTTGCAATGATGTATATCAGAGACTGTCGGGGCCTTTGCACACCAAGGGCAGCTGTTGTTCCTATGTGTGTTGGTCGTAGATATAGAGTTTGGCCTGTTTGTCCACTAGGTAGCCATTTCTCTGCTTGAAGCGCCCCGTACTGCATGATGATGGATTCAAGATGAGCTATATCGAATGAAGGCAATCCAACGCGAAGAGAAGACTTCAGCATCCGCTCGCAGTTGAGCTGCAGTCGGAAAACACGTAATCGGTCGTCGTATCCCCTGTAAATTTTGATACCTTCGAAGCATTCTGTTGCATATTGGAGGACACTAGCGCTAGGCATGATGGGAAGCGGCCCATAAGGTCGAATTTCGGGAGCCTCCCAGCCCGTTGCTTCGTCCCATTGCCAGATCATCATTTGTTCCGTGCAGTTTGTCTGTGGATCATGCAACGGCTTAATAGGGACGTTTACAGTAGCAGCAGCGTCATTGCTCTTGTTCAGGAGCTTCGGGTAACCGAACTTATCGTGATTCTGTTGGGGTGCCATAATGATAATAGGTTGCTGTTGTTGTGACGAATGGGAGTGGCATGTTCTTGTGAGGGGGAACAATTATGTCTATATAAAGCTTTGAGAGCTTTGAGATGACCCAGAGGCATTTTGAAAGCCGATGGTATCCATATGAGACTTCCAGAGGCGAAACAGCAAAACATTTGAACCCATCAACTCCATACGGTCTAACTAACTTGTCCAATTATGGCATATGAGTACATGTATCTAGCCGTACTGTGTGAGCGAAGGGAGCTCGCACGAGCGTATAAAAGAGCAACTCCAATGAAATCACAACGTTAGGATTTTCATTTGAGAGTCACTTGTTGGACATTATGTGGGGCGCGCCCTTTTGATGCTCTGTCGATGTATGCATGGCGATCCTTCCGTCCGAGAAGCAATGTCGCGATGCAATTCTCGTTATTTGATTACGTCAACCCTCTCGCTTTAATGCGGCAAGTCATCATCTAATCCTATTATGGATGCTTACCAATCACTAGCTTCCTCTTTCAGTCTCCAGTTTGTATGTTATCACAGACCGATGTCGGCCTGTTGCAACGAGAGTTATGCTCCATTTCATTCTTTCAGGAATGCTATACCGCTCATTTAATGACCACCAGTTGAGGAGTGTTTGGTCCGCGTTTCCAACCGAGGTTCTCCAGTTTTAAGATACGAGCTACTACGAGTCTAATCTCATGGTGGAGATGAAAGATTTCTTCGTACAGCTTACATGGCATGCGTGGGATGCTACGAGCCATCTAGCAAATGTTTCAAGTTTCCATCTCATAATTTTTAGTGACTTACAATAGCATGAACATATTTGACATAATTAGTATTTACGCTATTGAATTACGTGAGAACTTTTTAAAACTTCAACCAGCCCTAGTGCAGCTGCTCGTCAAACTATGTAAACCCACTATTCATTTTTAATTGAAGAATAGAGACTCCCAATATGAGGCAGAATCTCAACTGTAAACTCATCGCCTTCATGTAAATACTCAGTTGGCTCCATCGCCATACCAATGCCCGATGGCGTTCCTGTGAGGATGATTGTACCAGCAGGCAGCGTTGTTCCCCGAGATAACCAGCTGACAAGTGCGGGGATGGTGAATATCAAATCACTAAATATGCTGATGGTTAACATTGCTGATGAAGTAGAGAAAAAGTTAGAGAGGACAGTGGGGCTTACCTGAGTGGTGAATCTTGCATAACCTTGCCATTTTTGAGCCCACGGATGTGAAGTTTGCTTGGATCTGGTATAACAGATGGAGAAACTAGTGTAGGGCCGATAGGGCAGGACGTATCAAAGCCTTTACTGAAACACCACTGCGATTGCTCAAATTGGCTTTTTCGAGCCGAAATGTCATTCGATGCAGTGTATCCCAGAACGTAGGAAAGTGCATCATCTTCGCTCACATTTTTAGCAGCCTTGCCGATTACTACGCATAGCTCGGACTCATAATCAGCCGTGTCGTCGGCGAGTGAGAATGAAGGGATAATAGTCGAGGCAGGCCATGGGTCAGCTAGAGATGTTGCTGGCTTTCTACAAAGAAGGGGTGCCAATCAGCTTTGACTCCAATAAAGCCCAGATGGTGCTACTCACAGGAATACAACTGGTACAGAAGGTAGTGCAAGATTGGCCTCTTTCGCATGCTTTGCGTACTATAAGAGTTTTAGACGATTATCCAGTTTCTAAAAATCTGATTGAGACTCACATTTAAACCAATGCACCGAATAGTGCCAACTTCAGACATGACTAGTGGGGATAAAATGCGATCGATAGATTCGATGACACCTGTTTCTGAACCAGCATCCAAAACCGAAGTGCCACTAAAAACTTTTACTTTAACATCGTGGCCATTTCTGACTTCTTTGCCGACATCGATATCGAAGTCTAAGGGCTCTCCAATGAGAATGGAGTTTTGCTGCCCTCGAGGAACGAAACGGACAAGACCTGATAAGATATTAGTTATAAGCTGCCAATTCCGATGGTTGCCTGTATAGCGATCACATACGATTGAATGGCATTGGATGAATAGATACTCTGCAAAGCGGAGACGGTCTAGATAAACAGAAGATACTATGTGGACATTTCGTAACTTTGCGAGCAACAGAGCTTTATATAGTACAACATAACTGTTGCCGCAAATCTAGGTACTAAGCGCAAACAAGTTTCGGACAAATGGGTACTATCGGGCTACCTTGCTCAAGGCTAGGATCCATCCTCCACGAATATACTTACGCTCGGTCTTTACGGGGTTACGACACGCAGCACTGATGCCACAAGAAGAATGAACTCCTCCGATGGAGATAGCGATCTCGGCATACAGCCAGATGTGTCATCAAAATTATGTAATCACACAGTATCCAAACGACCCAGTAAGGCCCTGGCACATCGTCATTGTTGCTACGTATACATAGTAACCCAGTAGGTGTATAAGTCTAGCGAGCAGAGCTTTCATTTCCCATCTAAGCAGACTTTCCTTCTATATGTACAATGTCAACGTCTTTGCCTCCAACCTCGGTTCTCAGCGTCAATTCCTCGCCAGATGCAATCATCTTGTGCAACTCTTTAGCGCGCTTGACTGGAGTGGTCGTGTCGTCCATAAACGCAAGATCCACCAGCTCCAAGCTAAGTCCTTTAGTTTCTGGGAAGAAGAAGTAGATGATTGGGATAAAAGAAAAGTTGAAAACGGCGAAGATAATGTACGTTCGCCATCCAATGTTGGCAATACTTGATGGGACAATTTCCACCATTACGAAGGAGAATAACCATAGAGTTGCCGTTGCAAGGCCCATTCCCTTAGATCGATATTCGAGTGGTAATATTTCCGGCCCATAGACCTGTATCCTAATATTAGCACACCGGTCTGAAGAACGTTTATGGACTTCCCGGATGACTTACCCAGACGCCGCCCATAAATCCCCAGGTGAAAAAAGCTTGGTATGCAAATATCATGACGACGGCGACAATTCCAGAAGTGCGCGTGTTGACGGCAAGCATTGCAGCAACAACCGCCATAACCATTCCCATACAGCAAGCAGAGAGCATGAATAGTCTTCGACGCCCAACGCGCTCAATCAACCACCAAGTCAGCGTAGACGCTAAGAGGAACCATAACTGTAGGAAAATAGACATGAGCAGAGACAAATGTCGAGAGAAGCCAACGGAGTTTTGGAAGCTAGAGACATCAAACTCCAGTTAGTACCGCCCAAAATGGCTAATTTTCTTGACAAACTCACATAAAAGTGGTGTAGTAAGCTATTGGTGTACTCCCACTCAGATCTTGCATCAAGTTGACTACGCAAGCAATTATGACGCGACGGCGCGATTTGACCTTATCAGCCTTGAAAAGGTCTGTCCAACTTTTCTGAGAGTTTAGTTCCAGTAACAGCGCCTCTTTGATCTCCGCGATTTCAGCGGCTACGGACTCTCTGTCTGCCGTGTCTTTGAGCGCTTGGAGGACTGTCACAGTTTCTTCAATGCGATCCTTCATGATGAGATATCGAGGCGCTACACGTTGTGTTGTTAGTTTGACCGTTGACATGATATGCGTTGACCGCAACAAACATAGTCAGACTTACACTCTGGCATGAAAAATAAAAGAGCACTCATAAGAAGTGCGATTATCGACTGAAAGGCAATTGGGAAACGCCATGTGACGGGGCCAGAATAACTGTTCATCCCATAGTCTATCAAATTGGCTAGAAGCTGGCCGACAATGAGGAAGCTCAGAGAGCATGCCACCAAGGTGCCACGCACTTTTGCTGGCGCCGTCTCTGCTTGCCAGATTGCCACGTTACTAGAGATCAAGCCGAGGCCAATGCCAGCAACGATGCGGCCAACCATCAGCTGGCCAACGGAGAAACTGGAAGCCTGGAGGAGAGAGCCGACGGCAATGGCCAGCGTTCCAAAGTGTGCGAGGGTTCGACGGCCAAATCGTCCGCCTGCAGCTGCTGTAACCAGGGATCCAAAGAAGCACCCAAGCTCAAATAGTGAAGTTACCACGCCTTGGAGGGTAGAATCGAGATTGAACGTTGATTCAAAGTCAGGAGCAGTGAGTAGGCCGCCAATGACGCCATTGTCATATCCTATAATAAAGAAGTCGATTAGCAACGAAGTTCGCGCTCACTAGATGCATCCATTTGCAGCTGGATACAGAATAGATGGGGCGAAATACCGAAAAGTATGAAGCCCAAGCCACTGGAAACAGTAATTCCAGCCAGGAGCTTCTTGCCTCGTAGGCCAAGAAAAACCATTTTCGTGTATTTTTTGTAGGAATAGCTTTACCTGGTGTACCTGAAATTCTCGATACAAAGCATGGACCCAGCGGCTCGGTATGGCTCGGTATCATGCACAATATCGATCTCGACATGCGTTAGACATACTGCTCTACAGAATCTGGGGTAGTATTTAAAGTAAAGAAAATGCGGGGTAGATTAGCTTCTTGTGGAGAAACCGTGAAGACGAAAAGTATGGGGGCATTGTACAGACTCAAGGCATTTCATCAACATGCCAGGTCAATATCCCAGGTCGGTGAATTTCCGGCTCGGTAGACTAGCGATGCAGCTGTCAAGTGATTGGATTTATTGCCGGCGCTATGTAGAGCGATTGCCCCAGCCAATCATCTTACAAGTCTCGGCTCTATGTCTGGCTATTAAGCCGTGTGGCTGTTTCTAAGAATCCAAGTTTTGAGAGCTGCTATAAGACTATTTGAACTAGCATTGGACGCTAGGTTTGGGATACAGTATCAAGTTGGGAATAAGAATTATATGTTCAGCTTCTAAGGATGCCGAAGCAGCGAAACGTAAACAGCCACCTTTGTCCATTTACTAGAAATATTTCTTCAGCAGGCATGATGGCGCATATCCGACGGATGTAATTCTAGAAATGAGCCAATGGCAATAAGTTGCTCGGCAGTATTGCGCATCATTTCCCGAAATGCCAAAAATCCCACTTCGACCTTGCATTTAGCACTGCATACTATTGATGTTTGCCTTTTAGCCGCAGCAGACCGGATACCTGGAGCCGATACCATGTGCAGAGGGAAAGCATGCAAGGTTTTGTGTGAGTAAGTAAATGCGAATATTAATGATCCTATTAGGTGAAGGAAATTAATTATAGAACATTTGACGAAAGAGAATCAGTAGCATGTTAAGATAAACACGCCTCGTAGCCTTGAGGAGTTGATGGAAAGGCACAGGGTCTTTATTTTGGTGCCCGTAGCCATCTTCATTTGAACATCTAATCAGTTATGGTGACTAGCTATAGAATTCGGCATCCAAATAATCATCTTATAAGTTACTTGCTCGCCCCTTCACTGTCTCAAGTATGGTCGAATGGTCTGCATCATCTCTCATTAAATTGGGAGGATCCTGATTTACATCGAATGACTTTCAGTTTACTATGTTTGAGTATCTGGCTATCTAACTATCTAACTATCTATACAAGATAAAACTTTACATCTCTTGCGCTTTTTGAAGATCCGGTTCTCGTCGTTGCGACATATTATGAACAAGAATGTTACATGCATGGGAAGTCAACCCTCTCCACTATTGAAACGACGACTGTCGCCGAATGAAATGGTTTGCAACTTCAAGCAGATTGTGCTGCATGCTCTATGGCCGTCTTAAAAAAAGAAATGAGAGCAACCGGGCCGTCTTTGTGTCTCATCAGGGCTCCCATTTTTAGACCGTCGTTGATATGCTCCACTGCGCGTTTGAACATATCCTCTTCATACTCGACAACGGCACGATCAATATCATCTGTGCCATGGGCTGCAATCTTTGTGGCCAGAGAGAGTGCATCTGCCATGGCGCAGTTTACACCTTCACCATTGGGAGTTGCGACGTGGGCTGCATCTCCAGCCAATGTCAGGCCAGCCACAGACTTCCAGCTCATGGCTTCAGGAGGCATGTAGTACAAAGACCAGGGACGAAAGTCTTCCGAATGACGAATCATATCTTTTAGCTCATCTGCCCAGTCCTCGAAGAATTCCGAAGAGAGAAATAATTGACGGGCGGACTCGGTATCAGTCAAGTCCACAGTGCCACCTCGCACAAAGTCTTCAGGGACCGTAATACCGAGATAAATCCTGTAAGAGCCGTCACTTTGACGTTGAGTAACGATCTCCTTTGAAGAACCCAGACACGCCAAACTGCCATGGCCAACTTTCGAAACCATTGTAGGGTGAAGAGGGTTGCCTGGGTTTATTCTCGATTCGATGTAGTGATTGCCCGAGTATATTGGCTTTGCTTGTGTAATCTGCGAGTGAAGCTGTTAGTAATTGAAAGAGAGAGACAAACGAGAAGAGAAGAGAAGTCGTATAACAAGGCTGGTTAACGTACCGATGCTCGCACTTTGCTCCAGGCCCCATCTGCACCAACCACTAGCTTGAATCCAGAAACCGATGCACCATTTGTAAACTCAAGCACATGGCGTCCATCCTTATCCGTGGTTACACTCTTGAGCACATGATTCCATCGGATTTTCTCACTCGGAATAGAGTCTACTAGAATCTGACGCAGCTGTATGCGATCAATCTCAGGCGCATCACGTCGTCCGCCTTCCGGAGGTTGAAAGACTCGCTCTCCTCGCTGGTTTGCAATTCTAAACACAGTATCTTCGTATCTCGCATATTTCAAGAACTCTTCGAAAAGTCCTGCTTCTTTCAATGCAAGCTGTCCGGTCCCAGCATGAATATCCAGGCTGCCTCCTCTGCGAACAGAAACGTCGGATTTATCGCGCTCATAGACCACGTAGTCGATGCCTTTGCGCTCCAGAAGGCGTGCTAAGGTCAAGCCACATGGCCCACCACCGATAATGGCAACGCTGGGAGACATGCTGCAGCGGTCGTATTAGGCTCTCGAGGCAAAGATGGTGAAAATGGCTTGGGTTTGCTGCTGTGCAGATGAAATGGTGCTCTTTGCAGGCTTGTGCCATGTGCTGGGCGATATAGCCTTTATATAGATGTTTAGTTCAGACATGCTAACAAGTAGATCGCTTCAATATCGCAATCTTTCGGAGTCCAAATGTGTTGAATGAAGGGCTCTACAGTGGCGGCGAGATGTGCGACTTACCCGGGCTCCTGGATCTACTTAGTTAGGGGCGCTTCTCGGGACCGAGAGTTGCTTTCGGGTGCCACATCCGAATTTCCTCTGCCCTACGAGTGCAGCGGGGCCGATTTTCTCCCATTGGACTACCTGTACATGATGCTGCATGTTCATCAGATTAAAAGTCCTATAAACTAGTTCAGTAATAAGTGATATTAAACTTTATTCATTTAAGCTTATACCGTGAATCATTTTCACAATGATGCCTCTATTGCACTGGACGAAATCTGCATACCTCGGTCTTTGCACTTTTATCAGTGTTGCATTCATCTATGTACACTACTTACCGCACGCGCTTACCAAACCTCTAAATTATCTTCCCTTTCAAAGAAGCATTGTGAGTTGCTGTTCATTCTTGACTTCCGTGCAATTCGTACGATTTACAACTTGCTTCTCAATAAACTAGCACATTTTGAGGCGTTGCCAGACCGCGTTTCCGTACCAAACCTTGCTGCAACGCGCATGTGCCTATTGAGAAGTTATGACCCACAAAGTGCGTTAATGCAACACGAAAAGTTGCGCCAGGCACAGATTATGGCACAATGCAAGTCAACACAATTCCAAATGGAGTTCGGGAAACAATAGAGCATTCTTTCTCATACACAACTATCTCAAGCTCGGGATCTTCCAGCCATGCATCTCCATGAGAGGTCGTAAATAAGAGTAATAAAGACCTGACCAGTCAAAGCCTACAAGCGTACTGTATAAGCTAACATGCATCTCCCAAGCCATTGGTATCCAGCAATAACCATTGCTAAAGGCGTGGTCATTCTAACTTCAGTCTGAAAAAGAGATTTGACAAGTCGTATTAGAGTCTGATACTTGAAAATTAGAAAGACTTGACCGATTGGCTGATACGCTTCATTGACCACCATTCACTATTGCTGCCATTAGGGATGCCTCGCCTTTGACCTCGCGGCCAGGCCACGCGATTTACTAGGATCCGTAGTTCGTAAACGTAAGGGTATGTTGGCCTGAGGACGAATTCCATCAATGCATGCGTCGATATAAATTCCAGCTGCCTTCCATCCTACTTCCTTTTCCCTTTCATTCCTCTGACTTCATTCTTTTTCTCCCTGGCTCTCAACTTTTCGTCAACAATTACTACCACAAGTGGAGTTTAATTCTACAAGATCATCTCTTCAAAAAAATGAAACCTGCACTCGCAATGGCAACTCTCGCCTCGGCCTCTCGGACGCAACGTTCGACGCTGATTCGCAACGCTCCTACTATATTCAATCTTCATCACCAACACCAGAGGAACCGAGTCATCTTCAATGGACATACTTCTTTGAGAACATTCTCTGCTCAATCCTCGCTTCTCAACCAAGAGCAAAAGGACAACGAGCTCCCCAAATTTAGCTTTGAGGGGCTTGGTATGAGCAAGAACTCCAGGATCTTTGTTATTGTGGTGTTGAGCATTTTTGGAACTATTGAGACCTGGGTTTGGTGTAAGGGTATTTATCGCTGGTGGAATGGACCTTCAGAGGAAGAGAAGAGTCGAGTAGAGGCTTCTCATAAATAGGCTTTGGCGAACAGAGATAGCGGCTTTGAGATTCTGGACAAATTTATTGAAGTAGAACGGCGCAATACAAATCTCCTTATCACCAAACCTACCTATGTAACACAGCGCTTGTACTCAATAAAACGCATTGCTATATAACAAGTGGTAATGACCACCAACGTTCACTGTTATCCGAAGTTTGTCGTAAATAAGACCATATAAGTATTCATGTTATACCGAACTTACATATCATGAACGTCGTAAATCCCATGATACCTTCGAGAGGTGCTATCAAGAAAGAGGGTAACAATTAAAGTTGCTTCTGAGTCAGTGATGAAGATAGGTACCATCAGTGCGTGGTATACTTAGCAAGCAATACTAATTTCGTGGATTATCGTGTACCCTTGTCAAGAAAGAGACTTAATCCTGCCATTAGAGGTTAGCGTAAGAAAGAAATGAGCTGCTATTTGACACACGATACCCCTGGCTAGCGGCCCCTACTTGGCTTGTTTAATAGAGCTCGAGCAATATGTAGAGCTTCCGTATGAGACACAATTATGTCAAGGCATCTAAGTTGATATAATGTTTCTTCATGAGCATTGCATGCCTGGGCAAAAGAGAAGACATTTTCTAGGAGAGATTGGCGACTCAATTGTTACGTCTCTTTTTAGTCTCATGACATTTTCTTGCGCAGCACAGCTTTAGTATGCTGTAGTGGGCTTCATGAATCCCAAAGCCATTTATTTATACTATATGTATGTGTATGACCTTCTTCAGAGGCAAGTAGGTATACCCCATTCCAATGCATGCGTAATACATAGCAACTGGTAGCGAAAAGCTTGGAGATACTGTCTACTTTAGAATGGCTTTCCATCGATTCTGTTCCGAACTGCTTCTTCCAGAGTCTGCAGTTGACCATCGAGCCCAAGAGCCTCGTTATCCAGCTTGTCGTATACCGCGCCACCTGTAACCCAGATACGTCGCAGCGCCGCTACAACTGCCAACGGATTACCTTCGTCCCAAAACTTCTTCTCAACGCTCTTTACATCTTCGAGCGGGACATAGGTGACGTTGAACTTTTCGCCGAGCTGCTTTTCGAACTCAGCAAGAACCTGATTTGACGACTTTGTGAAGGAAGCAATCTTCAACGCCTTGCCAACAGATACTTCTGGGCGTTGTAATGCAGCCACCACTCCTTTACCAACGCTATGTTGAAATGCCACAATTAGCTCCTATCATCAGTCAAACAGGTTGCCATAACTCACTCATCCATAGCGGTGAAGCCAATAGGCTGCTCGCCATCTTCAAGCAGAGTTGCTTCTCGCTTCTGTATGTCAAAGCCGCTCACTGAATCTTTAGGAACCCACATCTCAATGTATGGCCCTACAACCAGGTACGTCGGCTTCAGATTTTTTATCTCTTCAGCAAACATCTTGCGAACTGCCCGTTTGAACGTATGAGGTTTTTCATTTGCGCTGCTGGGGTTGTGCTCTGGATCAGTGCCGTATTCTGAAGGGAAAAACCACCGCACGGATTCAGACGCGTCCGCTTGCTTAATGAGCTCAAATTGATACTGTAGAGCCCCTCTGCCAAGGCAGCTGATGGCGGTGTCAATGCCTTGGTAGGCATTTTTAATTTCCGTCGAGTCTTTAATATCACCAACGACAACTGATACTCCCGCGGCTTTCCATTTGTTCAAAAGTTCAGCCTTGGTGGACACTGTGTTGGCAGAAGTAAAAATCGAAATTTGAGGGAACGGAGGCTTAGCGGTGATGAGCCGATTGACGATGTATTTGCCAATGTTGCCTGTGGCACCGAACACCAGAATATGCGAAGGCTTAAAGGACGCCATTGTGTCAATTGTGATTGTAACCAAAATAGAAAACTAGTTACAGGCAGTTATAAGAAAGAAAGATTAGGTCTATTATACTTTTGACGATCTCTAGCAAAAAGTGATATCGCGTCAACTATTAGTCATTTACCACAAGTGAGGGGTATCCACGTCGCAATCTCCCGTCGCAATCCGAGCGTTTGCCGCATTAGGCTTATTACCAAACAAAATCCGTATGCAGTCATCTCAGCTCTTTGGAATCTCATCTCAAACTGAGCCATGAGGCTTCACAACCTTCCCATATCAGGCAACTTTTACTTTCCTAAACCTCTTCTTTCTCCACCTTGGCGGCCGGTGCTGGGGGAGGGAATTTGGGCGTGTATTTGCTGTTCTTACGAATCTGGGCGCCCTTGAAGTAGAAGATAACGGGCACAGGCGCAAGCACAGCGGCAACACAGCCCAGCAGTGTCATTGCCCATTGGATCCCCATGCCCTTGAACATGTAGGTTGCGAATAGAGGGAAGATGGCACCGAACGCCGACCGCAAGAACGTATTGGCTGCTAGTGCTGAGGCCGCAAACTACATGTCCACCGCGTTAGTGATGAGTCAAATCATGTTTAGGGGAGCGTAGGTGCAATCACCATTAAGTAGGCGTCGATGATATAATTAAACGCCTGCAAAAATACCATTGATATGCCAAGACCGGTCACGAAGCCGCCGATGGTGGGCACGATCCAGTGGACCTCTTTTCGGTATCCCGACCATCCAAGCCAAAACATGCCGCCGGCGAAAAGCACAGCTCCAACCATGGCCTCGGGCATCCGCCACTCAGGCACAGGCATATTCTTGTTGGTCACAAGCTTGCGCGTGTAGCTCGGCGCACGTAGCGTCATGATAATACCTGTTACAATGCAGCCAAGCACGGCACCCAGCTCTGGAAGTCCGCTAACGCCAGGCTTCATGCCGTAAACTCCTTGAAAGATTTGGGGATACGCGGTGAGAAAGAGATACAAGAGGCCATAGATGAATGCAGAGTAGAGACTAGAGCAAGAAAACAATTGTTAGCTTTGCTCAGCAATAGGATATGAATAGTATGGGCATACCTCATAAGTAGGACAATAGGCTCGACGACAAGCATACGGAAAGGGCGCATGAAGTAGCGCTCAACCATTTCACCGAGGTCGACATCAGTTTCCTCTTGCTTGGCATGGATCGCGTAGTTCTTCGTCGCCCTTCGCAACTTGGCTGCCTTCTTAGCCAAGATAAACGGAGCGTTGGTTTCTTGTACAAAGATCAAGTTCAGTACTGCAGCGGCAGAAGCCAGGATTCCTGTCAGATATTGCGTCCATCGCCAGCCAAGGTGGCTTGTCACAATGAAGCCACCAATAAAGGGCGCGCACATTGGGCCAATGAAGACGCAAATGGTAAACCATGTCACCTGATGTACATGACTTAATAAAATTCAACACTATTAGAGGCGTTTATGTGAGTTCTTACAGCAATACCGCGCGTCTTGTTATCAAACAAATCAACAAACACGCCGCCACCCACGGCAAGCGGAGCGGTCCCAAAGAATCCTGCAAAGAACCGGTTGATCATGATGCTTTGAACGTCCTTGGAAACTGCCACGGCAAACTGGAAAATTGCAGTTCCAAATGCGGCGATAACAAGGGGTAATCGCCTTCCTTTGATCTCAGAAAGCGGTCCCCATAGCAGTGGCCTACAGAAGTGTTAGATACGATCTCATACCAATGAGTGATGGATAAATGGGACGGTGCTCAAATGAGGTTGTCAATCAAAGCGAAGACATACCCTGCTGAGAATCCTAGCACATAGAGTGTTACTCCCAACGTGGCAACTTCTGATGAAATATGGTACTTTTGTGATATCGTTGAGATGGCGGGAGAAAAGATGCCGCTTCCAAAGGTGGTGATGAATGTAGTGGACGCGATTATCAATACTATTCCCCACCTACTTCCGTTAGAAGGTTATCTCAAGTGTTTCTTTTGTTCGTGTACTAACTTTCTCTTCATAGACCAGTTTTGGGGATGGGTAGGGTCAGATGGTCCATCAAATTCCACAAGATAGCTGTCTTTGTCCAAGAGATCTTGAGGATAAGGCTTTCCGGCGCCCATTGACAGAGTCGACGATGCTTCTTGGCTAGACGTGGGATGATGTTGGCCATCGAATGCCTCTAGTCGCTTCATGTCTAATGTATCTTGTTCCACATTACTCGAAATCGTATCATCTCTGCTGAGTTGCTGCTCTGACTTGGATCGAAGTCCTTCCTCGTTGGAATGGACTTTGGCCATCTCGACCTCGTTATCCATAGAGCTGAGTTTCTTGTCTTCTACTAAAGAGGGTATCTTCTTCTCGAGCCTTGAGACTTATAAAGTACTTGTTCAAAAGTGGATTTTAAGAATGTCGACTGTATTGGCAATGATTATGAAGGTTAGGGATGCATAGACATGATTCAGAGGTTACGCTGCAGCAATGTTATATAAGGTAGGCAAACGAAAGCATTTTCATTCTACATCTAGTTTCTGCATCTAGTTGATGTATAATACGATGAAGCTATGCTGAAAAAAGATCATCATTACTAACTTTTCTTCCTTTTTCATGAACCATCGTGTAGTTTTGTAAAATTTCTAAGCAAGATGAATAACTCTAGGCGCATAATTTAGGAATTCGGGGAGCTCGGGAGAGTCGGGAGAGTCGGTAGCTCGGATTCGGGTGCTCGCTCATTTCTTCTCTGGTTTTTCTAGCGCTCGTAGCCTCATTCATTAATACGGGAGTCCTGAGTCAGCTAATGTTTGGGCCAAGTTACTGAAAGTCGAAATCTGTTGTTGATGTGAATTACCTTAATTGGAATTAGCCATTTGCGGCAATACTATTGCTCTTCAGCTGACTTTCAGGCACAGCGCTCTCAAAGCTTAAGAAGAATCCATGCTAGGCATTCTTGAATTTCGGCGTTATTGCTGTTTGTGTCGTTCTAGTTGTGAGAAACGTAGCTGGTGACCGGTTTATTTTTCGCTAAACAAAATGCTATGTCATTGAAAATGAGATACGACAGGCAGGAGGCCAGAACTTGAAGTCTAGTGTAGCGGTGGACTACGGCTCGGGGCGAGAGGCCGTAAGCGCACACCAACCGTCAACACCATGCCCATACGCGCAGTGCCAATGACGTGGTAGCGGCTATCGATTCGTATCTCCATACGTCCAGGGCATCTGATCATGCTGACCACAAGCATGAGACTTTGTAACTCTTGATACAAAGTACAGCATAGTCTGAGGGGAAGGACCCTTGACCACTAGACATTTTATGTGTGCATTTTTACTCCTCGCCGCTGCTGTTGCTATTGACAATATCAGTACGAAGACTATTCAGCCCGGAAATATCTTTACCTAAGAATTCTGATATGTAGCCTTGATAACCAGCAAATAAATGATAGTATGCATTGATAAATTTCCCAATTAGATATCTTTATCAGAAGCTATTGTCACTAAGATAAGTCATCCTTTAAAATCATGAAAAAAAAAATCCATGCCCATATTCAGCAATTGAATGGCAGGAATCAAAACAGAAGAAAAAGAAAGAGCATAAGAAGAAACAGACGAGAAGAGCTTCGGCTTTCCTCGAGATTTTGTTTTGAAAATAGGGTCTACATGTCTGTAGACTGTCTGGCTACCTACCTTAGTTAATAGGGTAGGAGTTGGCCCACCACTGAAAGAGCAACATCCGCCCCTGCGCAGGAACTCTATCCTGCTTTCTCTTTTCCTATGGCTTCTCTTAAACAATGATTGTTTTCTCTTGAAGGGTCTTTTTTTCTTTCTTTTTGATCCTTGAATTCCAAGGATCCTCATCTCTTTCTCCTCACTTATTCTACTGCACCATTACCTATGCGCTGCGCTTGTAATAACTTAGTAATATGCAAGCTCTCAGCTAGAGGGGTTAGCGTACTGCCTATTCCGCTCATTCTTTCAAACTGACGTAATGGTAAGCGGCTCTCGGTGGTGAATAAAGCACGAAGGAATCGGTAACGCGGCGTAGGCGTTCAATCCTATCGCCGCGAACCCGCATCGGACTCGGCTGATAGGTCGAATCGCTTGGATAGCTGCTTCGGTGCTGCGAAGAAAACTAACTCGCTTCAATTCTGTTTGCTGCAAATTTGTCAGGAAAAGCTAGTGGCGGGCAACTGGTAAGCTTTTTACAAGCGTCCGAGTTGCCCGAGGCAGCCGATGCTTGAGAAAGCCTCAGTGTATGAGATGATGCTATCGGGAAGAATTGCCCAATTCTGATGCCAAAAATACCAGTGATATGATGTGGCTTTTGTATAAATTAACCTGTGCTCGCAACTCATTGAGAAGACTCTTAAACAGCTAACATTCATGAGAATTGAAGAACATTCATCAAAGACTAAAAATTCTGACAACCTCACCATGTCTAAGACAATGCGCGCCGTTGGTAAGATGCCAATATCCCACCCATAGATTCAATGTTCATTTCCAATTCTTACTCTTCGGTGCGATAGACATCAAGGGCGATATTGGCCCTGCAGAGTCGCTTTATATCACTGAAATTCCCAAGCCAGTGCCTAAAGAAGGACAGGCTGTGGTAAAAGTTAAAGCTTTCGGTCTCAATCGCGCGGACATTATGCAGCGTGATGGAGAATATCCTGTTCCACCCTGGGCCGGCAAGATTCTGGGATTGGAGTTTTCTGGTATCATAGAGGAGCTGGGAGAAAACAGCGAAGCATCGTTCAAGGTTGGCGATGAGGTGTTCTCTTTGACATACGGAGGTAAGAAGGTTTCCAGTGAGACATGACGTGGAAAATACATTGGCTGAAAACTTAAATTCTAGGGGCGTACGCCGAGTATGTTGCTGTTTCAACACACATGTTGATCCATAAGCCCGCTCAGCTATCATGGGAACAAGCTGCAGGCATCCCCGAGGTAAGTTTCAAATGGTTTATGGGCTTCGAGACTGCCTTGGTGGAAGCTGACCCATCTCACAGACCTGGCTCACAGCGTCAAAGATCATGTACATGATTGGAGAGTTCACGCGTGGTAAATCTATTCTGTGGCACGCTGGCGCATCTGGCGTTTCCATTAGCGGGATCCAGCTTTCTGTTGCTGGTGGTGCCTCTGCCGTCTACGCAACAACGCGGTCTGATGAAAAGAACGATTTCTGCGTTAATACACTGGGCGCTACCGCGGCTTTCAACACCACAGATCCGAACTGGGTCGATCAGGTTTTGAAGGCAACTGATGGGAAAGGCGTCGACATCATCGCCGATTTGATCGGACCCGATGTCTTTGCTGAAAATCTCAAGATCGGCGCCAAGGATGCCAGGATTGTGCTGATCGGATTGATGAGCGGGACGACATTCAAGAAGGAATTTGATATGGGGCTCCTTGCCTTCAAGAGAATTCGATACGAGGGCTCAACTTTGAGAAGCAGAGACGAAGAGTTCCAGCGTAAGCTGAGAGATAAGTTTGTTTCGGAGGCGCTCCCTGACTTTCTGGCTGGGAAATTCAAAATCTACATTGAAAAGGTCTATCCGTGGGAACAGATTGTCGAGGCGCACAAGCTGCTGGAGACGAACAAGAGCATGGGGAAGATTATATGCACTATCAACTAGACGATGCTGAAAGGTTGGCCTATAATTCTCTATCGTGCGGATGTTTGGAGCTGGGTGATTGGAAAATTCATTGAGTAATATATATATATATCTGGGAGGCTTGGTAATACAAAATAAGCTTAAAAATTTACAAATGCTTAAAATTTCATGCGCAGATATGCATATGCGCGTCGAATTCCGCTAGAGGCATCTTAGATGAGGATACACGACCGGCCATCGAAAGACCTGGGCGATTGCTATCCGAGACTTATAACGCCAACTCGCCGAGAAGCTAATTCGGACAAAGCTCGCAAACGAAGACACAGCCGACATTGCGACTGCAAGTTTACGCGAGGACACAGTACTAGTATTAAATAGGCATTTGAGACTAATTTGATCAACCGGAACCGACTGCTGGATTGGAAAGCGAAAATAGAGGGAGATCACTCAGAGTTGCGCAATGCGGCCAAGTGTATCTCGTGAGGTGGGGATACGCTGTCACTCACATGCAAGAGATACGCAGCAGGATTTTTACGCTGAATTTTTAGTGCTTAGTTCAAATAATTCCACGACGACGAGCTGAACTTATTCTCCGATTACGGAACCCCTGCGTTGGAACCCCCCTGTATGGAAGTAAGAGTTCGCCTTGATGTCGGGGATAATTTATTCTACGCGCTTCACGCTTGATTGCCGACTACTACCTTGGTAATATGCATATGTTTTGGACAAAACGCCAAGGGAATGAGTGCTCGCGTGTAGATAACGTCCTATCAGATGCAGGGGTGCTATTTCTTGCTTGGCTGCATAAACACTACTCTTATCTCGCCAAATACGTGATTTTTAGTACTCGGACTATCTATATAGCCCTGCAAAACCTTGATCCACCTGGCCAAGATGCACAGGACATGCAATGACAGCAGCAACTTGGGGAACGAACCCAGTGGCGTGGGCTTGCTCTGATTTGGAAAGAGGGCGCAAGTCGACTGTGGGGAAGCTGAGGCTAGGAACATGCACTCTAGCTGCAGCAGTCTACGCATAGTCCCGAGTTTGATCAGTGCTGCCTAGATAACCCCCCCCATACCGTTTTGACACTCTGCTAACCTTCATCCACTAGCTCTTCTATTGGATCCTGGCGTCTCTGATCCTAATCAGCACTCTAACCTCGGAGCGCGATACGAGCGGCCGCTGAGTCTGGACTAAGAGCGAGTTATAATTTCCGATCGCCATCCTTCCTTCTGGGCTGCGGCCCCCTGAAGCCACAATGACCGGTTGAGAGGAACAAGGCTCTGTTCCAGTTAGTCGGATGTGAGACGGGTTTCCGTTCTTGAAATAAGCTGAAGCGATTCTCAATAGTCGCCACACCCATGCGCTGCCAAGGTGTTTTGATGTGGTAGTCACCCAATTTATTTTTGTTATCAATAAATGGCTTGCATAGGTAGTCGATAGTATGCATCAGCCACAAATGGTTCTGGAGGCACTGTTTGTTCTGAAACTAGTCCTCGGTGCATGGTCGTGGCATCTCCCTTTAATGCTGAACGTATCACTTCGAAAAGACATCATGAGAGGGGCGTAGTTTGTGCTTCTTTTCACTCGTCTGCATGTAGCACTCCATAATGGCTCTCTACTCGTCGGCACCGCCAGAACGGCCATTTAGCGATGCGAAACCTACCTTGCTTGTAGCCTGGTGGATAACGCTCTTTTGTACATGCTTGATCTTGCTCCGCCTCTCAGGACGATACATTCGGGTGGAAAAGCTGTTCATCGAGGACAAGATTACAGCGTTGGCATTGCTACCATTGTACATGCGGATGGCATGCACTCATGTTGTCCTCTTATACGGAACAAATAACATTGACCTCGCGGGTACCGATCTCTTTTCCCAAGAGATTGAGAGAAGAGTTATTGGAAGCAAAGTCGTCCTCGCCGGAAGGATACTTCATGCTGCTACGTTTGTCTATCCCACATCTCTAAATCTTTTTATAATTCGTGTAACATATACTGACTGTTTTGCTTTCCAGATTATGGACGCTTAAATTCACCACGCTCGAGTTCCTTAACAGACTGGCTGGTGCCTCCTTGAAGAGGGTCTACAAGCTTCTCATCAACATCTTACGATGCGTTCTTGTGGCTTCCTTTGTGGCCATCATAGTGAGCGACCTTGCGGAGTGCCATCCGATATCTCACTATTGGCAAGTCATTCCGGACCCAGGACCACAGTGCCGTCAAGGCTTCGCGCAGCTCCTCACAATGGGAGTCTGCAGCGCAGTCATTGATGTCACGCTCATCATTTTCCCGATTCCAATCATCTTTTCTACTCGGATTGCTACCAAACGAAAAGTCTTGCTCGCCATACTGTTCTGCTTTGGGTTTCTGACCGTTGGCATCACCATTTACCGAATCCCCAAGACCATCAAGCAGCATGGGGACCAGGTGGTTCGATCCATGTGGGCATCCATCGAGCTGCTTGCCGCAACAGCAGTGGCAAATCTAGTAGCTTTGGGCTCGTTCCTGCGAGACAGCGGAGTGAGGAAGATCAAATTTCGCCCAGGCTACCACAGCAGTGGGACAAACTCCAAGCCCCAAGCCAAGGGGGCTTCGGGAAGTGATAGGCGGCAAGCTGAGAACGAGCGCCGGGCCAAATCGGCGAGCGATGAATGGGCAGACGATAAACAGGCCGATACCGCATTCCATTCTTCACCAAACATTGAAGATGGAGCACGTCACTCGCAATCAGCTAGTGGAAGTGGAATAAGTCCCACGCAGAGCCATGACTCGCTCATCCAGCCAGACCGGGGATCTTCACATGCTGCCCCGGTGCTGGGTCTTGAGACCCCTCGATCTCCAGAGCGAGTGGTTCCTGCCGGAATCACTAGCTTCCGGCGTAGATAGCTGTTTTACCAATAATACTTTATTTCTTCTTCTTGGCGTCTGATAATTCATTTTGGCCTTGCATAAGTGTCACAGTTTGTGGTTTCTAGCCACCCTCCCACCCAGCCACCAGAGCCAGGGAACACTCACGCTACCATGACGCCCCTTTTTATCAACTCTTTTAAGTTAATAAAGAACAAGTTCTAGAAGGATGGCTTGCATATGCTCCGGGTTCAAGCCTTTTAGGCCGTACATTCACACAAGCTACTTCTATGACTAGCTAGCGTACACTCATTCCATTAGTTCATAGAATCGGCCAACGGCTGCCTAGGCGTGGCTTTTGGATTCTGTTAGTCAAGTTTCAAGTCAAGACCTGCCAAATGTCAACTCTTATCTCTACACATCAGGCTAACCCCAGGTTTGCGGAGGCCTAGGCTCCACACGAAACCCACGCGACGATATGCAGGGGCAGTGAACGCCCTGAGCGAACTCCTGGCTGTCGCCACCACTACTTCACATCACTAGCAGTGCTACTCTCTTATAAAGGAACTACTACTCCAAGTCACTAATCGTATCTAGCGTCCGCTAAAGTAGCGCAGAGGCCTCGGTTCCAGCAAATTGTGGCTGTAGGCTATTGCCATGCGCAAAACTCTTCAGCGCGCTGTAATATATGGCACTATGAAATCATACCGGGATTGTTCGATGAGCCCACCCGGGAACCTTACCATATTCAGGCCATTGAACGCCAAGATGAACCTGCAAAGGAGATGAGGTTCCAGAATTTGCAATAGTAGCGTTTGTAGCTGGGTATTTGTAACTCGTAACTCGTATGATTTTCTCTCCTTTCCCTCCCGCCTTCTATAGGCCTTCCACCATTCATTTGCCATGCTGCTCCCTGCATACTTTATTCTCCGAGTAGACGGGATCATCTTTTCCTCGCCTTACATGCATGCAACTGCATGTCATCAGAGAGAATAGGCAGTGTTCAAGGTTGACCGGATCCTACCATGGCTTTCAACGAGCCAGAGAAGCCAAAATCCATCAAAAATGGAATCACTTATACCCGGGATTTTGAGGTTGTGGAAATGAGCGATCTGTCGGAGCAAAGGGGGGATCAATTCACGGTAACGACTTCATATTCCATAACGACGGCATCACGTCCCAGGGCTCCTCATAAGAAGTCAATGGGCCATCGTTTTGTAGACAGCTTCCGCCGTGCCCCGGGGGGACTCCCAATGACTGGCAATCATGGCTATCAAATCAACGATGATCTTCCAGAAATAGCTCAAGCGGGTAACCGCTTCTATGATCTACGCGCTGCCAACGTCCGGACGGCGAACTCTGCACTCGCACGCGATCTCAAGGGTCGTCATCTGCAGATGATTGCTTTTGGCGGTTCTATCGGTATAGTTATATCATTACTGCTAAAGAAAAGAAAGAGCTTGCACTCTAACATTCGTAATTAGGCACCGGTTTATTTGTGGCATCAGGCCTGGCATTGTACCAAGGTGGACCGGCCTCGATGCTGCTGGCCTACCTCGTAACTGGTGCTATTCAGTTCTGTACCATGCAGAGCCTGGGTGAATTAGTGGCCACATTTCCCGTTGCTGGCTCGTTTTCTGCATTTTCAAGCCGATTCCTGGATCCGTCATGGGGATTCGCTATGGGCTGGAAGTAAGTACTCATCAACCCCAGATCTCAGGGCTCGTCCTGCGATGCCACTAAAGGATCCGAGCCATATGCCCTCCTACAGAGCCTTGGTTGTTGTATCAATGCTAACGTTGGTGCTAGTTATGCACTGCAATGGCTCTTTGTTTTACCGATTGAGATTATTTCCGGAGCATTGACGATTCAATTTTGGAACTCGTCTATAAACCCAGCAATATTTGTTACCATTTTCCTCATAACGATTGTTACCATAAACATGTTTGGCATCAAAGGCTATGGCGAAGCAGAATTCATTTTCTCTACTGTCAAGGTGACAGCCATTGTCGGCTTCATGTAAGAATAAAACCTCTCAGCATTTTTAGTTTACTATTTCATGTACTAATGAATGCCTCAGACTACTTGGTATCGTCATCAATATCGGAGGGCCGCCTACGAGCGGATATATTGGCGGACAGTATTGGACCAACCCTGGCGCAACAAATAACGGGTTTAAAGGCTTTTGCAGCGTCCTAGTCACGTCCTCATTCTCCTTTATCGGTACCGAATTGGTCGGCCTTGCTGCGGCTGAAACTGCCAATCCAAAGAAATCCCTCCCAAGTGCCATCAAGCAAGTCTTTTGGAGAATCGCCATCTTTTACATCGTATCGCTCCTCCTAGTTAGTCTGTTGGTCCCCTACAACGACTTACGTCTCGTCGGAGGCGAAAACTCCGTCGGTGCCACTGCCAGTCCCTTTGTCGTTGCCGTTGAGAGCGCCGGTTCAACAATTCTACCGAGCGTTATGAATGCGGTTATTATGATTGCGGTTCTGAGCGTGGGAAACTCTGCCATTTTTGGATCCTCGAGAACACTGGCTGCCCTGGCCGAACAGTCACACGCACCTGCGATATTCTCCTATGTGGACCGCAAGGGACGACCGTTGACGGCAATCGTTTTTGCATCGATTCTCGGGCTTTTGGCATATCTAGTCAATGTCAAGGTCCATTCGGAGATTTTTGACTGGCTCATGGCTGTTTGCGCGCTGTCGAGTTTGTTTACATGGGGTAGCATCTGCCTCTGTCATATTCGGTTCCGGAGGGCTTGGGCAGCCTCAGGGCATTCGTTGAATCAGCTCCCATTTCTGTCGCAGGCTGGTGTCATCGGCTCCTTTCTCGGAGTGGCTGGGAACGTATTGGTCCTGGCTTCGCAATTCTGGATGGCTGTATCTCCATTGCAGGGAGATCCGAATGCCACCGGGCCCAACATTACTGCGAAAAACTTCTTTCTGAAGTTGATGACCGTTCCAATTGTTATTATATTCTATGTTGGGCACAAACTGTGGTTCAGAACAAAAATTGTCCCGATCGCTTCCATCGACATCCACACCGGGCGAAGCTTCTCACGAATGCAGCCGATTTCGGAAGAGGAAGAGGAGATACGCAAAGCGTGGCCTCTGTGGAAGAGAATTTATCGGACGCTGTGTTAATGATAGTTTTGATAATCATAGAATTGACTCGATTGTATAAGTTTCTTGATCATATCCAGCTACCTACTAAAGTAAGTATGCATGCGTGTCTAATACTTTCTCAATTTTAAGAATACATTTGCTACACACTTAGCAGCGAACCCAGTGTTGCGCAGAGATTTACACACACACACACACACATACGTATGAGCTGTAGTCTTGCATGATGCTTGTTCAAAATCTAGCAGCCGCATAGTCAAACTATATATACACGAAGCAACGGGCGATCCTTCAAGATCAATTCATGTACTGTAGGCGGCAAGATGGCAGCTAGCCTAGCACTAAGTAAGCTGTGGAAGCACAGTTTCACCATTTTTTCTCAGCCATGTTCATAGTATTAGAGAGTTTACATATAAATGCCAGATAGGCGAAAACAACGCCCAGCCTGATCAAAGGCCTTCTACTAGACGCGACTCTGCATATCAGCTCACTGTGGAGTACTACCACCGGATGGCCAGAGACGCCACTATGCTTCACGAGGTGGCCCCGCTTCGAGATATTTACGGCATCCTTCCAATACCCTTCCCGGTTAGATCTTCTAGTCTTCATCCTTTCTTGTATTCGTGTGCAACATTTTCATCTTTTTCATCAAAGCAGCAATTGTCCCATCACCACACGCAGCATGGCCGCTTCCACAGCTTCGGCGCGCGATCAGGCGCTCGGCTATCTCTCCGATCCCCGCTTCAGCCAGAGATTCACTCTGCCAGCAACTGCAGATAGCCCTGCTCTCACTGTCAGCTATGCTGACGTTGGCTTCAGCCCCGAAAATCCGGCTGATAGTCGCAGCACGCCTACTATGCTGTTTATACCAGGCATGTTTGGCTCCAGATACATAGGCGCGATCTTAGACCCTATTGCGCGTAAATTCGGCGTTCGGGTTCTTGTAGTTGACCGGTAAATCTTGGCTTCATTTCGAACTTCTATGTCGCACTTATCTACACGTCTGGCCGGTCTACTTATGCTAATATATTCAATTGAACCATGCCGACAGTCCGGGAATGGGACATTCCTCAGAAGTCCCCTTTGCTATTCGTGTTTCAACTTGGGTCCGGACTGTGCCTCTCATGCTGGCGCATCTTGACATTGAGCATGTCGCCTTGGTTTCCCATTCCGCTGGGACGATATATCTTCTAAACACACTGCACTATAATCGCGATATACTACATCCGGACCAGCCATTTGTTGCCCTCCTCGGTAAGTTGATGATACTACTATGTGTTTCATGTTATGGGCTCAAACCTATCTTCACGCGACTTCTACTTACACAATGCCAGCACCATGGGTTGACCCTGCGCATTCCAAGGTTACATCAATGCAGCTGATGCAATACATCCCGGCACAGGCCTTTTCGGTGTGGCATCACATTGCGCCTTTACTAGCCACAAGCGGAGTTGTGATTAATAAAGCGTCTAGCATAATCCCTTCCTCAGCGGGCAGTGGCAAAGACACACCTCAGGAAAGGAATAGACAAAAGCTAGCAGTCGAATACGACGTTTCCAGAGACTTCCAGGTTGAATTGGAGTCGCTTCTTGGTAAGAGAATAATGAAAGAAAATACTGTCGGCGCAAATAGCGAAGCACTCCTGTGTGCTAGAAAAGGCAAAGGATGGTCCTGGGGAGAGTGTGACGATTACGCGACCTTTGTAGAGACACTAGCGACTACTGAAAGGCAAAAATGCCAGATGGACTCCAACACAGAGAACCATGGGAAATTGAAAGTCAGGGCGTATTTTGCCGAAAACGATGTTATGGTTGGAGTTGGCGGGCAGAAGTATATGGAAAACTGCTGGAGGCGTGGAGAGGGTAGTTATAATGACGTTCTGGATTTTGATTCAGCCACTATCGCTGATACAGATCATGACAGCCTTGTACTGTCTGTAAATGTTTTAGAGAAGGTATTTGCTGACGCCGGCGGCAGCTTAGCACGCTAAGTGTCATTGAACGTTGAACGTTTATGAGGAGACAAGTAAATTGAAACCCTGTATCAAATGTATTGACAGTTTCTATAATGTTCGCCATATTAGATCCTCTTCCCTCCCAACTCAACAAAAGGAAGCGCCCTGCATATGCTCGGATTTAGCCAGGGGTATATGTAAAGTCGCATTATCCTAAACCACATAGAGCTAAGATCTGATGCGGGGAGGGCCTTTTGAACATGAGAGACGGAGACCATTGCCGTTATCTATCCGCATAGCCCCGGCAATGACGGAGCCAACATGACAGCTTCGCGACAATTGGATACGAAATCCAGATTGCAGTTGACAAGCTTACTTGATGCAGCAACTCCCCTGAAGCTCGCGCCACCGAACCCAGACCTGCCTAATGCTGCGCGGACCTTTGTTAGCGTTGTGAGCGCGCGCCAACGTGCACTTTTGATCGATCCTCCACGGCATGCCTTGCCAGGTGAGCAGATACCTTGTCAGGAACCCTGTTGTGCTGAAGAGCATGAGCTTTTACAATAGCCAGCTCCCCTCCAGATCTCGGATAATCGGCAGCTGGCTGATAGTCAATGAGGAGAAGTAAGGAGATGGGACCTGGCAAGTTCCTAGCTAGGTTGTTAGCGGCGCGACAAGCTCGTGGACGACTACGTGACAGTTACAATGGGAGACCTATTTGGATGAGTATAAAGAGTGCCGATTGTCTGAAAGGAAACCTCTTGGTTATCCGCCAAGGCCCATCGAGACGGCTCTTGATCAGTTAGGCTTACCGGTACAATGGGCTATTCTCTGAGAGCCTTTTTGGCTCTGGCAGCGGTGGTTGCCGTTACAGACTCGTCTGTCAACGGACTGCCTTCCACCAACTATGTTCTGCACGAGACCAGGAATCCCACTGGGACAGGCCAGTTCAACAGCCATCATCAATGGAAGCGTGGAAGCCGCCTCGATCCCAACGCTATTGTCCCGCTTCGGATTGGTCTAGTTCAAAGCAATATCGATCAGGGCTACGAGAAGCTGATGCAAGTCTCCGACCCGTCCTCGGAAAGCTTTGGCAACCATCTCAGCGAGGCCGAAGTTCACGACTTGTTCGCCCCAGCAGACGAAACCTTCGATGCCGTTCATTCGTGGTTGGTCGAAGCCGGAGTCAACGCGTCGGACATTCGCCAATACGCCAACAAAGGATGGCTCGCTATCGACCTGCCTGTATCCTACGTCGAAGATTTGTTCTTGGCGCAGTATCATGAGCATGAGAGGGAAGGCGTGGTTAAGATTGGCTGTGACCAGTACCACGTCCCCAAGCATCTCGCACAGCACATTGACTACATCGTGCCCGGTGTCAAGCTGTCGCCACCCATGATCAAACGATCCATTGAGAAACGAGACGAGACCAGCGTCAGCAACCATAGAAAGGGCTGGAAGCCGAAGCAGATGCCGCCTGCGCTCTTGGCCCTGGAAAAGGCTCTTGCGCCTAGCTCCAAGCTGCCCGCTGATCTGCAAGATTGCGCTCGTAACTTCACCGCTATTTGTTACCGTGCGCTGTACCAGATCCCCGAGGTCAACCTTCCTGTGCCTGGAAATGAGCCTGCGGTTTTTGAGTCTGGCGATACATTTTCCCAACAAGACATCGACTCATATTTCCAGAAATATGCCTCTTACATTCCCAAGGGCACGCATCCCAAGGTTTTGTCAGTCGACGGTGGCAATGCTCCGGTGGCCGCAAACTCCCCATTCAACACTGGTGAATCAGACATCGACATTGATATCATTCAGACGTTGATCTGGCCCCAGTCGATGGTTCTGTACCAAGTAGATGATCGACTGTACACCACCGCAAACAACATGTCTGGCTTTTTGAACACCTTTTTGGATGCTTTGGATGGATCTTACTGCCACTATTCAGCGTACGGCATATCGGGAGACAGCCCCGGAGTTGATCCTGCATACCCAGACAACAGACCCGGCGGCTACACTGGCCAAAAGCTGTGTGGTGCTTACAAGCCAAACAAGGTCATTTCCATCTCATATGGCGAGGGAGAGATTGATGTGCCCAAGAACTACTTCCTTCGACAATGCAACGAGTGGCTCAAGCTGGGTTTGCAAGGAACTACTGTTCTCGTGTCGTCTGGCGATTACGGCGCTGCGATGCCGCCGCATGAGGATTCAGCCAGCGGCTGCTTGTCCGGGTCAGGCCAGAACCAGACAATCTATAATCCGGGCAATCCTGTCTCGTGCCCGTATCTCACCGCTGTCGGCGCCACTCAGCTTGAGCCTGGAACAACAGTGTTGGATGCCGAGGGCGCTATGCAGACCAACCTTGGCCCAGGAGCCGAACTCTTTGCTTCCGGAGGTGGATTCTCCAACTACTTCCCTATTCCAAGCTACCAGAAGACAGCAGTGAGCAGCTACTTTGCCAAGCACGATCCAGGCCATCCTTACTACATTGCGAATAGCGATGCCAGCAACATTGGCGAGAACGGAGGAATCTACAACCGTGCCGGCAGAGGTATTCCCGATATTTCAGCCAACGGAGCCAATTTCCGAGCATTCAATAACCAGAGTGACGGCCATTGGTTCGGCACAAGCTTGGCTGCACCTCTTTGGGCCTCTGTCATTACCTTGATAAACCAGGAGCGTGCCCTGATTGGTAAAAAGTCTGTTGGATTCATTAACCCGGTATTATACTCACATGCCAGTGCCCTTACCGATATTAAGCAGGGATCAAATCCCAATTGTGGTACAAGCGGCTTTACTGCCGTGGAGGGCTGGGACCCAGTAACCGGGCTGGGCACTCCCAAGTATCCGGATTTGCTGAAGATTTGGCTGGAGCTTCCATAAACGTGGCTCTTGTCGGTGTGTTGACAGATAGTCTTTAATAAAGAACAAATTACTACAATGGCATCTATGTGTGAAGTCTTTGCCATATAGCTGCCAAGCAAATGGGACTCTGATCAACTTTTCGTATGTCATCTATTAGTGCAGAAAATGTGTGCCCAATCTTGCCATCATCATTGACAGCATGCTTTATTGAGCAAACATACGGCAATTGCGTTTATACATCATCTTATTTAACTAATCATGCTGTAGATATACGTAAGATTGACTCATCCTCGGCGATCTGCTTCCTGCGCTTTTCTCGCCGGTGCGCATACCTTATCCAGAAAGCCATTATTATCAATCCGACGGCGATTCCAATGCTTGTCGGGTATCCTTTTGGGTATTCGGGGGCTTCCACCTGCTGCCAGATCAATAGTGGAAGCCATGCCTGAATCACATAAGCCATTTCATTCATTGTGCCTGTCACTAGCGCTCGCTCTTCGTTATCGTCGGTGCAGATTTCGTGAGCCCAAGCAAATGTCAGGCCGCTGATGCCTCCGCTGAATCCAGCTAAAAAGAAGCAAGCCCACTTCCAGCCAATTGGGATATTCCAGATTGTTAGGCTGACGTAAACGACGATGTTCATGAGACCCGAGAATACTATTGGTGGCCATCTTTCACCCTTGAATATCGTGTCTGACGTCCAAGCATAGGCCAGTGTCGTGACGACGGTAATCGCGGTTGTGATAGTGGGGTATGTGTTGATCTGTGTAATACTGTATCCTTCTTTTTTAAGCCATAGGGAAAACGCAGGCTGAGAGGCGGCGCCACCACCATTGTTGAAGAATATGTAGAGCAGAGTGAGCAGATAGATGTGCCAGCTAGAAAATATGCTCTTCAGTTTGGCTTTGGTAAATGGGGCGCGGTTTGCTCTACCCTCCAGCTGCATCCTCTTCTGAGCAAGGGCAATGTCGTCTGGCGTCAAATACCATGCTCGTGTGATTTCTGGCACGTCGGGAATCATGAAGTATCCGGCCAAGGCTATCGGCAAAGAGATGACTGTATTAATGATGAAGAGCCACTGCCAGCCTTTGAAACCGTCTCTACCGCCAAGGTGATACACCGCAGCCATAAGGTAGCCCGAGAACATTGTCCCAATAGCACTACTAGTATGAAAGATGCAAGATCGTTTGGCAAGCTCATCTTTGCGGTACCACGATCCAATGATGTACTGCATCCCAGGGTAAAATGTGCTCTCAGCAAGTCCGATGAAGAATCGCAAGACGTAAATCTGTTGCGCATTGTTGCATTTTACCATCAGAATCGTCAAGACTGCCCAGGTGACTTCGCATGATGGAATCCAAATAGATGGTCGAATCCGAGTTAACAGAATATTGCTGTGAACATGATGGTTAACGAAAGGTCAACAGGATTTAGCTTTCTCCATACCTTGGAATCTGCCCAATGACGTATCCAACAGTCCAACAGGTTTGCATGTAATTCAGCTGGTTTCCAAACAGATTCAGATCTTCTTTCATTCCAGAGACAAATGCATTGTTGATATTCACTTGGTCGAGATACTTGATGAAGTAGCCCAGCGAAGCAAACGAAAGAAGCGCGGCGTCAAGCTTGAACAAGAACCGCCTTTCTTCAGGCGACTTATCCAACGTGTCCCATATATAGGACACCCATCTTTTCTTAACTTCTGGTTGAACGATACCTGAGGAAAGTGACTCGGTTCTATCAATATTGACTGAACCCAGAGATTTGTTCTCCAAGTCGCGGCCGGCGGGACTCTCCGCTGCTTCAACGGACGGCATAATGGGCCGCTAAATTTCCAAGACAATCAAGCAAGGCCACTGCAAGATTGGCCGTTCTTCAATTTCCCATTTGAACACTGCCACTAAATACATTTAGCTACTCTAAGAGAAAACATTATATGCATCATAATCTCATGATCTCCTTATCAGGTGCATTGCGTGATAGGAGGGGTATTTGAGCACATTTGGTGACTGTCGGCGGATCATGAACTTCCTTGGTCGGCACTATGAAGCCAGTTGCACGGAAATACCAATTCCATGTGAGTAAGCTACGATCACTATCAGTTATACATGGATACTATGCAGTTTGATAACAAATAGATAATTGGGGGTTCTATCTTATTGACGAATTTCGTTCTGCAATCTTTTGAAATGGGGCGTGGCCGTCGCATCGCCGGGATATTGCAATACGGGCGCATCATCGCGCCACCACTCCATACATGACCCCTGTTGAATGAGGATGTTTGAGTGGTGCAATAGGCACAACCTACATACATGCGGCAGTTGATAACCTCAAGCAAGATATACATTTGATCTGCAGCTGTGTGCATGACATCTGTCTATTCTGCGGGGAAGTATGATTGGTCATATGAGTACATGATAACGCCATAGTAGAACCTTCTTGGGCGATCCAACTAACGCCACATTGGAAACAGGTATGTTACTTGATATGGATAATGGCGAATGAGTACAACGATATTCCGTAGGCGTGGGCCAGAACCTCCTCAAAGTGACAGCTATTTAGAGGATCATACTTGAACCGCTGCCTCGCACGTTTATAAGTCTGTGACGCTAGCACAAGGAGATTCAATAAGCGTGTCCAATAATTAAACGCAAAGTTGTATAAGATCACAAGCAATATGGCTCCCGCACCTATTGACCCTGCCATTGTTGATGTGGCGACACCAAAGAAGGATTCGCTTCCAATCCCTGCCGCTGCTCGGCAGCGATTGCTAAAGGCTGGCATTGATCTGTCCAACGGCTATCCCTACAGGCCATCCCGGCCTCTTTTCCTGCAAGACGTATATAAAATCAGGAGTGCCGATAGGAAGCACATAGATGCTGGCACCAGGGCGGATAAATCCAAGAAGAACTTGTTTTCTGCCGCCACCAAGATTACTGACATCACTGCGAACATTGGTACGGAAATTGAGGGTATACAGCTGAAAGACCTTAGCGATGAACAGCGAGATGAGCTAGCTCTCTTGATTGCTGAGCGAAGCGTCGTCTTCTTCAGAAATCAGGACATATCGCCCCAGCAGCAGAAGGAATTGGGAGAGTGGTACGGCGATATTGAGATTCATGTTAGTCACCCGTTTAGCATCTATAGAGTTACTATGCTGATATGTGCTCCAGCCTCAAGTACCACAAGTCCCGGGAGTTGCAGGAGTCACCGTGATCTGGCCAGACCTTCAGGCCACAGAACGGCCCGCGAATTTCCGCAATCCTGGTGGATCGTCTGTCTGGCACACAGACCTTGTACATGAGCAGCAGCCCGCGGGAATCACTCACTTACACAACGATACAGTTCCCCCCGTTGGAGGAGATACACTATGGGCAAGCGGATATGGAGCGTATGAAAAGCTTTCTCCCAGCTTCCGCAAGTTCATTGACGGCAAGTATGCTGTGTATCGATCTGCACACCAATACCTGGACCGAGAAAATCCTGAGGCGGGACCAAAATATATTGAGCGAACTCATCCGCTGGTACGAGTTCATCCCGTCACGGGGTGGAAGGCTCTTTGGGTCAATCGCGCGATGACTGTGCGCATTGTTGGTCTCGACAAAGCAGAGAGCGACCTTATTCTTGGCTATTTGTACGACGTATATGAGAAGAATCCTGATATCCAGCTTCGATGGAAATGGACTCCAGGAACATCGGTACTATGGGACAACCGGTATGATCACATCACCTTTTCAGAGAGGCCTTGAATATGTAAAAACTAACATCCATGCCAGAATCACTATCCACAATGCCAGCTGGGACTATGCTGGTAGACATCCTAGACACGGAACTCGCGTAACTTCGTTGGCTGAGAAGCCCTTCTTCGAGGCCGATGCACCAACGAGGCGACAAGCACTCGGGCTCTTGGATGAAAGCGAGAAGGAAGAATTGGTATTATATGGGAACTAGTGGAAGTTAACAGGCGCCGCTTTATGATAGCAAATAAATGTTTCGTATCATGTATAAGAACAGAAGCCCAGATGTAGAGTCGTATAACAACGACATATGTAAAGGGAAGTCAAAATGAAGGCCGTGGCCATAAAGCGAAGAATCAATGGTGATGTTTAGTATGTGTAGGGCCTGTGTATGATTTGCAAAGCTTGACTTGACCGCTGTTTTGCTGTTGCACAGCTTTACTTATGATCACAACTTTCCCCAGGCTATTAATATAATGAGCCCTATATGTTCACATCCTGCAAACATATGATGATTACCCTTTCTCTTTAATGGTCTATTCTAGGTTCAACGACTAAGTGGGCTGCCAAAGGACCTAGGCTTCAAGTACGCCTCTATAGCGTAGCTTTCCGCCCTCAAGCCTCTCAAACGCGTTGGTAATTCCTTCCGCTGTCATTGGAAAGCGCTCAATGCTAGGCTTAATATCATGCTTCACGGCAAACTGCAGCATTGTTTGAACCTCATCTGGAGTAGACGAGCAGCTGCCATGGATTGACAATTCCTTCCCGATCATCGCCATGTAGGGGAATTCGAGATTGCCACTCGAAATAGTAAGAGGATATATATGACCGAATGGCGCCATTACCTCAGTGTATCTATTTATTACGTTAACGACAAATCAACACGTTCTCTCTGTATCATGAAGACTTACAGCTTCCAGTCGGGAGTCGCACTGGTAGTGACCAACAGATGATTAATCTTTGGAACATCTGCCGCACTCAGATTTGTTGTGTTGTAGAACTTAGTAGCGCCAAAGTCCATAGCCTCTTGCTTCTTATTGTCCGAGCTGGAAAACCCCACCACGGTACAGCCCCAAGCTGCCGCAAACTGAATAGCAAGATGGCCCAGCCCGCCGATTCCCACAATGCCAACACAGTCGGAGGGCTTGATGCCTTGTCGCAAGAATGGGATGAAGACGGTTTGTCCAGCGCACATAAATGGCCCGGCATGGGCGCTGAGTATCTCGTCCGGGAGTATTGCCAATCGTGTTTCCGGCCACACGCTATGAGTTGCAAACGACCCTTGGTCAAAATCAGATATGCCAAATGCGTGTGCGCCCTTGACGCAGTGCCAAGTGTGTCCTGCCAAGCAGTACTGGCACTCGGCACATCCACCCTTGACATATCCGAATCCAACTCGATCACCGCTATTCTTATTAGACCAGTCATCAATAACAAACAAGGGCCACAATACTTACACTTTCACAAGACTCACTTTGCTGCCCACGGCTTTGACAACGCCAACACCTTCGTGGCCCAATACCATGTCCGTATGAAGGTAGTGTGCATCAGTTCCGCAGACCCCAGAGTGCGTATTTTCTATGAGAACATCATTGCTTTGCAAGGCTGGAACTGTCGTCTGGCTCTCAGTGACCTTGCCGGTCGAAGACCCTTTGAAGACTGTGAATGTAGTCGCCATTGCTGCTGTCTTTGAGAGATACAACTGAAAGTGAAGCTGCGAACTGAAGAAATGATATGGCCATGAGGTTCGCAAAGCTGTCCTTTATACTTGACGGGTTGGATCATAGTAACATAGTTATTAAGCAGAGACGTGTAAAAGCTTCCATGATCTATTGACATTATTGAAACCGCTTGATTGGTAAAGTCTTACATGCAAAGGACTAGTATGAATATGCTGTAAAGTCTGATGCCATTCTTTATCGCCTAGCACATTTTGAGACATTGGTGGAGTATAATATGGCGCTTCCAGTCCCGCTCACATTATACGGGCGCAAGAGATTTACGATTGGACAGAGTGTGTTCTATCGATATAGTGATATTAGGCTGTTGATCTAGATTTCATTCAATGCCATTATGTTAGTGGTGTAGCTGTCGAGCGAAGCTGAGTGTATGCAGATGCGTATCTATTGGACCCATTAATACCCATCAACCAACTTTTGTTATCTTACCATTGCCTTTTGTCAACTTACATGAAGAGTAAAAGCAGCTAGCCAAGATATTGTTTTATTAGGAATCGCTGTGCAAGGCTATGTAAAGACAGGACGTGTGTGAATTGGATTTCATGCAACTTTCATTCACAAGGTCCAGGTTCTATGCGCACATCTTGGCTTATGGTAACATGTAATGAATTTATGAGCAATCGACGAATATACGCACCGGCTGTTGTCCATTCTATCCCGGTCTACAGAGTACAAAGCGTGTAGTATGATTAGGGCTAATCAAAAGCCCCACCAGCTTCTTGAAAACGTTAGGCCTCAGTCTATATTTATGATATACTGGTAATACCGGTAACTTGCTACTTTTAGCAATTGAATGTGGCGATTAAACTAATGTGTGTAAATGAGGAAAAATGATGCCAGTGTATGGAGAGCACCTTCAACCGAACTAGTACGAAAATGTGACTCTGTGCCAGATGAGATATATAAGTGCGAAGCCCCTCTTGAACAAAGCTCTATCAATCCTCACTCGCATTTTGCTCTTTTGAAGAAATGGATTTCGACTGCTATAGCCAAATGCTTCAACATAAGATTGAAGTGTGTATACAAGACAAGTCCAAAGCAAGGTCTTCAAGCATCCAACAAAATGGCTGTGGAGATATGGTGTTTGGAGTTTCAGTTAATGCTTGGACGTTTTCCCATGAAAGCCCGGCGTCGCTTCCACAAGCCTTCTCTAAGCATAACCTGAACCATGCATCTTGAAAGTTGTCTCCTCCTGAAGCAAGCATACCAACTAGAAGCAACCAGATCAATGTTATTGGATGATCGGAAAATATGTCGCCTTCGGAAGTATATACGGAAATGAGGGCTTCTTTCAATTGGCCAACCAAGGTTCTTGTGATGCGAGATGAACGAGGTGAGCCCCTCAAAATGACATGAGACAAGAGTAATGCGCCTCTGGCCAATAAAGCCAAAAGACTGGAATTATTTTTTCCATGAATTTGTTTCAGTATCGAACGGTCCGAAGCTAGGAGGCGGAATCCAAGAGCAGCCCGACGATCCGGAGCCATAAGATGTTTAGGAGTCGTGACGAGCTCTTTCGACATTGAACGTATTTCGTCCATCATGACCCACCTTGAGGGCTGATCATCAAGACCTTGCGAATGCGGCAACGTAGAGGGGGGGTGAGTAGCCTCAGAAGATGAACTCTCCTCGTCAAAAGATAGTGCCATATTTGATAGTTGTGCGTGGCAGCTGTCCGTCCTACGTAGAATTAAATATATGCTGCCACTTTGCTCATGGGGTGTTATTACCATCTAACGATTCGAGAGGCTAATCCCTGGAATCCCAGGTTCAATACACCTTTACGACTCCGAACCATGCCTCTCAGGCCTTGAAAATGAACCTTGGCTTCTTCGACATCGCCACAGAGGAACTAGATGGTTAGAATTCACGTTGATCCTAGCATGAAAGATGGCTTACATTGGCATTGGCTAAGCATGCTACGGTAGCTATTGTTGCATCACTAAATGTTGCCGGATCGCTCCCCATATCTGGAGTGGCTCGCTGAAACTGCGATGCAAGCGTACGTATTGCGGCTGCCTTTAATGCAATTAGACTTTGCTGAGACTGGAAACTCGCTGGGAGAAAGTCGTAATTTAGGAAAGCCCAGTGATATAGCGTGCTGTTAAAAAGTGCGCTGTCTTCGATTGCATATTTAAGCCAACCGGTTTCGGCTGTAACAGTACAGAGCGATTTTGATGTATAGTTTAAAACTAGGCGTGTTAGTAACAATTCTTTGTCTAGTACTTTACAGCATGGAGTAAAGTTTGAGCTTACATTGGTGCAGTAATATCTTACGTTGAGTATTTACCTCGATAGAAAACCCCGAGAGTCGAAACATATCATCTAGTCCAACCATGGGTCGCAAATCATCGTGACCAACGTATTGTTCTATGGATGGAGGCCGATTTCTAACCGCGAAGTCAGTAAAAATAGAGGTTTATTATGTAGTCGCTGAAAGACTACTTACTCCCGCCTAGATTCAGCTGTATGGTCGCGACGATGACCGGGTTCTTCTTTTCGAGCTTGCCTCTTCATTACAACCCTGTCCATCACGTGCATCTTGATGAGAGATTTGGTCTTTGACTTGTGAGAGCCCGTCCCCATCTCTTGAATGAATACAAATTCGCCTGGATCCATAACGGTTTGTTCTTTGCTTCTCGAAGATAAAGTTTGGGTATGAAAGCCAATCGCGACAATCAGGGGATGACTTTTCCACCAGTAGAAGACAGTGACGATGGCATATGACTGAGTATCTTAAGGTAGGTGTGGCTAAGAAACGCTTCAGCGGCTGTCAGTAATCATACGGTCCTCCATATTCGAATGTAACGATATTTTTAAGCTATGCAGCACAAAAGTAGTGACACACTAATGCCATAAAGCCGACGAAGCAGTATTTTACGGTACGCTTCATGTAGGGAGGGATTGAGGATCGAGTTTCTCGGGAGATTCAAGGTTAAGTTTCATCCGATCAATCGGCCTGAATAATCACGAAGCCGCTTAACGCGATTAAGGAAATGGTGGAGTAGTAAGAGGCGTATATGATTAGTAGGCAGTGTGTCCATTGGAGCAGCGGTTGAGCTAGTAAGATAAACTCTCGAGCGAAGGAGATGACTAATAGCATCTGGTGAATTTATGGGCTTGTGTTTGGGCTACTAGTAACTCAGATACATTAATCTCTAGGTATGCGATGAATAACAAAATCAGAGTGGTTTTTGAGTAGTTCTGAGAAGTGGGCAGGGATAACAGCTGCTGAAACACTGTAGTGAGGATTAAATGCAGAATACTAGTCAATTGAAGGCAGTGATTGGAGCATCAAAACTATGCGAAAGGAGTGTTCGCCTACCTCTGGGCAAGACTTGGTACAATCAAGATGTAGCATCCGCCAATGCACAATACAAGTTCATGGTATTCACTCAATTCCAATGATGAGAGAATACGAGTCGAAATACCGCATAAAACGGCTTGGCTTCATCTTGTGGTATAGTTGCCAAGACGCATAAGGATTCGCGATAATAAAATCTCGCTAAGAAGCTAGGTGGATAATTAAGCTATTACCGCTAGAGATAGAGATGGCCCAAACATGACCGAGCTTTGTCAGACAATTGGCATATGCATCATACAAATATAGGAACAAGGCTTACAGAACAAGAATAGCACATGGCTACTTCTAATCATCAAAGGGACCAGCCTATAGGAGGTTCGTCTTCAGCACCCAGACAGACTAGGTACAGTACTGGGGATTAGTGGCACTGATTATATATTAGCTCAATGCCACAATCCTCAGTTCAATTTGGCGAGGCCTAACCAAATGAGAGGAAATCCGTAAAACCATTATATCTTTATTATATTATTTAAGAGGTAATAATCCTAAATAGTCGTGGTTGATATAGTTCATCTCATCAAGTAGGTTTCATCTATGATTGTTGTTTTGCGCATATTGTCTAACACATTTGAATGGATACAACTGAATGTCACACATGCGCAAATACTGTTAGAGCACTAGATTAAAAACACCGAGCTCCATCTATTAACAGCCAACTTAAGCTAAAATCGCCTCAAAAGTAAGAAACTATATAGAGTCCCAACTCTTCTACTTCTTGCCCTGCTCTGTGTTCTGGATTTGAACAGCTTTTTGAACCGAAGGCCGTTGCAGAACTCGGTTGTGCCATGCATTCCAGTTGGGCCACAGCTTCTCACGCTGTTCGGCAGTTGCTGCTTCGGAATCGCCCGCCAAAATGGTATCCAGCGCGCGATCCCAAGGAATGAATGCAATATCAGCCAGAGTGATCTTGCCTCCCACCAAGTACTCTTTGCCTTGAAGCGCGCGGTCAACAGTCGTGATAGTTCTCTTGACCAGGGCTTGAAAGTGCTTAGTTGAGCCTTCATTCTTCAACACATGCTGTGCAATCATGGCCTGTGTGGTATAATTAGCAACTGATCAATTCAAATGAAACTATCAATCTCGAAGACTTACTTGAGCAAAGAATGGTCCCTGAGACGCTGCTTGAAATCCGAGCCACTGCTTGACGAGAAGCTTATTCTGCTCTCCCTCAACGCTGAATATGCCCTTTGTGTCATACTTTTCGACAATATACTCGCTGATTAGGTTGGACTCTGTCAGCTCAATGCCTATCAGATTGTTAATGTCTAGTTCAACCATTCATTTGTCATTCTTTTCACGAACCAGTGTTGGGGTCCTTGATCCATGGCACACGCCCAGCTGGATTAATCTTGAGGAACGCTTCATGCTCTACACCGCCGCTTCCATCTCCAAATACGAGATAAGTAGCATCATAGGCGATTCCCAGCTCTTCAAAAAGAATAACGTTCTTCCACGGGTTGGGTCCGTCACCTTTTCTCACATCGTATTAGTACTTTCAATAATACATATACTTGTAACATATTTGGCGGGTATAGACCACGTACGGTGAGAGTAGAATGTGATTGCCTTGGTTGCCATTGTGTTATTTGTTCGCGTGTCTTGCTGCTTGGCCTGTGTTTGGTTGTTTGAAGTTGTTGATGATAATCGAAGCTTTTGTAGAATCTTTCTAAAATCCATATCTTGGAGTATCAGAAGATCATTTTTGGGATGTGATGTGAAGTATTTATGCTATTTCAGACACAGTGACTCGATGAGACAGGCCACATCGGTTGCGTACACTACCTGTACTAGTAATCTTCGTTTAGTAAGTCAAGTATGCGTTGTCGGGAACACCGGGCTCGATTTCTGCTTGACTGTAGGCAATGACCAAAAACAGAAAGCGCTCATTTTCGCTCCAAAAAGACTGTGGTAGAATTACTTGATGACTTTTATTTAACTGCGAGCTCGTCCGACTTCACTACCTGAAAGTGGTCTAGGTTGCTGCCAACCAGGTTGAGCACGAGGTTTCAACAGTTCCTAAAAGGGCAAAGACACAATACAAAATCACTTGTCCTAAAATAATCGGGGGTTTATGCATAGAAGAGATTGCTCTCCCGTGTAGTGCTAATAAGGATTTTGGTAACAATGTACTACCCAGGAACTATTAGCTCGTGCTTCGCTGAAGATCTCGCACAATAGTACTTCAGCAGTTGCGAAGCGAAGACAGCCAAGAGAGCTCAAAGCGGGGTTAATTAGACAGTAGGCCTAGTACATTAAGCAATTCTATTCCTAATCCCAGCGCCCATATGATGCCAAAGGCCATTCTTCTGTTGTTATTGCACTGTTTCCCGTAGCAGACACTGGCTCCTCAAATAGAAGACTATAGTTCTTTGGTCATACATTGCAAGAATTGCCAATACTTGAACTTCCAGCTTGTTAGCACCCACACGGCTCTCAATATCCAGGTGCGCACATTCCAGTGTCTTGAAGGTTATGTACGTATGCTTAAAACTGCACTAAATTACTGACATCAACGCCCGGAACAAGCAGATGGAGCATCAGGGCGGCGGTTTAAGCAATTGTCGGCAAGATGCAACTACAATGCGCGAGCATCTTATAGTGAATTGCGTTACCAATCATCAATTGGCGCAATGACCCCTGCCTGAGTTGAAAACAGAGTCACTTTGACTATTTCACACGCGATCTCAAATTATGACGTTTTGCTGCGGAGATTTACTGATACTAGAGATGGCGACTGTCCAGTGAAAGATTCAGCTGTATGACATCCGCGAACTCCGCTTCTCAACTGTTGCTCTTCAACTCGATATTTCATGAATCGAGCTAGAGGAGTAGCGGGTCTTACCGTGGCCGTTGACGAAACCGTTATGGCTGGTGAAAATGCGAGTGGTGGGTCTGAGGAAAATGCTGCGATAGCTCAGAACTAAAAGCAGAAACGTGAATTTCGAACTGAGCGTGAAAGGCAGAAGTACAGAGATAGAGTGCGTTACTAAGCTGGGACAAAATGGCGACCACTGTGATATCATTGGGCGAATTGGTCCGTGGCTTGTTCGAAGCTTCGTCCGAAACTTCGCTCGTATTATTTAAGCGAATTTGAAGCGGCAGAGGAAAAGAGCGCCCATTTCGGCAATCATGAGCGACGGGATGTCTATAGCGGAAGAAAGCTTAGATCTGGCGAGCTTAACTTCTTTGAACTAGTATCAGCTTTGTGCCTTAATGCGGAGTCGCACACCCAGCACTCTCTGGACTTCAGCCCATCCTGGCTTTGCTGGTCTCTAGGTCTAATAGGCAAGCTGTACATGCCTAGTCTGTGCCCAGCGTATGCCCTGTAAGCAGCTTCGGGCAACCCTTCGTGCATTAGTGTGTTGGAGATCATGGTCCATATACGCGGAAAAGGGTTCATGTGTCCGCCTTGCTAGAGCTTCCAGTGGTGTAGCTTACCATCGGGAGAGCTGAGCATCGCCCGGAAACTACCTTCCAGAACACTAGTGGACTCAAAGGGCCAAGGTTTCCATAGTCGAGGTGGAACTATCCCAAGAGTGGAAATCGGCGGATTCCTAATCAGGCTCTCGTCTCCATGGCTTGCCTCGGCCACAGGCCGCGAAATAACGTCACCAATGAATAAGCAGCAGCAATAGCTTTGAACTTATATGCCGCCGCAGAAGATTAAGTAGCCCTGCTAAGCATAAGCTTTTCGATATTAAAAAACAACAGTCGGGCAGACAACCAACCAATATTTGCAATCATCTTTTTGATCTTTAAAACATTGTACCATTCATTAATTGAAGATGACAATGCAAACTCCTAGTGCATCTATTTCCTCTTGGGATGAGACCCAATTCTTGATTGACATGCAGGGGCCTATGAATATGACATACACTGTAGGTCAATTCTCCTAGTCATAAAATTGATAAAAAGAGCGGAGCTAATATGAGATTAGGAAGCATACGAGGAGGTGATGCAGTGCTTTCTACCCACAGCGCAGACAGGCTTGACTCCCCATTCACCAATATGCGATTCTCCCGCCGAGTCATTCACAACACAGCGATTTGATATGCTATCAGAAAGCTCAGCCGATATGTCAAATCAGTCATACTCAGCTTCATCAAGTCGATCACAATCACCTGCAACTTCAAAACTAAAATCTCTCGACCTCACAGCCGTGCGCAAGTTATCCAAAAGACAGAAGAACCGAGAAGCGTAAGTGTCTACGTTGCGTACCTATGCGAAGGTAAGGGCGAAGCTGACACTTGCATTTCAGGCAACGGGCATATAGAGAGAGAAAAGAAAAGTTACTCCAAACATTAGTCGAAAAAGTCGAAAAACTGGAGGCTGCGTATAGCGTGGTTAAAGACGAACGCGACCAGCTCCAGCGCAGACTTGACAACTTGACAAACCCTACCGGACTTGTCAAAGACAATGTACTCAACTTTGACGACCAATTTGGAAATATGTCAGAATTCCAGTTCAACAATTTTCTGTTCAGCAACTTACCACGGCAACACACCATATTGCCACTCTCATGATGAATGCTTCAAACAAATGTCAAATTTATAAAATGTATATTTTCAACAGCCTGCATACAAATCTTTTGGGCACAAGGTAGGCATGTCATGATGATGAGATAATGTAACAATAATGGGTATAGACATATTGGTCGGTTATTTTTAGACACAAATTGTAGAAGATGTCCAAACATCAAATTACGCGCCAGCAACCATATATATTTCAAGTTCTAAAGTCGAATGTGTCTGAAAGTGTGGCGATTTATCCCAAGGTCTTGGAGACGACCCTGCAGAAGAATCTCATTTGCGTAAGCAGCCAGATTTCTGGATACCATTTAAGATTTGCCGAGGCGATAGAGATAAGAGGGGTCAATAAACTGATTTAGATGTAAAGTCTTATTACGTTGATTCGTCTATGCAAGCGCATGCATACTATATCGATGTAAATCTACGAGACGCGAGCTTGCTATGAGACAATGACTGGTAAACGCATTGAGTAGCCTCTTCTTCTACGTCGAAAAGCTATGCTGATATCAACTACCAGATAGAAAAGATATCTCAGCAATGCTAGTCCGACAGTGTAATGCACACCCCTCACAACAATGAAGTTGGTAACACACAGGTAACTGACGAATATTCGCTCATGCTTCTAAGCCAACTATTTCATTTTCAGGTGCATGAATAAGCCCAGCGCCATACCCAAGACTGCTTCGAGAAATGTCATATGGGATTTGCTCCAGTGGAGCTAGACGCGAACTTTAGTCGTATCGTATGGGGCGTATCCTATTCCTTCTTGTCTTTGTAATTCATTATAGTCAACTTGGAGGTTCTGTTGCTCCACTCAACGTGGGCTGCGAATTTCTTTCTCCAACGTCCAAGGCGACAAGAAACCTGCTCACTCCATTATAGGCTGCAATAGCCAGAGTGAGCTCTGTAATTTCTCTATCGGTTAACCCTGAGTCTTGGAGACCTCTGAGAACTGTATCGGGAACTCTGATGTCTTTCGTCATAGTATCGGCATATCTTAGCACAGCCCACTGCTGAAGACTCAAGGGGCCTCTGTCCGACGGCTGCAGCGTTTCAACAGTTTTTAGTTTTGCCGAATCAAAGTCTTCACAGCGGGTTAATGCTTTAATGTGCCCGTCGTATTGGTACCAAGCTCGGTTAAGCAAGGCAACTCGGCAAATCGCAAGTTCCAGTAGATCAGCGCGAAGGATGGAGCCGGAGTAAATTGCGCCAAAGAAGGAATGCCAACCGCCAGCAATGATTGGCGAGTGAAGTAAAGTCCGGTCAAGCGCAATGAGTCCATTCTCACCTCGGCGAGCTAGTATTTGACTGAGAACGGCTCTTCCTGTTGCGTCCAAGTTGACCGGCGGGTTTGGAATATAGGGTAGACGCATATTTCGGTTTGATCTTTGAAGAGGTGATTACAAGATGGATGAAGATTCAACTCAAGAAAGACCAAGGCGATGGCTTCCCTGCATTCTTATTTGTATAACGGCCGTAAGACATACATGGTTCATAGATACCTTGTGCTACTGAAAGAGCGTACCCTGAATATATATCACCTCCGTAGTCCAGTAAATGGACTAACATGTGTATATGGTCAGCGATCCTAGGTAAGTATTATAAAGCGAACGCTCTTTTCTCCTTCATACAGTGCCTCAGCGTGTTAATTACTAGTTCTAGGACACGCATTACACAGTACGGAGCCTTCGCGTAGGCTATTCTGTTAGCACTAAGGCTTTGTAGGGAAAAGGCATGGAGCGTTTCCTGCTGGTTTGGTAGGCTTCTCGAATGACTTAGTCATCCAGAGCGGATCACACGACAAACACGGTATTAAGATGAGGAATCACGGCAGGTGGCCAACGAACCAAAACACGCCGTGAACTCCAGCATACTATGGAGCGGCTACGAGGTCACGGCCAACTGAGTCCTGGGAGTCGCCCCCAGGCCATTGTCGCCCCTGCATAAGTAATAGTTGATAGCGTGATCTGTTGCCCGACGCGTATTTAAAGCTGTCTAGCGGAGGACTTCAGGTCAGACGCGACATCTATTACGGAGCACGCAACGAGATACACGAGCAACAATGGCAAGGGTAGCGTCCAGGACGTCAGCCACGGCGTCTCAGTCAGTCACTGAATTCCAAGACAAAGTCTACGCGCTGCTACTGCAGATTCCGAAAGGTCGCGTAACTACGTACGGCGCCATCGCTCGTGCTCTCCATACCTCGCCTCGGGCTGTGGGCAACGCTTTGCGCAATAACCCATTTGCGCCCGAGGTGCCCTGCCATAGATGCGTCGGGAGCACCGGGTTTATAACGGGATTTGACGGCGAGAGCATCGATAAGAAGAGTTTTAAGCGATCAAACGACGGACTTGTTCAAGGAGCCGCACACCAGAGCAGACCTCGAGGACCCAAGATATCACCGGCGCAGCCTGCGGGGACCAAGCTGAGCCTCAAGATACAAATCTTGCATGACGAGGGCGTCCTGATTGACAACAAGGGCATGGTTATGAATCGCAAAAAGGTGCTGTGGGATGGACCCTGGGACGTGAACGCGCCGAAATACTCCAACTGATGATGCCTATCATACAGTGGCATCGCTAACGCCGTCTTTTGCTCCGAAAGAATTCTAACCTCCATATGTCGAGCCTATTCTCATACTAGAATTCATCAGTCATCAAATACCCACTATGAGCTAGCCATACCTGAGAACAGTCTTGCCTGCTATTGCCTCCTTAGGTGTTGACTTATCTGTTTATTTAAAAATACATGATGCACATACAGACACATCAAGACTTGTGCCTTCAAAAGATCATTGAAGCTCGTTGAATAAATTATTTTGTCGTCTTAGAAATACTCTTGTTCTGCACTATCACCTCGGAAATAATTACTCGAGATGTCTCAGCCGATGCCTATTATCTTTGTAGGGAGAGTTCCAGACATTGCGCTGGGCATCATTGAAGAGATGAAACCTGAGATTGAAGGTATTCCCGTCTTTTCTTCTACGTTATTCATTCCTTCACTTCATTATTTCCTCTTTGGTTATGAAATGACCGTTTCTGTTTCGAAGTTGATGAACTGATCGTCATGGCAATCATATACAGTTATACAACACTTTGCAGAGCCATCAATTGCCACAAGTCAGATTCCGGCAATCCTTAGAAAAGACGCCAAAATTGAGTCCGATACCTTCATGGGCACTGGAGATTATACACGTCAGCCTATTGCGATCTTGGTCGGGTCATGGTATGATGACCAGATGATACGAGAGTTCCAAGACTCAGTCTCAAACTTTCCACCTCTTCTCTGGCTGCGCGTTGATAAGAACATATCATCTCCTCCATTAGGACCCAAGTACTCAATAGTCGTTGGGAGAAGGATTAAAGCTAGACTTTTGGAGCTTGCAGTAGCTGGAGCGGAGAGTCCGGATTTTGTACACCTTGTCTAGCTAGTGAAATATGTGCAGATTTCAATTCCTGGAGTAGTCGCGTCTACTAATGTTTGTGCATTTATAATTTGAAGATGTTCTGGAACCTCAAATGAACTAAACAGAGAACCAACTATATGGGAGAGATCTGTTGTTACCGAAATCAATTGGTGCAAATTGCTGTTTGAGCTGCATAGTGCGCATGACAGTACTCTGTTTTCGCAATGCTGCGGGCTAGACACTCACTCAGAAGCCGAACATGTCGCAACTCAGATGACAGTATCCCTACATTATCGTAGACACCTTTATTAGCTTGCAATCAGAAGCTGTGCTATTACATAGCATGTTTAACGGTATCTTCAAATAGAGCCAAGTCCAGCTTGCAAATACGAGTTTGTCAGCTGAAGTAACGGTTATGAGTTGTTGTATGCTTTGCGCACCAATTCGAGGGCGTCTAATTCAAGCGGTCCGTAATGAATGAGGTGATGGGGGGCTTTGAGCACATACGGATGAATTATACGCACATAGCTGCAGGGTATCTACTGCACTAGGTTTGCTCCTAGGAATGCTGTATCTGCATTTAGTCTGCGGCCCCTCTTTTGCCCCCTTGCGAATCAAGATGCTAATTGCACCTAATTGCATGCTTTGCATAATAGGGCATAGATTTCCGAAAAGCCGGATTGAGAAATCAGTTACGCTCACACTGCATGCGCCACGAAAAGCGTGGGTGGGGTAAGCACATGTACTAATGGCGAGGCGTCAAATGGTTATATCATCGGCGGTGTCATACGCCGCACTTTTGGTTCAGCTGAAATAGGGAAAAGTTTAAGGAATCAGAGTGTTCAGATTTAGTAATGGGAAAGAGGTCTTGTTAGAAGTTGCCAGAAAATAGTTGTGCTGGAAGTGTTGAGCAAGATGAAATAAAAGCAAGGCAACCCATGATAGATTCCAGCAGATGAGAAACGGACAGGAAAACAAAGATACCAACTAAACAAATATCCAGCTCAATTAAAGAAAGTCAATTTCAGCCAGCTTAGTGCTTTTTACGATCAAAATGGCATTCACAAAGGAACGTGTGGAATTCAAGACACAAGATGGAACGACCCTACGCGGAAATCTAACGTTGACTGGCGTACCAAACGCACCAGCTGTTATCATGATTGCAGGGGTAAGACAGCTATGCTCTCATCACATTCCAAGATGATTGAACGGACAGCTAAAATAGCATTTATAACAGCTTACTTTCCTTAAAGAGCACGGAGGAGCTGGGACCGCAGAAGCATTTAACAAAGCGGGATATGCTACGCTGTTATATGATCACCGCCACTGGGGATCCAGCGACGGGCTGCCGCGACAACATGTCAACCTCTTCCAACAGGCTGAGGATTTGTCAGACGCTATCACCTACATGGCCAATCGGTCGGACATAGATGGCGAGCGCATTGCCATTTGGGGTATTGGTCATGGTGCAGGAGTCGTTGTGCAAGCCGGTGCTTACGACAAACGTGCAAAGGCGGTTATGGGAGTATCGCCATTCTTCTCTGGTGAGGTCGACATGCTTCGATTCCCCCCCGGCGCTTATCAAGATGCGTGGGAAGAACGAGTGGCTCGTATTGGAAGTCCCAGCCTTGAGCAGAAATATGTACCAATTTTCGCGGAGTCAATGGAGATGGCGGAGAAGAGCCCACAGGCCAGCATCATTGGAAACCCTCAAGGCTTTTTCCTGAGATCAATTTTCAAGCCACTCTCAGACGCCGCAGGGACGCCTTGGGAGAACAAGTTGACTCTGGAGAGTTTATACTGGCAGAGCAAGTTCGAGCCGACTACATCGATACATTTGATCTCGCCTCGCCCTCTGTACTGGGTCGCAACTGATGCTCCACTGCTACCAAACTACCAGGACCAAGTGCGAGCTTTTCAGAAAGCGTTTGAGCCCAAGCAGTTTCATGGTTTCCGAAGCTTGGAGGAATCTGCCGCGGGCCCGGCCTACGAGAAGAACCTTGAAGAGCAGGCGGAGTTTTTGAAGAAGTGGGTTTAAGTCGTTGGGCAGTAGACAGTTTTAGACTTGATGGTAGTAATGAGCATTTCAGATATGGATAGTCCCTATTCTTGGTATGCATTTCCAAGTGCGCCTTGTAGTTGGCGCTTCTGGTGAAAAAATTGCTGCAGCCGTTGATATAGCGTTGGTACTTGGCGTCCTCCTTGGTCGTAAGCTCCCGCCGACGCGAGTGTGGCATTTTCTGGACGCGGAGCGGTTTTCGATCCGGCAAAAGTAATGAGCCTGGGGCGGCAGGACTGGGCATGTAGGGCCTGGGCTCTGGAGATGGCTATGGCTTGGACCAGGAACCAGAGCTGTTGGTGCCGGTGGCAGAAACGCTATGAGGCGAAGGATGATGGCCATTCTGGCGGCCGGGTCTCAGGGCTAGGCAGTCTGTTGGGAATCCCGGCACGTAGGATCGGAAGGCAGAATTCCCAGGCTGGCATCACGGTGAGGAGGCAGGAGGAGATATGGACATGTTATTGTTGCTTCAGGCCATTGAATGCTGGTTCAAGTCGGCACATGGCGACACGGATGAAGCCCGAATCTCCGACCATGGTCTCATTCAGATCGAGGTGCCTCACCCGTTCAGCCCACGAAATGTCCCATGGCAAGCGGCAGAACCAGCCTCAGTTTCCTTGCGCGCCTTTGGATAGTTCTAAACGAGGCTGCCGTTCACTGTGGAGAAATGTGCTAGTGTGCGAAGGAGGACGGACTTTTGTTCCAAGGCTCAGGCTGGCCAGCAAAACAGGCCAACCGCAGTAGCCAGCGTCGTCGCAAAGGGGCCCCCAAGATGGCTCAATGCTTTCATTTTGGTCGAGGCCAGTTGACTCGGTGCCTGGCAGATCTCGGTGGGGTTAGCGGTTAGGTAGTCATACTGGGCAAGGCAGCCACGGCGCTTGTAGCTGCAAAGGCAGGGCGTGCACATGCAGCTTGTGAAGTTCATCAACGATGCTAAAAGCCCTCCGCTCCAGGCGATGCATCTTCAACCAAGCACATCACAACATTGAACGCATCCGCACAATACCATCAGAGCAATACCATCAGAGCAAACTTCGCTTCATCCCGAGTACGGCATGCAGTTGGAGGACTTTGTGCCAGAGCTCTTGGCTCGCATCTTGCAGGTTCTGGATCATCCCCGCGACCTCCTCTCCCTCATCAGAGCATCTCCTCATTGCTTTCGAGTCTACGCCGAGTCGCCTGCAATCATCCTCTCACCAATCCTCAAGAATGCCATTTTACCCGACGCGCTCCATCATGCTCTTGCCTGCGTGCACCTTCCATCTATTTCTTCACAAACTGTTCCAGTGGCTTTCCTCAGAGACTATTTTCAGTATGAACCACTCGCGTTTCCTACGGACAAGACTGCCCTCACTGCCCTCTGTGGGCTTTGTTTACGGACGTCCCACTTCGTGGACGATTTTTCCAGTCGAGCAATGCGTGCCTTGAATCTTAATTCTGATGCCGGGCAAGCCACGGCATCGGCCCTGTCGTCAACAGAACGCGCAAGATTCCAGAGAGCATTCTTTCGGTATGAACTCTATTGTAGAGTTTTTCCAGTTGACCACCATGCTCGAAGCCGTTCGCTCGTCCCGGCCGATGAGCAGTTTACTGAATTCATTGCTCGGATGGCACCGTGGGAGGTGGAGGAAGTGTCCTGCGTCCACCACTACTTCACGGTTCTTATTGGGAGGTTTCTTGACGATCTTGAAGATCAGTTCGTGGAAGCCGTTCGTACTGCTCCTGGCTTCCGTCACCCTATTCTGACTGACTTTCTAACTGACTCTCCAACGCCGGAGCCCGCCAAACGCCGAAAAATCCGCAGAACAACTGCCAGTGGCCTGAAGCATGATTCATTCATCCCGTCATCGGAGCCGACCCAAAAGGACATGGATGACAGGCAGAGTCCTGCTGACAATGCCAACGTGGTATTTGTTAGCAACTTCGACCTATACGGCCTTGACCTATTCTCCTCGGACGGCAGGTTCCGGTCACCAAAATACGTCAGTTACGTAGCATCTTTGGGTTCGACGTTGATGTACCGACTTGCTCTTGGCGATAAAGGTCAGCGCAGACGCATAATCCAAGAGAATACGCCCGTGTGGCGAGATTTTCTCCCAGAGGCGTTGGAACACGCCCCCGGCACCGGTCCCAAGACCACCATGCCTGACGGGATTGACGATAACCATCTCTCGCACCCCAACTTGGGCTATTATCGGTTCAAACGCTCGGAAGAAGAAATCTACTTTGGAATCCTCAACGCCAGCATCCTCAGCCGCCCTCTCCGAGAAAGGGCATTTGTTTTCTGGGACGCCGATAGGATTCTCTGCCCCGTGGTCAGCGACCAACTGCAAAAAGCGAGACGTATGGATCCGGAAAGGGTGCATCTGCAGTTCGATCGATACGAGGGCAAAAGCGCTGAGGAACGGCTGAAGGGCGTCAGGATACCCAGGGTACAGATGGACAGGATAGTTGAAGAGTTCGGTTCTCTCTTTGAATCATGGCGATCTATTCACCACCAATGTATTTCTAGAATTGAAAACTCAATGCCATGACAGCTTACAGTGCAAGCGAAAATGAAGAGAACCGGAAGCGGTGGTACTACCCGGTTCGCCCTGATCTCCAAGAAGCCTCAGCAAGGACTGCTCTATAAACCTGCTCAGTTACAGTTCGATGAGACTCTGAATGGACATCGAGCTGTAGCACATAAATGGATAGGTAAATGGGCCTCTCATCGGCCAAGTTGCGCCGCCATCTACATCTCGGTACATTTTGGAGTTTACAACTTCGGGGGCAAGGCATCTAGTGGCAGCCTACGCGCCCACACGGACCATATAGGTAGTATATACATATAGGCTGCCGATAGACGCCTTGCCCTTAGACGCCTTGCCCTTTTAACTGCGGCGATGCTGTTTCCGTTGGTACGAGAAGACAGGGGCATGCGTCGCCGTCCCCAGTCAGTCGCTCCTAATATGTCATCGTTCATCGGGCATGTCTGTGACAGGCAGGTGTTGGCCGGTTTCTTGACGAGCTCAGCCCCCTTTCAGTAGCCATCCTCGGCCTTGTATCTTAAATCTGAAGAGAGCTCCATCTGCCTTGCTGTTTCATATTATCGCGCGCATGTTGGGTCTTACATACGCCTTTGGCTTAGAGTCTAGCTGCAAACTTGCAATTTCCCGGCGCTCTTCTTCTCGAGGGATTTGTGTTTAAAATATCTGGAATCCCTTCAATTTGTTCATAGAACTCTCCATCATACATGCTCTGTATGTACCACTCTACCCCAATTCTGTTTGCTGATATTGTCACCCTGTATCAATCATGTCTAATCGGTACAATCTCGCTCCAAGATGTCGGACGAGGACTAATATTTGCGATTCCCATTCGTGAGAGGTCGAAGGACGGGAGGAAAGAGGTCGGGCGTACCAATTTGAATATCCAGCGTAGAATTGACAGCATCTATATCAAGAGGCTCTAAACTAGCTCCCCTGAATCTAGTTATTATGTTATCTCGTCTAAACCTTTCGTCGTGTGCTGCCTGAAACGCAACGAAGAACTCGGACTTGGTGATATGGTTAGTGGAGGCTTCGATGAAACAAGCTGATGTGATCACCATAAGCGCATTCCAACGGCGAATACAACGCAACATCTAGTGGCTCAAGTAAGTAGGATGAATGTGCTGGCATACTACGGTAATGAAATTGTTTTTGTTGTGACTTTGGGCCAAACCTAGTGGCCCTATGTCCTCGTTTGTAGCCAGCAAGCCGGGATAGCTTCACCAGGCGGCATCTACTTGATCACTACGATCCACCCGTCCACCCATTGGAAGGAGTTTCTGCGCCTGCATTACATGAGTGCTCAACTCTCACGACTGCCTCACCTGGAAACGCGTAGCTACACGCTGTTGGAACAAGGATACCTGTCTCAAGCCACTATTGCAGGATTCACTTTGGCACCAGTTGTTAAAATGGAAGGAGAGAACAACTTGAAGATATGGAAGCTACAGATAGAGGAACATCTCAAGACCAAGGCCTTTGGCGCCCGGTATCGAAAGGCGTTGTACGACCTGACGATGACGAACCCGACACATGAGACCTCGAACGAGTACAAGCCATGTCGATCTTGACGGCAAGTTTGACCAAGGTCTTCCAGAAGCTTGAAAACACTAGTTGGGATATGGACGATGAAGAAGACTCCAAGGTTTTCTATGACCTCGTCCTTTCCGTTACCCCAAAACAGTCTCATTCAACTATTTTTCATTCTCACAGTGTCACAGCTCACAGTAGCTTTTTATCGAATACTTTCTTATTGTACAACTATAGGACCGACGCTGCTATTCAAAACTTGCCTTCTCGTTTTATAGCTTGATCACTATTTTTGTGCGACCAAGACTCCACGGTATCGCATCTTTCCATCAAGAAGCCTTTGAAGTGCTTCTGTAGCGCCAGCAGCTGTCAATGGAAATTCTTCCACTACAGGAATAATGTTATGGCGAGATGCAAATTCCAACATCTCACGATGGATTTGTCGAGGAGCAATCATGCCCCCTTGAATCCTCAAACCACCCATGATAAGATCCATTGCTGGCACTGCAAGCTTTTCAAATGATACTGTGATGGGGTAGATGGTTCCCTCTGGAGCCATTATTGGGAGGTAAAGGCCCCAATCCGGCTGAGCGTTGGATGTTACCAGCAAGTGGTCAATCGGAGCACGGATGTCAAGCTTTTCCACACCCTTTGTAGTATAAAACTCACTTGCTCCGAATGCGAGGGCTTCCGCTTTCTTTTGCTCTGTCGACGAAAACACTACAACCTCACAGCCCATTTGGGAGGCAAACTGGATTGCCAAGTGGCCCAAGCCGCCGACTCCAATGACTCCCACTCGATCAGTGCTGCGCACACCATTGAGCTTCAAGGCGTTGAAGACTGTAGATCCGCCGCACATCAATGGGCCGGCATGGCTGGACGAAATATTGCCCGGAATCTTGTAAATGAAATCTTCCTTCCACACCGCGGCGCTTGCGAAAGATCCTTGATCGAAGTTGGCGAGTCCAAACATTTCACGCTCAGCGCAGAATGTCTCTCTGCCCGTAAGACACTGTTTGCAGTGCCCACAGCTGTTATGCTGGTATCCCCATCCAGCACGATCACCACTTCAAGAGTAAAATGTAAGAGCTTTGTTTCTCTTCCAAATGGTGAAATTAATATGGCTTGACTTACACTTTAAATCGTGTTACGCCGGAGCCAATCTGTTTTACTACTCCTGAACCTTCATGACCCAGGGCCATGTCCGCTTGCCGATAGTGCTGTTACTGTCAGTGTATAGAGCTTTGTGTGAAAGAGAAGCGGCGGACAACGACATACATGATCTGTGAAGCAAACGCCACTGTGCGTTACATCAATCAGTACCTCATCAGACTTGATCTCACGAGAAGATACTGCGTCCACGAGGGCGCCAGTCGACGATCCCTTGATAACTTTGAATTCAACCATATTCGCTTCAATAGTTCACGTGTACTCTTTTGAATAAGATGTTGAAAATTGCACGCAATTAATGGCCTCTCTACTAACGAAAAGTCAATGGCGGGCTATTTATACTACACTGCTATGCACCGCAGTACGCCGATTAACAACGGGAATAAGCGCATCGTGCTTCGAGTCAATCCCGCAGCATGATACCTGCTACAACATGTTTCAGCTAATAAAGCAAAGCGTTGTTGTCATCGCAATGTACACACAGCGTTCCATACAAAACGCCTTGATTACGTTGGCTCGTTCTTGTGCGAATAAGGATATTACGTTTGGAATCGGAGCCGGGAACTTTACTAATTCAAGCTAACCAAATTAGTGATTTATATTCACAGCCATTGGTTATACACAGGGTTGTAAATTAGTTACTAATAACTAAAACTAAAACTAATTTTTTAGTTACTAATATTTTAGTAACTAATTATTTAGTTATTAGTTTAGTTACTATAATAACTAAAACTAAACTAAATAATTAG